ATAATACTTAAAGAGAAAAAGTATTAGCATATATAATAAATATTAAGTATATTAATATATTCTTACTTAAGGTAATAAATTTTAAATAAAGCTTAAGAAATAATTTCTTTAAGCTACTTAATTTTACTAAAGTAAAATTATTTCTAAAGATTTCCTTAAAGTAAAATCTTTATTATACTAGAACTTACTAGTCTTAACTATTATTTTATAATATAAAGCCTTAAATTTAAATATAATATTAAGGTAATTAATTAAAATCTTATACTTTTTACTTTTAGAATTTATATAATATTAAAGCTAAGAAATACTTAAAGATTATAATATAAATAAGCCTTAAATTATTACTTAATTAAAAGCTAATAATTTATTTTAATATAATTTATATTTTATTATTCTCTTACTTCTATAAATATTTTATTATTAAAATTTCTTAGTATAAACTTTTCTTTAAGTATATAGTATTATTATTTCTTTTACTATAATTACTAGAGAAGTAATTTATTAATAACTTTTAAAAACTTATATTCCTTATATATATAGTTAAATATCTTAAATTTAGCTATAGTATAAATTATATAAATTTTTATAAAACCTTTACTTATAAGTTATTATAAAATAATATTAAAGTTACTATAGTTTAAAACTAGTAAAAAGTAGTAAAGTATATAATCTTAACTTATTCTGTATTACGAACTAGGGCTATAATACTTAATCCGGACCTGCTAAGACCTAGAATAAATAACCTAGGATAGATAATAAAGGATAACGAGATAACTAGATCTATATATAATAGTTAGATTAGCTAGTTATAGATAGAGCCGTTAAGACTAGGTCATCTAGATAATCTAGTAGAACAGACAGACAGATAAATAACCCCCGAAGAAATAGAAGTTAGACGGATCAGCGATTTGTTCTGATTACTACTGAACCTGACCTTTAACTCTGCTACGCATAGACTGCTACTCGCCTGCGTCTTTACCTCTTATCTCACATTCTGTTTGACTAGTCCGACTAGTCACCTCCGAGAAAGAGCTTCCTCACCCTAGCTCTTTACATTCTGTTAAAATAAACTTCTATAGTTTATACTACTACTATATATTATAAGTAGGCTAAATGCAGAATTTAATTTACTCTTCTTAGAGAATATTCTCATTTATACTCTTAAAGTCTCTGCTAAGCGTTGCTTGCATGCTAGCACTATAAAGTAGATTAATTAAAATCGCCGGGATAGGTAAATATTGCCGGTTAATCCATTAACTACCTTTTTACTTTTACTTAGCCTTGTGCTTTGTTCAGCACTCTCTTGTTCTCTCTCCACTTCGTACCAGGGGGATTGTAGATGTACCTCAAGCTAGACCACATAGCTACCAAATTCTACCTATGTCCTAGCTCCATTTCCATATGCGGTTCAAAGGAGAGTAGTTAACGGGGGAGCAGTATAATAACAAGGCTCTACCCTCCAGGCAAGGTCGTAGAAACATAGTCTATTTCGCCTATGTTTTATGCTGCTGGTTGCTCCTTCACTCTTAATCCATTCCTGACTTTACCACAGCCGATATGAAGTTCACTGCCACGATACTACTCATGTCTGCTATATGGACAAGTAATACCCTCGCGGCTCCGCATGGGGATTTCGTCGAACACCTCAAGGTCCGCGGCAATGACAATGGTGCACTCGCCGGAGCGCAATCGATCTCTGCTGACACAAAGTACGGGTATAACTGGGCTGGCGTTATCCACACGACGCCCCCTGCAACGGGCACCTACACTGCAGCCTCTGCAACCTTTACTGTTCCGAAGCCAACAGCGACCGATGACTCTGGAAACACACAGGGTGCGTCCGCCTGGGTCGGAATCGACGGTGGGACGTACCGCAACGCTATCCTACACGCCGGGGTTGACTTTTATGTCGAGGACAGCACCGAGAAATATGACGCTTGGTACGAATGGTATCCTAGTCTCAGCAATGACTTCAACCTGTCTGTGACTGCGGGAGATGTTATTGTTGTCAAGGTGGTCTCGTCTTCACCTAGCCACAGCGTTGCTATTTTAGAGAACAAGTCTTCTGGCCAGAGTGCTACGCAGACCTTATCGGCAGACCCCTCGACTGCTACCCTTGGCGGCCAGAATGTCTAATGGATTGTCGAGGACTACCAGTCTGGTGCTTCCGACGTGGCACTTGTTAACTTCGGCAAGGTCAAGTTCAGTGGTGCCCAGGCTGGGACCAGCCATGGTGAAAAGATCGGCTTAGACAACGCTACTATCTTTGAAATCCAACAGAACGGCGAAGTGTTGACCAATGTCGATATTCTCAGTGATACAGAGTTCGACGTGACATATGAATCAGACCAGTGATGCATGACCTCTATTTTAGTTTTGACTCAAACGTTGGATATCGGATTTATTGATCATGACCGGTTTATCTATTCCCATGTGTCATGTGTCGAATCCTGAATGGCACAGAAGCAACGATGATTCGCACCTCCTAGCTAGTAGCTAGGTTGTTTCTTGCTTAACTCTAGTCTAGAGAGAAGGTTGATCCCATACTCCTCTCCTACGGCATACAAAGATCTAGATCCTAGTGATCGAGTATGTTCGATCCTATAATCAGGATATCAAAGAACCCGCTGCAAACAGATGATACGACAGATCACCTCATCTGCGCACGCCTTTGTGCACCGACATTATAGTCCGTTGGCTGCTGTGGGAAAGACTTTCAGACTCGACGGTAATCCTTTTAAGGCCTGTATATATACTTTGTGCCATGCAAATAATGTACCTACGCTCAAGTTAGGAGCGTCAGGTTCCTTCCTTTCAGGAAGAACGAGGACAATCTGTTGCCAGCGACTTCGATGCAGTCATTATTTCCTACTAGGACTTCTCTACAATTTTCTTGTATCTCTTTTTCTCTCCCCCAGGCACCATCATGACGTCGACGAAGTGAGAAAATCTGCAAAAAAAAAAAAAAAAAACAAAAAAAACAAAAAAAAAGCTGCTGCATAGCCCTATTATATTAATACTTTTTCATTGACTGAATATAATAATAGGATATGATTCATCCTCAATACTAATAGGAACTATCGAGTCAACCGAGATATATATACGACCAAACAGGCATTGTCACAGTCAGTACTATCAACACCCTCATATCGCTCTTCGGGGCCTCCATCCACCACATCTACTTCATCTGCGTCACCGATTCCCTCCTGTCGGCGCTCACAGCTTACTGGGAGACGAGCTGCAAACGGCTTGTACGACTCTGCTGAAAGAGAAGTAGGATAAGCAACGTGAAGCCACCTACTGTAAAGCCACCAATATAGGACCAAAGGAGATACGCCGGAATGAGTAATTGCTCATAATCAGCGGCGGAGGCAGTGCTTAAACCAGCGGGTAATCAAGATGAAGTCCATAGGCATAAATAGCTGATAGATTCCGGTATCCTTTAGTTCTCTAAGCAATATGCTTTTTCTGAGTCTTTGCTTCCGTGATCCTAGATCTCTACACCTCCAATGATGGACAGAGCCCTCACCTATCACATCCTTCTTGTCCAGTGACCTCGCAAAACAGCGTTATGGGGACCGCTCTGTCTGACATGAACCAGACAATCATTACAGGATAATTAAACGAAACAACCTTTCAGATCTCATCTGCAGCGTTAGTTATTCCCCGTACTTACGACTAAGTCGCGATTCAGAGATCAGTCAACCACTGTCACTTTCGAGCTTTTATAACGCAAAACGTACGTATTCTCGCCTATACAGAATAAAACAGAGCCATATCGGAAAGGGATAAGAATCAGAAAGGCCTCGCCGTCCTTTCATTTCATGTCCTGACTTTTTACATATCGATGCAAGCTTATCCGCTCAATTAAGCTGGTCAATTCTAAACGTCGATCAGGATGCTATTTTGGAAGAAAGAGTTTAACAAAGTCAATTGGTATATGGGGCTAATATATTTCGAGATCTGGAAACCGTCGAGTATTGAGATCCTCCGAGGGTTGATCGGATGCAAAAATCACCGGAGAATACACGATATGTTTGTTCTCAGTAGCTCATCCCGAGAGATCCTTTCCAACGTCCCACTACGACGATAGATATACCGGACGTACCTGAATTTACCGATGCCGACGGATGGCAGCACTTTGAGATAAGGCGACTCATCAACCGATGCCGCACACGGTACTCCCATTCTCGAATACCTGGTCCGCTGGCAAAATAGTAGTCCCGAGTACGACGTTTGGTACCCTCATCACGAGTTATTACAGGGAAGGGAGCTGCAGAACGGGTTGCGGAGTACGACGCTGAGCATCCACTCCAACCAGAAGATCCTATCGAGTCGCAGCCCAGGCGGAAGCCCGGTCGCAATTTAAGATCTGTTACAGATTATCGCCAATTATATTCAATAGGAGACGGGAAAGAAAATTGGATATACTGTAGTTGGATTCTCTTTTAGCTTTAAGAAAGATTCGAAATATCTTCATGTGAAGAATAAAGCGAGACTATTATACCCAAAAGTGAAGATAGCCATAGCCGAAAAGTGCCTGGCAAAAATCTACTCACTCACCGAAGCGATGCTTAAGTATTCGATGGGGCCCCTCTGCGTGACCTGTGGAGTAGAAAGGCATATTTCTCGTTCCGGATCTAAAAAAAGACCATATACCCCAAATCTGATTCGTGCCGTAATTACGCCAAGTCAACTTAAGACTTAAAGAAAGTGATTATGGGCTGATTTGGTTTCGGGGTCCTCGCTTGTTTCTTTGTCTTTTCCTTCGAAATCCCAATGGCTGCGGAGTTCCGTCTGTATAGGTCTTCTCTCTTCAGATTAAGGGATATGGCTGGATGGAACTCGTTTGTTGGACATATAGTTATTCTAGGGTGTGTGCGAATTGCAAGATACTCCCTCGAGGACATCTAAGGATTTCCGGCTGATAATAATGATGATGATACTTGGTTAGTATACGTGGAAGTTGCCGACGTCGACCACAGCATTCCACTATAGCTCCAAAGGAGGAGGCATGGCCAATAGAGGTGTCAGGTTATATCTTAATCTACAGTAAACAACTTAATCCACTTTTACAAAGACTACAGAGCAAGTGATTCATGTACAAACATCTCACATAATGATAGACAAAGGAAACAATACATTGCCTCGCCTAGTGGGTATCTACTAGGCCAGTGGTCGTTTTTCTAGTTACTTACAGAAACACATGTTGTCACAGGGCATGAGATGACAAGTCCCACACCGACCAGAGCAGGTTAGATTGAGCACCTTCCTCTTCAATGGTAGAGCGCCTTTTTTCTGAAATCCCTTTTCTTTTATGAGTACTGTACACGCACTAAAAAGAAAACGGAGCAAACATAAAAAGGCCAAGCCAAAGTAAAAGAAAGAGCGCTGAAGATGGATATTAAATCTACTTGCTCTCGAGCTCAGCCAGGATCTTCTCACCCTTGGCACGGGCAGACTCGAAGTCACCAACCATGTAGAAGGCGGCCTCAGGAAGGTCATCACCCTCTCCGTTGATGATCTTCTGGAAGCTGCTGATGGTGTCCTTCAGGTCGACCAGCTTACCCTCGATACCAGTGAAGACCTGGGCAACGGTGAAGGGCTGGGACAGGAAACGCTGGAGCTTACGGGCACGCTCGACGGTGAGCTTGTCGGCCTCGGACAGTTCGTCCATACCCAGAATGGCAATGATATCCTGGAGGGACTTGTACTCCTGGAGCATCTGCTGGACGCGGGATGCAGTCTTGTAGTGCTCCTCACCGACGATACGGGGGTCGAGCATACGGGACTTGGAGTCCAGAGGGTCGACAGCAGGGTAGATACCCAACTCAGAGATACCACGGGACAACACAGTGGTGGCGTCCAAGTGAGCGAAGGTGGTGGCGGGGGCAGGGTCAGTCAAGTCATCAGCGGGCACGTAGACGGCCTGGACGGAGGTGATAGAACCCTTCTTGGTGGTGGTGATACGCTCCTGCATGACACCCATGTCGACGGCCAGAGTGGGCTGGTAACCGACGGCAGAGGGAATACGACCCAGAAGGGCAGACACCTCAGAACCGGCCTGGGTGAAACGGAAGATGTTGTCAATGAAGAGCAGCACTGTATGTTTGCGTTAGTCAAATTGAGTTCTGAGGATTCAGTCAGAAGACCAAGCTACATACCATCCTGACCCTCCTCGTCACGGAAGTACTCGGCGATGGTCAGACCAGTCAGGGCAACACGGGCACGGGCACCGGGAGGCTCGTTCATCTGGCCGAAGACCAGAGCGACCTTGGATTCACCATCGAGCTGAATGACACGGGTCTCCTGCATTTCGTGGTACAGATCGTTACCCTCACGAGTACGCTCACCGACACCAGTGAACACGGAGTAACCACCGTGAGCCTTGGCAATGTTGTTCTGTTGAAGATTTGTTAGCTGCCGCCCATCGGACGTTCCAGTGCACGGGCCACACGTACGATCAGCTCCTGGATGAACACAGTCTTTCCGACACCGGCACCACCGAACAGACCGATCTTACCACCACGAGCGTAGGGGGCGAGCAGGTCGACAACCTTGATACCGGTAACCAGAATCTCAGCCTCGGTAGACTGGTCAACGTACTCTGGGGGATCGGCGTGGATGGGGGCGTACTTGGTGGCCTTGATGGGGCCACGCTCGTCAATGGGGTCACCAGTGACGTTGATGATACGACCCAGGGTGCCAGGACCGACGGGGATCTGGATGGGAGCGCCAGTGTCGTTGCACTCAGCGCCACGGACGAGACCCTCGGTACCTGAGAGTAGAATGTTAGTGGTCTATCTCAAACCCCGAGATAGGTAAACATGCGCGGCCGACCGCGCGCACCATGGGACAGAAAAAGGGCAGCTACGTACCATCCATAGCAATAGTTCGGACGACATTCTCACCCAGATGTTGCTGGAGTCGAGGTCAGTGATGGATTCGACGAATGACGTATGAGAGAGATGGCTTCTTGTGTACATACCGCGACCTCAAGGACCAGCTTCTGGCCGTTGTTGTCGGTTGTGAGGGCGTTGAGAATGGCAGGGAGCTTGTCAGAGTCGAATTTCACTGCATCGCACGTCAGATCCGGTCGCATTACGAGCCATTGAGCTCTTTTGGGGGTGTTGTTGGGACGGTTTTATGGTCCGAAAAAGATTTTCCCGTCACCGTCTCCAAGGTCGGGGGTTGGCACATACCGTCAACGACGGCACCAATGACCTGGTGAATCTTTCCGACCGAGCCAGCATCGGTGCTGGCATAACGAGCAGACAGAGCAGGGAGAGCATTGGATCTGAGAGGCTCGAAAGCGCGGCGGGCGACGGAGGCTGGCCGAGCGTAGGCAGCCCTCCCGAAGGTCCGGGCGAGACCGCTAAACGGAGGAAAAAGCAGTCAGTACAGCTGGAAACGGCGGAAAAAAAGCGATGGGTCGAGCATTGAGGGCGCAACGTACCTCTTGAACATGGTGATGGTGTTGAAGAGCGAGGGTGGGGAGAGGGAGTAGAGAGGATGGGGATACAGGAGCAGGGGAGAAGAGAGAGGGAAGAAAGGGAAGAGGTTGACTTGAGGTTTGAGGTGGACACGGAGGCCAGAAAGCGCCTTGCCTGTCCAGGGCGGTTTTGCCGACGATCCCGTGATCGGCCGAGCAACCAGCGCCCACAGCAACCGTTTTCCTGTCTTCCGGGCAGGACAAAAAAGCAGGGCCGCTGGTAGTAGATAGTAGTAGTATCTATCTAGAATCAATTCGGTGGGAATTGCACAAAATATTATTCTTAGTTATCCGTAGGGCTTGTTTTTTGTACCGTATATTCGCCCATCCCCGACTCCCCCGTTGTGTCGCACCCGACCCCATCCCCAGCCCGTTCCGGGAAGCCGGATGGAAGGAACCCGCTCCCATAACATAGCATAACATCGCCCACTCCAAAGCTCTGAGCTGGCAGACCTGGCTGGCAATAATGCGTTGGCAGCGGTCAGAACACAGTAAACAATCAGTTCATACTCTCAGTCAGCTCTGAGCTATCTTTCCATCTGTTCCGGCGCGTTCCTTAAGCTTCCGCGGAGCTCTGTTAGTTAACTGCACACCGTCATAATTTTTTTTTTTTTTATATATAATTCCAGCTACCCGTGCTTAGGGCCAGCCACAACTCCATCATCTTGGAGATCATCAGTACAGTAGGAGATATAACTGACACCAGAGAAGAATATAGACTACTTAAAAAAGACTTTGAAGTCACAAAGAGCGCTCAATGGCGTAGTATAGTACGAGTCCTATCTTCCCCGTCCATTACCCTTTTCGGATGACAGGGAATTCTGATATCAGACAATGGTCCATGCGTACGCCATCCCCAGATATTCTCGTATCCTAACTAGTCTATACGGCACTACGATCAAATCGATCATGGACTGAGATCGGACGAAGCTTGGACTACCGATATACAGAAGAGGCAAAAAGAAGGAAAAGAAAAGAACATTATCAAAGCTACCGGCAACACCCGGATCAACCCGATCAAGCTACAAAGGAAATTCTACATTGATTATAGCGCAGTACAGGGTACATTTCTTTTCGGAATTGATGGGCATACAGTAAGACACAGAGAGAAAGGATGCCCCAGGACACGGGCGACAAGGCTCGACTCTTCATCGGAAGCGATATGCGACACGGTGGCCGACGATGCAGACCGTCTGCGCTATACATCCGCCGTGCCGGAGGCGGGCTGCTCCCGACCCTCCAGGCGCTTTCCATCTGCACTCTACGACTTGTTGGCAGGAGCGCTCTGGACGTGTCCCTTGCCGGTGTAGCCCTCGGAGGCCGGACCGGTAATGGGCTCGATCTTCTCGCGCTGTACAAGAGACCTGTTAGCCCCGTTCCCCATAGTATCGCGGACAACCCATATAACATTTGACGTACCTTGACGTATTCGTTGGCGGCCTCCTGCCACTCTTTGGACATGGTCTTGGGCTGCGGGCGAGCGAACAGGTGAATAACGTAGAAGATACTGAAGGACAGAGCAAGCAGCTGGGAGACTCTGATGAAAACTCTCCAGCCCTCACCCTTGGGAGGCTCAGCACGGGGGCCGTGAGGACCAAAAGCGATCCAGTAGGCTAAAAGCGGTCAGTAAATATATATATAATTTCTCATCCTCAACGTCACCGACGGCGCCGGCATTTCGCGGAATTTTTTTTGAGGTCGTGAGCACACATACCGGCCTTCTTCTCCTGCAGGGTCAGGTCGTGCCAGTTAACCTTCATGCGGTCACGGAGCTGCATCCACAGCTCAGCCTGCTCCTGAGGAGGCATGGCCTCCCAACGCTTCTCGATACCAGCCAGGGTAGGGTTGGAGATGGCATGCTCGCTGGAGGCAGCACGGGTCTGCTGGGACGCAATGGCGGTCTTCTGAGCGCTCAGGGAGGCCATTGGGCTGGCGGCAGGACGGTACGAACGGATGATCGTCGATGGGAGAGCAGAGCTGCGAGCAGCTGCTCGAGAGACGGATCTGGCGAACATTGTGTGGGTGACGGTGCAGGACTCAAAACGGGACAATTGAGTTGAAACAACACTCCGGAACACAAGGGAGCAGGGTCCTGGAACGACGGAGGATAATCTGCAGCGAGGCGGAAGGAGGGGAGGAGGCGGAGGGGGGTGATTCAAGGCGTCGCGATGGAGAGCGAAGAGGTTGATCGATCGTGGTTTGAGGGTGGAAGTCCAGTATCCGGACGAGACTAGCTTAGCCCGCCCGGCCGTTTTACGCGCCCTCTGATTGGCTCCGCGTGTCCGCGTTGCTTTTGCCGGCATTTGCTTCCTGTCATACGATATTGTATAGCTATTTGTGTTTTACACTCGATACTGTCTACTGCTGAGGAATAGAACCTGCGACGAAAAGAGACACAAAAGTCCAATGTCACAGTGATGCGCACGTCTCATGGGTTAGGGCACAGTTGTGACCCCGTCGGGTGCGACCGGAGAGAAATCAACCAACAGACAGCAGCCCGATGACAGGTGAGCGTGGTCGGCATAAGAGTACACGATATACAAGAATAACAATGGAAAGGATACTGCTTCCATTGGATACGATAGGACGCCGCCAGCTGCGGCTACAAAAAAAGGCAGCAGAGGGTCCTCCAGGTGACTGTGAAACACGCCCGCGAGGGTCGCTGGGTTGGCGACTTCGTACATCGATGCATTTCGAGCAGGACTCCATATACAGGGCAATCGTAATGTTCTCAGATTGAAGCTATGTATGGAGAGAAGTCATTGGTCTGGTCGTGCGCGGGCAGCCGTGCCATCTCTGCCGTACGAATGTAGTTCCCAGCCTTTCTTTTCACCTTTCCCGAACTCGAGTCGGTCAAGTCATCTATTTTCCAGCCTTACCGCCGCTGGCCTCACCCAGGATCGTCTTCCATTCAATGTCGGCCTTGTCGTCGGCGTGGATGGAGGTGTGGATGTTGAGAGCGTTCTTCAGGTTCTCACGGGTACTGGCGTACAGCATGGACCACTGCGCAACCACTAGTTAGTTCGTGACCTAGTTGAAGAGGGACAGATGGCACCTACGAAGGTGGGAGTGTCGCTAGGAACCCAGGAGATGAAGATGATCTTGTTCCTGCACACCGGTTCAGTTAATGTCCGATCTCGTCCAATCTCGATCGTGCCACGGTGTACCTCTTGCCCTCACCACCACCAAGCTCGTACTCGACGTCGTAGACAGCGTATCTGGGGGCAGGCTTGCCCTTGTCGTCCTTGGCGTTCTCGAGCTTGCTGCGGAAGACCTCGTAGTCGGCGTCCTGAGAAACCTCGTCGATGACGATCTCCTTGCGGTTGTCCGCGATCTTGAAGATGATGAACTTGGTCTTTCCCCGGCTCATGCGGAAGTCGTTGAATGCAGTGATGCACTCATCGTTGATGCTAACTCTGTTGGACGGTAAATGGTGTCAGTGTCGCATACTCTCGGCGCAGCTGCAGCCCCTATTCGCCGGGGGAGCCTCCAGGTGTCCTCAACGTACCCTGATGCGAGCTGTTGTTGTCCGGTTAGCTCGGAGAGAAAATATATCCACCGGGAAGACAATACGTACAGACATGATGGTCTAATATGACCGCTATCTGACGGGAAACGGAAACTGTTGATGCAGCACGCGAGGTTAGCGACTTTAAGTACTCGGGGGTGCACGCGGGGTTGCGTGCGCCTAGCCGTCATACGGTTCCGCAACGGAAACGTCGCACGGGGAGCATACCAGGTGAGAGAGATCAGGAGGCTCCAGACAGGACGTCAATGGAGACAGCAAGGCTAGAAGGTCTACAAGAGGAACGATGGAAAAGGAGATGGTGGAGAGCGGAAGATGGAGATGGAGGGGCTCTTGTTGTGCTTGGGAATCGTTGTTGACTTGACCGCCGACCGCTGGTGGGGGGCGCTGCGTCAGCCACAGCACGTGATGCAGCGGCGGTGCGAGTTGCTGCGGCCTCAGGTCGATTCGTTATCACTACTGCTCGGTCTTGTATACGCATTGCACTCTCGCAAAAAGCTGTTGAAATATCGCTTCCGGCTTATACTAAACGCTTGCTCTGGTTCACACACTGGATGGACCCAACTGATGCAGCTGTGGTGTCAGCATGAAGCCCTCCAAGGGACCGGGTTTGCTCTACCATACGGCATCGTCATGGCTGTGGTACCTGCTGACTGATAGAATATGTCTATTGGATCATTCCGAGACATACCAGATATCATTCAAAAGATCTGGAGAAGCCATTGGTACATTATTATTGTTTGCCACGGATTTGCTATAAGACTACTGTCCCGGGGACCCGTCAATCCCCGTTGGGAGTGCGGGGATAGGTATCGGCACCGGAAACCTTACTAATGTGCTCTAAGCGCGAAACGCAGAGAAAACAGTGGGTGTATCAATTCGAGTCTCGCTGGCCGTTGTCTTCATCTTCTCGAGATATATAAGCCATACGTCGTCCTTTTTGCCCGCGCATACCCCGCACCACCATGGCTGCCCCTAAGATTATTCTGTATACCAACCATGGATGCCCGTGGGCTCATCGGGCACATATCGTACTCAAGGAGCTGGGTCTCCAGTACGAGGAGATCATTATCGACCTGAACAAGCCGCGAGAGCCTTGGTACCTTGAAGTCAACCCGGTATGGACTGTGACTGCCAGCTTGGGTTTGCAACCTTCTTACTGACTGACGTACTTCTGCAGCGTGGTCTCGTTCCTAGTATCTCGTACAACGGCAACATCATCACCGAATCCGGAATCGTCGCTCAGTTTTTGGCTGATGCTCACCCCTCGCACCTCCTCCCGCAATCTACCCCCGTTGAGAACGCCCTCTACCGTGCCCGTCTGGCCTTTTTCGTCGATGCCGTTATGAGCAAGGTGGTGCCGCACATGTGGACTGCGATCCGTTCGGCGTCAACCGAGGAGAAGGATGCTGCAGCAGAGGCATTGGTTGACGCAGCGGTCAAGGAGGTCGAGCCTCTTCTGGTGGACGGAAAGGGCCCCTTCTTTGGTGACAGTGACCGTCTGACGTTGGCAGAGGTAAGGCAAATTCGCTAGCTATTGCTCCAGTCCGATGTTGACACAATCAGGTTCAAACTGGCTCTTTCCTGCTTCGCATCCTAGCCTTTGCTAAGCCCGAGCACGGCCTTCTCAGCCCCAAGCTCTTCAGTCTGCTGGACAAAGCTCCCAAGTTCAAGCGTTGGGCCGAGGCCACCGTGCAGCATGAGAGCGTCAACTTCATCTTTAACGAGAAGGCAGTCGCGGACAGGACCCGCGCCAAGTTTGCCCCTAAGGTTTAACTGATGTCCAATTTCAAGATTCAGCGGAGAAGCATTGATTCCCTGTAGCGGTTTGGTTTTGCGGTATGTGGTGATGACGGGATACGATCCACTCGTATGATCCCAGGACTTGCTCAGAAGAGACGTATGTTGTAAAGCCAGGATATTGGCAACGGGTCCAATACAAGCGTATTATATTTCCCCAATAAATCTGCAGGATGATCCAACGGGACTTCCAGGAGAGATAGATCGAAGCGCCAGTCTCATCTTCAAGATCATAGATATTATTTTGATAGAAACACAGGATCTTCTAGTATTGCTGTCTCCAGTGTCAGCTCTCATCTTGCATAGATACTCCGCCTTCCCAAGTAAGCAAGTCTCCGCCACTCGGCAACCTCAAAATGTGCCGAACTTTATCGCCGATCTCAATTGTCTTGTCCGTACCAGATTACCGCCATGTGTGAGAGAGTCTGAACTGCTCTGGTCAATGTTAATCATCCGTTATTGAAGGACTGAGCATCCCAGATACCCTACATTTATGCATGGATCTATGCGATCCTTCTCAATGTCGGCCCCAAGACGCCATATCACGGCCGACGATGCTGCGGAGGGGCCACCGCTAAAGAGGGCAAGAAAGAAACCTGTCGCGTGCGTATTCCTGCCATTACTTTCTTACCCCAGTTGAGAATCCCTTTTTCTAAGTAGTCAAGATACAGTTGCCAGAGGTGCCACACGCACAAGGTCAAATGTTCCGGCGAACAACCTTGTTCCCGATGCCGGCTGGCCGGTCATGCCGATACTTGCGAGTACGTTTCGCGCGATCGTAAACTGCGAGTAGATGAAAGGTATGTTTAGACATTGTATGAATTGAATGACATACTATCTCCGGACGCGAAGTTAGAGCTTGTGTTGATGCCGGTATTCCATCGTCGTGGGTCTATAGTTACATAGATCGACTACTTTCTGAGAACCGTCACCTTAAACGGGAGCTGGAGCACTCTAGAGAGGCGTCTCCCGCATCCAGAGCTGGCGCGTCCAGACCAGCCATTTCATCACAGGATGATGTCGATCCCAGCATCCAGAATCCGCTTCTGAGCGAGCGGGCGTGGTTCCAGCAGTATGATCCCTCCGCGCCTCCAATTTACATTGCGGAAGCAGCCTGCACAGCGTTTGCGACTCGATTGCGGCAGTTCCTGACGAAGCAGCCCACGACAGCTCATCTGGCTCGGACCCAATATGTTAAAGAATCAAGTATGTTGAATTTACAGGATACCGGTGTTCAGTGGCCTAGCCTCACGCAAGCTCGACTGCTGGTCAAAATAGCGTTCAATCAGTCAGACGAGCTTTATCACCTGATGTTGAGAAAGTCAACGCTGGAGAAGCTTGAAGAAATCTACCAGACTGGACATTTCAACGACGAAGCACTGACCTGCAAGTATTTTGCTCTTTTTGCTTTTGGTCAGGTCTACTCTTCGAGGCTGGAGGCATCCGCCGATTGTAGGGTACCTGGGACTGCCTACTATGCTCGGGCTATGAGTCTCATCCCAATATTACCAGAGAGACCGAGTATAACTCATCTCGAATGCCTTGTATTGCTGGTACGTATCTCGAGTCCTTTGGAGAAGCAGCGGATTGCTCACGGACAGATAGTCCCTATTCTCATACTTCCTGAATAGACGCCATTCAGGCTATATATTAATTGGCAATGCGATGCGCTTCGCCCTCATCATTGGATTGACCCACAACATACCAGAGCGCCAATGCATGGGACCCGTGGAGCGTGAGCACCGCGTTAGAATCTGGTGGGTCATCTACATGTATGACCGCATCCTGGGCTCAAAGACTGGATTCCCTCTCCAGATTCAGGATGCAGATATACACGTGGACATGCCGTCCGATGTGGCCGGTGGCGTGGAAAGCGGGCAGTTTTCTGATATAGAAGACCTGACGGCAAGCATCCAGCTCGCACGAGTCACGGGACAGATTATAGAAAAGGTATATACAAGGAAGAAGCATACCGAGACCTTCCTACAGAGGGAACAACGGCTGTTGCTCTCCTTGAAGCAGTGGATGCAAGCTCTTCCTAAACATCTTAGGCTCAGACCCGATGGCGTTACACCTAAGCACATCATTTCCCTTCATCTTCAGTTCAACCAGGTTAGTCCCATATCCATTCATCGGTTCTCACAATTTTGCTCATCACTGACACTTAACAGTGCGTAATGCTAGCTACCAGACCAGTCCTTCTGCACGCCCTCATAGAACTCCAAGACATTCGAGACCCGGCCGCCGGCTGGAAGAACCACGACAACGTCCCCCAGGCCGTTGTGACCCTAAGCGAGGCCTGCATCCAAGCAGGACGACATTCCCATTCTCTGATCGTCAAAGAATGGATCGACGGATCGCTCCCAATGTTCGGATACTTTCATTCTCAATACCTCTTCTCATCAGCTCTAGTGCTGATCATTTCGAGCCTTCTCCCATTCGGAAATCTCAGCGACCTAGGCCTCTTCGAAACGGCCGTCGAGATCCTCCGTTCCATGAGCGCTCATGGAAATCTCGCCGCTGCTGAATTCTACGCAAACCTAGAACGAATCAAACAATGTCTAGGGGAGAAATGTAACCGCAGCACGACCAGCGACGTCCACAACTCCACAGAGCAAATGATTCCACGGAACACAGTCTCAGCCGTGGGTACTGCCCCATTCGGACCTGACATCCCAGGAGGAACTGCATATAGTAGTACAGCGGACTATCCCTTCCCCAGCACCGCTATGGCTACTGGCTTCACTACAGAAATGGCCTTTCAAAAGCCCACTATGCAGGAGTTTCTGGCCTTGTCGGATATTGATCTTGGTCCATTGGACCCGACGGGCATTGCGGTCGGTGATGCAGATGCGATAAATGCGTACTCGTTATGGACCGAGTGAGAAAGCAATTATTCGTTATGCGCTGTCATGTCACCTCTAAGCATAGCAGCTCGCGCTGCACTTACACCAAACTACTTAGAGGCCATAACTAATAGCGGTGGACTTCGCGTCGAGGTCCTTAGCGTGACTCTACAACTCAGCCTCCAGCTGGGCCCTGTTGTACCTCTTTACGTCCGCATATCGGACTAATAATCCAACAGTTATCGGCAAAGCAGCAGCAGCTTGCTGTCCGTCGCGCATTGGCTCTAACTTAAGTAGGAAGAATAATTTAATTACCTCGGCCAAGAGGGCGCTTGCCGAAAGAACCGGGGATTGGCTTCGGGTCCGGATTTATGGCTTTGGCAACCGAGGCTTATTCTCATTTTGCGCTGGTCTCAATAATGTAGTACGTAGTAATAATAAAGCCATTAGAGGAAAACACTGGCCTTCAGCATCATGAAAACAGATCATGTCTAATGAGCGTTGATACATATAGCACATTCGTCTTCATTTACGCTACTTCTTGGTGTACGCATGCTCTTAGAATCATACTATAGAGGAACTTCAGTGCATGAGAACATCACCTTCGTCACTATATTGATCTAACTTCGTGACTGCGTGGCAGTCATGGCAAGCTCATAAGATGACCTTTACGAGCTGCCGCGGAGCAGGACTAAAGTACATAGATATGGTACACGGGACCCCTATGCCCCTGTATTATGCCTTTTCAAGACGCCTTTTGAGTGGAGAGTGGATATGAAAACGGCCCAGAAGGGCCGTTTTCGAGGAGACAAGGATAGGAGGAAGGTTCGGGTAGGAGGTAGAAAGGTAGATTCAGAGAGATAGGATTAAGGGGGAGGGAAGCAGGTGACAACGTGAGTAGAAGACAGTGAGGTGAATAGAAATCGGAAATCGGAACATAAATGCTCGTACTATGCAACACAACGCTCGAAGGGCAATATCCTCCAAAAAAAGGAGAACGTGATCACGAAACAGAAAGGGAACGGAGGGTGTCAGCTGCTTAGAACATGCCGCCGCCCATGCCGCCCATACCGCCCATACCCCCAGCGGGCATGGCAGGTCCCTTCTCCTCGGGAGCCTCAACGATGGCAACTTCAGTAGTACCGAGCAGGGAGGCAACACCGCTGGCGTCAACCAGAGCGGTGCGGACAACCTTGAGAGGGTCGACGATACCAGCGGCAATCATGTCGGTGTACTCGCCCTTGGAGCTGTCGAAGCCCTTGTTGAAGTCACCGGCGAACTCATCAGTGAGCTTGCCAACAATAACGCTGCCCTCAAGACCGGCGTTCTCAACAATGGTGCGAGCAGGACGGGTGATGGCGTTCTTGATGATGCTGACACCGAGCTGCTGGTCGAAGTTGGCACCCTTGACGTCCTTCAGACCGTTGGCGGAGGCCTTCAGGAGGGCAGTACCACCACCGGGCAGGATACCCTCCTCGACAGCAGCACGGGTGGCGTTGAGAGCGTCAACGACACGGTCCTTCTTCTCACCGACCTCAACCTCAGAGGCACCGCCAACCTTGATGACGGCAACACCGCCAGAGAGCTTGGCGAGACGCTCCTGGAGCTTCTCCTTCTCGTACTCGGAGGTGGTGGGGTCAGCAATGACACCACGGATCTGCTCGCAGCGCTGAGCAATGGCGTCCTTGCTGCCCTCACCGTTCAGGATGATAGTGTCCTCCTTGGTGATGGTGATGGCACCGGTGGAACCGAGCATGTCGGGAGTGAGCTTCTCGAGCTTGATCTCGAGCTCATCGGTGAAGACGGTGGCGTTGGTGAGGATACCAATGTCGCCCAGGATGCTCTTGCGGTTGTCACCGAAGCCAGGAGCCTTGACGGCGGCAACCTGGAGCTGACCACGGAGCTTGTTAAGAATGCAGACGGCGAGAGCCTCACCCTCAATGTCCTCAGCAATGATGACCAGAGGACGGCGCAGCTGGGTAGAGGCCTCTAGAGCAGGGATGATGTCCTGAACAGCGGAGATCTTCTTCTCGGACAGAAGGATCAGAGGCTTCTCAAACTCGACCTTCTGGGCCTTGGCGTCGGTGATGAAGTAGGGCGAGGTGTATCCACGGTCGAAGCGCATACCCTCGGTGACCTCGAGCTCATCATCAAGAGTCTTTCCTTCCTTGACGGTGATGACACCCTCCTTGCCAACCTTCTCCATGGCGTTGGAGATCAGCTTACCAACGTGGGTGTCGCCGTTGGCGGAGATGGTAGCAACCTGAGCAACCTCCTCGGAGGTGGTGATGTCGCGCTTGTTCTTCTGGAGGTAGTCGACAACCGCCTCGACGGCGGCCTGGGTACCACGGCGCAGGTCCATGGGGTTGCAGCCGGCGGCAACGTTCTTCACAGTCTCGGAGAAGATGGCACGGGCGAGAACGGTGGCAGTGGTGGTACCGTCACCGGCAATCTCGTTAGTCTTGGAGGCGACATCCTGGAGCAGACGAGCACCGAGATTCTCGAACTTGTCCTGGAGCTGGATGGACTTGGCCACGGTAACACCATCTAAACCATGCAGTCAGCGCCCGCCCGACGGAACGACGAAATTATGACAACTATGCACGTACCCTTGGTGATCTTGGGAGAGCCATAGCTCTGTTCAATCAGAACATTGCGACCCTTGGGACCGAGAGTAGAAGAGACGGCCTTGGCGAGGGTGTCGACACCCTTGAGAAGCTGAGCACGACCCTCGACACCGAACTTGAGCTCCTAGAGAGCTGTCAGCATGTTTACCGAAACACCCGAGGGAAAGCGCCCGGGGGTCCGGGAAGAGCCACAGAGCGCAATTGCAATGTTACACACCTTGTGAGCGAATCTCTGCTGCTGCAGGTTCAGGCCGCTCGATCTGAAGAGAGGAGCGCGTCTGGCGGCAGATAGGACAGAAGTCCTGGAAGTGATAGCTCGCTGCATGTTGACTGGGGACTGGTAAACACGGAAACAAACAAACAGAGGACACAGGAGAACAGAGATAGAAAAGGTTCTACCCGGACAGGAGCCCTAGAGCAGATACAGAGAAAGGATGGAGGGACGAAGGGAAGAAGGAAGGGAGAGAGAGAGAGGTCTGAAGAAAGGAAGATGAAGCCAAAGCTCGAAAATTTTCCAGGCGATTCTGACATCCCCGGATGTCTTGGCAGCAGAACCGCCTAGAAGGTCACGTGGAGGTCCGTGATTGCCGGCGTGGAGAAAGTCGGCAATCTTAGACAAAATGATTGTTTAGTATCTAGTTGGCTCGCTATTACTTCGGTCTATATAAGGATGATATTCCAGTTATTTTTCGCAATAATGGCAAGTGATTGTGCTGTGGGTGAATTCCTGCACTGGGTTTGGCAATTGCCATACACCATTCTCCAGTTCAGCGATGAATAAACAGGCTCCTTCTTACACCATGAAAGTTATACAGAGATGCATAGTTTGCTCTCAGCCAGATGAGAAAGTATTGATTGACCATTCAAAATCCTCATGGACCTCTCCGCTGTGTAGTATCATTCCCTATAGCCAATCACCATGTTATATTCATCCATCCCTTTACATTAGGTGAAAACACACATATTAACCTTTATCTTCATCTTAAGATTTCCTTTATTCACCTCCAGAGTACCACTCAAAGGAGGAAAGACCCATCTTCCTGAGCTTGCACAATTTCACTACTAGGGGCTCGACGTGTGATGCTGACACGTACCTGACAACTTTCGCTTACCCACAACCGGCATCTCTTTCTCCATGTTACCCCTTCAAACTTGTCATCTGAGAATGGAGAGAGATCAGATACAAATGGAAGAACGCTCTTATTCGAGTCTCCTGGCCTCAAAAGTCTTCTAGTTACAGTTGATGAAATTCGTGGTCAGAATGATAGATATTTTGTTCAAAGCACGAAAACCGAACCGCGTCCACCGAAGATTGACAATCCCGTGATGTGATGATAAGAGAAATGGACAGGTCGAACGACTGAACGAGAAATCCGAGAAGTCTGCTTATCACCCGCGAATAGGGAATGCTCCAGAAATTCACGTCGCTGGGGGAGGCTTGCAGCCACAAAAGGTGGACAACAGTCCGTCCACACGAACCAGGAATCCCGATGACAAGCGCTCCCAAACCGGGGAAATGAGGTTCAAAGACAGAGTCATCAGCGCATGTGCAATGAAGGTAGCAGAAAAGACGGCCCCTGAAACGAAAGCCATCAGAAAAGCAGAAAAAGCCGCGAATATCAGGAGATCTCATGAAGGATCCACCGGTTCCTGAAAGAGAATGCAACAGAAAAAAGTGCCTAAGCCATATCCTACCAACGCCTCGAGAAGACCTGCATCGGCGAAGTCAGTATCTAACTGTGAACGATGGTTTCGAGATCCAAACGATTACCATGTAGGATACTGTACACTTCGACATCAGTGACTTGCGTCGGGAGAGCCGATCAACGGGTATCCAATGAACTGGTTCAGGAGCTGGGCATGCATGGAGTGGACGTCGCCATAGCCCTCATCGTCGAAGCTTTCATACTCTTTCGGAACCGATTCAAGAGCTCCAGATCCAGCTGAGTTCGCATTATCGCCGGAATCGCTCGCTGAGCTGCTGCGGTGCACCAAACCCAGTCCGCTGTTATTGTTGAGCGACAGACCTGTGCCTAACCATGGATCCAAGTTGGCGGACACAGACTCTGGAAGCATCCTGGGGTGTGCTGGACCATCCTGCATATCGGAATATTGACTTATGAGGCTGTTGGGATATGGAAGGAAGGTCCCTTGATCCTGCTGGCTAGGAACGGAGCCCCCAATACTGCAATTATTCTGATAATCATGGTGGCCGGACGAGAAGCTTGCTGTGTGGCGCGAGTGATGATAATTGTTCTCGTTGAACAGAGTGCTAAACATGCTCTCATCTGGAAGACCACTCTGGATAGGATCACTGAGGGTCTGGAAACCAAGCATGCCATCATCTTGAAGCCCATTGGCCCCTGCATCAGATTCCTGATAGTGATCCTGGACGTAAGGATTACCTAGGACCAGTGCCTGACTTTGTTGAGCTCCTGAATCATTACCGCCTTCCACGAGTTCGATAAGTCTCTTGAATCCTGAGCGGCGCTCATTGAAACTGAAGACGACGACTTTAGAGTTATTCGGCTTTGCGTCCTGACTATCCCCCACTGGGCTTGAGGGCAGCTCCCGGTTATTGGAAAAGTTCAGGAACTGCGCCCCAACCCCAACGACTCCATCGCTAAGATCGTCCATGTCCGTGTCCGCCTCTGTGTCTTCTATCTTGATGACAGTCCCAGCTGACTTGGCCTTTGCTTTCTTTCGCTGACCGCACTTGTTTGTTTTGGACCGGCGTCTTTTACCATACTCCTCGTCAGATGATTCTTCCCATGTCTCCGGAAGGCCGGCGACTTCGTCTTCATCTGAGAGGCTTTCGCGATCCTTTCCTTTATTTTTACCGCTGCCTTTGGCATTGGAAGGGCCAATGCCAGTTTTCTGCTCAGATTTGGCTTTGACTATGGCCATGGTACCACTGCCACCCCGACGAAGAGGCGGAGGGACCTCTTTATTGGCAGCAATGCGGCGAGTTCGAAGCTTGGCGAGGTGTTGGACGATAGCACCTTCAGTGACATTGTTCCCCATTGTCTCTGCAACATTTGCCCATGGGATTTTGACTCCCAGCTGATTACACACAGACTGGACCGTGAGAAGAAGGAGCTCATTGAGATTTTCTATCATGGTCAGTCTAATATCCATGGTCCCGTTGAAAGTGGCAGGTAGAATATCGAAATCTATCCTATTTCACTGCTACAGCAGCTGGGATGAAAGGGGAATAGATGCTTGAGAGACATCATTCAGAGACGCGAAAAGGGGCACCACAAGCTGTCGATGTGCAGGAACCAGAGAGTCATGTCAGAATGAGACTTACCATCCCAGCGAACAAGAGTTCGCTTCTTAGGGCGATTCAGAACCTTTCTAGAGATCCCCATGGCTGTCTGGTGTTGCGGGATATCGCGAGATTAGGACAAGAATGTGTTTGTGAATAAAGACAGACTGCTGGCACACATCAGTTGAATGCACTTCTGGGTCCCAAGCAACGCGGCGGGCCCCGCTGGAGAGATTGTATATACCAGGTGAACAAGTGCACGTGAAAGACGACGGAGTACACCGCCTTGGACAATTGGTGAATATGTGCTATAATGACCCCAGCCATAGCCACTCCGCATGCTGCTACTTCTGGAGGCGAAAAAGTGAGGTCAACGTACCTAGTAATGGTGCTATGGGATATAGCCAGAGAAGTGCTCCCAAGGAAGTTTCTGTCTCTTTAGTGGAGATGATTTCCTGAACTGGACGCTTGATTTCGCTCGATATTTGGAGGAGAAGATACTGCAATGAAGTGAGGCCTGTCGGAGAGTCCTGCTGGATCTGAGTTGCTCTAAGTGTCTAGGTTGGGACCAGCAACTCCCTGACATTGATAGTGAAGTATGGACCAGCATTCACTGCTGCCAGCCTGAGGGGAGGACTGTATTGCTCGAGATAGCTTTCGGTGAAGGCATTGGAAGCCCTCAGGTGACAGCTAGTTACTAGCAGCTTAAGCACGGGGAGACCTGTCATCGTATCTAATAGTTGATACCGTCGGTGCTACTCGACTTCGTTGCTTAATCGGTACTCCTCACACAGTATTTTGCCGCTGGAGACAGTGTATCGGGTGATGCTAGGTGTCAATATATAGCTGTATCCAAGTACATCGAGTATGGCCGTGGTCCTGCGCTAATGTGTTGGCAGATGTCTTGGGACCCTGTATATATAAAACTGCAAGCATTTTCAGTATACGTATTTGAGGCTGCGCCATGCGGGGATTCCTCGGACTTAGAAAGGCGTATATTAGATTGCAAGACCAGAGTCTACTTTACTGGTCTTTCCAGTGCGAAACAGTCTCGCAATTGCATTTCCCTATGCCAGTATGGGCTATCCGGGGTTCGTCCAGACTTGGCTATCGCACGTTCTTCAGCACGAAGTGGCATATAGACGACCTCCTGGAAGGTAATTGGAATTTAGAACTACTATTTCCTACAGGGATCAAGTGAGAAGTATCGATACCCTCCTTCTGTTGTACTGTAATTGTAAAAAGGAATGTAGCCGTGTATCTCTGTGATGGCCGTAGAAGCGGTGATCCGGTCACGTGCCTCACATGACCGAGAGCCGCAGAGCCTCCGAGTCCGACGTTTCCATCGCCGTGAAAAGCATCAACCGACATCGCTCTCTCCCCTACAGACACACCACATCCACCGCGATCAATCCTTCAAGATGCCTTCCTTCTGGCAAGCTGCCGGTCTGACGTACGTTTACGTACCATCTACCCTCCGCTCCCGTGCTCTGGCTTCGTTCAATCGCTGACTTGTCTCGATTATACAGCTACAACCGCTACCTGGCCGTCGCTGCTCGCGCGGTCCGTCGATCTCTCAAGGAGGGCCCTCGTCTGCAGGCTGAGCGCCGCGGCAACATGGATCTTCGATTCGCCAAGTGGGAGGTTCGTATAAATCCAATTCCATTGTTTTGTTCGGCGGAGGAAGATTCGCGGATAAACGGAGACTGACGGCATCCGTACAGAACGGCAGGCAGGGTGAAGTCAAGGCCCTTGACCAGGCCAACACCGAGGGCATGGCTGCCCAGTCTGAGTCGAAATAAGCGATATCCCGAAGATAGCAGATTGCTGTTATGATGGACCGGAGAATTCTTCCCACCACGGACTGCTGCGGTTGGCACACTAAGGCGAGGAGGATGGGGTTGTATATCTTGTAGCAATACTGGCTGGTCGAATCACGCAAAAATAGAAATACCTGTCCACCTCGTTCTATACATCCGAGTACGAAGGGAACCCTGTCTGTAGTTGCTTGTTGTAGATGTACTGTCTATATTCGGATTTCGTAGCGACCGCGGGACCGCCTTTGACGGTTGCGCTGTTCAGATTCTCTTAACCACCGACAGACAGCCCGCTCCGCCGTAAGACGCCCTGTATCCTCGCGCCCCCTCCTACGCCTTTGTTGAACCGAGGATCGATAGCAGCAGGCTGCCAGGACAACGAGTACTCCCTTCGTGTCATGCTGCCGAATAACGAGGTTCGCGTCTCTCAAAAGACGCAGGTCGTCGGGCAGTCGATTATCCCACGCGACATCACCGACCAATTTACCAATGCCGCTGCGAGTATGTTTGACCCCGCCAGCGATATAGCTCTGTTGCGCACACGACTTACCTTTTTGGACTGGCTTTCCTAACAATATCTTTCTCCTCTTCCAGCGCTACGCACTGGCCAGCTTGTCAAAGATGAATATTTCACGCTGTTCGAGGCCGTGGGGGCGCTCGAGGTACGCTACAATGAACCAACCCCCTTGACGCAGTCATCATGAAAGTTCGCACCGGGCTAACACGTACGTTGCTTAGATTATGGATGCGAAAATGGACAGCGGATATTTGGCTCCTGGGGAAGCGCTCGAGGATGACTACGACGTCATGCGTGAGCTCCAGCCGGAAGAGGCTCTAGGGATAATGGACGAGTTGCTTTGCCATGAGGTACGTTGGTCTCTTCGACGGCATATCTTTTGCTTTGAGAGGAACGTATGGGGCTGAGAAAGCGAATCATAGATGGCATGGCACATGGGACATCCGCTTTCACAGACCCTGTTCACGTCGATATATCTTGATAAGTTATTATGGCCGGTTCCGAAGGTATTTGAACAGGCGCAATTCTACCGTGGACAGGGAACAACGGAGGAGGACCTGCCACTTGTGAATCTGGTATTGAGAGCATATTGTCTCGCTCTAGTTAAGTGCTGTGACTTTGTCAATGCGCGAGTAACCTCCGAATACTTCTTTGAGGTTAGCATTCCAGCTTGCTCAGGATTTCATGGACTGATCAGGATATAGGAAGAGGACTTCGTGACCCAGCTATACAACCGCAGCCTTCTAACCGAGTTCGGCGTCGAACAATTTTACAATATTATTGATAAGGCGGTTTCTTGGATTGATGGCCAAGAGGGTAAAATCGATGACGAATTGAGAGCTGCACTCAAAGCTCGCTTGGACTTCAGAAAAGAATTCCTTGACGCCCTGGACCAAGACCTCGATGTCATGGAGAGCAGGTCGACAGAAAAGTTCGCATCCAGTTTATCAAAAGTGCCACTTATCGAAACGTCTATTTCCTTAGGCAAGCCTGTCCCGAATGCTTTCAGCCTCAAGATCCAGCGGAAACTGGCCAGCACCGTTCCTCCACGGCCCATGGTCAAAATCAGCCACGAAGATGCATTGGACCATGTCAAACGCTTCTGTCGTGATGCGATCGATATCCAGGAGATCCTCGATTACCGCGGTCCCGAAAATCTCAGGGTATGGGTGCTCCGAAGAACGTAATTAAGCGGATCCAAGCTAATACATCTAGGTGGCTCTCTGGACACTGGCATCTCGGAAACCACAACCGTCCGTGTATATTCGCTCCCTTCTTCAAACATTCATTGTCAACGACATGAAGGTTCTGGGCGCTGTTCCCGTTAAACAGTTCTTCTATGATGACCTCGCAGAGCTTACCATGCCTTTTAATCTGCTCTTGCAGCCTGAAAACGATGAGGTTGAGGTGCCTTCTGATCCTCGTTTCCAGATGGCTAAACATATGAACGCTTTCATAAAACGTGCTGCTCAGGTAAACTGCTCTCTTCGTCGAAAAGCCTGGAGATCTGCGCTAATGAGAGCCTGTAGCCTCTAATGGATACTTTCCGTACCGCGTGTCTGAATCGGTGCCGTGTGCGCCGTACTCTGTGTCATCATGCTATTGAGTGGGATAACCTGCAAATAGAGGTTTGTCCATGGATACCCTACAATGTTTGGATTTTTTATTCTTATGTAGACTCTTGCTGACCACCAAGCAGGCGGAGGACCTCGATGCTCAGCTTCGTACGTTGAACCTGGAGCCTCCGCTTGCGCTTCGCGGTTGTGAACCAACTTATTCATATCCCATCAGCAGCTGGGCATACCACCAAAAGCTCGTCCAGCTGCGCCTGATTATCCAGCTTGGATTTGAACTTTCCATCTATGCCCCCGAGGAACTACCGGGGATGTACTGGTACCTTTCTCACCTGTGCTCTACCCATTTAGCTCACATCGACCGTATCCGCACCTTCACCGTTGCAGCTAGTCGAAGAAGCATCTCCCCGACATCAATACTGGGAAAGAAGGCCAACTCAGTCGCAGAGCGGAAACGGGCCTTTGAAAAGACACTGACCCTGTTGAACCGCCACACAACGACTCTCATCGCTATTGATGCCTTTGCGCTTGCGTTACATGCTCTATATGTGCTCCTTGCCCGTCATAACGTTCTGCCTAGGGCATCCTCCAAGGATGCTTATTCAAGCGCACGGCTCCGATATGAACTGCGTATGAAACCATTCATCTCAATTTCGCTTCCGGAGATGGTTTCCTTCGAGGATTACGAGCGTGAAGCTGCCCTTGAAGGTGACAGTGATTCCGTCGTACTTGATCGCGCCACACGTGCAATGACTGAAGCACGGAAACATTGGGAATCTGTGCTTTCCAACGGGCCGTTCTTGCCGGTTGGCGAGGATTGCTCGCAGGCTGATGCTCGACATGGTGACGCAAAGGCGGTCCAGGACGAGTGGCAGCGCGACGTCAAGGATTCTTTGCGTGCCTGCATAGGTACCAGTCTCGCCATCGGAGCTGTCAAGAAGGCTCTTTCAGCGTCATCCGGAAAGGACGGCACGAAGCAAGCATCTTCAGATCCGCTTAACTTGAGCGTCGAACTACCGGAGGTAGGGTCCAAAGCTCGTTGGCATGACTGGTGGGTTGTACCAAAGATTTCGGAAAAGAGTACTGGACCCAAGTCGTGAGACGGTATTTGTCCAATACCCCTTTGTTCCTAACCGTCCATGGTACGCCCTAACCTCAGTATTTCTTGCGTGAGCGAAGCATGATAGGTCATCTATCCAGGAATGACCTTCCGGGAGCGGCAGGGGATGTGGCGACGAACTAGCTAAGGATGCACTGCAGACGTCCTTTTTCCCCGTCAATATAGTAGCAACTCACCTCATACCGACAACCCCTAGACTTGGACTTGGACCTATCTGTTCTCTTGGCCAAGGCTTGGTTAATGTTGCCTTATGTTTATTCTGCAAAAGTTCGTTAGCACAAGGCCCCCTCAGGTACATTCATGAGAACTCCCACAACGCTCTACCAAACTGAATGAGGGGCCAAGGGAAAATGCTAGCAACGCAGTAAGAACGGCCTCCGTTGTGATGGCACGTAGTTAGAAAATCAGTGCAGGTACGCTGACTATATTAAATCAAATATCATCCATTCTAATGGAGTCCTTAAATCATGCACGGACCTCATATTCTTCTAACTCGCACATGACATAGTTTGTAGATGCAGACTTGTTGCATTCGCGGGAGACGAGTGTATTCCTTCTTTCTATGGATAAACAGGCAGCTGATATGAAAAAGAAACGGCTTGTTGCCCACGAACGGGAGGGCTGATCGGGATGTAGCTACGACCCTAAGCAACGGTCTCTACCCTTTGTTCAGCCAAATATTGTGCGAATGGGGGATCTGCTGCTCGGTTAGATAGTCCTAAGTCAAATCTCACGGACTAGGTCAAAGGATGAGCTTACTCGACAAGCTGTGGGTACAAAGAAAGGAGAAGTTGCAGAACTACCAAGGCACAAAGGCGCTTTTATATGTTAGTCAGTGTAGTTCGAGCCCGGCTTCATTATTAGTGTCGCTTCTAAACGAAGATCTCGTTGGGTGTGTGGCTTTCTGGTCTTTTCCCGTGTCGGGACTCGAGTGAAGTTGAGGCTACCTTGGAAACCTGCTTCGTTGTCACAGACGGTGAAATGCTCGCGCTAGAGCCTGTCAAACACCGTTGGATGTCCAACTGGTCAATCGCTTTAACTACTTCGTTAGAGCCTTCCATCAGGACTAGTCCTGTCATATTACGCGGCGGAAAGTCAGAAACTCCAACAGCACGGAGATGAATTTCCATACCCAGGTAAACAAACCATCGGTTTCCGCGGAATCATCTACGTGTAGGATTCGTTATCTTCCCACACAGAGCTAGGACAAGGCCTGAGAAACAGTCGCCTTATCTAACACGGGCTGGTGCTGAGGATTTTTGACGATCCTTGCTAGGTAAGTGAGCCTCACGCCATCAACCGAGATCACACTCGATCCAATCTGACTGAAGAGCAGAGATCAGGCCGATATGGATTGCAGGGCCTTCCTTGCATTGATCTGCAGATGATGTCCCACCCGACGTTGCGTTCGAACCTCGCTTGTCCCAAGCAGGACGTTGAACTGAGCCGCGATGCACACAGCACATCCCGAAATAATAAAACGGGAGCTACCGAATAGGCGGCAAAGGATCGTCTTCTCCCGGCAATTGTTGTCGTTGTCTACTTCGGCACATGACTCTCTCGAGAAAGTATCTTTCTACAGCGATGATCAACAAAAATGCGGGGAAAGGACAAATGAAACGGCAGCACCGCAGTCGATCTCAGTGAAACGACCAGTGCATAGTTTCTACTGACCCGAGCTCTGCAAGAGATTAGAGGACCTTCGATTGTTACATCGTCCGTGCAGAAGTCATCTGTTCGTACGACCGGGCCTCGTCCATCCCACCCGCAAAGGATCGAATGGTTTCCCGACAAACAAGATGGTTACCGGAACTGAAAGATGATTGACGAAGGCCTAATCTTACAGCTCCTTTCGATGCAAATCCGCATCGAAGATACAGCTCCATCAATGGACCTATGTAATCGGGCCCCCCACCAGTTATCTCATGGTCTCGTCGTGTGATTAAAATCCTGACCCTGGCAAAGATGGAAAGAATGTTGGATATATGCCCACATGCGACGGTGCCTGCATGTAGAGATCAGAGTAGGTCAAGGGGGTAAGATCGTAGAACGATGCTTGCTGCATTCAATGAAAAGGCAGCCGTTTCCCCCCCAAGATGTTGAAGTGCCGTAGCTTGGTATCAAACTTCATTTCTTCTCTTTTTTTCTTTTTCACCTCTGAATAGTGACTTCGAAGGACGGACTGCCTTCGGCATGCTGGTTTTGACCAAGCTCTACGCCCTTAGCGCATTTGCTGGGCTGACTGCCGCATGGCTTCCTGGAGTACACCGAGATATCTACTCCATCGACGGAAAGAACCTGTTCAACCGCTCAGTCCCCTTCAGGGGCTCTAGTAAACGATGGCTTCCATTATCTGGAAAGATCCGCGGTGTCAACCTCGGGTCACTTTTCGTATTTGAGCCATGGCTCGCAGAATCTGAATGGAGTGAGATGGGATGCGGTAATCAGAAAGCAGAGTTCGACTGCGTCTCGACCCTTGGTCAAGATGCCGCCAACTCTGCTTTCCAGAAGCATTGGGGCTCGTGGATCACGAAGAGTGATATCTCCCAGATGCAAAGCTATGGACTGAATACGATCCGCATCCCGGTGGGCTATTGGCTATATGAAGACATTGTCTATACTAATAGCGAGCACTTCCCTCAAGGTGGTTTGTCGTACTTGGAACAAGTCTGTAGCTGGGCTAGCGACGCTGGACTCTATATAATTATTGATCTGCACGGTGCACCTGGTGCGCAGGTATCGGACAATTCGGATACTGGCCAGGTAAGTAGGGACGATATAGAAAGTCGTCCGGATAAAGCTGATGGATTTAATTTAGTATGCATCGAGTGCCGGCTTCTACGTCGACTATCAGTATGATCGAGCACTCCAGTTCCTCGAGTGGATGACCACAAACATCCATCGAAATCCCGCCTTTCGGAACGTGGGGATGCTGCAGATCGTGAACGAGCCAGAACAGGACGCTGACGCTGTCTCGTCGATGCGCACAAGCTATTACCCAAATGCTGTTAATGTGAGTTAGTTGTACCAGAGGCGTATCCAAGACTATAAGCGCGGATGGCTAACCGAGGTGGAGAAAATCCGTTTGACGGAATTGGGTCTAGGTATCATCCCGGTCGATTTCTTGCATATTCAGATGATGGACGAATTATGGGGTTCCGGGGATCCAAACCAGTGTCTAATAGACCGTTACTTTCTGGCCTATGATGACCATCGCTACATGAAATACGATTCGAGCGTGAAAGTATCCAAGGATAGCTATATCAATGCCTCTTGCAGCGACAACCGGGATTCGAACACTCCCACCATCGTTGGGGAATTTAGTTTGAGCCCGCCAGACGATGTGCAGTGGGATCCGGAATGGAGTCCAGACTCCAATAAGGACTTCTACAAGAGGTGGTTCGCAGCTCAAGTGCAGGCATACGAAAAGCAGCAGGGCTGGATCTTCTGGACGTGGAAGGCCCAAGCGGGAGACTATCGCTGGTCATATTCCGGTATGTGCAGTAGGACCCGAAGAGTCCTAGCAATTTCCAGTGTTTGATACCGCTGACATTGAATCTAGAGGCTGTCAATGCGGGTGTTATTCCCACGAACCTCGACGACGTATACAACGAGGGAGTCTGTTAGTTGTAAGATGCAGAGGTGTGTGGGACTGATCTTATTCTAATACCTTAATCCGGATCCCCTATTCTATTCTGTGCATGTGGTTGTATAAAACGCTCTGTAACGACTTGTTTATATATCGCGTGGTACGATGCTAAACTGGCGGTGTTTTTTTGGGTCATTTCATATGCCTCTTTTTTAACGACAGAACCTTATGATTGCTGTGTCCGTCATGATCTGCTATTATGCATGCTTGGGCGACATTTACTTCAAGTCTCCTGGCAATCCGCAACATCTGCTTCTAAGAAGAAGAAAAGTCCTGCAGAAACGCTCCTTCTCGGTCCCCCTCCTGTTTTAGTCGTTGTAGTTTCTTTACCCAAATGCCGCTCATGGGTTGCTCGTAAGCGCGTATGATTAGTCGATACTCTAGGCCGACTGGACAGTATCTTTAAGTACACAATGTATTTTCCAACGATTTGCTCCTAGCCCCCGTGGTTCAATCCCCTTGCTATCCACCTTCTCCTGACCCAGTAGAACACCAGACCGATCGCCCACAGACTGATCAAAATAGTGGCCTGCACCGGTGCGAATACAGCGCCTCTTACAACAACGAAGCCGCTCACTACCGCGAAGACGATGGGAACGATCACCAACGGCTTGTATGGCCGATGCAAGTCACGTTGGCGGAACCTCAAAATAACCGCTCCAAGGACTGTAATGAAGAAGAATGAATACTCACCCAGGCCGTTGAAAGTGAGCAGAGCACGGAAGTTTCCAAGGAGGATATATAGGGCCGCGAGGCTGGTTTCGAGGATGATAGCATTGATAGGGGCATCAGACCCTGATTGCTTCGGGACGTCTGGTGAATCCCTAGAAGACTCCTCCGACGCTGTAATGGAATCAAAAACAACGCCGATACGGCCGACGAATCCAAGGAAGCCTGGGAGCCAGTTCTTGTTGGAGGCTGAAACGACCATGCGGCCTGCAACGAATGAGTTTCCGAGAAGAGAACCAGCAATAACAAGACAGATGAGGATTGCTGCTATAACGCCCGCAGCAGGTCCCAAGAGACGGGAGATGGCGGTCTATACGATTTCGCATTAATAAGGACCGAGATACGCACTCGTGAATGTCAACAAAACTTACTACCGCAACACTGTTTGTTGAAGAAATCAGATTCCATGGCAGAAGGATATAGTAAATCGCATTTGCTGCAATAAAGCAGAGAATAATCGTCGGAATCGCGGTGTTGAGAGCTAGGGGCAGTTGGCGGGCCGGTGATGAGAGCTCAGCCGAAATATATATTGCCTGCATCGCATGAATACTCGGTTCGGTGTCTTGACCTGCACAATTCGTGTGTATGCTCGTACCTTATCCCAGCCAGAGTATGCCCACAATGCCCCGTACAAAGCTGCAGAGTAATGGCCTAGAATTTCCCATTCCTGTAATTTTGTCCAGTCGATGCGAGTTCCGTCCGGATTTACTGTCTCCCTATACCCAAACCAAGGTCTAGTAAACCAGTCCCGCCCACCGATGTTTCTGTTTGGATTTGAGGTTTGTATAATGATAACCACTATACCAGCTATTACAATTCCAGCGATACTCACAAACTTGGTGACAACGAAGAAGTTATTGAGCCGCGTAGTTGCCTTTGTACTGATGGAGTTAGCCAGACTGATGACCACTAGGACAAGAATCGATAGGAGCTTTCGCTCTATGCTTGTAGCAGAATTCGTAAAGCCGGCGGCAGAATAGATACTGTCGATGAACGCAATGCTCAAAATCGCCAATGTGGCAGGCATGATGGCAATGATCCATGTCCAGGCAGCCAAGAAACCAAAGACATCACCAAAGATGTACTGCAGATACGGCTGGACGCCTCCTAAAATGGAATTTAGCCTCTAAATATCCACTGGTATGGAAATATTGACATACCTTCACCGGGAATAGCCGTTCCAAGCTCCGCCATGGTCGTGGCTCCGGTCCAAGCAAGAATACCACCCACCAGCCATATGATCAGCGCCACACCTGGCGAAGGAACATTGCTGTCAATGGCTCCCGGCGAGGTGAAGATGCCGCTGCCAATAACGATACTTATGACGATGGCAAACGCTTCAGAAGCTCCCAGGTTCCGTTTGAACGTGCGTGATGAAGACTCAGCAGTTTCATCAGCATTTCTCTGGTCCGCCAAAAGAGGTCTGCGGACTCCATCCTCTGAATGGACAGGAGCCGACATTTTTTTTTTTTGTGTTGAATTTCTTATATCATAAAGAGTGAGAGGAGAGTCATCTTTATATGAGCAATCACGCCATTTCCTGTTGCGGTGCGGAGGTCTCCGGGACCTGCACGTGATGCGGGGAGACGTGAAGTATGAGATGTCAACTTCATGATTCATGGAATATACTAAGGAGTTTGGCTTCTATATTAATGTGGGAGTGGTAATGATAGGGAAATCTTTGGAATTAGAATACTGGACTGTGACTTAATCTATTGTCGATTTCTGCCAATGTGCTGCTAGCATCAAGGTCGACAAACAAACATACCTACTAGCTGTTGTTGATGTCGACCGTTGAAGAACTGGTCCTCAACCTTTATGTATACCAATTGTTCTGTTCGACTGACATCATACTGTTCTTACTCAGCACCATAGTTAAGTTAATTAGCAGCCCCAAAGTTGCAAAGAGCATTATAGACGTGAAACGTCAATTTCTCGATGCGCAATCAAAAGCACGAGAGAAGATTCCTATTTTGTTTAAGTATAGCGTTGCCGTATCTACGTCAGCGGTCGGTTATCCGCGGCTTGCCGACGACGATTCTCCATTCGCAGAGGTGCCGCCAAAAAGAATTACTGCTTGTAGTCAGGCAGAATGCTTACTGGTATAAGGCCAGCACTGCGCATGCTCATAAGTCCATATATTCCTGTGAGGAATCGAGTATACATTGCTTCATTCTCCATTACGAGGGCAAGATTGCCGACCGTGAGAGCCTGCAACCAGCAGAAACAACTATCACCAATAGCCAAAGCTCATATACGTGCCATGTCAAGTAATCCATCGTCTCCGCCCCCTCTCTCCCATATACTGGAGACATGTATCTATGCGCGAGATCTGTCGGCTTCAGTTGAATTTTACAAGGGCATCTTCAACATAAAGCCGTTTCTTGAAACGGTATGATCACACCTCTCTCCAGGTTCTCAATGACAGACGCTGATAGCATATAGCCCCGGATGTCCGGATTCTCCCTGGGACAGACAACTCTGCTTCTCTTCCAGATCGGAAGTACGCATGAGGATGTTCATCTACAAAATGGCACGATTCCCGGGCATGGTCCCACCGAAACAATCAGACACAGTCTCCTCACACCAAGCGACACTCCTACGGAAAAGAACCCTAAACTGAAGCAACATTTCTGCTTAGCGGTGAATAACCCTGAGGACGTGGATCGGTGGGATGAGCATTTGAGAAATAAAGGTGTCAATGTGACTGCCAGGATGAAGTGGGAGCGAGGAGGGAGGAGCATCTATTTTGAGGATCCGGATGGACATGTGGGCGAGATCGCATCGAGGGGTTTATGGGCACACTATTGAGGAGATGCAGAAATTAGAAAGGGCATTCAATAACTGAAGTCACCGTGGGTGAACGTTAACCAGCTCTTTGGTGCTCGCAGAGTCATGAATTTTGGTATTATGGCGGAAGCACCAAATGGCCGTGAAAATCATTATTCTGACGTGACTTTTACATTGCTAGTTTCGGAATTGATTGGATTGACTCAGAAGGGAATCCAAGCAGTAATGTTATTTACACCTATTCAGCATGACCTAGAATCATATAACAGGCGTGAGCTATAACTATATCGGTACATTTCCGCAAAATGTCGTGTCTTTGAGCTACAGTACTCGGCTCATCTGACAAGGAAACTCGACAGATCAACCCATGCGATCAAAGCACTTCTCCGAATACACCAACAGAATTAGGATTAGTCTTGATACACCCGTATACTGTGCCAGATGCAACGGCCGATACCTCGGGGAAAGGCGTGAAGCCTCCCCTCCTCCCCGATGTATCCCCACCGGGTGCATGCTTCCGTGAGAGTTGTTATGATCCACTGCCTTCGTACTTACAACCGGACTTCAGACCGGGAGATCAAACCACATAAAAAAAATGAGGAGTCACTAGAGTATGCAATTAGTAATTGAGGAGGTCATGCAATTGTAGCGAGTTTCAATTACTACTAGAAATACCAGTAGGAGAAATTACTAACCGGCTATGATGAGACACAATCTATGAGAGATCAATTGAACATTGTTGTACTGAATAACATCAAACCATCTTCTTGATTGGATATTCAGCTGGCCATACTTCCTTCTTGCTACGTTGACAAGGAACCTTCGTGGTTCTCATCACGTCGCCCATGAATGGCACCAACGGAAGCTCGATATCTTCCTTATCGAGCCCTTTAAACCTGCACATTAACGGCAAAGACGTACCATCAGACTCATTGAACACGTTTCCTGTTATAAATCCTCTCACTGGAGAAAGGATATATGACTGCTCCGCGGCGACGAAAGACGATTATGCATCAGCCATTGCTCACGCGTATGCCGCCTACCTGAGTTGGTCGAAGACGCCTCCATCAACCAGGCGAAACATTTTCCTCCGTGCAGCTGATATCATTGAGACATATCTCGAACAGGATGCACCCGAAATTCTAGCTGCGGAAGTGTCTGCGACAAAATCATGGGTAAAGCTTAATATCATGGCTGCTGCCGCATTTCTGAGGGAGAGCGCGGGGCTCGTTACACATATCAAAGGTGAAATTGTCCCGGCTGATAGACCAGGCACGTCGGTTTTGGTCGTCAGGGAAGCAGTTGGCGTGGTATTGGCCATCAGTCCTTGGAATGCTCCGGTAAGTTACAACCCTTGTCTATAGTCTCGATGCCTCACATCTACAAGTGGTAGTCGACAGTCAGACTCTGATCATAGTAGCTATATGGGCGGTAGCCTGCAGCCGCTTCTCATGAATGTGATTTCATATCTGACTCTCAGCAATGTAGGTAAACTTGACGGTTCGCGCTATTGCGACAGCGCTGGTATGCGGAAATACTGTGATCCTTAAACCGTCGGAATACAGCCCGAAGTCGCAGCATCTGGTCGTCCGTGCTTTGATCGCAGCTGGTCTACCGCCTGGGTGCTTGAATTTCTTACCTTCGGCTCGTGAGAATGCTCCCGAAGTGACTGAATTTGCTGTGAAGCATCCTCTAGTCCGCAGAGTCAATTTTACGGGGAGTGACCGCGTTGGCAAAGTCATTGCCGGATGGGCGGCTCAATGTCTGAAGCCATGTCTGCTGGAACTCGGAGGGAAAGCCCCAGCTGTGGTGTTGGCAGATGCAGATTTGGAAGATGCAGTAAACGCAATTGTCTTCGGCGCATTGGCAAACAGTGGGCAAATATGCATGTGAGTATTGTCGTTGAAGTCTTTTCCCGTTCTATCTACACTATGCGAGGTAGATGGTGATCTTGCTGAGACTTAAAAATTACAGGTCCACTGAGCGTATCATATTACACTCTTCCATCGCTGCCCCTTTCACAGAGTTACTCATCGAGCGTGTCGCTAAAGTCAAAGTTGGCAATCACTTCGAAGATCCCTCTGTCTCTCTATCCGGTCTATATTGTGCTGCTGCACCGAAGCGCATTCTCTCTGCTATCGACTCGGCCATTGCCTCCGGGGCAACCCTACTTACTGGAGATCGTACCCCAGCAGGACCAAACAAGACGATCCTTCAACCGCACATACTCGACAATGTCTCTCCAGACATGGAAATTTTCCATGAAGAGATCTTTGGTCCGGTCATATGTATCACACGCGCAGATTCCGACGAACAAGCCATCGACCTGGCCAATACAAGCGAGTATAGCCTGTGCGCGAGTGTCTTCACAAAGGACGTTCTGCGAGGAATGGAAGTTGCACAACAAATAAGAGCTGGCAGCTGCCATGTTAATGGGCCAACAGTATACATCGAACCTCCACTACCAAATGGGGGTACTGGAGGACGCAGTGGATATGGGAGATTTGGAGGAATGGCAGGGGTAGAAGAGTTTACGGAACGAAAGATAATCAGCCTAGTAAAGCCCGGGATGAAGTATCCGATCTGAGGTTGTGTGATGTGAGTGTTGGGATATATTGCGGAGACGGAACTAACGAAGATTGGACCCGAACAAGAGGATCAGGAGACAGCAGCGCAGAATGCAGGCAAGAGAGAAAGTCGGGTAGAACTGTATATGGCACGTGTTTAAAGAGTATTAGGACATACGTTAGACGATAAATTATGTATGTACCACGTCTACAGATCGAGGGCAATTTAGACCCCCATAAACCGCTCAAAATCATTCCACCCCATTGTGAGCTGTTGGAGAGAATCTTGCCATAGCAAAAGCTGTGGTGAAACCCCCTCTTCTGTGAATGAAGGGTCCGCATTTATGATTTCTTGATGATATGGATTTGACAGGTCGTTGTACACAAGCGAAGCATCATGGCAAGCTGCAAGACCGTCGCTAAACGAGCTAGGTGGACGGGTAAAGATATTGCTGTTTCCATGATCCCGCGCGTGTTGGGTGGTACGGATTGCATGTGAAATTTGTGATGATTGCCGGCCATTCTCGTCAACACATATTCTATCTTCCTTGGACGATGGCGATCCTAGACCCCTACCGGATCCCTCGTAAGCAGCCTCTCTAGACGTATCCATGGTATCTCCGGAGATTCCCCTAGGTGGGCTAGCTGGATAGCTAGGTAGGGTCATGATGGCATCCATGGCGTTAGAAGCCTCTGCGAGTGTATCCAAGGCCGAGCGAGCGGGGCGATCATGACCTGGGCCTTCGATGGAAGAAGGAGGCAAAGTATCATAGTATCTTCCCTCGCCAGCACTCATCCCTTTTCCAGACATGGAATGAGGTGTCATTCCTATACCTCCTTCATTTGGAGAGTATTTTCTGGTTGCCATATCCTTTTCTCTCGCTGCATCTCGAACCGTTCTTGATCGGCTTGGGGCATTTCCTTCATTGTCTGTCCTTGAAGTTCTTGTACCCGTATTGGATGACTGGACGACATCTGCGAAGTTCTCGGCTACAGATGCGAACCGCTGCATCGTAGAACATTTCGGTAGCAATTTGAGCACATTCTGTAGTTCTGTCACTAGAGAACCTATATAAGTCTTCGACTTCTTTTCCGCCTCTAGAACGTCCTTTGGAGAGGATGGGTCTGGAACCCAAAGTATTCGTAAAATCAGGACCATTGCAGCCGAATAAGCGTAAAACACATCGAGCCCTGTAAGGCCATCCAAAGTCTCTGCACTGTTTAGAAGGAGGATGAGATCTGCGATGCGGGATGCCGAAGAAACGCATGTTCGGGCTAGAAATGCAATCTTGTCAACGGGAGACTTCGCATTAGAAGATACATCCTCCCAAAGATATGGCACTGTTGCCGGGTCTCTCGAATTTGAGGAGATTAGAGTTAAAAGGCACGGCCGGGAAAGTTGTATTATCAGGTTATGATACTGTATGTGCAGTAGAACCATCCCACGGAGGTGATTCGAAGGATAGCGGGAGCAGAACTCGCGTAACTGTGATTGAGATGGCACGGCAGCCTCCGCAGACGTTTTGAATTTCGGAAGTCTCAGGTATGCTGGCAGTCCGTCCTCCCATGCTTGTAACTCATCGAGGAATTCCCCGGGGGGTGGATTTGACGCCTTGGCCCATGATGAGCCGTTTCTCCAATTTGTTGATTGATACTGGACGCTCATCATCCACCGTAAACGACTTGACAGGACCTGTAACTGGAAGCTACATTCTGTGTAGCCTGGAGGATTATATCCTGAGCCTATCATATCGTCAGACGGAAGGCTGGTGTTAACCTCCTGTTCGTCGATTGCACTTGGACGCCCCAAGGACATGCAAAGGAATTGCTCGAAGCTGTATAAGCTGCACCAGATACGTTTCCTAGTCTCGCGTTCGATGGGGCGGAACGAATTATTGATATCATTCCGATGCATTCCAATGGCGATAGCCATACGAGCAGCACAGCCAACGAGTGTCCACGAAGCGTTGCGCTCGTTAATGCTGTGATAATAGAGTGCGAGCAATAGCAAAGCCTGAACATTAGAATGAGTGCACGTCGTCGATAGGCACGAAATAGCCGTCTGCGCTAGAACCCAGCAGTGCACACGTAAGTTTTCGTAGTCGAAGTGATCATTATCCGGGACAGCTGCTTTTCTCAGCTTCATAGATAGGACACATCCGAAGGCCAGCATCATATGAAGGCAGACTAGCCATCCCTCGTCATGTTCAGTACTTTCCGCGGACTGGTGCAGAACTTGAGAAGAGCTATTCTCCAGTTGTGATGCAAAGAAGCGTTCCAACTCGTCCTGGAACGTTGGACGGTCAAACAAAGGGAAGGTTGAATGGACGCGCTCGAAGTAGAGACGCTGCAGATTCTCCAGGATCACTGGTGGCAGTTCCCTAAAACGCCATGCGGACTGAAGAAGATTCTGCAAAGGAGACGATGTCGTTGGATTAAACCCTGCCGGGGATCCAGGGGAGTTTGATCTTCCGTCAATGCTTGCACGAGGACTATTTTGCCTATTCGTTCTCGCCTCAAGTGCTTCCGCTACATTGTCGGCTGCAAATCGAGACAATGGCTGTCGTGTCGATACCAGGTCGCGTAGTTCTCCGAAAAAAGCAAGAGTCCCTGATGGCCCAATATAATGTCGACGTCCAACTGAGTCACGTACCAGGCGTGGAGACTCTTGAATCTGACTGATCCGCCGATCGTGCCATGGTTGAGGCTGGAAATCTTGATGGATAGTCCCGGCACCGGTCGATGAGTTTCCATCTTGGTCCTCGTCAGACAAAGACCTTTCCTGCGACACACCACGGTCCGCGCCTGGTGTTAAGAGACAATCTTCAGATGATGCCACATCACCTGTCTGAGGCATAGCAAAGCCATGTCTCTGCCCCAACGAGAGCAGATCCTCCACCGTCCGGGTAGGCTCATCGGGAAATGCACTATTGACGATCGCCTCCAAGCAACGATACCTGGAAAAATTAGAATGTCCTCGAGGTGCATTTATTTTGGCTGGACACGAGCTCACCTGTCTCTGACGGTTTCCAGACTCCCATACAACCTCGTCTTCCGACGAAAGGTCGACACGCATTCAACATTGTTCTGCTGGCAGGTTCGGCAGCTTTCATCAGCCTTCCGGCGAACGCATTTACATCGTCGCTGTCAAAGATATTCAGTTATGTTACAAGATTGGCCAAGTTCATAATTGGTCTCCTGTTCTTCTCACCTTCCGGCATAGATCGCAACTTAACTCAGTCCGTTTGCGCAGTTCCTCAGGAACCCGTCGTCTGCTCCTCCGCGGTTCCATCTCAGTATGGATTGAAAGGTTGCAGACTTTCGGAAGTACATGTCCATGTGGGGAAGCGTCTCCGAGGAGGAAGCATGGAATCGGCGACAGAAAAGAGACGAAGATGAGGGGCTGCGGATGATGTATTTACTCAATGCCGAGAGACGTTACCGAGAGCTCTTATGACTGCAACAACTCCTTTGGTCCCTTGTACGAATCTGCTTTTATTTCTGTCAGAGCAAATATTACGTTGATTTCCCGTGCTCTCGTATCTTCGCTATGGCTCCCAACCTGGTCACTCTGCTTGATGGTCGCCAGTTGTCCTACGATCTCTCTGGTCCGACCGAGGGTCCTATTGTCCTGCTCTCCAACTCTCTGCTAGCCAACTATACGACCTGGGATCATTTCGTGAAAGACCTTCACGCGCAGGGGTTTCGCGCCCTGCGCTACGACCAGCCCGGCCACGGCGCGTCTTCCGCGCCCAGCGACCTGAACACAACGACCTTTCTCACCCTGACTGCTGATGTGAGTGCGCTGTTACAGGCGCTTAAGATCTCAAAGGTCTATGCCTGGATTGGCATCTCTATGGGTGCTGCGACCGGTGCCATATTCGTGGTGCAGAACCCCGGTGTTGTCCAGAAGCTCATTCTCTCCGACACCATTACTTGCTCCCCGGGTAATGCTGGCATCGACGACCCTTTCGCTCCCCGCGTCCAGCTGGCAGAGACCAAGCCTAAGGCCGTCGAAGAGCTGACTGAGGGAACGTTGGCGCGTTGGTTCAGCGAGGAATGGCGGGCTGCTCATCCCGACGAGACGGACCGGATGAGGCAGTTGATGCGGACAACGAAGAGGGAAGGCTTTATCACCTGTTGTCACGCATTACGGCACGAATCATTTGATCTCAGGCCATACTTGAAGAACATCGGCCCAGCTGTGGAGGAGACCTTGCTCATCGTGGGTGAACAAGATGCGAATCTTCCAACGACCATGGCGCAGATGCGTGACGAGATCCAGTCCGCATCCAAATCCCCCGTCGGTTGGGTGATTATCAAGAAGGCTGGACACGTTCCAGTTATTGACAACCGCGACCAGTTTACTGAAGCCGTCTTTAAGTTCTTGAAAGGAGGTTCGGATAGCCCCCGATCCAAGGCTTGATGGCCCATATGTAACTGATAGCACGCACGACACTTTATGAATATTGATCTTTTGTTCAATAAATAGAAATCGTCACTATTCTAGAAATTCTTCCTCTATAAAAGAAATATAGTGTGTTGAGTATTACCTGTACCCAGGTCTAAAGAAGCTTTTCGCGTTATGTAGACCTTTTCCACTGGCAGTCAGTAATATGATCCCATTGTCAAGAGATATCGATAATAATTATTAGCCTTTGAGACCTAGATAGCAAATCTGTGCGATCCTTGAGTCGATTTCCCTTTCTGTTCTAGGCCAGATATAGTGCTGCTTTGTGCTCAGCGTTGCTCACGGATTGCTAGAGTGCTCGGGCATGTTTGCTCAGCGACTGCTCAGTGCGAAGGGGCCAATTTGCTCGGAGCGTCATCTGGCTTTTTTATCCAAGAACCATTAAGATCTCTCAGGTGCATCTACACTCGACCAAGCACCAGTCGAATCCTCTTGTGGCAACGCGCCGGCGGAATCGGCCCCCGTTGCCCCTCAACGGAGTTTAACAGTCAACTATACTTACTAGATAACTAAATAAGCACTACACGCGAAGACGATAAGTTCCTTCCCTTGTTCGCTTTTTGTTTTGCCCCTTTGTTGACAACGAGAAGGGTCCTTGACTCGCACAATGAACAAGCTTATTCATTATCCAGACATCCTCCTCAAAATCTTGGAGCATGTCGACCTGAACACGTTCCTATCTCTTTATGGAACATGTGTAGCACTCCACAATCTCATCATCACTTATCAAGCTACATTAACTGTTACTGTGGCCCAGAACACTTTTCCGGAGGAAATCCTGCGTATACTCGAAAGGATTCATGACGAACAGCATAAAGATGGCTATATCCATAACGGCGATGACGATGGTGCAGGTCCCATGCGCAGATATAGTATCTGCTGGCTGCGTGATCTGGTCCCCAGATTCCTGGCTGTCGTGGCCGTGGATCGCTACCGGCACATGAACGATGGAGCATGCGGATCGAACTACTGGCGACAGGGCATCGCGGCTGCCGATCCGCTAGGAGATCCCCTGAGGGCAAGGGTCGCGAATGGGTTTCGAATTATTGCCCGGCTAGGTTGCATTGCGCGAGAAGTGGATATTCAACAGAAGAAAAGTGATATTTCGACCGAGTCGCAGTTGATCCTGCCGAAGCGAACGAGAGCAGAACGCTTGAGAAGCATAATCCGTTCACGAGGGAAATGGGACGCTGCCCAGGAGATCACAGCAAGACGAGAAAAGGCGATTGAGAAGAAACAACTCACTTATATCGACACCTCGGTAACACCAAAACAGGCGGCGGATTACCAGCTGGTGGGTTTATATCTCGACGGCGTATTCTACCCTCTCACCCTTGAGAGCTGGCCCCAGGGCGAATTCAGTCGGAAAAAGAGGACCGGTCCGGGAGGGGTTTGTGCTTCTGGCTGGCTAACATGGCTCATGTTGCGAGAGGGGATATCGTTACTGTGGCAGCAATGGTGGGTGAAGAGGACGGACCCCGATGCCCCCTCTCTGAAGGAGAGAATCGAGAGAATATTTTTGCAGCGGAACAAGGAACAGGTGGAATGCGAACGGCAGACTGGGTTGTCGGTTTCTCAGTCGCTATACAGGCTATCCACCGACGACAGTGAGTGCTGGCGACAGTGGCTCTTTCAGCTCTGCGATGTTACTTATCCTGCGCAACGGCCGGAGCGGCGGTTTTCGCTTGCAGCGGAGACCGAGGAAGAGGAGGAGGGTTTGGAGTTGGAGAGTATCAGAGTGAATGAAATCATGGATCATGTTGCTTTTCATGTTGACAAGAAGCCCCATATGGCTACTGGTCAGAGATACTATATTGATTATACACGGCTTTGCTCGGCCGCTCAACGTCTGGTGCTCCGTTGAGCTCTATGTCACAGTGGTTGCATGATTGTTCAACAGTTGGTTCATGCAGATACCAAATTGGGACAACCTAGGCACCAAGACAATGCTGGAGAAGGCCGCTCGTCATCCTCGTGCCTTTGATAGCCCTGAAGTGCCAAAGACATTGACATCAACGATACACCGTCGACACAGAAGGATTTCTACTCGAATTTGAGATAAGTGATAGCGTTTCTAGGACAGGCTGTGTGCAAATAGTCAATGCTTGTATACTATCTACCTTGGTCTTTTTTCCGAATACACAATATCCTGCTGTCAATTAGTAGTTGCTCGAAATGCTAGGACGGCATTCCATGGCCTGCAATGGACAACACCAGACATAGGTGGGTAAATGCAATATCCTCACAACTTCACTAAACAGAGCTGGCACCCCTTATAAGCCATTTAACCCTGGGGACTACTCCATTACACTGTGCTTCTGTAAGCTAGTTACAAATGCTCAGCGAATGCTCAGCACTGCTCACGAACTGAGTCAGGCTACAGCCTCACAAAAGCAGCATAGGACAGAAGAGGAAGCTGAGAGGTCATCACACATATGTGCTACATATATGCTACCTAGGTATAATAGTTAATACACAGACAATGACATATAGCCAAACGCGGCTCGGTTAAACATCCCTCTGTGAGGCTACCTATGCGCTCTTGGCTTATCTCCTTATTTTCCGGTTTGTCCGTTGAGAGAAAAAGTTCTATCCTTCTCCCCGAGGATATGATCCCGGATGCATGCATCCGGCCTGTCACACTCATGAGAGACGGTAGAACTGGCGCCGTCACTTGCTATGTTCTAGGGATAGGTAATCACATGGTAGAATATATGGCAAATGGCTTTTACCTCCGGAGTTATGGTCGCAAGGTACTCCGATGATATTCCTTTAAAACGTCAGGGAATCCTGCCTTGAGAAAGGGTCTTGCAGCATTCAGAAGCATCGCGTCCTTCGACATCCTAGCCGTGTTCGCATAGAGACAGAATCACGATGTCGAAAAGTGTCGTTCCAAGAAAGATCCTAATCGTGGGCGCTGGCCTCGGTGGACTTTGCGCTTCCCTCGCATTGCGGCAGGACGGCCATTCAGTCACCATTATCGATGCCGCACCCGAATTTGCAGAGGTATAAACGTTGATTTATTGAAGCGTTCACTTGACGAGCTATGAACTAACCTTCCGTGTAAAGGCCGGGGCAGGTATCCGGATTCCGCCGAACAGTTCCCGTCTGCTTATGCGCTGGGGCGTCGATCTCGATAACATGAAGAAGTCGGTTTCAAAACGGTATCATTTTGTCCGTTGGAAGGATGGGACAACTATCACGAAGTTGCCTTTCGAAAGGGTTGTTGAAACACACAAGGCACCGTATTATCTGGCACACCGGGCAGACTTGCACGCAGCATTGCTGGATGCAGCAAGGAAAGCGGGAGTCGAGATATACACAAACCAGAAAGTGGACAAATACGATTTCAGCATTCCCTGTGCTATAACAGTTGAAGGAAAGACATGGACTAGTGACCTGATCATCTGTGCAGATGGTAGGTAGCAGTGCTACATAAAGCCTGTCTAATAGTGTTCTTCGCGACGCCCGACTAACCCCTCTCTCTAGGGATCAAATCGACAGCTCGCCCACTGCTGACAGGGCAACCAGACGTTCCTCGCGACACCGGCGACGTGGCATACCGCATCCTCATCCCTGGCAAGGAGCTTCTGGCGGACCCTGACCTGAAAGAGCTTATCGCCGACCCAGCTACCACGTCCTGGTGCGGTCCTGACGCCCATTTGGTCGGATATCCAATCCGCGACGGCGAGCTATACAACATAGTTGTATGCGCGACATCTTACGGAGAGACAACCGACGAGGTCTGGGTTGTCAAGGGGTCAAACGAAGAGCTTAGCAAGCGGTTCGCCTCCTGGGAGCCGCGTATCCAGAAATTGTGCAAACTTACGCGGGACTTCATGAAATGGCGTCTTTGCGACTTGCCTATTCTGTCTACCTGGGTCCATCCGTCAGGAAAAGCCTGTCTTTTGGGAGATGCATGTCATCCCATGTTACCGTACTTGGCGCAGGGTGCAGCTCAAGCAGCCGAAGACGCAGCTGTTTTGCGACAATGTCTTGCCAGATATGCGGATACACATGAGGCTCTGAAGCAATACGAGAAGATTCGTCTGCCACGCGCATCTACCATCCAGGGTAAGACACGGGAGCATCAATATATTCTCCATATTGATGATGGCGAGGAACAACGTGAGCGCGATGAGCGCATGCGCCAGAATTCAGAGATTAACCCAGTCTTCTGGGGCTATGATAAGCGAATGAAGTGGCTGTTCAGCCATGACGCTGATCTCCTTGAACAGAATGAAACTGTATGGCCACAGGCAGCAGCAGCATCGCTGTGAGAACCATGTCATTCTAAATGGGTTCTATCCTGACACACGCTATGGCTTCCAATGTTATCGATAGTTTCAGACCACAATGCTATCTCATATCATGTCTACTGTATTTCTTACAAAGATGTCCTAGCGGAGAATAAACATACGTGAAGTAACAAACGGATACTGTCCGCATATACTAAGTACCAGAACAGGGAATGTTTGGTTCGGGAAAATCCCGTTCGGATGCTGACCGACTCGCCTCCTTTGAAGTAAAGCAAGGCAATACATAGTTAGCGCCTGTGAGTTTATCAAATAGACAAGGGTTTACTGCTTGAACATCCTGGAGAGAACCTCCAGATGATGATCACCACTATTTTGAGCCGAGACGGTATTGTCAACCCTTGGGTGACTTTATCTGCGTGCCGCCGCCTGATTACACTTAGTCGTGAATCATAGGAGGGTGTCGTTGTGTCATTCATATCTTCCAAAGCAAGAATTGCGACGGAAGTATGTAGTTATGTCGAGAAGAGCCAAGACTGGATAGGACACCTTGCCTAGGCCAGATATATCCATTAGCTAGTGGAAACAGATATCTCTTTCGTATTGTTTCCCCTTAATCTGAAATCTAGCAGTTCCCCCCGAAAGTAGACTAACACGGCGGTCTCAACCGCTGACGAACGAGATGATAATAGCTTCGGAGGGGGGACCGGATTCATGTAGCCGGGGGGCGTCGTGCAACAGCTCCTGTCAACACCCTCCAACTAATGTCTAGGACGCTGCACAAGGACAAAAATGAAAAGCGGGGGAAAACATGGCTGCCGATACCATCTCGCCAAGGTGGTGGCGTCTTTATCTGTAAACCCTACAGTTATCACTGGATAACTTCAATTTGGCCTTCCCCAGATTTTCGTCTTTGGAGAATCTTCACGCTACTTTTAACCCCGCAAACTCTCACCAGTTTAGAGTTGCGCCATTGAATATATAGATCTCGTATTTACTATAAATGCTCGTTGCATGATATCAAGTGCCATTAGAAGCTCCCAAGTCACTTGTTTCTACGCACAATTCCATAGCAACGATGCGCGAACCTTGTTCTATCGAAGAGAACGAAGATGTGTCGGAGATGAAAGTCCCCCACAAAGATTGGGAAGTATCCGATGATGTTAGAGATTCCACAAGTGAAGATGATCTGCACATCGATCGAGCGGAGGAGAAGCGTCTGGTCCGAAAACTGGACATGCGTCTATTTCCTATTCTTATGCTTCTGTACGTAATGGCATTTCTGGATCGAGTGAATATAGGTGAGTTTGTCCGTTTCGATGATCTTATTATCATCTTGTAAGATCAGACCACCATGCGGAAAATGCTCTAATACTTCGTCTCACCAGGGAATGCCCGATTGTTCCATCTGGAGGCAGATCTGGGCCTCAAAGGCGACGACTACCAACTCTGCGTATCCTTACTTTTCGTCACGTATATCATCATCGAGCTACCCGCGAATCTTTTCCTGAAGAAACTCGGCCCAAGAAACTTCATTCCCTTCGCAGCTACTGCCTGGGGTCTTATCGGCATGTGTGCTGGATTCGTTCAAAACAAGGGGGGTTTAATCGCCGTCCGGCTGCTCCTCGGGGCGGCAGAGGCAGGATACTTCCCGAGTGTCTGTTTTTATCTGTCCTTCTGGTTCCGTCGGCGGGAATTGGGTGTGCGCATATTCTTCCTATTCATCGCGTCCGCAATCTCTGGATCGTGCGGTGGCCTCCTTGCATACGCGATTGGACATATGGATGGGATAGCGGGATATCATGCTTGGCGATGGTTGATGATTCTGGAAGGACTTCCTACCATCTTTCTGGGTGTGATAGCTTATTTCATTCTCGCGGATGATCCCATGTCAGCTAGCTGGCTGACAGATCGAGAGAAAGAACTAAGCCGTATTCGTCTACACAGAGACAAGACGTTGTTGGGATCGGATGAGCAATCTGGGAGAATACAATGGGATGAGATCATGAAAGGGGTCAAGGACTGGAAGGTTTGGGTTTTCAGCATCGCCCAACTTGGCACGACGCTCATGCTCTATGGCTACTCGACTTTCCTGCCCACAATCATCAGTGGACTCGGATACTCTGCCATTGACGTCCAGCTTCTCACTATTCCATGCTACGCTTGCGGAGCCATCGTCTACTGTATCGTGGCATACTTCTCTGACAAGATCGGTCAGCGTGGTATCTTTGCTGTTGGTGGATGTCTCGTCGCTTCGACGGGATATGCCATCCTTCTCGGGACAACCAAATACGGCGCTGGGGCACAGTATGCAGGATGTGTTGTTGTTGCCGCTGGACTGTACGTTTCCGTTGGTATCGGACTTACATGGATGCCGAACAATATCCCGTCGCATTACAAGCGCGCCTTCGCAAACGGTCTACTCTTCATGCTGAGCAATCTCGGAGGTGTTATCTCATCTTACATTTACAGGACTCAGGACGCCCCTGTATACACGCTGGGACATGCTGTGATGCTAGGATTCGTTACGTCTACGGCAATCATTCTAACCGCGATGTCGTTTGTACTCCGCAGGGAGAATCAGAAACGAGATCGTGGAGAAAGGGACTACTTGCTGGAGGGTAAGACAGAGGAGGAAGTGGCCAAATTGGGCGATAAACACCCCCATTATCGCTACATGTATTGAACCTCTCATTAAATGATACTCTCATGAATATGACGAAGCAGTCTTTCGTTGATAGAGTCAAACTTTCCTTGTCGAGGACTGAAGGTAGACGCTCCAATTTCGACTTCGTGATGCAACCAAGTCAACATTGGTCGGTTTCTTCGTATACTTTCCACATACATGGAATACTTAGCAGTATGTAAGTAAATAGTAACTACTAGTAGCAATTCCAACTTCTCCACAGCCCCACGAACAAAGTGCTATCCATCAACCCCGCATTTGCACCACACGGCTAGATGCTTCCGATTACAAGGGAGAATAAACCCCTAGGGTATATGTCCGAAGCGTTGGATTTCGTGACGAATGATCTTTCTACCAAGGCATAGATGCGCTGAAGCTACCATAACCCCCGCGCCGGGAGGGGTAGAAGGGAGTCTAGATGAACGGAATATTGGAGCCGAGCCAGCTGGCTTACATATTTACTTTTATCTAGAGTATAGAATCAGTTTCGTCTGGGGAATCAAATTACCTGAGATTAGGATCCTTGCTTTTCTTCAACTGATTGTATCAACAAGGGAGGGGAGAACTCTTAGACGACGCTCATACTTTTTCTTCGATTGATACAATTTCCGGATGTATATTTTTTCAACACTAAATATCATCTAAACAAAAGTTCATCTTATTGACAATGGGCTCGACAATCCCTGCGACTCGCAAGGTAGCAGTGACAACCTCTCCAGCCACTGTCTCCGTAACATCGCTTCCTATTCCGCAACCTGCAGGGACAGAAGTTCTTCTCCAGATCGAAGCTACCGGTATCTGCGCTACGGATCTGCATATCGTCCATCGTTCGCTGTCGTACTTTCAACCCAAAGTCGACATACATGGACACGAAGGAATTGGACGAATTGTTGCGCTAGGGCCAGATGTTGATGCCTCAAAGTGGAAGATTGGGGATAGAGTCGCGCATCGGTGGATATATAGGTGGTGTAAGGAGTGTGAGCCATGTCGAGCTGGACTTGAGCAGTTCTGTGACAAGAGGCAGTTGAGCGGGTTGCATGTGGAGGGGTGTTGGGCTGGTGCGTATCAGCCATTGTACTGTAGATTTATGATGGGCTCCAGGACTGGAGCTTCTATCTTGGAGCTGTGGACTAACTAAAGACATCTTATGTTGCAGAATACACCGTTGCAGACACGGAGTATATGCTGCGTATTCCGGAAGAGTTGAATGCAGCAGAAGCAGCTCCCATTCTCTGTGCAGGTGAGTCAAAAAGGAATTTGTATCCGATATAAACTCATCGCGGGCACTGATGTATTTTTAGGAACGACCGTATATCGCGCACTAAGGACTTCTGACCTCTCTCCGGGCCAGTGGATTGCAATCGTCGGTGCTGGAGGGGGACTAGGTCACTTGTAAGACCTCCCCCAGATCCTTATATGCGAAGCTAACACAAACCAGAGCGATTCAATACGCCAAAGTGCAGGGTCACAAGGTCCTTGCAATTGATGGCGGGAAAGAGAAAGGCACGCTCTGTACAGACCTAGGCGCAGATGTATACGTCGATTTTACCAGTACGAAAGTAAGTTTCTCACGAAATGAGACTGTCCGTTCATTATACTCATATATTTCAGGATATCACTGCAACCGTCATTGACATCACCTCTGGTGGTGCCCATGGGATTCTCGTGACCAGTTCGAGTCCCCGCGCCTACGAACAAGCTATTACATATGTGCGCAAACTGGGCATTATCGTTTGCATTGGAGCTAGTAAGTGCTTGATTGTGTTGTGATGGCGGAATGTCTGGACAAATACTGATTCGTAACCAGCATCGACGAAAATGACATTCCCCATTGGACCAGAGTACTTTGTCGGCAAAGGTGTGCGTCTAACAGGCACGAGTACAGGCACGCTGCGCGATACCGAGGAGGCATTGAAATTGGTGCAGGAGGGGAAAGTCAGGCCGATTATTGTCGAGAAGAAATTGGAAGATATTCAGGAATGCTTGGATCTGCTGGAGAAGGGCGATGGCGTGGGGAAATTCGTTGTCAAGCTATAGGTGCTGTATCCTCTGGAGCGAAGCTCGCTGAGCTTGAATTCTCTAGCAAGCAACTACTTAACTCGGCGTCTTTATCTCGGTGGTGGAGCTAAAGGGCGACCCGACAAAAGGTCTGCATGTAGGCAGGCTCGGACATATCCTATCCTGGTATATAGCTTGAAGGAGCAATTTGTGAATATAACCGCAAATATGAATGTTTATGTCTACTGTATGTTTTGATCAGATCTACTGCTGGCCATTCAGAACGAAGAGACCAGTGTCTCGATCTTTACATAGATGGCCTTCACGAAGGTGGTAAACGCACACGCATTTGCACCCGAGATTCATCAACAGAGCTGTTTGAATCAGAGTCAATGAGGCACTCAAGGTACATACATACCATCGAAATGTTTCCCATGCAGCTTATCTAAAAGAAGATCCAGATAAGTCAGGACAAGTCTCTCCGTGGACAGGAATCAATTCCTCTATGGTCCTTCATTGAATCACAAACGCTTCCAGACTCCATCATGTCATAATTGCCCGCATGTATAAACATAAAATCAAAAATCCCTCGATCACCAGGCTTCAATGGATCACAGGCCATGAACATAGAGCGAGCTTAGCAATACCGCTGATAGTTACCAGTCTCTACCATTCGAGAAAAAGCTAGCTCTTCCCCATTATATATCTCCAGTTAGATTAGTCAATTCACAGTAGATGGATTCGATTCCTCAACTAATCCCCAGCAACAATTGCCCTTAGTCAATTAGAGCGGAATACTCGATAATTATAGACAACACCCTTCGCATGTAACCAAGTAAGGTAGGTAATACAAGGCTTATACGAAACAGTCAGTATGCATTAGTCAATTATTAACTACAGTCAGTTGGTTTGCTAAGCGAGCGTCCAAGAAAGATAGTTAATCAACTTGTTAGACCAACAGATCGTTGGTTACAAGATTCGAATATTTCTCTCAATCCTTCTTTTCGTCATTCACTACGTATCGTATCGCATCCAATTCAACGGGTCGATTTGACAGTGATAAGCAAGCAATGGTTCTTTTCCCTAGTTACTCAAACGCACGGCCACCTAGCGCCTGAGGCAATCCACATAGCTGCATCAAGCCACCATCTCAACGCAGACGTATTCCATCATGAAATCTTCCAATATCATTCTCACCCCGTTTAGCTTTTGAATGAACCACCGCGTGGACCCAGCATTGATGGATCTAATGCAGTCAAGGACATTGTGGTGGTTTCCCTTCAGTGCGGGGACGCCCGGAAACGCTCGCTTAGCACCGTCGGAACCCCAGATGGAGACAGAGCGAGCTGGGTGAGCTCTCGTGGCCAGCTGGCACATTCATTCATTCCCCAGGGTCAGGGACAGATGGATGGAGCGAGTGCTAAGGAGCTGAGCTGGCAATAGCTTGCGATTCGAGGTTCCGGAGATGGTGCTGTCGTACGTCATATTGCACTGCGAATCCTCGTGAAAAAAACCATTGGCAGCGCTACGACTACGCAGAGAAAAAAAGCAATCAAGAGAACCAACCAGCCCGGAAAATCCGGACGAGTTGAAAGGAGATGCATTATATGGGCCACCGGCCCCCGATTTCATGAGGAATTGGCAACGGGAAATGTGGGAGTAAGTGGCCATTTCAGACTCTATAGGTACATAAAAGTTTGGTAGAAGATGCTGACGAAAGTAGTACATGATTGATTGATTAAACCACGACCGATCCCTCCTCAACACCCCGAGTATTGTTGCGTGTCAATTGTGAGGTGCATAATTGACCATAAAATTTTTTAGACGTACTTGCACATCATGGCAACCATCAGGTCGAACAGACCAATGGCCTCGACGAAGGCGAAACCCAGAATGGCGTAGGAGAAGAGCTGACCACGGAGAGCCGGGTTGCGGGAGACGGAGAGCAGCAGGGCACCGAAGACGAGACCGATACCGATACCGGCACCACCGAGACCGATGGCAGCAGAACCCATACCAACGTTCTTGGAGACCTCAACGAGGGCGGAGGCGAGCTCGGAGGAGTACTGGCGGCGAGCCTGGGCGTTGGCGAAAGCCTGGCGGGCGTTGGCCTGGAGGAGAGTGGAAGGCTGGACGCGCTTCTGGGCCTGGAAGGCGGTGGTGAAGGGAGAGGCCTTCTTCTGGGAGGTGAAGGTGCGCTTGGAGGCCGTGTTCAGCGGCATGCGGATGGCCGGGCGGGCGACCTTGGGGGCGGCCGAGGCCATGGTGGCCAGGCGAGAAGCGACGAGGCGGGAGGAGGCCATTGCGATGGAATTGAGGCTGAATTGGCTCGCCGGGAGAGGAGAGAGACGTCGGTTGTGGGAGGAGATTGAGATGGGATGGGAAAGGGAACTTTTCTGGGAGGAAAAAGCTGGAGGGAGAGCAAGAGTTAACAGCTCCGGAGGCCTGCCAGGGGATAAATACTGTCCGGCCAAATTTTCACCTTTCCGAGGCCCAGTGCGTCCTAGTGCATTGTTGAGCGCCGACCCACTCGGTCGATTACACGTAAATCGGTTTCGCCGTAGGTTTGCGGGCTTTCTTTGTTCCTGGGCTGGGTCGGAAGTGGCCGGAATATATTATTTATATTATTTATGATCTTAAGATGGAGATCATTGAGATAGATAATAATAATAATTATTCTAGTAGGAGTAAGAATCAGGAGTGTATATATATTACTATATATATATATATACATATACATGGAGTATATAGAGTAATCGAGTATAGACATATATGGTATGTATCACGGGTTGCTCAGGAAGGAAAGACCCAGTCGTTAGACAGATACGATACATAGCTCAATAATTGGAAGGAACAGCCTGCCTCTAAGTGATTTACTCTATCTAAGTAAGTGTCTGACTATCAATCTGTCTGTCTAACTATTATTACTACTGTCTGTCCATCATTCGTATCGTGTCTATCTATCTAACCTCTCCTCTCCCAGCCTCCTGCCCGGTTTCCAGGACATCCGGAGCCACGGCAGGAGGCTGGGCAACAAAAGCAACAGACTGACTGCAAGAACCACGTCCCCTCGCTTCGCGCCAGGTTTCATCGTCCCGTCATGGACGGGAAAACGTCCGTTTCCGATCCGGTCTGTTCGTTTGAAGCGTTATATATGTACATATATCATATATATACGATGGAATCCCCCAACATCTTACTAAGGATCTCGAGATGGGGTGTCTACAAGTGACTTGAAATCCACTGGCCCGTTCGCCCTGTCCCGGCGTCCGTGGTGTTATTATATGATGAGCGTATCTCGCTGTGTGGGCGCGCAGTGAGCGTTTTTCAGGCGGTGCGTGTGTATGACGATCGAGAAGATTACCGCGCGGTATGCGCACCTTTCCCGTTTTGTCTCTAGTGCATCTTGGCAGGCCCTCCCCGAGATCGGGTCACCAGCAGATCTGCCCAATCAGCCCGCGCAGTAGCCCGCCGGACCCGTAAAACGGGCACCGAATGCGGCTCGGTGCCCACATCGTCTCCTTTTTGCCTTGGACGGGCGGTCCTAGCGGCACCCACTGCCAGTCCCAACGGACCAGTCAGAGCGCCTGCTCAGCCTGGAGTTCTTTCGGATTCGAAAAACCGGCCCGAATCGGGCATCCCGCTCCACCGCCCGGAATCCACAGTGGAGAGTGAGTACCCGAGGGGAGAAAAGCACTGGCTCGGCTGGAAGGAAAAGGGGGGGGGTGGGAAGAAATGGCGGGCGTTCAGCTGTTGTTACCCTCGGGAATGCAACTCACCGATGCTGGGAAACTGGTCTGTTGGCCTGTTGGACGGGCGACTGCGTGCGTTGCCAGAGCGATGGCCAAAGGGACAGACATCAAGACCGGCGAGAAAGAAAGAAGAACAATTAAAGAGGACGCCTGCAAGTTGGCATTGGCAATAACCCAGCGGGCCGTGTGCCAATGGCTCCAAGCCTGGGCCAGGGCTGCCCCAAACCGGTGCGCCAAACGGGTGCTCCCACCCCCAACGCAGCTGCGGAGTGCACAGGCGGTCAGGCCTCATCGCGATGCTACCGCCCCTTCATCATCGTGTTGGCAGCTGGATGCACCCAAGAATAAATAATAGCCCATCCACCACCATCCCAGTGCACTGTTTACCTCGAAAGAGCGCTGTTCCAAACATCTATCCCAACAGCAGCTGGCGTTACCGGCATTTCGTCACCGCGATGCAGGTCTCCTGCCGGTCGGCACGGCGTCCACAGGATCCCTGAAGGGGCATTCCCGCCGCCGGCCTCCCTCGCAGAGTCGCAGTGGGCGTTCCTGCGTATGTGATCAGATATGCCTGCGAGAGCTGCATCGCGATGGCTTCTCCAGGCCGGTATCTATGGCCTCATGGAGGGACGCTCCAGGCTATTTATACTATGGCCATTGCAGCCCTCGAAAGGCGTAGCATTGTGCTTGCCGATGCCTGCCTTTCGTCGTCCGTCAGAAACACGGGCTTGCGCTAGACTAGAAACAGTAGTCTTTTAACCTGAAGTAGTAAGGTATTGGCGCTGTCGGTGGAGTCGGCCCGGGGACACTTCTGGCTTGAAATCCAGGCTGCTGATTGGCTCTGGCGTCATGTGTATAAATAATCAAGTTGAACAGTCGAGTTATTTTTTTCATCACCCTCGTTTCTCTTCGTATTGCTTTCATATTATTGCTAGGTATATGGCTGTAAAGTATCCTCCCACAGCGTCAGGCGAGGTAGATAAATATATATAAATGCAAAATCTATCTATAGTGAGTCCGGTGGACGACATCTCATACTGTCCCTGGCCAAGAATATAAACTGTAGTCTAGATCTGATGCAAGCGCGCAATAGCATAATCACCCAGCTTATTATTTGAGATCCTCGTTCTAGAAGCTGATATTTTGCGGTGTTAAGCCGCTTATGCTGCATCATGGGTGCGATGAAATAGACAGGATAGTGGACCAGTATCAGTGACAGTATCCTTACATATGCTGTTATTACATCCAAGTGGATAATGTAGGCGAGAGTCGCTTCGAATGGTCTAGCTTTAGCAGCCTATCCTGGATACAGATCACTGCTAAGAATTTCTATAAGTATTGTATATATTCAATGATATCCAATGCAACATCCCTCTTCCTCAGCTGCGTTATCCTCAGAGTCTCTCTGCGACCTCCTTGGTGTAATCGTCCGGATCCCAAGCCAATGGCCGAGTATTCATCTCTTCGAGCTTTATCGCCACCAACCTTTCGATATCCGCTCTCTCTTCAGGCTCCAAGAGATCAAGTCTCTGCTTCCAAACATCGTCGATGGAAGAAGAAGAAGTCGCCCCAAAGAATCGCTGATCAATCTTATGCCAATAGATCAAGTCAAAGGCAAAGTTATTCCTTGCCGCATATGCAATCCAGAAGTCTCCACTTTCCCAGCTATCTTGCATCGGGCCAGAGAGCCGCTGAGTACTCTTTAGCCAGCCCTGTTCGATTGCCTTGTCCTCTTGGTATCTCATTGCGGTGAGAAAGGTTTGAAGTCGTCGTTCATACTCGCTACACCAATCGTCAAGGCCTCGAGGCCAGTATTCGGGCTTTTCAATCAGAAGCCACCAAGGTGGTGCAAAGGAGAATTCCACTGGGGCGGCATATGTGAATTCCCAGTCTACGACTACGACGATTTTCAGCTCATTCATAAGGATATTAGCTGGGCGGAAATCGTCACACCAAAGTTTGAACGGGCCTTTGTCAAAGGATGCCAACTGCTCTGTCAAACGATGTTCTCTAGCGAGTTTGCGGAAAAGATATCGAGCAACAAGCTTGCGCCGGCAGTCTTCAGTTGAGTCAATTGCATCATTGCGCTGGTTCGTAAAGTGAGCGATGTGTAGCTCCGCTAGAGCTTTGAAGTACGAGGACGTAGTGTTGAATGTCGTAGATGGTAGTTTCGATTGAGGTAAAGATCCCAGTTGAATCAGAGTATTCATAGGCATTGATAAAGGTCTATGTGTAACTTTCCAGGTAAAATCGTCAATCTGGTCTAGGGACCCTATTTGGGGTAGAGATAGTCGAGAAAGCTGAAGCAAAATACTTGCGACCTCTCTATAAAGAGCCTCTAATTTTGCCTTACTGATATCCGGGTCAAGAATCCCACGATCTTCCTTTGGGCATCCAGGCGTGTTAAGAGCATCATACAGGTTTGTATCATGCTCAATATACTCCATGATAATAAAAGGACCTAATTCCAGCGGACTCTCCTTCTTTGACCCCCAATGGTGGACAAAAGGAACCGGGATTGAAGTCTGATCGTAAATATATCGCATGGTAGCGACTTCATTACGGACTTTCTCTTCAGGAAACATGGTGGCACCCGGCTGGGGGAAACGGATTATGGCAGTGTTTGCATTCTTGTATTTCATCTGGAAAGAGATATTGTATGCACCTTTCTCGAGAAAACTGAATTCGACAGCATCTCCCGGACCGTGGTGTCTGACCAAGAATCTGCCAACCGTTTCTAGGATTTCGGGGTTTAAAAAATGACGAAGCCACGCATCGGCCACGGCTTCGCTTTTCTCCCAGGCGACATCGTCGTAGCGCAGGCGTGGTTGCATACTTGGCACGGAGCCTGAGAGGGGTAAAATATCAGGTTAAGAATGCAAAATACTCGAAGCTACCAGGGATAGGATGGACTTGAATGTTGGAAAGCTCTTAACGCATGGGTGGTTAATATCGAGATTGTGGTGATTCAGGGAGGGTCTAGGTACAGTACTTACTGTACAGTGTTGATCACATGACAGTCAACAAAGAAAAATACGCTGTTATCGCAAAGCACCCACGAGGTTAAAACCTAGCCTCTTTTCTATTTGAAACGGGCTCTTTAGCCTGTTCTGGAATATTTGACCACGATCTGTCTGGCACCCCTTATATAGTTCTATTAACCCCCCCGGACCAGTATCCTTACAGCTTCATAAGCGAATTTAGTTTGTTAATCATATCACACTATTCTTATTATATTCATCTCTCTATTCTATAACGAGGATATTGATATCTTTTAGAGGAATGAATTATCTTGAAGCTATTCATCTTTCTATCCTAGGGGGTTGCCTCGGAGGGAGACCGTCTACCAGGGGGGCTATTGCACCGTCCTAGGAGAGACTGCGCTGGAAGTAATCATCTACTTAGCTGTGACTCGCAAGAGACCTTGTTAGATTGAATAACCTCTCCAGAAGAACAAACCCTTGATTCTACGGGGGGGCCAATCACAGCTGCTAGACGTTGTCCTCCTGAGATTGAGGCCCTTCAGCCTCTGATTGTGTATTGTTGAAACGCGAGACCTCCATCTCTTACAAGAGCTCGGCCATGATATCCCAGTGCGACATTCAAGGGACGATAAATTCACCAATGCCACACTGAACCGAAATGCTTTGGGAAAAGAACGCCTGTGATCGATGGCATCTACAATCTGTGACGGGCCTTGCTGCCTGTTTGAACCCGACACTTCCACGAACATGTTGCTGAAAATAACTACATGAGCCCAGTTTCTTCAATATTACATATGGCAGCAAGCATGCTGGTGGGTATCAGTGCCAAGCAATAGCATCCTGTACGCCACGACAGATTCTGCCAAGCTATCTCGTCAATTATGACATAAACAGCCCAACAGCCATGTTTGCCATAATGCTTTGAGATGTGATTGTGGTTATAATCGAAACAGTCGAATATGGTGATACTACACTCAAACTTTCACATGCATTCATGGACCCTTGAAGTGTATCTGTAAGTCGTATTTATATCAACAGTAAAATGCAGCTAACGGCAGTACTTAGTACTTTGATATGGCCGAACTGTTGTACTCGAAAAACTGGTAGCCCACACTGTAATCGAAAACGAACATTTATAATCATGTTCGTCATACTATAGTCAAAATCTCTCTTTGCAATTACAGGATGACTTTGCACCTGGCGAGCAGGTTTTGTCTGCGCGATGCTGTGGTGAGTATGACATCATCTCTACCAGTACCACAGGAGATGTTCCCAAGGGATAAATGCTCTACTTCCAGAGGACATCTACGACGGCAAAAAAGAAGAAAGCAAACCTTGAATATTTACAAGTGAACAATATATCGCGTATCGACAGCTCAGAAGATGCAGTCCATTCTGAAGCCGGTCATCGGGCCTAGAAAGGAAGTCCACGACCTATCGGGTCGTGTAGCTTTGATAACGGGAGGAGCCCTTGGTATCGGGTAAGTCTTAACTTTCCTCAGAATACTTGTATAAATTGTATGCGGAATTAATTCTGATGATCGTTTCTGTAGATATGAAATAGCCCGCGCGTTCGTGCTCAATGGCGCCCGAGTGATCATGGTCAACCGCAAGGAAGACCAGGGTCAGGATGCCATTGATAAGATAAAAAAGGAAGCGGGTGCAGACGCCAAGATTGAATGGATGCCATGCGACATGGGAAACTTGAAGCAGATAAAGGAGGTCTTCACGGCTTTCCGTGAGCGGGAAGAGCGTCTTGATCTGGTATGTTGAGTTGTTCCAATGGCATCCTTAGCTTTTGCGTTGTTATGTTAACTCGCTCTCAAAAAAGCTTATTCTCTCTGCGGGTATCAATGTCAATCAGTACGGAGAGACTGTCGACCATATTGACCGGCATTTCGAAGTCAACTGGCTGGGCCAGTTCTACGTGGTCAACCTGCTCTACCCGCTGCTCCGCAAGACGTCAAAAATCCCCGACACCCCAGCTCCTCGCATTGTGTTCGAGAGCTCTGAGCAGCATCGCAATGCTCCATCAACCGTGCACTTTGGTTCTTTGGATGAGATCAACAACCCCGAGATCGGCAGTACCGAAGTGTACGGACGAACGAAGCTGGCTATTATTTTAGGCGTCAAATACGGACTCCTGGATCGCGTCATCAAACCGAATAACGATAACATATACGCACTTTCCGTCCATCCTGGAACGGTAAGTTTGCAGTGGAATCGGCAAACTTCGGGGATGAATCTCGCTGACATTACCTCCAGGTCAACACAGCCATGCAGCAACAGTGGAAGGATGCATATCCTGGTCTCCTTGGCAAGGTCTTGACGACGGTAATGCTGGCAGTCGGTAGAGATGTCGAGCAGGGTTCCTTCTCTGCTCTATATGCGGCGACAAGCCCGGAAGTTGAAGAAAAAGGCTGGAACGGGTATTACTTCTCAGACGTCGGCCAACCTGGAAAAGAATCAAGTCAAGCTTCCGACCCAACATTGGGAGCGGCACTGTGGGATCTCAGTCATCGCATCATTAAAGACAAAATAGGCGAGGATGCTTTTGTGGACTGGAACGCGGCCTAAATTTAAGGTCTTGAACTGGCTATTACTCTTGTCTATATAACCAGCGATAATGAGAACTGGTGCTATGTTTCCACTTGCAGCTGACATTGGAAGAGAAAAGGAAATATTGGTGCTTTAATTTAATTTCGGAAATATCGTATCCATCAGCTATGCGATTAACTTCTGTACATAAGAGCTATACATTCCCTTCCGGCGTCATATCCTGCGAGATTCGAACTGTCTTGCTGCATAGTATCGATATACGTGTGCCGTCTTAACGCGAAACATCTTCCCGTAGAGTATAAAGATAAAGGTTCCAAGGAGTACCGCTGTGAGAAGAACACCTATTGTCACATAGACATTCTTCATGCCAACTTTGGCTATCCAGGGCAAAAGGACAAACACGAAGATCGTCGATAGAAGGTTGCGTGTAAAGGTCACCGCAACGAGCGCATCTGCTACTATCTGGTAACAGGTTAGCTACCTACAGAGGTCTATTCGACTCGCTGTATGACAGACAGACAGAACTTACCTCTGTGTATGCATCTGTAATATATGTGAGAGCTATGCTGCTTGCCGGCGTCGTACCGAAATTACAGAGTGCATAGCCGACAGCCAACACAGGCCAAGGGGATCCGTTATTTAATCCAATACCAAACATGAAAAGGCCCGCTGGCACGAAAGGTATAAATGCGGCGATGACCCATAACCGCATCTCAGGCTCGTAGATTCCTTTATTGCGCTTGGCGAGGAACAGAATCAGCCAATCACTCATTGGTCCGCACACAAGAGATCCCAGAGTCGTTCCTATCCATGGTGGCAGGCTCATCAGACCGATCTGGGCGGCATTGAAATTGTACGGTGGCGCGGCCATCCAAGATGACAGTGTCGTAACCATAACAGTAGACGCGGCTAACATGGCTCCGTAGAGGAGAGACATGTAGAACACAGCTGGGATCGAGATCAGAATCATGAACGGTTGGTAGCTGTGACGAACAAAGCTGTGTAGAGACCCCGGGGACGAAGACCAGAGAGAAAGACGCTGCCAATACGTCTTCATCGGAATAGTTGTATCGACCGAAGCAGAATTAGACCGGGGTTGCAATTCCTGATTTGTTCCCGTCTCCGTTGCCTGCGTGGTTAACTGCGTCTTGAATGTCTGCTCTTTCTCTCTCGTCTCATTTCCATCGATCGGTCGATGAACCTCATCGACGGCGATACCATCGATGGCTCTCAGGGTATATTTGCTCTCTTCGTAGAGAAAGATGAAGCAAATGAGACCAAGGCCGAAGAACAAAGCTATCCACCACCAAACCCAGCGCCATCCTTGCGATACTGTGATATATCCCGCAGCAAGTGGCGCCAGTGAACCGCCTATATTCTCGAACCAGACGTACAAACTGTTCATGAGCCCACGTTGATGCACGAAGAAAACATCGGCGACTGTCATCTGCACGATTACCTCGGCCAAAGCCCCAACCAAACAGCTGAAGACATTAACAAGCATCAGGTCGGTCACAGTCTGCAGTTTGGCGGACCAGATTGATATAGCAAACTGAACAGCCGTGCTCAGGATATAGACCGGCCGGCGTCCAAATTTCAGTGCGAACGGAATCAGAAGGAAAGCACCGATGGCTAAAGTCCCACATCCAATGGCGTAACTGTCGTTGAGAATATCATAACTGAAACCAAGTTGCTCGTTCATGGGACTCCAAGTTGGTGTTGCAGCATCGATACTAGGGAGAGCGTCAGTAAGTATATACTCGATATGTATGTGACAGTGATAGACCTACAGGGCGTAGACCATAACAGCGTAGTACGACGAAAGACCGAAATTGAGATATTTCCTCCATTTTGGCCAGTTCTATCAATGTCAGTACCTGAGAAATGGGCCCCTAGAATATCCTACCAATGGATCATTAGGGTCACTGCTGGGCCGTGGTTGCAGTATAATTTCTCCATCAGTACCAGCTCTTAAGTCTATGGTGGAGGAAAAAAAGTAAGTACCGCGCCAAATCTCGAATAGTCCCATCGTAGCGATGAGAGTATTGATGTTGTTTATAGCTAAATAGCTTATCGACACCATACCTTCGAGTTTGACTGTACCGGGAGGCCATATCGCATCCTGATCTTGTCGTTCAACATCCATTTTTCCCTTATACAAACGCGTATGGAATCACGGGTGAAATACGGACGAGGAAATATAGATACTATGGCTAGAGCCTGTTATTTTATAATTGGAAGGACCGCAGCATGTGAGACGTATTGGTATGGATATAAGGTATTGAGCCATCTATATCAGGGATCATCAGGGATAAGACAAATATATTGGTGCATCTATGATATAGACTGTTCCTCCATTCGGAACAATTCGAGGGTGGTTACTGGCGCGCCTAGACCTTCCTCTGTTGGCAGGTGGCTATAATAGGGTAGGAAGTTACAGGACTTGTCTGCTGCAACAAGATAAGCAGGCAGAGATTCGTTGACGAGATCGGTCGAGAAAGTCGCTCTACCGTTCTCCCAGCTTCGAGCATCTGGGCAGTTTATCACTCAAAGATATAGCGGAGTTATCCAGCTATTTATGAACAAGGTTGAATGAGACGCTAATTCAGAATAGATTTCAAATGGAGTGGAATCCGCAGAATTAAATGTCTAAGTAGACCTAAGAAGAGAATTCAAGATGATGCTTATCAACACAGAAATCTCGTGGGCGGGACGTCCGAAAAAAAGGGACCAACCAGAGATGTACAACACCTTATCGGACTACGATAGCATGTGCAGCATAAAGAATGCTAACCTCCACGCAGTATATAGGCTAGCCATTCCAAATGCGGAGATGCGGCCGTATGGATAATTGAGGAGTCACAGTCGTCTCTCCGCGTCGTATCCATTCACTGCTACTTCCCAGCATCCTAGATACGGGTCACATAGTTGATTTGTCTGAGAAGCCACATAATATTGAACCTTATACACATCTGCAAGACTAGGTATATAAGTAGAGTCTGCCCTACCGTCTGACTGGGAGCCGAATCTGAAAAGAACTTGCTAAACCTCATAACGCTTCGTACCTGGAATAAATAAAATGAAATTTCATCCACATATTTTTCTTCCTTTTCTTACCGCCGCAATCGCTAGGGAGATAACATTTCCTCCTGTCGCAGGAATCAAAAGATACAACACCCAGTCCCCGTTGCAGCGTTACGGCTCAGCATCAGACGAGGATGTCTCGCTAGAGACTGATCCTATGGACGGGCTGACTTCATTCGCGCATCTCCCTCATGTTTCATGTTTTTCAGCTGCAGCAGACGTTGAAAGTTATGACATAGCTGTTATCGGAGCGCCTTTCGATACTGGCACGTCTTATCGACCAGGAGCGCGGTTTGGACCTCATGGTATACGCGACGGGTCTAGACGTATTCGTCCGCTGCATTCATGGAATATGTATACTGGCTATAATCCATTCCTACAATGGGCAAAGGCCGTCGACTGTGGAGATGCACCGTTGACATTTGTGGATAATACTGTGGCAATGAAGCAGTTGGAAAAAGCACATAAGGTAGGAACTTTTTCGCTAGAAACGAAACCTCTTCCGACAAAGACCCTAATATTTTTCTCCTGGCTAGATCATATCCAATCGCCTTGCGACAAATATTTCGGCTTCCGAAGTCCCTCGAATCCTTATGCTCGGGGGCGATCATACAGTAACCCTTGCTGCCTTGCGTTCAACAATCAACCATTGGGGTATTGTAAACGTTATCCACTTCGATTCTCATATTGACACCTGGGACCCACATGCAGTTGGTGAGTATTGATACGAGAAAAGGCATTATGAACGTTGTTTATAGACTAATATCTCGTTCTAGGGGGTGGAGTGTCGGACTATGCGTGAGTCCCCTGTTTCGAGTGACTATCAGCTCAAGTACGTATTGTCAGTGAGCTAACTGCCTCGTATGGTAATCCAGTGCTGTGAATCATGGGACGTTCCTACATATCGCACACGAAGAGGGTCTTATCTCAAACGACAGTTCAATCCATGTTGGCATCCGCGCTCCACTGGGGACGCGCCACCGTGACCTAGACAACGATGCCCGGTGTGGGTTCGACATCATAAAAGCCCGTGATATTGACGAGCTTGGTGTCAAAGGTATCATTGAAAGGATAAGGGATAGAGCCGGGGATGGTAATGTTTATATTACCGTTGATATAGACGTGCTAGATCCGGCGTATGCTCCGGCAACAGGGACCGCTGAGCCAGGAGGTTGGAGCACCAGAGAGTTATTGTCAATCATTGATGGCTTATCCGGCCTAAAAGTTATTGGTGCAGATGTGGTTGAAGTTGCTCCTGCTTACGATAATACCGGAGAGACGACATGTATCGCAGCAGGAGAGATTGCGAGAAGTTTGATCGGCCTAATGGTCGACGTCCCTGTCGTTGCATCAAGCTAACAAAATCGTCGGTGGGGAGCGAAAGTACTATACAATCGCGACAATTATTAACAACATTTCTCCGTCAAGAACATTCGAGATAAAGGACACCGAACTTTTCATATATATCCAATATAATTTCCATCCCATTTCCACTTCCTGGTAAAGATGTATGCTGTGAATCCATACGCCCAGCCGATGCTACTGGAAGTAGAATAGCTACGCACCATACAGAACACCTCCAGAGATAGATCATTCAGTGCCCTTCTCCATCCTCGGGTGGGCACCGCTGAGATTATCCAAGAACTTGTCCTTCCGAGAACAGTAGATCTCAGCTCCAACCTCGGTGAATAAGTCACGATCATATAGTGTCCCCGATTTGATGACGATGAGGTCAGGGCTCTGGTTGGGCTCCGACGTTATAGGTGAACCGCAGTCACCACAGAACTGTCGACGCAACTTGGGCCCCGCGTCGGTGTCATCCATGAAGAGCTTGGGTTCCCCTGAGGTGAAAGTGAAAGCACTCTGGGGGACAATAATGTTTGAGGAGTATGCTGATCCCGTGTAGCGTTTGCAGCTGATGCAGTGGCAGATAACAAGCTGCGACGGGAGTTAGCATCACATTGCATTATAACTGTGTGTTTTTGGACGCCGTCGAGATATTCATATCTCAACAATCAGGGAATGCGTACCTTCGGCAGGGGCTGGTCTGGGGAGAGATCAATGCGGTATTTGAGCTTACCGCATAAGCAGGCTCCCATGCATGTTTTGGCGGACATATCGATTAACCGTCAAGACGATGCCTTGGATTATGAATCAACGGTCTGTCGCTCGATGATTACTAGGTCTGTGGGCAGATTGTCTAATTTATGAAAGCTCAGAAGTCGCCAAGTCCCCAAACAGGGCTTAGACCGTAGTCTTGACAGAAAATTCTGTCTTCGTCTATTCAGACATAAGCGGAACCACAACCTCGAAGCATTTATTCGTTGTTGGTTCGACGCGGGGTCGAGGAACCGTTTCAACGCCAAGCAAACAGACCCCGCGTCCTTTTGACGTATCACTCGGCTATGCCGATTTGATTATTATGAAAGCAGTGATGAAAGATAAGCTGCCGAAGTCATCATCATACCTAGTCATCAGGAATGATCTTTGAGACCGAGCAAACACTTCCTCTATTTCAGTATCTCAGCTGGACGTAGACCATTCAAGAAGAAACTGCAAAATTCGAACAGCATGATATCTTTGCCATCACAGCTGCCAGACCATCACCTGGACGAGTTTTCTGTCCCGACAGACTGTGGATCTGTTGTTCACGGATATAGTCGCGGGCTCTCCATAGAACAATCAGAGGCGAACGCCGTCCTTGTTTTAATCCATGGATATCCAATGACGTGAGATGTTCCAAGATAGCAGTGGCTGACCCTGACTGACAATGAGTGAAGAAATCTACTGTTCGTCTTTCCCCATCGATTTTATCGTAATTTGATAGTTGGGCGACGTCGTCTGGCATTGTCTCAAGCAAACACTAATCAATGAACGAGACTTCCTGTTATTCAGATGGCGTCACGTATGGTCCTGAATAGATCTTCGTGATTGTTCGAAGCTGATGATGGGGGCCAGGTCATAAAGAATCTTCCCGACGATATTCCTCTCTTTGTGCCTGATATCCCGGGATACGGTAACAGCACGCCAAGTAAGACTGGGCACGATAAAGCAACTATAGGAAAAGCTATCCTTGACGCATTGAACAAAGTGCTTCAAAATGACCCGACCAAGCCTCCAAGACGCATTGTTCTTGCAGGCCATGATCGTGGGGCGCGGATCAGCCACCGTCTCAGTGTTGATGCTGGAGAGTTCTCAGATAAGTTTACTATAATAGGCACCATACTGATGGACATCGTACCTACGGTGGTCCAGTGGCACGGCATGAAGAATCCTGTTGAGGCAGCTGGCTTCTTTCATTGGCCGTTCCTTGCGAACGTGGAGTTGGCCACATCTATGATCCTCAAGGTCGGAGGAGATGTCTTCATCCGCAGTTTATGTGAACGATGGTTGGGAGATCTGACTTATCCGGGACGTCGGAGTCTCATACAGGACGGCGCTCAGCAGGCATACGAAGAGACTTTCAAGCGTGAAAGTGTTATCAGGGCGGCTTGCCTCGATTATGAGGCAGCTGCTACCGTGGATGTTGACCGACAGAAGTACGACCAAGAGCATGGGAGAAAGATTCAGATACCAACGTTAGTTCTCCATTGTTCTGCACTCGGCAGACGGTTCAGTATGACAGACACTTGGGAGGAATGGGTTGCTGACGGAAAGAACCTGTTGTCTGTCATGGAAATAGGTGAGGGTGCTGGGCACTCATTCCCGGAGGAAGCCCCTGAGACTACAGCAAAGGCCATGCTGGAGTGGATCAGGAGATACAATTAAATCTAGAAATCGAGAGGAACACATTTATCTCCTTGACTTTTGAAAAAGACGCAATCCCCTTTTTAATAAACATCACAATTTTCAGTACTGGTAATCAGCTGTACGTAGACGACAGACCCCGATAGACTGGCATATCCCATTTCTCATAACAATAACTAATCATCTACATTAAATAATGCCCCGAGGAGCGCATATGAAGACCTTTCTCCAATTTTGTGTGCGCCAGGGTAGCAGAGAATGAGGGAATTCATAGCGCCAAAAAGACAACTGAACTCACTGAGACTGCTATGGTGAGAGCTATGGAGAATTGTGAACTGGGACTTGCAGCCCCAGGTTTGCGAGAGCCTTTCACTACGTTTACCGGCCGAATACAATTCAAGCTTCGAGTCCCGACTGGATTTTCCGCAACGATATTGGTACCGTTGGGTCCGAATGCGATCAGCATCACAGGAGTAAAGCCCTCGATGTATTGATCGTAGGTACCGAAGACCGTACCCAGCTGTGACTGTGGCTCGGTGAAAGAAGTTACTGTGAAGGGCTGGTCGCCATTCACCCCACAGGTGGATGATGTCTCAAGAAGAACTGTGGACGAAGCAGCCTCTTATTAGCTTATCTACACCGTGGAGGCTAAGAATGAGTTTATTCCTGAGAAATGGACGTACCACCCGATGACGACCGATTCAAAAGTGACCCAATACTCGCACAAGAGCCTGGAATCTTAACGGCTCCGCTGATGGAGGCGCATATTTCGTGTGAAGTGAGATCCCCGTTCCCGGCCTCTAGAACAGCGTTTCCCAGCGCTCCTTTGAGATCTCCGATGCAATTCGGTTCGAATACGCTAGCACAGTTTCCATTGTCTTCTTGCATCTGCGCGATCACAGTGGTATTTGTGAGTCCGCCGGTAAATGCTAACGCACAGAGAGTGTATGGAGCCACGCATATTGAATTGCCTTGACCAACGAACACATCGTGTGAGCTTTCGGGATAGAAGGATAATTTTCTGCCCACTTACCGTCTAGATCGGATAACCAAATGCTCTCAGACACTGTATACTGCAGATCCGTGTCTACTGATGAACCAGGTATGCGACTCGATCCGTAAGACACGCCAATGTTGAGCTCTAGGCCCGTAGGTTGGTAGCTATCCACATCTGGATCCCAGACCGTGAGAGTGGTATTGAGTCTTCCGGTCGCGTTCCATGCAGTTGTCAGACCCGTTGTCGCTAGGATTATCAGCACAGTATTATAAAGCGAAATGAGTAGAGACATCATGCCTTCCGCTCCGAAGACGGCTGCATCCAACCCATTCCTACAAGCATTCTTCACAAGAGGCAGGATGAGACAGCTCCCGTGGTATTTATGGGGTGATCACTAAGTGTCTGTCACCGTCGTATTTCAAGAGTGATAAGACATGAGCCTATTGGGCGCCCGTATTTGCGAGAAGACAATTCGCTAAATTTTGCAAGCAACCCTAGCAAGTTTTAGATGGATGTTGCTTACTGGTAAGCCAGGTTGCACTGGACATAAGCGCGAGGGGATTTGCATGTTATTATTAGCCTGCAAAGGAGTCAGAATTGATATTGTCCTAGAATTTCCGGCCTCTTGGGTCGTCTGGTTTCCCGCCACGAAGCTTGGCTTACACTAGCGAGGACAGATGTCTCAGTTGTGATACTTAAATTCAGTGATCCCTGTGATAAAACCAACCTCGTCCCGGCTACCCAGCAGCTAAGTATATGCAATTATGTACTGTACAAAACCTAACTTTCGTTCATCACATCAATTTTTAATTCTATCACTAGATGCGTATAATTGGCGCTACTCCGGAAGATCCGACTGCAATTACTTGAGTGTTCCTGACGTCGTCGTTGAAACTGATCAAAGTGCTGGAACAGGAATACAAGGAAAGCCCGTAACAGATTTGCTTCGCTCAAAGATAGGAACACTGACTGGTGTAGAATAATATGCAATATGGCAACTGACATTGCTCATACTAAATATTACTTTTCACGCTTCTCACTGGCCGACAAATCCGAGGTATTCCACCCAATCGGAGCTCCTCGGCATCAACACACATCCTCGGTAATATCATATTTGGACTAAATATTATCCCTTGACGACTCGGAAAGGCCACAACAAGAGCTAAACTATCTTTCCTAGTGAACTCACCTCGGGGAGGCGACCGTTTGAGATGTCAGAACACCGTTCCCGAGCACCTGTCGCATGCCAGAACTGTCGTAAACGCAAAGTACGGTGCAGCGTAACCGTGACTGGACTGCCTTGCGTAGGCTGTACTCAGGATCGTATCGAGTGTACCGTTCCGCCGAGAAAACCTCACCCGTAAGATGTCTGATATAGAATAATGCCATCGAGTCTGCTGATTATTGTTAGTCCGCGACGTAACCGTTCATCTGCTGCCCGCCGTATTCCTTCAAGACAGCCCAATTCTACAGTCTCGGATGGGCTTGATAATAGGCCTCGTTCGATTGTCTCCCCGGAGTCGATCAGGAGGCTTCCATTATTGGCTCCGAGTCAGCCCCCAATAATATCAAATAGAGATGATCGCATTAGCAACACGCTGCCTACAGAAGACCGACTCAGCGTGCAGGAAGAGGAGCGCAATGGGATGGACATTGCGACGGCAGCATTAGAGCAGCCACAGAGAGCGGGCCAAGTTCCTTTCTATCCAGGTAAGCAGCAACATCACTGTAGGAATGAAGAGACTGAGTTCGATCGCAACTAGGTGAACAGACCGGGATCACATCCGTTTTCGAGATCTGCCTACCACAACATGCTCTACCTAGGCACCTTCTGGTACCTTTGCGTTCCTCATATACTATATCGCAAGAAGACCAGGACTACCTCAGAAGCAAAGGCGTTTATACATTACCGAGACACGACTCTTGCGAGTGTCTTTTGAATGCGTACTTGCATCATGTACACCCTATTATGCCAGTCGTTGATATCAGTGTCCTGATAAATCACCAACAAGAAGGACGCCTGGATCAATATAACCTCTTACTCCTGTGGAGCATATTTTTTGCAGGAGTCAATGTAAGTGACACAACATACTCATTTGGCTTGAATCCTCACAAAGTCTCCAGTTCGTCCCCGCACGCATTTGGGAACAAGAAGGCTATAAATCACGGAAAGAAATGAAAGCCACCATGTACTATCGGGCAAAGGTGAGCACTCCGTCTCTGTCAGAACGACAGTTGCTTGTGTGCGAATTCAACTCACTGGTTTTGTCCGTAGTGCATGTACAACATAGGGATCGAGAGAGATAAAATCGTGCAATTGCAAGCATCTCTCCTGCTGGGATTCTGGCACTCAGACTTGGATGAAATTACCCAACCTTGGTATTGGACAGGGATCGCCATCAACCTGTGTCAGATGCTGGGACTCCATCGTGATCCGGATGCGAGTCGATACAACTCGGCGATATCGGATGAGCAACGCCGTCTATGGCGCCGTCTCTTTTGGAACTGTCTCTTCCGAGACCGCTGGTTGAGCCTGACTCTGGGAAGGCCACTACGTATTGTTCTAAACGATTGCGATACTCCCATGCCATCAGCTTCTGATGTTCTGGATGACACCAAGAGAATATCTCAGGTCGCGGCGAATACATATCTCCCAAGCGACTTTGCGCAATTAGCGCAATACTGGGTCAAGCTTGTACATCTCAGTAAGCTGTTGGGCGCAACATTGACGATGAATTATCAACTCCTTGGGCCGACACCGACACTTCATCAAGTGGAAGGCCTCGAAGGCGAAATCCTGCAGTGCAAGGTTCCAGAACAATATGACCCTGGACTGAGTCGACTTGCGATCTTCTATATGTACCACGTACAGTTACATTATCAGTGAGAACCCATGGACCATTCATTACGTGACTAGCAATGACTTATTCCGCAGGGCACTACTGATCACGTTTTACCGGCCATACATAACCAAGACCCCCGTCGGCCTCCATGATCTCCATCAGAAGGAATGGCACCACATGATACGACTAAAAGTCGAATCAGCGGCTTCGAGAACGAATTCTATTTTGGACATTATGGCCCAAGACAAGCTCCTGGAGTTTGCTTGTCCTATGACGTAAGTGATAACATTAACTCCTTTGAAGAATTTACTACGTTCTTCTGTTTGCTAAAAGTATTTGAAACCGATAGAACGCCCTTATTGATGCCCGCCATGCACACACATCTCATGAATTGCAAATCTACAGATCCTCTCTCGCAGCGTTTGGGTCTCAACAAGCTTAACATGTGTATGATGGTGTTGCAGGAGCTACAGGAAACATACGTTGTAGCTTCTATATATCGGGGCGTCTTCTCGAAAGCGATAAAACAACTATGCCCGGAATACGCGTCAAGTATTCCCGAAGATGTCATTCGACCACCCACAGCGGAATATGCATCTGCAGAGGCAAGGAATGACGACGGGGAAGTCATAGATACGATGATTTCTGATGATCTTATTGATTCACTCATGGACGAGGCATCTATATTTAGTTTATGGGAAAGCTGGAGTCGGATGTAACATAGAGTAGATATTTACTTGGTATTCAGACGGCTCATGATTAGAAGGCCTTTTACGTACAATAAATGACACAAGATAATCTCACAAAATAATCTAGAGAAACCGACTAGGATGAGAAAGAGAAAATACCATATGTTTGCTATGTCTCTATAATAACAATACAAGTCGGCCGCCCTCTACAAAAGAGCGATACCGGTGAAGGCCCTGTAATCATCTGAATGTATCTTCTCCTTAGCCCCGCCATCCAGATGGTACCTGTAAATGTTTCCACCAAGATCCGTCAAATAGATACAACGGTTTTCGTGGTCCAGCTTCAGTCCAATTGCCTCTTTCATGTGCCGTGTGATAACCTCGTATTTCTGTGATGAAGAGATACCTATCAGCGAGCCATCGGCGTCCAGCTTCGTTCTATACAAAGCATTGCCCAAAGGGACTTCTCCACGATCGGTCCAGTAGAGTGTGCGAGACTCCTCGTCTACTTCGAGATCAATGGGTTCCGGAAGCCCACTAAGGATGCATTCGATGTCACTTCGCGATGATGCTGCCTGGTTTGAAGGAGTTTCGATATTCGCAGAGAATATACGACCTTTTCCGGATTTGGAAAATCCCTTCTGAGTCCAGTAGAACTTTCCCAGCTTCGGTGCCACAGCGACGCCTACGCACCACTTCCGTCCATCGTTGCGCTCTTCGTCGTTCTCCCAGTCTCCATTCTTGATCAAAGTTTCCAGGTTGGAGCCGTCGTAATTGCAGCGGAAAACCCGTAGCCCTTCACGGTCACAGAAGTAAATCTTCTTTGCGGTTCTATCCAAAGCCAATTGTTTTGGTGTATTAGCTCCACCAGGGGCAACGATAGTCTTGATATCAGTGCCATCCACACCAGCGGAGTACACAGTTCCATCGTTATTTCCTGGGACGCCCATGCATGTCCAAAACATGCGTCCACTCTCATAGTCAACGTCAATTCCATCTGGTAGAGACTGGTTCTTAGCAAGAACGCGTTGTATTTTGCCATCTGTGCTCAGCTCCAGGATCTCTCCAGATGTAGTCGTTGGTTTTTCTGCGGATAGCCCGATATCCAAGGCTATTATCCTACGGCCTGCTGTGGACGCATCCTTTCCTTCTGGGGGATATAGGCCACCCTTCGAGCATTTCGCACCGAGTTTTCCGTTGTCGAGATAGTTCTTCCGCAGAAAGTCGACTGTCTTTTCTGGTGAAAGGCCACGCTCATCAATGTAGTGTTGCTCAATAAAGGCAACAGTGTCAAGTCCGACATCTAGGCGATTGCATGTTAGAGAGAAAATCGTGTCATTCTTCCATGAAATCGACCACTTACTGTCCATCATGCGACAGGGGATTACTCCGCTCTTAATAAACATCTCTGTCCACATTGAGTCGATCTCTTCTGGAACAGAGACCCCCTCAGCCAGGATCGTCAATATCTCGCGCTTGACGGCCGCCCATATCCGATTGAAGATGAAGCCGGTGGACTCCTTCCTAGCGACATAAGGCAGAGTTGCAGCTTCTTTCGACCGTTGAACCAGGAACGTAATTATATCCTCGGCAGTATGTCCGTCAGTCATAAGTTCCACGATCATACACTGAGGGGGCATATAGTAATGCATATTCAGTATGCGAGCTCTGGCTTCGTCAGGAACCTTTTGCAGCATCTCCGATGATTTGTAAGAGGAAGAATTGGATGCAAGTATACAGTCTGTCGGAGCAACAGCTGCGAGCTCTGCAAAGGTGTCTATCTTGAAGTTGATTTTTTCCGGAATGGCTTCGATAACGAGCCATGCGTTTTTCACTGCATCCTGTAGCGCATCGAATGCTTGAGTGGCACCGGGGGCTTTTTGTGTTTTCTTTGCGTAAGAATGGACATTTTCTTCAATGTAGGCGATGGCGTCGGCGCGTTGCTGGGAACTCGGGTCACGAATGTTAACATCATATCCTGCAGATGCCCAGATGCATCCTGTATATGAAATTTAAATTAGTATATTTCGTTTCGACACCCAGCCATGATTATTTGAGACATACCAATCCGGCGCCCGAGAACACCACCCCCAAGGACCGCAACGGGGCGTTTGCGGTAGTCGGACGGTGGTTGCCAGGATGCCATTCTGTTTAGACTATATATGCTGAGCAGGACAGGGTTGCTTTCCTTGATAAGTCGATACTGAGATTCAGTGCAATACCGTGTTGAGCCACAACCAACCGAGAAGAGAAGCTGGCGCCGTGTACTCTTTTATACACTTCCTACGCAATTCGATATAGTTCCTACGGCTACCTTGCACACTGCCCGAGAATCTCCGGGACGGGCGGCATTATGGAGAGAATGACAAATCCCGGAAGCTCGGCCATTAACCTATGGATATTTATGCTCGGATCTGGCTCTCCGTGGCAAATGAATAACTGGCTGTTGTGGCCTGTAAACCGATCATAGAGCGAAAACGTGGACAGAACATCGGGTACCTGAACCACGGCAAACCGGGCCCACTATCAGATCGGTTCGGCAGTCAATGATACTCGGCCCGGTTTCTAGGTCTGCCATTGAGTTCCAATTGGCTTCAATTCTGGCCGAGGTTACTTTGAAACAGGCTTCATATCGCTCACCGAAGACCAACCGGTTCCCCCAGCGAACGTAATTTACTAGCAACACGAAAACAAAAAAAAAAAGAGAGAGAGAGAGAGAGAGAGACAAGTATGTCAAGTAGTCTGCGGATAGTTATGTAGATTGTAAGTTGTGCATGGTAATCTCTGACGATCTTTCGCATAACGTGCTAGAGGACTTCTTAGCTATGTGCTGACAATGTCCAACTTCTTCTCCTTTTTCTATTTGGGATAGAATCTAGTCCTTGGCAGAGGCCGCTCAAGAAATGAGGACATGGAGAAGTAACCAGTAGTAGTTGAGTCTATTCTAATTCTATCAAAGTCCAAAGTTGAAAAAAAGGTGACAACAACCGAAGCACTCAACAAGTTCCAAAACACATTGCATGCAACTCTAGAAGCAGAAAATTTGATCGCTCATTTTTGACACACTCCCTGGGGCTTGGAAACCCATGTTTATCAATGCTTTCTTCGAAGCATTTACCATCCCCGGAGGTCCGCACAGCATGATTTTGGTATCCATAGATGGTTTGGGTAATTTAGCCGCCATCACATCAGCCGTAACAAATCCTTTTCCATAGGCCCATTTCTGAGGGGGGTTGTCCAACATGTACCAAATCTTGAAGTTCCTCGGGTAGTGGCGAGCGAAGAATTCCAACTCTTTCCTTAGGAGGATATCCTCTTCAGACCGGTTGGCATAGATCAGACTTACTTGTGTTAGGTCGGTCTCATCCTCACAGATCGCCCGAATAAGTTGATACATTGGTGTAATTCCAGTACCTCCGGCGATCATTCCTATTTGTTTGCAGAGGCCAGAATGATACTTCATCGCACCCTTCGGGCCTCGAAATAGGACCTTGTCGCCAACCTCCAGATTTGCGAGATAATGGCCCGTGAGAACGCCATCTGGGTAGCACTTGATGACTAGCTCAAGCTTGCCTAAGTCGGTATTGTTCGACGTCGGGGTGTAAGAACGAGAGACAGCTGCCCCATTGATAGTAGCTTTGATGGCAACGTGCTGGCCGATAGGAATGCCAATTACGTCCGTTGGGTTGGGTAGTTGGAAGACAAAGCGGAAAACATTCGGCGATAGCTTGTCCTTCTTAATTAGAGGAAGACTTTTGTATTCCTTGGGTTCGAGGAAACCTCTCGCAAGATTGGGGTTGAGCTTAGCGATCTTGCGACTTTTAACATGTGGAGGGTATCTTTCGAAACCAGCCTCGATATGAAGGACCTTCGACAGCTGGACTCCTATCATTCCTCCGGCAGCTGCACATAAAGCTGTAGCGCTGATGAAGCCGTTCGAGAACCCTCCGCGTGGAAGTTGGATCTCTGGCAGATCCTTAAGCCACACCTTGGGAAGTCGGGCGAGTTTGTCGGGAAGGTCGATGTAGCTTCGGGAGAAAAACAGCAGTGATGCCAAACCACCAAGAGAGGTGATAATGGCAATATTTCCCAACATGGAGGATTTGGTTGTTGGGAGAGGTGCGCTTTGTGGAATCACACGGACAGCTTTCGGGCGAACAACCTCCTGGGAATCCTTTAAGGTGCCAATCAAGTATTGTTCGAGGATCTCACTGGCATCCTCTGAGTGTCCGACGTCTTCGAAGGCTCCCGTTGCGTCCGTTCCGCCGACGTCGATGAGGAGGTCTTGTCCTCCAGGATGGTCTTGGATGTACTTCGTAATGTCATAGACTGGAGTGACTGAGATTAGGGAAATGAAACGGAAGTGCCCTTTGCTCACTAGACTCACCTTTGCCATGAATGGCGACCCAAAGGTCACTTTTTGTGTTGTGACCTTCAATGTCTTTAAGAGAAAACTCCCGTGTCGATGCCATTTTGAGATGTAGTTGTACCCCTTCGTATAGCTGACAGAAAAATCGATTGGTACAGAGTACTGTATACGCAAGAGAAACGATAAGAGCTCAAGCAATTTTATGTTGTCACCTTGGGGAAATATACTAACATATCAAGTCAGGGAAGCGAGTAGAGACGGCGTGGGGTGGTGACAAGGATATCGTTTTATGTTTCCGTCAGTAGGTATGCATATACCTCGCAATTTCCCGCCACACACATGTTCTCCTTTTCTGCTCTTATCTCTTGCCCCTACGAAAGCATCTAGATCTGCTCACTAAACCACAAAAATAGCTCACTTCGTTTCCACCGTTATATGTCACCTCGGCAAGCAAAGCGTCACTAAATTAAGGAGGCTGTGATATGTCGCAGCCCCTGCAGCAAGCCGAAGAAGCCGAGGAAGCCGAGGAATTGGATGTCGATTATCCAATCGGGATATGTATATGCAGCGCACTGTGGCCAACCAAATCCTCGGCATCTCTTTTTAACCGATGGATACCCCGTCGATCATCCGGCATCCCGATCATAGTCGTATCCGATTGGGTTTGACACTTATTTCAAGGTACAACATCGCGGCAAAGCAATATCTAAGCTGAGAGAGTTGTGGGGCATGTCATATACATATTCCCTGGTCATTAAAAGGCGCTATCACTATATAACTCCATAGCTACGCCGGAGAGTGTGGCCAGACATGACCTAGTCAGTCACATCAATTGAACTGTGTTTTCGCAATTAACAAAGTCTAAGATCATGCCTGGTCTTCAATTCCCTACAAAGCAATTCTACCTCCTTGGTGAGGAAATCTCATCTGCAAAGGAACTGGACCTAGACCCTTCGTTGAATATCGATGGACTCCAACACTTAATCGCGGCTCACTTCGCTATTGTTGAACCGACAGGTCAGTAATTTTGTGTTTTTCTTCATTCTTTCTTCAGCAATATACCCATGACTGGTTCCTTTCTGACAACATGATACTGACGCATGACTGGTCAGGAATTGGTTTTCAGACAAAAGATTCCACCCTCGCGGATATCGCCGATATTATCGCCTCTGACGGCCCAGTCGCAATAACAATCGATGGGCATGCGGTTAGAGAACCCCCGGGCCCGAAGGGTCTACCGTTCGTGGGAAACTTCTTGCAAGTGTACCCGGACCACCTGGGTAACCATCAGCGTCTGTTCGAACAATACGGACCGGTCATCAAGACGAATAACATGGGCCGTGTTACTTATCAGACAAATGACCCGACAATCTCCGCGATCGCTTTATCGGAGAGCGACTTCTTTACCAAGGGCATCAATGAAGCGCATCCTCTCTTCGGCCTGAAGACGCCAGAGGCTGGAATCTTCCTCGGTGATACCGATACGCCGGAGTGGAGAGTTGCCCATAAATTTATACCACCCGCTCTCGGGCCTAAGGCTGTCCGTCATTATGCGCCCACTATGCAGAAGACGGTTGAAGATTCTTTCAAGGTCTTTGACGCGCTTGACGAACAGGGTGAAGCTTGGAACGTCTACCAGTACATGTTGAAGCTCGGCTCGCAGGCTGTCGGCAAGCTTACGCTGGGCATAGATTTCAACCACTTTACGCACCCAGATGCGCCACTTCATGAAATGGTCCATCTGATTGCTGAGCTATTATCTCTGAATAAAAAGGTCACCTCAAAGGGTGACTGGTATGCCGCTTTGCCTTTTGGTGACCCGAAACGACTTAGGGCTACCAAGCGGCGCATTGAGGAAATGGTGGATGATTCAATTCGAAAAGCTGCGAGTGGCGGAGTAGAAGACCTTCCCTTACAAGAGGCTGCATTGCTAGCTGCAAACATGGTCGGTAAGTGATTCTGAATCAGAGTATATCCTTTCCAAAAAGCTTATGACTATGGAGACTACGCGATACGTGCCACGGACAACAAAGGCGAAAAGCTTCCCAAGGAGAGCTTAGTCTGGGCCCTTACAGTTGCGACTGGTGCGGGTTTTACAACAACTAGCTCTCTCCTCTCATGGCTTATCTACGGTCTTACTACCTATCCTGGGATGCAGGAACGCCTTCTCCAGGAACTCATCGACAACGATATTGATGAGAACACTGAGATCACCGCTGATGTTACCGACCGTTTAAGCTTCTTAGACAAATACATCAAAGAGACACAGCGTCGTCACAACCCCTCCTACCAGCCAGGACGAACTGCAAAAGTCGATCTTGTTCTTCCAGGAGGCTACAAATTGGCCAAAGACTCGATTTTGATTCCAGCGCTACATCACATCCATAACAACCCCCAACACTGGGACAACCCCGGCCGCTTCGATCCGGACCGATGGGACACTCCTGCAGTCAAGAACAGACACAAGGCTGCTTATATACCATTTGCAACGGGACAACGTATGTGCATAGGATTCAACTTTGCACTGCAGGAGATCAAGGTCTTCCTTCCGAAGCTCGTATACCGGTACAAGTTTACTCGAGAAGGGGATGGCATTATTGAGTATGATCCCATGTTCCAGCTCATCAGACCGAACAATCTCTATGTACGTGCAGAGAGAAGAGTCAAGTGGCCGCCGAAGAGTAACGCTGCGGTTGGAAAGACTCTTTCCTGAGCGCAGGATGTTCGCATCCCATTCGTATACATTTTCAACTTGGCCGTTATCTCGGGTGATGCGTGTTGATTATTTCAGATTTAGAGAATAGAATCTACGGGTTTTGATACATTTGCGTTGGTATTTACAATTAAGTAGGGATTATGTTAGCAACTGTAACTCTCAATTGAAAAAAACTAAGATGTCTTGTTATATGTAACCATTGCAATGAAACTCTTTCGAAATAGTCCCAGGAGTAACGTAGCTTATACGGTAGGTTTTCGCTCAGTTGTTTTATCTTTCGAACACATGTTCAGGTATGGGCTTGCTAATACCCATCTTCGCTAAGTCGAAAGGAAGAACATTGGGCCGCTCATGCTCATCTTCAAAGCTATCTCGTTCCAGGCCTGTCTCATACGATACAGTATTAGATAAAGCGCAAAACGGATTTTCACCGTTCTCGTAGAGGAATGCGTGTACTTCTTTTTCAATCCATATCCCGAACCCTGTCCAAGGACATTGCGGTGTTAATCCGATTATCAGCCTTGGTCGGGAGTTAATGTCTCGCTCGTGCCAGCCAAACGTTTCCCTAAACGGGCGGTATCGAGTTGTAGGCTATGTATGTACTATGGCCGAGCTCCAAGCGAGTTATCTGCGAGGCCAACTCCGCTGCTATAATATAGAAGCTGGCTCGTCAAAACCTGTAATTGGCGATTATACTTGGTAGAAGAGTAAGCTACATCTATACCGTTTGTCACAGAGATATGGGTTATCTAAAATATGGTTCTTGTTTATCTGCCTCTCATGGTCTTTCTATCTAGTATAAGTGAAGGTTTCTATGGGGTCCTAGGTATTTTACTATATAGTTACCTAATATCTATATACGCAGAATGTCGGCGAATAAGTATCGATAGAAGTTAGAAATACTAGCGAGTCATTATAGAAGAATAGCTTAGCCAGGCAATCTGACATGGTCTCAGCCGCAACAGAATTTAATGGAGTAAACAACAATACGTCCTTTCCCAGACGTTCCCGGCACCCCATATATTCAACTGCTTGATTCAAAGCGACAAAAAATGGCACTGGTGACACATACTGTACTATAAATTGGTTGAGAGGAGACCAAGAGGATTGTAGTATCCCAACACCGAAAAAGCTCAAAAAAAATCCATCGTGGTACAGGTGTATTCAGACGGTTGGGTGAGCGTGCATGTACTGCAGCAGCCCTAAGCCGTAAGGACTCCGAATCTGGTAGATAGTATTCTTTCTTAGTCTTGGTCGTACAGCCCAAATAGGACAGACAGGTTGACATTCCCTCGAGCAGTTATTGGTCAATACGAGCAGTTCTGGTGCTATAAATACTTGGCGAGTGTTTCAAAGCTTGGCTTGTAGCTAAGCTTTTGCTCGCTAACCGCTAGGGAACTAGTTCTGTTGGTATAGAGCCTGATTGCCAAATCATACGTCGCCTTCCGACCACGCTTGGAATCCACCGACGGGGAGCTTTCATTCTTTTTCGACTTCTATCATTGCGCGAATAGGCCACTGTAAGCCACCACCTACTTATTGGAGAAAATTGACATCTATATGCGGTATTATCCTCCAGTCACAAACCACTATCGGCCCCAGCCCATGTCTCCTACCAAACTTCTCCAAGTTACCTTTTGCTGGCACTCGCCTGTCATTAACAACAAGATTACAGAAGGCCGTACGGTACGGCTTCCATTCCCTGTAAGGAGAAGGTGTCGACGATATCCACACTAGCCGAAATAACCCATACATCTCTCTCCTTTGACGCAAAGCATCAGCCTGCAATATTCCACTATGGTATGAGCTCCATGAGAGGTTTCTCTGGCAATAGCGTCGTGGACAGATAGATAGCGAACCGGGAATTATATCAGCGCCACAACTTGTCACGCACTCTATGTATACAGCGTCTTATTCGCCCTTGAGGCATGACGGGTCAGGTGGGAGGTATCGTACTCTCACGAGGAACCGCCTCGACGATCATGAGGATGGTTCCGTGTCCTAGCCCAGGCTGTCTCCCCCTGAAGCTTGAAAGCGCTATGGCTTTGTTGACCCAGTATATGCGAGCCTGCATTGTCATGATTCGGTTAGGTCCATAAAAACATGGACGGGTGTGTACGGGACAGGTCGACCTACACTACGAGTGGGGATATCTCCATGGCTCAACTAAGTTACTGGATTAGCCCCTGCACGGTTCTTACCCTTTGGCAGAGGGGAAGATTTTAATTTCCCGTCTATACGATGTACCATTCTTATTACTTAAAGGCGGGACCAAGTACAGTACACCCAGAAGAAACTGAGTGGAAGGCAACTTTCGACAGCAGACTCCGGTTGCTAAAATGTTGCTATGGTTGACTCGATGCCTCCCGGGCTTTAGCTTGCTGGCGTTGGCATGCCTGCTGCTCTCTGCCTTTTCGGACACCCTGAAATCGCCGTCATGGAAAGGCAGAATTCCCCGACCCGGCGATGGGTCAAAAGGTGAAACGGAAAAGCCGTTGAATATGGCCCAGGAGGTGTTTGTGATATACACCATCTTCATCCACGTCAATATGTTTGTTTTCACACTACGCCTTGCTTTCTCCCTATTCTCGATGACCAAGAAAACCCGTGGAACCGTGCTCAAGCACCAACCAGACGCGTCAATGATGGCACTCTCCGAAGACGGTACGAAGTCTGAGGGAAGAAGGTCGGTCACGTCCGGTCTTCAGAAGCAATCCGATCTGCCTGCCAGGGAACCTACCGACGAGATCAATGACAGCAACCACAGCCGAGACCTGATACATGCGATCATTCTCCCCAACTACTGTGAGGATCTTGATACGTTACGAACAACTTTGACTGTCCTGGCGAGCCATCCGACAGCAAAATGGCAATATGATGTTAGCTGACATTCTGCGCCACTATGCCGTTCCAAACGAGACTGATAATTTCCAGGTATATTTGGCGATGGAGCAAAAGGAAAGTAGCGCGGCCGCCAAGGCAGCACGACTGCTCTCTGAATTCGAGAAGTCCTTTCTTCATATCGGGGCGACGTTCCATCCATCCGGCTTGGTGGGGGAAATTGCAGGCAAAAGTTCGAATGTGGCCTTTGCGGCGCGACATATCCTCGAAGCGCACCGTACAGCATTGCGCGCAGAACCCTGTAATGTGCTTGTCACCGTGATGGACGGTAAGTGCATACATAGATGCCATTCAGATGCGCAGATCGAGTCCGTCTCTAACACATTTGGCGTCCGCAGCTGATAGTCACTTGTCCCAATATTATTTTGCCGAGATCCAGCGACTGAACTCTCACCATCTTGGCGAGGCTGACCGTTCGTTTTATTGCTGTCCGATCATCTTCGACCGCAATTCGCACGATACGCCCGTGCTGGTGCGATGCGCCGATCTTCTCTGGGGGTTCGCAGGCCTGTCGACCATGTATCCGGGCACGTGGCTGGCGCTTCCGACGTCTGTTTATTCTCTGCCGCTCGCGCTGGTGGAAAGAGTTGGCGGGTGGGATAGCGACCCAACGGCGATCGGCGAAGACCTGCACATGTTGCTCAAGTGTTATTTTGGCACGCAGGGAGACATCGTTACGCGCGTGGTTCCCGTGCCGGCGAGTCAGTGCAATGTGTCGAGCGACAAGGGCCGCGGCTGGCGGCGCCAAGTAGAGACGCTCTTTGCTCGCTATCGACAAGGTCTGCGACACATGTGGGGAGCACTCGATACAGGATTCGCAGCACGGCAGATGGCGATCAATCTTCGTCTTGGTCGCCGGCGTCTGTTTCCACGGCTGCGCGATATCACCATCGTCCATCTGCTGTGGGAGGCACACTTTTTGCCCTGCCACCTCACCGTCTTGCTGGTTTTCTCCGTCCTCTATGAACTCTGCGTTCCAACCACCCAGGTGCACCCTGCCATTGCATGGGCATTTTGGTTTACCGGTCTGCTGCGGACTCTCTCTTTTATCGGCATGAACGTCAACCTTTCCATGTACGGACGCTGGCATGCGATGTGCCTCGACATGCGGATGCAGGATATGCGTGCGGCCAACCTGACCGGAACTGGTTGCTCGCGGCGAACATGGTATCAACCGCAATATCTTCTCGAAAGGATCTGCTTTCCAGTGGCAGGAACCGTGTTCGGAGCACTACCCACTCTGCATGCCGTGTTTGCTCATTTTTGGACGGATCGCCTCGTGTATCGAGTGAGTCAGAAGCCAGTCTTCAGCGTCGAGAGCAGCGCGATTGTCTAGGGTAGGGTTTCTGGTGAGTTAATCGTATTTACTGACCAGTGGCGAGGGATATATCAATGATTTTCGTTCTGTGTTGACGAGTTGGTATACATTATTACGTATTTTAATGATGATAATGGACCGAGTTATGCTACATGTATATAGTTGACTGTACTGTCAGTCTACTTATATTTCTATTTATCTATATTTGATCAATATATATACATTATTTATCGATAAGAGATATAAAAAGAACAACAACTACAATGCCTACCTGATTGGGATAACGCTTAACCTAATATAGAATAGCGCCCTCGTGGTCCGGGAGATCCCTTTCGGCAGGCGGAAGACACCAGCAGAATGTGTCACCTTCGCCGCGGTATCTCCGGATTGTAATAATGTCTTCCCGCCAGGATATCTAAGGCGAATTTTTCGAATGTTCGGGGCTTAAAGAGAGGAGTCTTGAGTGAGCGGGCCAAGACCGAGGTAACATCATCACAGATAGCTCTGCGGCCGCATGGCACTAAAGACTGCGATATCACCATCGGGAGTCAAGATCCCTGTCGACCGGATGGCTGACAATACTTCCGAGGCTCGTCAGTTCACCTTCGTCCTCCACGAGGGTCAACAGGGTCTCCGTAGCCATGCTATGCGAGAATACTGGAAGAAGAGGCACCAACAGAAAAGGGAAGAAGAGAGGGCTAAACCACAGCCCCTTCGTCACCTACTACCAGGCAAGGAATCAGGCGCAGAGACAGCATCGAGCACCACGAGCGGTCCATCGCCCTTACCATCATCGAATAACGGCTCCCCCACCGCGCTGTCAGTTGTCTCTCAAGAGAGACAACCTTCCACCGAAGCTCAGTACGCCCCGTCAAACCGGTCGGTGACTCATGAGCCAGTTGGGTCACCAGATCATAAGCCGCCTTTGCCTGGTATCCCAGCTCAAGCTCTCACCGGATTAAATTATGCTCTTGCCTATACCCGGCTGGATCCGTTCGATACATTCCCCGTAAAGCTGGGCGCCAAACACCACAAGCTTCTTCACCACTGTATGCACGTCGCAAACAGAGAATTGGGGACTGGGATGAGGCTTTGCTAACTTACCATCTAGGGCTCACTACCCACGCTACTATGATGTTTGAGGAGCTCCCGATGCCTTCATTCAATCCGATGCGCGACGTCTGGTTTCCACTGGATCTCTCGAATGAAGCCTCGTTCAACGCCATCATGGCACATGCGGCGGCTCACCTAGACCAGATGCATGGTCTCAGAGCCTCGACTGACGCATTGCTATTCAAAGCCGAGGCTGTCCGGATTGTATCGACATGGCTGAACGATCCGGCCCGTGCCCTAAGCGATGAGGTCTTTGCTGCCGTTCTCCGTCTATTAACTTTCGAGGTTGGTGCCCATTAACCATCATATGCGATCCAGATAGGCTGATATTCTTGGAAGAGGTATTGGGGAACCGAGTCAGAGTGGCGAATTCATCGTGATGGACTCCAGCGCATGATCGAGGCCCGTGGTGGAATTGAAGCCCTCCAGAGTAATTGGCGTCTCGAACTAGTCACATTCTTGTGAGTAATGTCCCTGTGCGATAGATTGTTCAGCAGGCGACATGAGTGCTGATGAAGTCGCGTCCTAGAGTTTCCCTCATGTCGAAGCCCTCCTGGTTTGACTCCTCCAACCGCATTTGGGAGATATGCGAACAGCCATTTACACCCGATTTACATCCTATAATGGGAGATATGGAGAATCTGCATCGTGTACGCTGCCTATGGCTCATTTCCTTTATACAGGATATGCGCACCTTGATGGGCGGTTCGTCACGGCTTTACTTGAGTGGGCTGTCTTTCTATACAGCTGTACGAGATGCTGCATTACTCCTGTGGGCCGACTCTAAACATCACACATACACGGCCATGCATCGACCCGAGTGTACCCCTGCGGAATTTCGCCGACTGGCATGTTTATTTTTCATTAGTGTGTTGTTGCAAGGGTCTATGTCGACCCATGAATACGCCGTTTCTCCTTCCTCGCCCCAGGCCCCTATGAACTCGCCGGTTCTCGACGACCTATTACTTCTCGATACTTACCTGGACTGCTCGCGCCCATTGTGGCAGGGGTCTGTGGAAAAACTTCACACGGCTCTATTCCGCGACTTTACGGGTCTCCCTGATGGCCCACAGAAGATGAAATATGTCTTGAACATGACTGATGTGCTCCGGTGCATGAGTGTTGAAGCGCGTCGCGGGGTCGAAAAATGCTTGTTAAATATGCTATGCCGCACCAAAGGAAGCGAACTTCGGTTCTCCCCTGATGATGACTGGACACCGGATTCTTTGTTATCATCCTTCCATGGAATCTGAACATTCTCGTTCACTGCATGGTTCGATTCATACACACGAAAAAAAGTTAACGGTCCTACTGAAGCGTTCTTTCACCCTCTTGATTCAACGTTGGTGATCAATGACTGCGAACCGTCTCCATCCAATCGATTATCTCGCCCTACGGACTGTGTTCTACGTCTTTGAGACTCAGGGTGATCTTCCAAAACTTGAAGTCCTCTCAAGGCCAGTATATTTCTTTCCTTCGAGTAGGGCGGGATATGCTACCTTGAACTTGGCTTCTCTATAATCGATGAGAAGTGCGCTATCACTCGCAGAATAGCAACGTGGACAGTCTGCTTAACATCCTCACCAACGGCATACCAGGAACTCCGTATCAAGCAGTGAGGATTGTCAGGCATGGGACTGCGTCGGTGATGCGCAGGCCCCTTGGCCCGTACTACAGCGTCTAACGATTAACAATATCCTATCAAATGCCATCGCCGATCTACGAGCAACAATGTGGTAGGTCGATGGAGATGCCATACAACCATTGCGGCAGACTGTTCATTTCCGCTTCTATTCAGGGGCTATACTTCCAGAAACTGGTCAGAGATTACCCTAGGACTGGGGTATTTATATTTTGGAGCATGTACCGCGACATTGTCTATGGGCTATTTTGTCTCATTATTCAGGAAGATTGGTACGAGAGTGGTTAATCTCCTGCACAAGCAAGTACTTCAGAGGTGGTTAAGGTTTGTATTTGGTTGTCTACATGGATCCATGCGATTCAGCTTGCTTTTGCCATACGGGGAGGTACACGACGAGGTCTAGAATAACAGTTGGCCCGTCCTGATTCAGTTTCCATGTTTATATATTATGAAGCGATACGCGATGTCTGGGCCACTGGTAACAAGAGAAGTCACCCTTATAACAGGCTTTTCCATCGAAACTGACCTGTTTATCTCTTTCAGAGCAGCGCTGTCGCATTTCATTCACCGGCTGTATAACTAAGATAGAGTTCAAGATTACATGTAATATAGCAATTAGATATTGCAAAGGGTACAAAGTTTCAAGCAAGGCAATTCAAGCTGGTTTCGATCAGACTATGCTTCCGTGCCATTTAATATATATTCGACACAACAAATGAAGTGATCATTAGGGCCCTGGGGCCACTAACTAATGATGTAATAATTTCCCACATAACTAAAGCCTAGACTTCCGTATTGGGAAGAAGTAATTTACCAATCGCGGAAACTGATAACCAGCTGCGCTTACCAGGAACTTAGAACGCGTCATGATCGAGAAGGATTAATAGTCCCCTATAAATAAAGAGTATAGATGCGTCCTATATGCTAAATGTAAATGGTCTTATATTGATTTTAGCTATTGGGGAAGTCTGTAAGGTAGTTCTTGCATAGATGATCTGATTAGATACTATAAATAGAGTAGCTGTCCCCGTCGTTTATGCGGTCTTTTAAGTTGCGTCTTATTTACACCTCACAATTCTATGTACATAGTAGCATTTTCTAACCTTGCACGAGAGTTGTCGCATGAATATAATACATTTATGTTTTTACACTATTAATACACATAAAAGGATCCCTAGGAGTCACGCTATCAGAAAACGGTATCAGGCGATTAGCTGACGGAAGAGAGAATTTTCAAATTATGATATGCGCCTTAAAGACAATGGCGAACAATCCTTCGAGTCATATTTCCAGTAGAAGTCTCTAAGTCTCTATTGGCTGATATCAGACAGCGTATCATTATACTCTCCTTTCTCCCGCACGCCAGTCTTACTCGGCCTGACGATGGATCAACTAGTTACAATCACTTGTCTGCTCCAGTAGCGAGCATTCTATTCTCTGGCCGGATCGGTGCAAATCAAGAGTGTTCTCGGTGGACAGACTAACCAGCAGCAAGCAATTTAAAAAAAAAAAAAAAAAAAAAAAAAAAAAAAGGTTTATGCATTCTGCTTTGGCATAAACTGTTTGCTTTTTCGCTGCTAAAAATTTGACATAAGGTTTATTAAGCTAAGAAGAGAAATAAATAAGGTGTCTTACACATAAAATCGTCCCATAGACTAAATAGATTCTGATTTATATAAGTTCTAACAGACTACTGCAGCAGTGCAGTTTACCGCTGCTTTCGCTCATTATCACGATTTGAAGTCTCCAATGGCCCCCATACCATATCACGCACATAGAACGAGTGTACGAGCGCCCACAAAGCAAACCCAATGGTGCAAAAGATAGCATCCCAACTTACGCTACTGACAGCTGGGTGCTCAAAAATAGTCGCCAGGGATCTCTCCCATGGGTTTCCTGAGCTTTCGCCGGACCTCTCCAACGCGCAGCTATCTCGTGCACGTCGCAATGGGGGTGGGGAATTGTCCGCCAGAGCAGAAAATGTCGACAAGGAAAGAAGCAAAGATGATACCGCAGAGAGGACCCAAAAGACGGAAATGTACCATCTTGTCGCTGCCTCGACGCTATAATGGAGACTGCGTAGCGACTTCGGCGCCTTCTCAGGGTTCACAATTGCCGGGATAAAGAGCACGACGTGCGGTACAAGCAGGACGAACAAGAAGTATGGCGTGGATAGGGTAGACGGGACGAGGGCGGTTATGAACAGCGAAATTGCAAGAGGCAAGAGTTCGATAACGACAGAATAGGCCCATATGTGTGGGGAAGGCCTCTTATCGACTGGAACCGGGCGATAGAGCAGCACCGCGAGGTAAAACAGGTTCTGGGCGAATGAAATGGCGACGATTTGCCCAAGTAGCATGTATGCCCAGATATGGGGGATCTGGTTGCGGCGGCCTAGAAGTGGAAAGTTTGCGATAAGCAGACAGAAACTAGCGTTATCATTTACAATATAAAAGTATGCATATCAGATTGGAGTTTACCGGAAATGCCCAAGAAAAGACTCCATCCAGTTGTCCATAAGAAGATCTGCTCGCTCCACCAGAACCGCCATGGCGACTCCACGACTGCTCCCCAAGCTTCCCGGAAGAGCTTTGTGTCCTTTAGCCAGAGCTCAAGATCCCGCGCCGTCAGTGGTGTGCTTTCCACAAATCCCGTCCGACATGCCCAGTCCCGATAGGAATATGCGAAGAAGGAGAACATATGGTACCATGTGGCACCGAGGCTGAGAATTGCAAGGGTCGCAAATAATGGTATGTAGCGATGCTCTGCTCGCTTTTGCCCATGCTGCCTCAGGTATCGCAGTCGGCTGTAGAGCGAATGAACAATGTATCCTGTGAGGCTTGCACATACGAGCAAGTAACCAACCAAAATTGGAAGGGATCTGTAGAAAGGACCGTCCGAAGTCGTGGACATAATGGCGGATACTATCTGTGGTGAAGCTCACAAAGCAAAGTATGCGAAGTCTTTGATGTTGCTGTCTCTCTCAGATTTCTTCTCCGGATCCACCGAAGCTGCCGCACCAATTAACTAGTGCCTCCGCTAAGAAACTGTCCGATTGGTATCAAGATTATCAACTGTATACATTCTATCAATAGCTACTTACCTTCAGTTTATAAATTTGTGTGGCCAAAATTTCTGTTATTGAATGGAGGACTAACTTAGCAAGAGAGCCACCGAAATACTCCCTTTGAGACTTCCCAAGCATAAATCTTTGTCATGGAAGTAGATACAGCGACTATAATTCTGGTACTATTGATAGTTTTGTCTTCAATACCAGTGAACAATAGCGATACTAGGTGTATAGGCTAGGTAATTAATAATACATGCACCGCGCTCCTGCAGATGATATCTCCAGCTCTTTGAAGGAGCCTCTGCGTATTGCATTAGGTTATGTTACAATCGCCTACATGCGTATTGTTCTAGGAGCTGTTCGGGCCTCTACAGATAACTTGCCATACTATTGTTTGTAATTGAGGTGGTCACCTGAAAACTTGAGATTTGCATGGCATCCTTATTTCTGTATGTCCTCCTTGCGCAGGTAGCTAGGTATCTTCTCGCCAGCACGCCATTTATATTGGCTTCCAGGATGGTCTTCCGGTAGTCTCCTAGATCCAATAAAGACTTCTCTTGCTGTCGCACCCTCCTTGGCTACTTTGCTCCGGAAACGTCCCCGCTTCCGCAGCTCTGGCAGTAGGTATTCAATAATGTCTTCAAAGGTGCCTGGATTGGTGATATGGGCTAGGTTGAACCCATCGACTCCCGAAACCTCTACCCAACGCTCAAGCTCATCTGCAACAGTCGACGGACTACCAATGACCTTTGCTTGGAGCCCACCAACGCTGATATATTCGGCAATTCGTTTCTTAGTCCATGGGAGGTTATCAGTACCGGGGACTGTAGCAGACCATCGCCGCACAATGGACTGAACGCGTGGAGAATCACTCAACCTGAAGTCCTCATCATCGGCGTAGCCCGATAGGTCAACTCCTGTCCATCCGCCAAAAAGCGCCAGGGCACCCTCCTGATTGGCATATCCTAGGTATTCTTCCCGCTTGGCTTTGGCTTCTTCATCGGTAGCGGCCACAATCACATTGATTCCAAGAATCACTTTAATGTGATTCGGATCCCGCCCTTCCTTCTTTGCGACATTGCGAATATTATCCACGGTCACCCGAGCAACCTCCGGAGTTTGGCCACCGATAAAGATTGCTTCTCCATGTTTTCCTCCAAACCCATTACCAGCCTCTGAAACACCGGCCTGGAACAAGAAGGGAGTGCGCTGTGGAGAGGGCTCACAGAAATGTGGCCCTGGAACCTGGAAATACTTCCCTTGATGATGAATCTGTAGCACGGCATCACTGGCGATGTACGTTCCACGTTCTCGATCTGCTAAGACGGCATCGTCGCGGAAGCTCCCCTCCCAGAGTTTGTAGAGCACCTCCATATACTCATGCGCAATCGCATATCGCTCGTCATGCGGAATTTGCTCATTCAGTCCGTGATTTCGCGCAGCACTGTCGAGATAGGATGTGACAATATTCCAGGCGACGCGTCCCTCACTGAGATGGTCCACCGTGGAAAGCCTTCGAGCCAAGGCGTATGGCTTCTCGTAAGTCAGGCTTGCAGTGACCCCGAAAATCAGATTTTTTGTTGCCGCTGCCATTGCAGGCACCAGATACAATGGGTCGTTAACGGGGAATTGTGCTCCTGCTGCTAAGGCGGGCACGACATTTGCAGGACCCTTATAAACATCATATGGACCCAAAGTATCCGCGATGAACATGGCATGAAAACCGGCATTGTCGAGTAATCGTGCTAAGTCGGTCCAAAAAGAGAGTTTCTTGTACTGATCGGTTTTGTTTCTCGGATGGCGCCATAATCCCGGGGCCAAGTGCCCAGGAGTGTTCATCTCAAAGGCATTCAGAATGAATTCTTTCTTTTCACCAGGGCTGCCCGCATCCGTCGCTGGCGCACTACGACTGCTATCGGCCATGCTGTTTACAACGCTGGGGTCGACCTTTTGAAGGCTAGGTGAATAGCAGATGGTGGCAATCTGGGAAAGAATCGGGATGTCAACGTTGATAAGTAAGCACCAGTCGAGTTTCGATTTCCTTGTTAGAAAAGACCAATTAACTATTTATGCCTGTCCCGTGGTATATTTAACATATTCGGACCCCTGCCAGGATGACCACTACTGAACGTGCGCAACTTTATGTTCCTTTCAGAGAGCTTTCTTGTTGGCCGCTCACCATCGTCATACTAGGCTTATTGCACGCCATTCTACCCCACTATCAACCATTCAGTTAACTTCAGGGTACCGTGTCTCGATTATTATTTCCATTATCTTGGCAAGAGGTTTTAGTTCCTCAGACGGACTGGAAATAAAATCAGAACGTGTTCACGGCTATTTGTTAGTGATGCTGTCTTATCTAGACTGTAGATGGCCATGGGTTCTAGCCCAGCACGCCATTCTGTATAACGCCATCACTGACAGCTACGACGTGACGGTTTAAGTGGCTCGGTACAGCTTCTCTGTCGGAAACGTTCCGACAGTGATTGACAAGTTAGTTTCGAGATTAAAAAACAACTCTGTCTCTGAGGGGAAAAAAGTTCATATGTCATAAACATAAATTCGCTGACTTTCCCATACTCGATGCAACGCTATCGATGACCAATTCACCACACTTTTATTGAGACTGAGGCTGATATATCGGAAGTATTTCTCTCTTTACTTAACTTTCCAGACCGAGCAGAAACTACCATGTCTGCACAATTAGGTGCAGAGGGTCTACAATTGATCCCTCAAGGGACAGCCTATGGCTTGCTTATAGGTCTAGGTGTACTATTCTGTGCTGTCATTTTGGTTGCTATCAAGATCCAAAAAGCTTATCTATCCGAGGATTCTGGTACCTCGGAGATGTTTATGGTTGCGAATCGATGGGTTGGGACAGGGTTAACAGCATCAGCGGTGTTCTCGTCATGGATGTGGATCAATGAGACCGTTTTAGCTGCAGCGATGTGCTATAGATACGGATTAGCAGTCCCTTTAGTCAGTATCCCATCCATTCGTTTGGTATTTCGCCTCACTTCATGACAAAGTGCTAATTATTCACAAGTGGTGGGGATCAGGCCTCTGCTTCCAAATCGCCTTGATGGCGGCACTGGGAGTCATGGCTAAAATAAAGGTCCCATATGCCCGCACATCACTCGAAATTATACGTATGCGATACGGCAAAATTGGGCATATTATATTCATCATACTAAATCTCACAAACAACGTTTTCGGATGTGCTTCAATGATTCTGACGGGCTCCCAACTTATCTACGGGGTGTCGGGCATGAACTTTGTAGCAGCAACTATCCTTATTCCTCTCGGAGGTAAGTCTTGCTAGAAATTCTTCCAATTTTCCGAAGAAGGAACGTAACTAAAACTATGGTGTCTGTCTTCCTTAGTGGTTCTTTACACGGCAGTAGGGGGCCTCAAGGCAACTTTTCTCACCGACTTCCTTCATACCGCCGTTGCTTTGATCCTAATCATATACTTCACGCTTTCTGTCCTAACTCATCCTGCAATTGGAGGACTGGGCGGTCTATATGACAAAGTGGTCGCTACTGCTAGCCAAAACTATATTCCAGGGAACTACGAAGGTTCTCTACTCACGATGAAATCTAAGAATGCAATCATATGGGGCCTGATCCTGAAATTTGGAAATCTGGCTCTTGTTGTCATGGTAGGTGCTCCATGCCCCCCTGGAAATTCATTGGATTTAGTTGCGGCCGATAACTGACCGTCATCAACAGGATACTGCATTCTGGCAGAAGTCCTTCGCCACTGAAGTCAAGGCTACAGTTCCAGGATACAACATCGCCGCGATAGCCGTCTTCGGTATTCCATGGGGTTTGGGGACTGTTATCGGTCTAGCTGCCAGAGCCCTGCATAATACGCCCATCTTTCCCACGTACCCAGGTCCTATCACTGAGGCGGAGGTCAACTCCGGCATGGTTATGCCTTACCTCGTTAAAGCCCTCATTGGTGATAAAGGACTAGTGGCTTTCTTTGTTTTGTTATTTATGGCTCTAACAAGTACAGTGTCGTCCTCAATGATTGCCGTGAGTAGCATTCTGTCATTTGATGTCTACAAGACCTACATCAACCCGAAGACATCAGATAAGAGACTCGTCGGCGTGAGTCATATTACAGTCGTCCTCCATGCGATTTTCATCACCGGCATCTCGATAGCCATGAACTATGGTGGCGCTAACATGACCTGGATCGGCTACTTGAGGCCCATCATCTCGTGTCCTGGCATTATTCCTTTAGGTCTCACATTATTCTGGTCGGGCCAGACAAGGCTCGCAGCAATACTGTCACCTGTCCTCGGCTTCTTCACTGGCCTTGCTATTTGGTTGGCTACGGCGAAATCGATATATGGTGCCGTTAATATGACCACCACCCAGCAAGGTGTTCCTGCGCTTTACGGAGCCATTGGGTCGTTTTTCTCCCCCGCTCTATACTCGGTCATCATATCCCTCTATAAACCGTACAAATTCGATTGGCAGGAGTTCCTTCGAATTGAAATTGTCGAGGACGCGCAACTACACGCAACTCCCTCATCAGCCGCTAACTATACAAAGAGGGATGGCATCGTGGAAGAGAAAGCTGTTGATGATTCTATTCGCCGCATAGCCGGGGATGCCCGTCTAGAAGCTGTCGAGCCAAATGACCCTGAGCACGGTCATGGAACTTATGAAAAGACTTTAGTTTCTGCAACCTCCTCTTCGGCAAAGCTTAGTCTGGATGACGTTCGCCATCCATTCGATGACAGAACATTGAAAGAACTATACCGATGGTTGCGTATCTCCTGGATCATATTTGTTCTAATTGTCCTGGTCACGTTCATTCTCTGGCCGATGCCGCTTTACCGGAATTATATCTTCACCAAATCATTCTTCTCGGGTTGGACAACTGTGGCCATAATATGGCAATTTGGTGCCTTTTTCGCAGTTGTTATATTTCCTCTCTATGATGGACGACACGCAATCGCGAAAGGTGCAAGAGGTGTCTGGAATTCATCCAAGAAATATCTTCGCAAAGATGAGGAGTAGGAATACAGTACCCAAGACGATATACCTATCCTATCACGAATTTTATATAGACGAGTATAGATAGATAGAAACAAACATTTATGTGAGAGTCCTTACCGCAGATATAAGTTGGCGTTACCAAGTACAATTATATCAATTTTCGAGCGAATGCACGGGACATAGCGGAGGTTCCACGGTTTAAATGAGGCCAACAGTCTTTTAACGTTCGTCAGAATAATAGTCAAGTGCCTCGGCTCATCATGAAAATAGAAGGTAGCTTGTCATATCACCGTTTCGTGCCCACCATGTTTAGGAGCTGACAGCCTGGCGCGCCGCAATAAGGCTCCGTGCGAGAAATAGTGAACCGATTGGTCACTCCGCGAATTGTACGTGCAAGTCAAAGTCCATCATTGGATGTTCTTTTCTTACCAAGCATGTCAGCAGAGTTAATACAACCCAACATCGCGACAACAGACCATTCAGCAAAGGAATGTGTCAGATTCAGGCAGACCAAAGAGGAGAATTATCCTTTGTGGTCGAGTTCTCCTCTTTGGTCGACGCCAATAGAACGGGCCGATATGGCGCATCTCAATCTACTGTAGTGTAATCACACATGGCTTCCAATATGATTCGACCTGTCACAATGAGGCGGGCCACGCCGAATTGGTGCCACCAGTCTACTGCGGGAAATGTTTTAAATTCTGATTTCGAACACGTTAAGTAGTTCTCTTACCTAACAAACTGCTGGTATCTATTCGTGCTCACAAACAAATCACCACAACGAGCCATAAACATGACATCACAAGCCGCAATAATTGAAGTTGATGATGGACGTGAGAATGATTCTGCAATCGGTGATAGCGACATTTCGTCGTGCACTACATCCATCGCATCAAGCGTCTTAAACTATGTCTACGAGAATGGTCGCCGCTACCATAGCTTTCGAGAAGGACAATACCTATTTCCCAATGACGAGACTGAACAAGACCGGCTGGACATGCTTCACCATATCTTTCGACTCATGTTGGGGGGTGAACTTTACAAGGCTCCGCTACCTACATCCCCGCGACGGATTTTGGACTATGGGACAGGTACAGGAATCTACGCGATAGATCTTGCCGATACATTCCCTAGTGCGGAAGTCATAGGAATAGATCTCAGTCCAATCCAACCACAGTTGTATGTATACCCAGCATCATTATACATGACAAACGCTGAGGATATTGCTTTTGCAGCGTCCCTCCGAATTGCAAATTTATCGTCGACGATGTCGAAGCAGACTGGACGTATTCCGAGAAATTCGACTACATTCACCAGCGAAACATGGTAGGCAGCATCTCAGATTGGGATGAGCTCTTTCAGCAGGCATACAAGTGGACAAATCCAGGTGGATATATTGAACTGCAGGAGTTCCGAGTCTGGTTTCATTCGCAGAATGATAGCCTCCCGGAAGCTTCTAGTATCAACCGTTGGCAGCGCATCTTGCTGGATGGAACCAAGTCTTTGGGAATGCCCATCAACATCATTGAAGAATTAGGAGATAAATTAAAGGCGGCTGGGTATACAGACCTCCATGAACATGTGTTGAGAATCCCCATAGGAGCTTGGCCCAAGAACAAGTCCCTCAAGGAAATAGGCACTTTCATGCAAGCCCATGCAATAGAGTCTGTGGAACCGCTGACGCTGGCTCTATTTACTCGACATCTGGGGTGGACGGAAATGGAGTCTCGTATTTTCATCAAGAAGGTTTGTGATGAATTCAAAGATACAAAGAAGCAGTTTTATGTACATGCTCATTTTATCTATGCACAAAAGCCGACTGCTTGAGGACTCGAAGATGTTTCCTTTGTGCTGTGATTCTCCCGGTGAATATTTCTCAAATCTGCCCGCTATTCTCAACATTTATTGCCATTTTCAGCGTTTTGGGCGTTCTGAGCGCTAAAAAATATCTAATACCACTCCCAAGTTATCCACAGAAAGCGTGAGTGAGAGCGTGGAGGTAGATTGGTGACGAATTCAGAGTTATTGTAGCGAACTAAGTAGTCTGGCTTGTTCCCATAATATCGGGGAGTCAGTGTTCTACCCTCTCCATCTGTTCTCTGTATCTCGTATACGTATCGTAGACGATAGTCGTCTCTATCTTTCTGCCGTACTAACGAAGAACATTGGCCGATTCGCCTTGTTCCAACGAAGACATCAATCGACCCATGGATCGCGACCTACAGATAGCATCCCTCAGAGAAACTTCAATTGGATACGTCCCAATTGTTCTGTTGCTGTCATACCTACACGAGTGGTCGCTGATTTCCACCCATGTGAAATGTACTGTTCCCTCAGAAGTGCTCATAAGACAGGTTAGCAAGCTATATACTAGTGTTAACCAGGAAACAGTTATCAAAATTCACCCATGTGTCAAGCTCCAATCATCTCAACTCGATCTAGTAGACAAAATAACTGACTGAACTAGATACTAACTGCGCATTCTGTCAATGTTCCACCGATAACTGGGGAAATATCTTGTCAAAGTTATGCTCATTCCAATAGACTCTAGGACAGACGCCAGCGAGCTTCCAACAACCATCGATCTTTTTATACCAATGCTTTACGCATGCGTGTCCATGTCCTTTTTCATCTACCACCGTGTGGTCCAGGTTTGCATAGCGCTGATGGGCGGCACGAATCTGGTGATGACCCACGATTTCCGTTTCAGAAACTCGCTCGTATTTCGCGGCCCCCATCAAATGCTGGGTACGGACAAGCGGGTCGCCGAGGAGCTTGGGAGATCTGATCATTTCAACGAACTCTTCCGCTGGCATTTCGGGGATGCAGTCATGGCCAATGATGCTGTAGTCGACCTAGAAGAAGCTTAAGCCAAGTCGTCATACATTTAAGGTAGAAAGAATCTGAAGGGAAATATATACCATCATTGTAGGTGCAAGAACATTCCGTAGTCGATCCCAGTCCTACAGGATGTTAGGTCAATCGCAAGACGATCCGAGATGTATCACCTTAGTGTCGTAGCTATCTGCCCACTCGAAGACTATGGCGGTAATAGCAAGGTAATCTAGAAGAGCTCAGTGATTCTAGGATAAATACTCGTCCTGCAAGGGAGCAATACCTTCAAACTGAATCTGTTCCATCTCGGAATGTCTATCTACCAAGGAGGAAAACGAGTTGCGGTTTCAGAGTTCAAAGGGTAATCGAAACAAGTCGTCTAGTTTACTATTGTGGTATTAAATAGCGGAAGAAGACAGCGGAAGAGCCTCAACACATCGAGGTATTTATCGGGCTCGCTACTTGCTGACCCCCTGCTGGGTGATTTCTTTGCCTGATCCCATGCACTAAGGCCCAGCGCAGTACTTATACGAAGACAGCCTTGCCGCCGCCCCCTCCCTCAACACCCCCGGCCCCTCTAGTAGAGAGGTGCTTGAAAGTTTCCAATTATTCGGCTCAAAGGAGTTTGCAGAACTCTTTAGGGTTATTAAATTCTATCCAAGATGTGAACCTGCTAAGTAACCTAGACGCAGCAAAAGCCCACTGGGAGGCCGCGGACAACTGGCCAATGTCGCCGCTGTTTGCTTAAATCGCTTCTAGGATCATGGTTTGTATATAATTCCATGGCTTAGCACGTCCCCATACTTACCCCACGGGAAGTCACCGTGCCCCGCCGACGTCAATTAATAATACTGCTACTACTAACTACTTTATGCCAGGTCATGCCGGAGTCAACTACCGAGGTAGAGATATTCCGGGCTCTTATTGCGTCCCCAAGAGCAGATAAGCTTCGCCTCCTCATGATTATATCTGCAGTGATGGCAATGCGAAGTCCCCTTGGGATGATTGCAGGGCACGAAATCGACGTTGTACAGGACGTTGCACGTGGAGCTGGCATAAATAGGGCCCGAAGCGGAGTATAAAATGGAATAAGGCGACCAACTAAACAACCAACCAACTATATCAGGACGCCTCGTCATACTTTAAGGCGTCTCACTGATAAGACGTTTAGTTCTATTTCTCGACAAGAATAATAGTTGCTAGATATTCTCCTAGGCTTTGGCTTCTGTTCATGAGGTTATGTCTGCAGATACTTTCTGAGAGGTGCATTCCAATAAATCGCTTTTAAAATTCATAAAACATTGACATTTCACTTTTTTTGCTTTTTTGTAATTCAAAACTCGCAGATCCCATATGGGACGCCCTAGAAGTGAAAGAAAACTAAGATAGGGAACCAGCCAATGGAAGTTATTGTTCTCGCTCGTGGATTTTTAGGTCGAATCCACTATACTAATTGATAGGCGGGGTTCAAAATGAATTTCAAACACTTGTCCTTTGCGAAACTCAGACCCAAAAGACTTATAAATTCCCGGAAATTTTGAAATCCAAAGCCCAACCCTTCCAAGGAACTATTCTTGGTGAACAAACAAAAATGGCTGGTCCGAGAGGAGCGCAGTCAAAACTGTTTACGCCGTTGACGATCGGCAACGGCAAGATACAACTCAAACACCGGGTTGTTCTTGCGCCATTGACGAGAAACCGTGGGACACCTCTGAATCCGAACAGTACGCCGGAGAATCCTAATAGGATATGGGTCCCTAATGAGTTAATTGCAAAACAATATGCGCAACGAGCGACAGATGGAGGTCTCCTGATCACTGAAGGCATGCCGCCGTCCTTGGAAGTAGGTATCCGAATAGGAGAAAGATACGAATCCTGTTCACTCAACTTGCTCTAACTGACTTTCGTTGCGCCTATAGAGTAACGGTATGCCAGGAGTCCCTGGTATCTTTGTCCCAGAACAAGTCGAAGGATGGAAAAAGGTCGTGGAGGCCGTCCATGCTAAAGGCGGTTTTATTTACGCTCAATTGTGGCACGCCGGTAGAGCTACCATATCTGCAATGACGGGATCACCTCCGGTTTCTGCGTCTGCTACACCGTGGGACTCTCCCGACGATACGTATTCGCATCCTCCTCCTGGATCCACTGAAAGGGTGCGTTACATCGATAGTCCTCCTATTGAGCTGTCTATACCACACATCAAGAAGACGATTCAGGACTACTGCAACGCAGCAAAGAGCGCAATTGAGGCCGGCTTCGACGGTGTTGAGATCCACGGAGCTAATGGGTACTTGATCGAGCAATTCTTGAGCTCCAATGTGAACAAGCGCACCGATGAATACGGTGGCTCTCCTGAAAAACGCTGCAAATTCCCCCTGGAGGTGGTGGATGCCGTAGCTAGCGTTATCGGGGAGGGAAATCTAGCCATTCGCCTTAGTCCATTCGGGTTATTTAACCAGTCACGCGGTGAGCAGAGGATGGAAACTTGGACATATCTCTGCAAGCGTTTGAAGGAGGCTCATCCCAACTTGTCCTATATAAGCTTCATCGAGCCGGTAAGTCTCTCACGAAATGAAGGCGACTGTGGTGAACAAGAGATTATTCTGACATGAATCTCTAGCGCTTTGATCAAATCTTCAGCGTAGAAGAGAAAGACAAATTCCTCAAGTCGTGGGGTCTCGAAAACGTCGATCTCCAACCTTTCCGTGAGATTATGGGCTCTACGCCATTCTTCTCAGCCGGAGGATTCAATGATACGAATATCTGGGGTGTTCTCGAATCTGGAAAGTACGATGCTTTGGTATTCGGACGTTACTTTATCAGCAACCCTGACTTGCCGGAGAGATTGAAAAATGGTTTCCCATTGAACCAATACGATCGGAGTACATTCTATGGTCCATTTGAGAAACCTGAAGTCGGATATGTGGATTATCCGACGATGGAAGAAGTGGCTGCTAAAGCTTAAGTGATATATCTCGTGCGGCTATCGAAGTTAGAAGGAAACAAACAATATATGTATCCGTCTTTTTCTAACATTTGAAGAAAAAACCTCTGTAGAGAAACCGCATAGAATAATGGCAAGTAAGAAATACTTAGGCATAGCACATTCGTAGAAAATTGCCATAATATAAACAGCCCCGCTCCATCGACTTGAACATCTCACCATACGAATAAAGGCATCTATCAAAGAGAAAAATCCATACTAACACATTTAGGGAGGTCCATGTGAGCGAGGAATAAGATAACCTAGTCTAGTTTTCCTGAAGTGCACATTCAGGTTGGCTGCATTTACAGAAGTTTTCACGTTGACGTTCAGGCGGCGCTCGAAAGTTGGCTCCTGACAGGTTGTTGTTCTTCCCTAATATAATTCCACCTTGGTGATTGAGGTTGAAAACCTCAACAGGATCGCAATCAAAAAGTTTAGTATTTTGAAAGGAATATTACGTAGCCACTGCCACACCTGTACCGATTATCTCTACCGAGGTGAAGACGATCACTATAGTCATTCATCTTCCTAGAGAAGCTCCGTTGGATATGCTCCTCACACCGATCTCTTTCTGATACGTGGTAGAACGCCCCAGCATCCTTCCATTGCCACAAACAGTCCGATACAGATAGGATGGAGGAGAAACGTTCCTACCTTCTGTGCTAGAAGACCTGTCGCCAAAGGCGCTACTGCACCCCCACTGCTACCCAAGGCACTAATAAAACTCAGACTAGACATCTGAATGTTTCGAGGGAGCAGTTTAGTAAATACCGCCGCTGCACAAGGGAATATAGGACCCAGGAGCAAACCAACAATGGCCACTGCGACAGCTTCACCGATCAAGTTTGGAACTAGCCAAACAATAAGCTGAAACCCGAGGGCACCAGCAATGGCCATGACAACAAAGAATTTCTCCCCCAATCGCTGCGCTGGGTGCGAGAGGAGGAATCGTCCTACCGTAATACCGGCCCAGAAACCAGCACTCACGTAACCCACATCTGCAAGATTGCCATGACGGTAGGTGACCAGGAACGAAACGATCCATCCTGAAATCGAGACTTCTGCACCCTGGTAGGCGAATATGAAGAGGGCCCCAAGGATCGTGACGCGGTTCTTGATTCCTCTGAAGGTGCCAGCATGGGAGTGATCTTCGGTATGGGGATCAGAAGACGATCGTGACATCCGCATAGCAGCCAGTTCATTCTCATAACCTCTGAATGTCCAACTCGCCAACGCAGTGTTGATGACGGCCATTCCCAACGTTATGAAGTAGAATGGTGACCACTTCCCAGTATGAGATGCAATTGCTGTTGCCATCAGCGGGCCCAAAGTGCCACCAATGCCATAACTGCCGTGGAGAAGTCCCAGCGCAACCGTTCCATTCGCCAGATTCGCACAGAAGACGTTACTCAACGCCAATGCAGTCGCGAGTCCGAACCCAATGGGCAAGAACGCAATCACAACGACAGGGAAAGGAGGCGTACAGACCAAAGCGAGAAAGGCCGCACAGATTGCAACCTCCGCAACCATGTATGTGCGCGCTCGGCCGAGACGTCGCTCGAGGATATGGGTACACGGAGCAGCAGCGAGAAAGCCAACCGCATTGGCAACGAAAATCAAGGATACGAGAGCGTAGCCAATATTATATTTCTTTTCGATGTAGGGAATCAGAGCTCCTGGAGCACTATCGTTGAGCCCACCAGCAAAATTTATCAGACTGACGCTTAGAACGCGGTATCTATTGATCGCGGGGTTCGAGATGCTTGGCAGGATGATAGATGCTTCGTTTCTTCGAGAGTCTGAAGCCAGATCTTCGATCTCGAGTTGCTGTGCTGGAAAGTCTTCCGCTGGCCTGTCTGTAACACAGATTGCGACATCAATTGCTCCTGTTGCATGTCCACCAGCGTTTGTTTCTACGTCCATGCTGACCGCTGCATCATTGCCGTAGCGGTCAGACTCACGAACGGCCTCGACTGCTGAAGACCGGATAGCAGCCATTTTGGACCGGCGTATTGCTTTGAGGATAGGCTAATTGCATCATAAATGAGAATCATAGTTGAATCAAAACTTCTTCACTCTGGAGGATAACTAACTGGTAATATTTCCACAACTGATCCATCATTATTATTACCCCGCATCCCCAGATGATTATTAATGCTAGATAGTGTAGATCTTGTATTATTATCCGGGCATTAAGATCCAACATTCCGCCCTCTCATGACTAGACGGTGTGTTTTTGCAATAGCTCGATGGCTTTCCCTTATCGTCCGATTAGGTTTGCATAATAGCAATACTTGCATAGTCGCTTGTGAGATTAGGCTAATCGTAACTTGGAGAGAAAAGAGCGTACAGTATCATCCATGACTGTCTCAAGTATCTTCTTAAGCAAGAATAAGTTTAAGAAGAAAAAGATCCTGCTTTCATTACAACAATAAAAAAGCAAGAGACCTCGCGAGACGGGCAAATAAGCACAAATCTCGACCTTTGCTTACTATTTAGTGCCCGAATTCTTATCTATCAAAACGGGATTAGATACGGTTTCTGCTCCGGGAAATGGCGGGGCGTCTCTGTCCAAGCGAAAAAACGTTAATTACTTGACTGACTTGCGCGGAGAATTGAATTGACCGATGAAACATCTCTCACAATCGACCGATGGCATTATATGGACAACCAAGAATACCAGAAAACCTCAGGATAAAACTCTCAATTGCTCTCTCTTCCAAACCACCTACACTCCCCCACCATGTCATCATCTAAATACGACCTCGCGCTCCGTCGCATCGACGAGGCACACTCCGCGGACCCGAACATCGTCACTGTCAATGGCGCCCAAGTACCCTACGAACTACACTACGCGGACAAAATGACCAAATACCTCGACCTCCATACCCCCTCAGCCTCCGAACCACTGCGTCTCGCCATCCGCGCCCAACACCTCCGCCGATGGGAAGTACCCCGCAGTTCATATCCGCAGACGAAACCAGGCTACTTTGCCTGGCGAACGTTCCTAAAGAAGCGGCAAGCGGAGCTCGCGGAGAAAATCTGTCTGGAGAGCGGATACTCCGAGACGGAGGCGGCGCGTGTTGCGGCTCTGGTCCGCAAGGAGGATCTGAAGCAGGATCAGGAGACGCAGGCGCTGGAGGATGTGGCCTGCTTGGTGTTTTTGGATGACCAGTTTGAGGAATTCGAGAAGGGGTATGATGAGGAGAAGATTATTAGTATTTTGCGCAAGACGTGGGGCAAGATGTCAGAACGGGGCCATGAGCTGGCGCTGAAGATTCAGATGTCGGATCGGGCGAAAGAGTTGGTTGGGAAGGCACTGGCCGCGTGAGATTGGGGTCAAGATTTAGAAAGGAGATTTTTCGCAAGGACAGATAAACAGGGAGTCGAAAATTTTGGAACAAGATGGAAAGATGTGAAGTGAACATTGGTATCTAACTCCTCTATATGCCCGATTGATATTAAACAACAAATCATCACGCCGTTATGGATATCACACAAAGTCAGAAAATCAGGGTGAGCTTTTTCCAACCGAGAACGCCAGATTAAAGCAAATTTCAAAAGACTCAATGGGCACCGCCGTGGTCGATTAGCCCAACAAGAGCAATAGCTGCTCCGGCGGCGACGCCTCCGACAACCACCATCTGCAATCCACCTTTCAACCCTGCGATAACATTGTCACTACCCGCCCAGCCACGGACGATGCACGTCTTGACGTAACCGAAGGCCAAGAGAGTCACTCCCATGACGGCGATACTGCAATACAGTGCGGTGATGACTTGGCTGGCGATGAAATAAGGAATGAGAGGAATGAAACCGCCGATGAAATATCCGAGCGCGAGCGTGATGGCGGAGATGTAGGCCTGGTTGCAGTCCGGTTCGGATTCCTTGTGGTGGAAGGCAATGAGGAATTGGAGAAGCCTTTCAGGCGACTCGTGGAGAGAGTGGTTTAGTTCAGCAATAGCAGTGTCGGAAATGCCGTAGGCGACGAATGTCTCGCGGACAATAGCTTCAGTCTCCACCGGGGAGCTTTCGATAAGTTCTTTCGTTTCCCGTACGGTTGTCTGGTATGATTCTCTGCACAAGGATTACATGTCAGCCCCGATTCTGGTTACTTTCCAAGTCCAGTGGTTCACTCACGCTTCGCTTTTGGCACCAACATATCCACCCAGGCCCATGGAAATTGCACCAGCTGCTAGCTCAGCGAGGCCACCGAGCACAACGACCTTGGTATCTCCCAAGGCAGACAGCCCCGCGCTGAGTGCAAAAGGAACCGTCAGTCCATCAGAAAGACCAAGGATGGCATCCGAGATGATTCGCGGGTTGATACGCGACCGGCTGCTCCCTGAGCTGCCGCCGGAGCTACTTGAATCCTCTGACGGCGTCCGGTAGAAAGTATCGTAGGAATGATTCTGGGCTTCCAGGTCGTCATGTGGGTGCTCTCCGATGCTGCCCAAGAGAGGTTGCCCTGACGGATAGTTAGCACATGCCGCTCTCTTCAAGCAGTTGCAATCTAGAAGCAAGCATATGTGGCGATGGGGGTATACTAACTCAAGCTCTGGGACGAAGGAACCTTCAATATCTGCTCACCTGCAGAGGATTGCTGGGATTGGCTTCCTCGGGACGGGAACAGCTTCTGCTTGATGAACAGCAGAGCCATATTTTTGCTTTACCTAAAAGGGATGGGGTATTGCTCGGTACTGAAGGTATTGTATGATCTGTAGGGATCACGAGCAACTATGTACCACCCCGAGACGGAAGATACCACCAAGGACGAAGGAGATTGATTGAGAGGAAATCTAGAAATCTCCAGGACAGAGAGGAGCGCGACATGCTCTTAACTATGCGGAGGCCCATCCTTACTTTTGTCTGATCCCTTTCTAGTCTTTGCCATAATGGGGTCTTTCGTAACATTCCTCGATGTTTCTGCGGGCGAGACTGCTGCTCCAGCCAATCACCGCTGCACCAAATGTAAGCGTCGCGGACTGAAAGCCCGACGGGGGGCGCTGCTTACTTTTATCTTCTCTTTCGTTCGCAGAACTCGATTCGCTGGTCACACTGATCGCCGTGATGCGTGAAGCATCCCTGACTGATATCGAAGGCACGATATATCCTCGCTGTGATAGGCTAACTTGACAATCCTAGATCTCAGTCCAGCCTGAAGGCGGTTATGAGGAACGAGATCTTGGCGGGCTTGGCGAACAGTGTTAAAGTGCATAAAAATACTCTGAACGGCTTCCATTAGATCCCGTTCTCTTGAACCCATCAGTCTGGATCTCAATATATTAATCTCTATGACAAGACACATCGCAAGACACATCGCAAGACACATCGCTCTTTTCTCAACTTTTCATCTAGATACTGATACATATTGAGGAACAGCAACGTGGAGGCTGGCATTCCAGGCGGGAGATCGACAACACCGTGATGGAGCAGTAAATACAAATAATAATTAAGCATTGTTGGAACGTCAAGTAGAGTGGGTACCTGGGGATCAACGAGATTGTTTTCGAATGCGTAATTATCAACCTCATACAGGAATATATCCTCTGCACCGTTGGATCGTCGTCATATCCGTCTGCGTACAGTATCGCGCGTACCGGAGATAGCTGCCATCGAACCTGGTTGCCGTTTTCTATTCTCTAGTATCCTCTGTCTACATCTGATCTTGTGGTTTATTGTGTTAATGACTGAGGCTGGCAATAGTTGTATACGCAGATTTTCATAGTACTCTTGGCGTTCGTCAACGTAATTACTACTTGTTTCGCTTCCATATGATCCTTGTCATAGATGAACGGTAGGCTCATAGATCTCTAGTAACTATAAAGTCTGCGGAAACGCAAGTACTTTAGTGTTCTCCGAATATTAAGCCTATTGTTGAGATGTCATCCGCGACCGCTGATTCCGCTATATATACTCCTTAATGTACTGGCACCCTGAAAGTTCTCATGGTACATTATCGTCAAACGTTAACCGTAAAAACTTGCGCGTCTTTCACTTAGCTTGAAATGAGAAAGGATCGGGCAGATCCCAGAATAGACTCATCGTACATCGAGTAAAGGTATATCAATCTCACGCCCAAAATAGAAACAACTCAGCTTGCAGCTGGTCTGTAAGTTCGCTTATTCTCAACACCATCCAGGACCTATCTCCATGACTGATAACAAGATGCGTGGTCTCTTTGACGATTAAATGCGGCCATTGTTTCTTCAAAATACATGGTATAGTACAACGAAAAGCGAATCTCTTGTTCACATCTCCATGGTTACTCTTTGTGTACTGCATCTATTAGAGTGATCAACAAAGGACTAACGCTTTCATTTTCTGATTTCTTGATGGATTCTTCCTGGTTTATTCTTTTCCCTCGGATCTTTGGGCGAACCTCTTTCAGTGGGCTTTATGAATCTCAATCCCATTGTCAAATCCTTTGTTTATGAAGCAGTTACGGAGATGCCTCTTATAGTATATCTCTTCATCTTTCGCATTCGACGTATAGATGCATACTACTGTATATCAACTCTTTTTCTCATATATACATATAATATCCCCTTGTCGAACACATTTTCCTTAATCGAAGCCTGCATCCTACAGAGTAGCGGGTTTCTATATCATATCTCAAGACATGCCGCCTCGACGCTCCCGCAATCCAAGCAGAGACTACGAAGACCCTCCTGTCCGATACCCACTATATAACCTCGGACTCCTCCCCGACCCACCTGATAACTGGCTACTATGGAATGAAGACAAGAGAGCTTTCTGCGGTGGCCGTCGCGTCAGTCGCGCAAAAGCAAAGGAGTTAGCTGATTTCCATTTCTGGGGTATAAACCCCGGTATTGAAGGGCGTGACTCTACAGAACGACTGATGGTAGCGCTCCGCAAGCTCATGTACTATCAATCCGCTCACCACAGGCCTCCTGAATATTCTGAGTTCCTCAATACGCAGAGAGATGCCGGGCCGAGACTTCTGGATCCTAATTTGGTCCCGCAGCCTCTACCTATAAGTCGTTTCTTTTCTCTCCTTCCTCAGGATGCGCAGGCTGGAGCGCTTTCGCAGATTGATATCGCCCGACTGACCGAGAGACAGCGTTTATATCCGTCAACTCGCTCAGGTAATACGACAGCGCTTCGGAATCCAGGAGGTTTAAATATCAGCAGTTCAAATACGGGTTCCCTCAACCGAGGCGGGCTAAATATAAGCAGCTTCAGTCCTTTGGACAGGTACGATCCTACCGGTGGACTTACAGACGCGGATATCGACCTGATATTGCGTAACGCTACGGAGGCCCTTGCCACTCCAGTCCTGACAGGCGATCTTGCAGCAATAGGGGGCCAAGAGTTTGGACTTCGCTCTCTGGGCAGTAATGATTTCGACTCTATTCTCAGTCAGATGGCGCAGAATACACCGAGTCGTGCCATTGCTGATCCTTCTCGAACAGGCTTCCAGACAGGTACGGCGACTCGTGGATCTGAATTGAACAGGTCTCCCCTTGGAAGCCCAGAGATTACTATGGCGGATGCGGGCCCAATCTCAGGACGCAATTCTATCAGCGGAAGCCTGACGAGCTCTCAAATAAATACACAGCGTCCGATCTCGCAAGATAGTATGGGCCAAGGAGAGCTATCCCAGCAGGCCTCTAATCCACTTCAATCTTCAAGCCCCTATACGACAGGGCAACTTCGTTCTAGTGGAATAAGCAACAACACTGATATAGTCACCGAAGAGATCCAGAGGGCCATCATGCGAATTACGTATCGAGATCTAGAAAGACACGCCAGTGCTTTACCCCGGGGCCTGCACCCTCAGTCAATTGCAACAAATGAAGAACATCTTCTGCAAGTCCAGCAGAGAATCTCTCCAATGGCCGGTGCCGTTCGCCTGTCTAGCATTGAGGGCAGTTCCTTTCGCATAGATCCAAATGGCATTAACTATGCATATCGGGGTCGTGGACCCGTGTGGAGGAACAACTCCTGTGCTGTTGACTGTGTCATTGTTGCTGGAAGGTTGCTTGATGCAGGATGCACAAATAAGGACCGAGCAAGTCCCGAGTGGGAGAGGTCCCTGACTATTCTTGAAAGAGCATATATCCAGGCGATAAATATAGACTGGGATATACTATCAAGAGAACAGAGTATGGATACACGGGACCGTTTCTGGGAGATCCTGGCTGGGAATATCCCCGGCATGGAAGTTGGCATTCCATCGCCACCAACATCTATATGGGAAGAATCGACCAAGTCATTTGAACAATTCAAGTTTTCTTATACAGAGGAAATATCATATTGTTCCTGTAGAAGAATGGGGAATAGTCGCAGAACATATGCCCATCGCTCAGTGTCTCCTGCTTTTATACCTGCTGATCAAAATGGTGTATCGATGGAAACCCTAGTACAGAGAAGTTTCAGATCTCACAGAGGGATTTGCAGATATTGTAGAAAGGGCATCGCGATACGCAGCCGGACTTTCCACCAGCTTCCTCTCCGCATGGTTGTTGAACTGCACAAGGATGCACGTCCGAGGAACCACACGGCGAATATCACAATCGAATATAAAGATCGAGATGGACAAGATCAAAAGGCAACTTATCGCTGGCTAGGAGGTATATACCGCACCACGTCGGGGAGATATATTAACGAGCTAGGAGAAGAAGTCGATTCGTACCATTTCCGAGTCTACTGGACCGATGTGGAAAGAGGAGAAGTCGACACTCATGAGATTCGCATGTACGACGGAATGGAGAACCTCGGTCTCATTGCGGGCAATATTGCTCCCTCCCATCGAGATGAGCGGGTTCCTGAGAAGTGGTGGAAAGATCAGTCGATACCGCTATTGTTCTATGAGCGTGTGCTGAATCCAGAGAGTGAAGTGCTATCTGCGGCCAAGGACACAATAATGAATATGATTGACGTGAAAGAGAACAATGGGCTAATTATGCAGCAGCTCTGTCAGTGGCGGCCATCCAATATGCCTGCAAATCCAATCCCACCTGAGAGAACAGTCTTTCAGCCAACTGACAGCCAAATGCTTTCCATGCCTCCCAGGGAAAATGTGACTATGGGGGCCTCTGGTGCACGGCAAATATTGGAAACTTATTTTGATGGGAATCTTCTCAATCCAAGCAGAAATCGACCTTCTTCATCTTTGGTCCCTGGTTTCACTTCTAGCAGACAAACTGAACCGATCCAGCAGAATCAACCTAAAGTTCCATCGTCTTCTGGTGCCAGTCGTCCAAGTTTCGCACAGCCAGGAGCTGTAGGGTATGCTCCCAACGATGCTAGACGCAGTGTTAAACAGAGTGAATCAACCTTTCCGACTGCAAGCTATGTGGAATCACCCAGACGACATACTCCGGGTATTCACTCGAGTGAAGTGGGCGACTCCCTTTCACATCCTGTGGTCACTGAAGATGACCAAGTGCCCGATACAGAGACACAATCCCAGAGACAAGAGCAGACACAGCACAACATGCCCTCGCAGAGCTGGCTACAGGAAACCCTTCCTTCTCTTACTCAACATCAAGAACATGATATACCACCATTGCCAGAACTGGACCCTCATTTCCCAGAGGATCAGCCCCATATTCCAGAGCTACCCAACTTACAAGAAGAGACACAGACTCAAGAGACAAGCCAAGGGCAACAAGAAGAGACTACTCTCACCGGAGATCAGACAGCCACTAGACAGCCGAAACTGGCCAGCGCTGACCAACTCGATAGATTTGCTCGTGGTCTACAACAATCCTATGAGCAACTCGATGCCGAGTCTCATGATCAATTTGATGTTTTCATGATGCATGATATAACGCCTAATGCTTGGAGACCCGGGGAGCTAAAACAGGAGAAAAAGTATCCGACATCCGTTGGGGAAATTTGGGACTGGATAGGAAGGCTGCAACAGTTCGACCTCGAAAGGATGGAAGAGCAGTGGAAATACTTGGGCTACGTACCAGAAGAACACGCACTATGGAAAGAAACGACATTGGCACAGGCTCCGAATACAGTGTCCAAAAAGCGGAAAGTCTATTATGCAGATGATGATTTGAAGGGGGATTTGACGTATGATTTCCCGGACATGCTACCAACGATATCGAAAGAAAGTGAAGGTAAGTTTCTGACACTCAAGAGAATCTATTTTAATCCAAATCACTATGGGGAACAAAGGGACTAACAGAAAAGCAGGTAATTCAAACCTAATTGCCCCTGAAAAAGGCCATATCACCAGCCCATCCCACAATACGTGCCTCGGAAAAAGAAAGAGGGACACAGTGCCAAGCTCACCTCTAACTACTGAGATGTCCTGTCTTGAGGGACATACTTCATCAGCTCATAGCCAGACAGGCCACATGTCTCCTCCTCTTCCACCGCAATCGGACCATCGAGAAATATTACTCGCAGAGCCCGCTGGAGTTACTCGTGACGATATGATGGGAGAGATCGAGATAGAGGACCTCGATCAGCTTTTCGAAGACCCTGAAGAATTCTTGAGCTTTCAATGATTTCCCCTGTTTACAATTGGCCATATAATTCCATGATTCATGGTCGTTTGCTTGGTTTAATTTCTTCAGTCTAGACTAGATACAGCGTGGTCTGGATGAGGGCATAAACTGTACATTCCCAACAAACATATTTGCATAGCCTGAAATGTGAATCCCACAATAGAATATGACTGATGTTTTCATCCGGCTAAGGTACAATTTCATAGTTTACATAGTAACACCAAACGCCCGCAAGATCTTTCCAAGAAAAGTGAACAAAAAGAGTTGGCGATGATTTGACTTCCATGATCCTGGATAGCAAGTGAGTATTCGAGATTGTTTCCGGCAAGGGAAGTCGCTAAGGAGGTCAAATGATCCAGTTGGCTTAATAAACCACTTCACTGGCAGAAGAGGCGCTGGTGGAAACTTATTTGCCCTTCACGTTCATGACCAGGCTGCGCGACCGCGTCGTCATTCTCGTCTTCTCCATCATCCTGATCATCATCCTCATCGAAACCTTCGCTCTGATATTCTTCATTCTGCTCCTCTTCATCGTCTCTCCCCATACACTCGAATGCAAGGTGATGCCTCATGGCCGCTTCAAGTCTGCGACGACTGCGACGACGCGCGTGGTCGACCTCATCATGATCATCATCTTCATCGCAATCTTCGCTCTCATCTTCTTCATCCTCCTCCTCTTCCTCTTCTTCCCACATCCATCTTTGAAGCGTTGATATTACACCCACGAGGCCCTTGAAACAACGGTGCTGCATACGCATACTCAACGTGGCCAATTCATTCATTTTGTTCTGCCAGTGTCCATCTCCATCATCCCAGAGGCATATCTCTTTCTGTTCCTCATAGGTCATAGCGTCCACTATCTTGGTCATTGTGTCTATCAAGGAAGTATCCCACTGAGAGCGCTTCTGTATCTCGTGGGCAAGCGGGTTTGAGCTAGTGAGAACGGTCTCTCCGATCTTGCGGAGGCCTTCGAGACCGTTTACTTTGGTCCCCAACGACGCACTTGGTTTCGCTGCATGATCGCGAATATGCTCGATATCATAGATGATTGCATTTTCCACATAGCCAGCTGATTCTAATTGGCGCGACGCGCTTTCCTTGCTCCAGGTGACGTTCAGCAGCTTCCAAACGTCGTCGGTCTGCCATTCAAAACCCCAAACATCAGTACTGACCGCCCGTGCGTTCAGGGCCCTGAGCACAGCGCGAATGGACATCAAAACGTCCGGGTGGGCCGTTGCTGCTTGGTGCAAGAGGTCGCGGCAGTCATTGTCGTCGAGGTCAGCTATCAAGCTGTCGATCTCTTTGCGCCTTGGGCGTTTTGCAATTCTACGCCTTGGGCGCTTTGCAATTCTAGAGCGACTGCCAGTGAAACCATCGTCGTCATCATCAGTTTCGACTCTTGGGCGTTTCGCAGGTCGAGCACTCATGTTCCGTGGTGAGTCCCTGAGTAATTTCCCAGAGTGTTATGTTGCAGATATGGACAAGAGGAGCGATCTTCAAAGAGGAACAAAAAGATTCAGAGATATTTCGAATTCACTATCGAGACACAATCCAGAGTATTCCGGCTGTCAGAGTAATGGAGTGGTTCCTTGATGGTGCGTTGAGCGGGTTGGTTCTTCGTTAAAAAGATCTCCGGCAAACGCGTTTGTTTCGAGAAAAGGGGAGCGAACGCGACACGGCCCGCGTTTTTACGTGTCCTTGGACAAGGATGCATTTTCTTTTACGTGCAATTGCAAGTCCATGTAGTAACTACTGGTAGGAACTCATCAGAATCAATTGATACCAGAGGCGTGAGGTGGTATAACTATGCTGGTGTTTACAGAAGACATGCTTAGGATCTTCTTCGCTCTGGTTGGTCTCGCCGAGGGAAATTCTTGGTGGCTGCGGGTCTCCCGCTTTCCCCGCATTCTGCTCTCCGCATTTCAAGACTGGGCGTCTTATTTATATCGCCCCCTTATGCTCTCGAACCCCTTCGGTTTGTTTTTGTCTTCTTTTCCGGGGTCCTTTGTCATCATACAGTTCTTGACTTTGACTGTTTTTTGTTGAGAATCATGTCTTGAATCGGCTACGGAGGATTGATTCTCGATTCAGTCGGTGATTTGAACACGAAAGATCTTAGATCGATACGACTCTTTTATACCGCTCTTGTTGGAGATGATGTGGTCGATGATGAGAATGACTGACATGAAGCTCATAAGAAGCTAGTTCACATACATATTGTCCTATCCAAAGGTATCCTGCTGTCTATTATATCCACATATGCGAAGGTGAAAAACAAAGAAAAAGAAACATCTAAAGCTTGGCACGCCGGGCAATTCGCTGCTTCTTGTCGTCGGCCATGGGTCCCCCAGGCAGGTCGCTCTTCTTGGGCGCCGAGATATAACCACCCAGCTTGTTGTCGGTGTTGGTGATGTTGCCCTTCTCATCTCTCCGTATGCCAAGCTCGAGGAGCTTACCATACGCCTTTGCGAAGTGGTCAAAGAACAAGTCCTTGTCCTCAGCATACTTGCGCACCCAGGGCTCGAAACCAGGATCGGAGACCAGCGCCATGTCGGTGGGCAGCATCATCAACGGCTCATCCTGCTCGTCTTCAGGGAGATCTTCATCGACATAGATGAACTGCTTGAAGCCGTTGTCCAACGTCGTGAGCTTCCACTCCAGGTTTAGCAGCAGCTTGAAGTACTGGTTCGAGAAGCGGGTCGGGTTGTTGACCCAAGGACCGTTGAAGCCACTGCGGTCCTTGTGTGTGCGGCCCAGGTTGTGAGCGCCTGAGAGCGCAACGATCTCCTGGTCGTTGAAGCCCATCCGATAGAAGATGTGTCGAATGTGGTCTGCTCCCTGGGCGCCATCTGGCAGACGGCCGCGGGGCGGCAGCTTGGAGTCATCGACATAGTCCGTTCGGCCGGGCTTCCAGTCCACGTCGGGTCCTCCCATCTCCTTGAGTGCGGTGACGCCCGCCAGCGTCCACAGGTCCGAGTATGTGATCCAAGGGTGCCGTGCCTTCACGGGTTCAAGGAATGCACGTGCGTGCTCGAGACCTGCATTGGCAGGGTCACCTCCCTCCTGCTCGTAACGCATGCCCGCACCGTTCGAGCCGCCAGTATCAGTCTCCTGATCATAGGTACCAGCGGAGTGCCTACAGTCGAGAGCGCGTTAGTTACTTTTCTCGCAAAAAGCCTGCTGCGGAATTCGACTTACCATGCGAGACGCACAAAGATAGGACCAGTGCTGCCGTCATCATAGTCGGGCTTCTTCAGCTGGGCGATGATGTCCTTGCGGACAGCATCATAATCCCCGGGTTTGCTCATCTCGGCCGATAAGTCTGGGGTAACGACCGCGAATCTGTGGGAAACAGCGCGCTCTGCGATCTTGACTCTCGCTCCCAACTACGGAACGCGACAAGTGTCAGATATATATGGATCTGAGAAGAGTGTCCAGAGGCAAGAAGTGAGATTGTTGCTGGAACGAAGAAAGCAGCGTCCTGGGGGAGTGAGAGAGGCAATAATTAACTGCCTTGGGATTCCTTCAGCAACGGATCCACCAGCGCGATCCACTCAGTTCCCTATCGCACAGTACCGAGGTCCATCCCTCCGTCGCCGACACCAACAAAATCTGGAGGCGACCAGACACGCCAGAGGGAGAATGACTCCAGGCGATAATTAATTATTATCTGCTATTTCAATCTGTCTACACTGGAGCCGTATGGCATTGCGGTCGGTTATGTGAGATGTTGAATCACAGCAACTTTTGCATCCAGATCACGTGACTGATAAGGGAATCTCTAACTATTCACTGCACGCATCTTTGCCACCTCAAGATGCGCGCCTGCTCCATACCATATGATGAATACCCGTACAAACTACGATTACAAGTATCGCTGGAAGTCTTCTAACATCGTCAACTTCTCACGACCAGCTCCTCGGATATTGGATTCCAACGCCGTCTCATGTGCTTTTGCTCTCCCTCGGGCTGCTGCATCGGTCTTGGCGCTTCCTCAAACCAAACCGGTTTGTCCCGCGTCGCCAACGGCCTTTGCTGGTCTTGTCGGAATCTCGTCTGCTTTCCAGTCAGTCTGCGTGAACGCTTATTATCTGATCCTCTGTCTTTTTTCACGTGTCAATCGCGATTCTGGAGCCATTGTCTACATTCATCACTGCACTATCAATTAGCAGCCAGCCCAGCTGTCTAGTTGCGTAATCATGGAGTTGGAAAAGAAATTATTAGTTATTCTATCGCGCACGTCTTTATTGGCCATTCTCTCACCGACTATCACAAGCATTGAAATTGGACGCAATTGCAGCGAGGTGGGCATCCGCAGCAGAATCAAAGATAGACATACGGAGTATGGTATATGAGACGGGGTTTGCCACGACATTCGAGAACGGATCCTGACCGGTTCAAACATGTCCTGGCGGGATCTGCTCTTCCTCGCCACTCTCCTGGTTCCTGGCCCTGGTCTGTTCTGCCGCCTTCAACAGAGCATACTTCTCCCCCACAAACTCTAGCTCTCTCCTCGTCTCTTCCAGCTCCTTGCTCACACCATGCACTCTTGTTTTCCAGTCCTCGACTACTGCGTCCGCCTTCTTGGTCAAACCCATAAGCTCACGTTTCATCCACTTCCGCTCCCTCCTCAACCGTCGTTCAACTCTCTTGTACCGCGCCAGTTTCCGCTCGAGCGCTTCCCGATGCGCAACTTCCGTGTCTTTGATGGTCCCAATGACATCGTTGATAGGGCCCGTGTGGATTGCGCTGAGATTTCCGGCCTCCGCTTGCTTGGCGATGTAGATGAACGTTGCGGAGATGTCGGTAGCAATGGATTTGATCAGCGATGTTTTGGAGCGCGAGGAGAGTGTATCGATGTGTGTGAGACGCATGGCACACGAACCGGGACGGAAGAGGTCAGCATCTAGAGCCATGGCTGGTGACTTTGATTTTTATTGACGAAGAGCAGCGGTGAAAATGGCAAGGTCGTCCCAGAGGTAGGTAGACCGTAGTCTTTGGATCTCAGCGTAGGTAAGCAGTTTACCACTATCCAAAAGGTAAGACGTACAGATAGATGTAGGCTGCTCTCATATAATATATCTACAGGGCATAAAAGATGCTCTGTACTGATCTTCGTAAGCCACATGTCTCATGATACCGTCCAGAAACGATAACAAAGGGAGATAGCCAAGGAATATGATATTCTAATAAAGCAGCATAGAGACGATATTCATTCATATCAGCAGTTTGCTGTCTATATTCATTGTTATCGTTATTTGATGCCTTCATTTCTGGTGATATATCCATCCGCTGTCTTGCCGGCACACCAGAAAAGACCTAGTATCACGTTCTAGTCTGTACTAATATCTGAATCCTTTCTTTAATCCCCACTAGTTACACGGATATAATGAGATCTGCCTAAACTGACTTCTTGACGATCTCCTCGTCATAAGACACTTAACTCTGCCGTAGCTGACGAAGCGGTTGGTGGTTCGCCGAACCAGAGAAGTAAGCCTCAGCGCAGGAAGAATAGTATGTTATACTGTGTTTAATTGGGATTGATATAGGTATTAATTTCTCTACGGATGCAGAATAAGAGCGGGGTAGATGTGTATTTCGGGTGGTCGCATTTTCCGAATCCATGGTTCGTACAAAGTGAAGCTTTATCATTGATTTTGAGAAAATTCTCTGTGAAAGACCGATTTAACACTTCCCGATCATCGGATCAATTATTGTCATACCTATTGACCTCCAACACTGCATTTACCCCGATCTCCTCTATCGGACAACCTTAAACGGCGCAAGCTTACTTAAGTGGGGAGACCTTAACATCGCTCTACAGCAAACATCCCATGCCATACCTTATATATGTCATACTCCTTCCCCATCCATAGAGTACTAGGTATCTTTATAAAAATGGCACCGAAGAACATTCTCCTCATTGGAGGCCATGGGCGCACCGCTCAACTCCTCACGCCTCTCCTCTTAGCACGCTCATGGAACGTAACCAGTCTCATTCGCACAGAGGCACAACGCGATGCTATTCTGCAATTAGGGAAAGGCCAGCCAGGAAAGATTGATGTCCTGATTATAGATCTCGAGACGGTGAAAACGGAAGATGATGCGAGGGTGATTATAGACAGGGCGAGACCGGATTATGTCGTTTGGGCCGCTGGTATGTGTGAACTGTATATACAGTACTTTTCTGTGCATGTCGATCCATCTTATCGATATTTATGCGTTTCAAACGAACCCTTGGACATCTTCAACTTTATCTGCTGTATTTGGGTTATTCATCTATAAACTCCTCCATTTCCCCACCAACCATCCATACTACACACACACTCTAACCTCAACACAGGCGCCTCAGGCAAATCCGACCCCAAAACCATCTACGCCGTCGACCGCGACGCCGCCAAATCGCTCTTCCGCGCCTCCGTCTCAACACCCACCATCACCAAAATCCTCTCCATCTCGCACCTAGGCAGCCGCAAAGCCCATCCATCATGGTGGAGTGAAGAAGAATGGAAATACATCCAATACGCAAACAGCCTGCATTACGACACGTATCTCGCAAAGAGCGAAGCAGATGAACTATTCACTGCTCTCGCGAGACGACGCGTAGTGGAAGGTGGCGATGAGGCATTTCAGGGTATTCTGCTGAGACCTGGTCGATTAGCTGATGGAGAAGCTGAGGGGAAGGTGGATTTAGGTCAGTGTCGTCCTGGGAGGCCGGTCACGAGGGCTGATGTCGCTATGGTGGCGAATGAGTTGCTTGCGAGGGAGGATACGTGGGGATGGGCGGATATAGCAGGGGGAGATGAGGGTATTGGTCATGCGGTGGAGAGGGTAGGGACGAGTAGGCCCCGTGTTGATGCTATTGAGGGTGAGGATTTGGACAGGATTTATTCTTTGAAATAGGAAGTTTGCGGTGCGCGTCGTAAATAGATTTTCAGAACTTCAGGTCACATATAGGGTCAGTGTTTGGAATATTGGTACCTATGTACTGGTTCTATGGAGAATGTTAACGCTACTTTCGATATCAATAAGCCACACCGTAAAACTGTCCTGTAAGAGCGGTCCTACCTAAATAGCAGATAATGGAGCGCCATCAGCGCCTTCGAATGCTCTAGTTTGTATACCATACTCTGTATAGACACTCCATCACTTTAAAGCAATTGATCGTATTTAAAGAGATAGATAATTCCAGTTCCTGCTATTTTATGGAATCTTCGGAGATATCCACGGGTGGGGTACGTACTAAATCCGGATCCACCCAGATTTCAAGATCTAGCAGCTTAGTCATCTACTGTCCCTCCAGTTTGCACTGTTTGTTCTTCAATGACGGATTTCTCAGCGGGGCCCGATTTCAAAAAAAAGATGATATTAGAAATAAAGTATAAGTATCTTGATCACTCTTATCTTGTTAATTCGCCTGTTCGTTGAGAGGCTGTTTTGATTCTCTTCCATACCGTTCACCATGGGCCAAATCGAGGAACTCCCCGACGACTTCGACGAGTCGCTCGATCTCAATAAACCTCCGATCGAACCTATCGCCCCGACGCTGCCACCCAGTGGTCTAGCAGCGATTACTGGTGTTTCCAATGAAGTTCCCTTCCCTATCAATGAGGATAGATTGAAAGATGTACACAATGATCCATCGGCGCCGCGGATGCCCCCGGCAATGGAGTCTGTCAAGTCGCATACTGCAGATGAAATCTTGGAGATGATGAACAAGACGCCATTGTTCATGACGGATTTGGAAAATGCGGGTGATGAGGGTGCGTATATTGCTGTCTTATCTTATCTGTACTCTCTGACAGTGGGGTACATGATCCCTCGCTGAGGAGCCTGAGGAGTACATGGCTAATGTAAATGAAACCTGCAGAGGGAAATAATGTCATGCTCGACGCTATACGCGCTATCCAAAACGAAGGTACCCGTGGTGAAGTTGCGCAGAATTTCCGAGAGCAAGGAAACGAGTCTGCCAAGGCCAAGAATTGGAGGGACGCGAAGGAATTTTATGATAAAGCTATTGCCGTCTTGGTCGTCAAGGAAGACAGGTGGGAAAAGCCAGAGGATCCGGAGGCGGAGAAGAAGTTATTGCGGGAAGTGGAAGAGGCATGCTATGCCAATCGGGCTTTGTGCAACTTGGAACTGAGTATGTGGATGTCCTTAATGCTGCTGTCTTTTTGACAGCTCGCTGATAACGACCTGCAGGAAACTATCGATCTACGACACTGGACTGTGCCTCTGCACTGAAGGTCAACCCCAAGAACATCAAAGCCTACTACCGGTCATCCGCGGCATTGCTTGCCTTGGATAAGATTGATGAGGCTGAAGATGCCTGCTCGCGTGGTCTGCAGCTCGACCCGACCAACAAATCACTGCAGCAAGTGGCGTCCAAGATCGCTGCTCGTAAGACTGTCGTGGAGCGCATTGCGGCAAAGAAGAAGGAGGAAGAAGAACGAGCTCGCAAGGAGAAACTGATTCTCAATACGGCATTGCGTGCCAGACAGATCAGGACAAGAATGACCAACCAGCCCCCCGATATGGAAGACGCCAAGATCAAGATGGTTCCTGATCCGCTCTCTCCTGAAAGCACGCTTGTTTTCCCGACCGTGTTCCTCTACCCTGTACACGCGCAGTCGGATTTCATCAAAGCCTTCTCAGAGATGGAGACTATTGCCGATCACCTTAGCTATATCTTCCCACTGCCATGGGATACCAAGCAGGAGTACACGCTTAATAACGTCGAGTGCTACATGGAGACTACCACAGGTGGTCTCATCAAGGCTGGGAAGAAGCTCCCGCTGCTGAAGATCCTTGCTGGAGGCAAGGTTGAAGTTGTCGATGAACTCGTTCGCATCAACGTCGTGCCGACAAGCCACGTTCCCAAATGGATTGAAGAAATGAAGGCCAGGAAGGCAAGCTGAGTTATCGGCGATCATAGTTGACTTGCCGCCAATAAGCTTGTTCGGAAAGGGCAAGCCTTGTCCAAATCTCCTCGCGACGGTGATCGATCTTCTTTTACACAGGCCGTCACCACCAGCTTGTACAGCGTAACAGCCGAGGTCCTCCCTCAATGAGGATGATAGACCACTCTGAGTTGGAGAATCCATATTCAGATGATGGTTGCCGGTGCTTGGCAGGCATACCAGGGGAGTTCGCATGGACATTAGCGCAGGAGTAAAAAAGTGCAGAACAGGACGGAGCCTAGTCTCTCAAAGTTTGATACCCTTTTCATGATAAAATATATACCAGTGATTCCCATGAATAATGTACATGACTATAGGCAATTAGTCATTTTTGAGTCCACGACATAGATCACTATATATCGATCATACCTATATATTTGGAAATGGTATCGCATCAGGACGGAATTATCATGTCAGCGAGCAGAAAATCAAATTGACCACTGTCCAACATGTCGAGTGCAAGGTCGAATTCCTGGGAAACAGATTGATTCTGATACTGGCTCTCACTCAGATTTGATTCCAATCCAACGACGTCCCCTCTTGTTGTCTGCAGGTCATCATGTTCCTGCAGAGTTCCAGATCTAGCCTGAGCAGAAATATCTTCATCTGTTCTCTGAGACGCGTTTAGGACGTATCCAATATCACATCGCTTTAGATACTTCCGAGTCGGCTGTTCACCGCCGAAGACGATGGCGATCTCACGGACAAGAGACTCTCGTGCCTGAGGATCGCGCGACTCGCGCTGATCAATCATATCAAGCATCTTGCGCAGAACGCGGAGCCCATCCGCGACGATAGATCCGATGTCCTTCAGCTCAAGGTCGGAGATGACCATTTCGATATCCTTTCGCATGAGGTCTGGTGAGAAATCCGGAAAGGATCGTTCCACGAGGAGGAAAGCAGCTAGTGTGATAGCTGCTGTGTAGATTTGATAACCCTGTGCTAGATATTTCTGTGAGCGTCGGAAACGCTCGACGTCCGGCTCTCGCATGCTTCGGTACACATCTAACATCCGCTGCGCAGCTCTGGCGCAGATGCCCCATGATTCGCCAATTCTGGCGTGCAGGAACTGTCGATTCATGCGGATACGCTGCATGCAGATGGAAATATGAAGTACGCAGTGCTGCCAGGCGATGTGGTCAAGACTAGATAGGTGTCTGGTGCTGGCTTCGCTGTTGGTCCGAAAGTATAAAGGGAAGCAGTCGACGAGTTGTTGCATTTCACCATCGATAGCTCTAATATAGTCGTAACTCGAGACATAATCTCCATCACTGACATAGATCTTCCTGAGGATTTTAAATGCTTCTGCACGACAGATGGTAGCACTCATGTCTGTCGGCTCTTCCATGGGTCTCGGCTTCACCGCTGTCTCGGTGATATCGTGGTCATTGCAATTGAGTGGCAGTGGAACTTTTGAGGCAGCAGTATGGATGAGAGGGGTCCTATCTAGGCATAATGATTGAAATCTGGTTGATCTGTTAGCGAGAATCAGGGAGATCCATGCAGCCTTTCCGGATCAATGATAACCTACGTGTCACAGCACCACAAGTCCCACCATGCCCGTCGCCGCAATTCCGTATCCAGACAATTGACACCAGGAGTACCCTTGTCTAATCCCAGAGCCTGTGCGTTTCTTACCGCCTGTCCCAGTGCGCTGTATAGTTCCGGTCAATATTCTGCAGGTAAACTGAAAGCATAGATGATACGCACGAGTTCATAGCTTCAATGTTCTTTGTCGATAACCAGTACAGCTGAGTCGCTATGAACGTTTGAAGCTGCATCAGATTTGGCTTCGACTCAAACTCTCCAGCGTGTAGAGCCTGCCGTGAAGCTGAGTGCCATGTATGGGCTAGGCTTCGAATTTTCGACGGTTCAAATCCTATCGCCTCGACGAGTTCAAAGGGGATGTGAAGGGCACTGATCGAAATGATTGTAAAAAGAAGAGAAAGCCAAATAAGGTCGATGTCATCGACATTGGTGGTCCAGAACTGTGAATACTGATGTCGAAAAGATGGCACATGGATGGCCTGGTAGAGCCAGTTGGAGTTTTCCATATAATAACACATGAGGAGATCGCATTGGTTCTGAGACGGTAGGGCAGCCGCAAGATGCGTTTTCCAGAATAACTTCGTGTCGATCGGGTCTCTGGGTACCTGGTTAAACGAAGAGAGCATACACCCGCTGAGCAACTGAGGGTGAAATAAAACGGCCGGAACATATCCAGAAGACTCGAGAGAATAGATGTTCTGAGATCCAGATGATGAAGACTGCATGAATTGCCTCCAATGTTCCGCGAATCTAGACATCTGCACTCTTCCGGTAGAGCCTTGCTTCTGTGTCTGTTCTCTACATCGTGTGTGAGCCAGATTCGAGTTCACAGTATTATCTGCAGCGCGATCTGCAATAAGTCCCTGAAGCGGCCTTGCTTGTGGGTCTTGATCGATATCCTTGGGACTCTGGCTCGCAGACGGTTCTGCAGCAACCAGAGCTCGGGATCTCCTAAGCCCAGGTACTCTATCTTTCAGGACAGCAGATGGAGCCGGATGCTGTCTGCATTGGTCTTCTCGTCGATATCTACTGCACGTGTGGCACGGAACATGGCGATCGCATCGCAACTTATGTTGTCGACATGGCAGACAGCTTAATGTCCGTCGATTTGTCGTCCGTTTCCGATGAGGGGCTTTAACTGAAGTAGGCCGTGAAGGGGATGTAGGACCAGGTGGAGGTGAGCCAATGGATCCGGTTGTATCTGGAGGAGAGGGCAATACGCGCACCATCATACCAATCAGGGAGGAAGGTAATAATAGGTACGCAGATAATACCTATTCTGGAAGCGTGAACGGCTCTCGCGTATAAGACGTGACACAACTATGCAGGGAGACCAACTGCCACGATGTGCTGTCCTCAGAAGTCCGCAGAAAGCGACGAGATTAGTTGTCTTTCGAGGGTTTCATTGCTGGTCTTGCGCCATTGTCGCTGGGGTACGAGATAAGAGGCCGAACACCGGTCTCCGCATATCAGAGGTACTTAGAAGTGACCTCCAATTCCGCCTTACTTTGGCGTGTTTTTTAGGTCACCAGGAGGTACCGCTAAAGTGTCTCCTACCTTAGCCGAGATAAGCAGTTCCCCACGTGTCCGGCGCGGAGAACAACCCGGATAAGGAGCATGCTTATTGGTGGAAATAAGTACGAAGAGCTTCAATTATTTAGTCGTTTACTATATAAGAGTGTCAAATACCACAAAATGGGGCTTCACGGCTGTGATGCTAAGCACATTACCCGTGGCAGCCTCGAAATATCGTTCACCAAATCCTCGGCTCTTGGCTGCTCCCGGTTGGGGCTGGCTCTTACATGAATACAAGGGCCTCTGTTCTGGTGACTTGGTGTTACGGAACTAGACAAGTCGAGAGCACTAGGCCTACAGTAATAGGATGCCTAGCTACAACTGGTTCTGCAGAGAGTATTATGGCTTACAAGCTATCCATGTAAAATTTATGAAGAAGGCATGCATGTCGCATGCAGCCCATTCTCCCTGATACAAGCCGTAATCAAAGTCATTATCGTCATTAGAAACAGATCATACACAACTGATAGTCGAATATTTCTGCTGGTATATCGCTGATACGGGTTATTAGGAGATACATGCCAGTCATGAGCCAATTAAAGAAATGGTAGCGGAAGCCTGCCCTGATTGCGGATTAGGAGAGTTGTAGCATACAGACCTCCCGAGGAACGAACAACTAAACCTGAGTGTTCGTAGGAACGTGTCTTGGATGTAAAAGCACTAATGGAGCTCCCCATCCCCCGCCTACACTTTTCCAGGGCGGACCTTCTTCGGCAGAGTCCATGGTTCAGGGCAAACAACCTAGACGATCGTTAGTTGCGAAGAAAGACGCCATCAAGCGACCGTACTGACCTCTCCTTCACTGAAGGCCCAGAAGTAAACTCCCATGCCGATCAGGTAATAGACTGCCGCGTCTCCTGTTTGGTACAGAAGTGCGCAGATAAGTGCACTGAGGGGATAAACCACCAGGCGCAGTTCGATACTGCGGTGTGGCAGCGTTCCAGCCAGAGGCTTGAGTGGCCATTCCCACATGAAAGCCACTAGACTCATTATCAAGTTGAGTATCTGCAAGACTGGTGCGGGTTTCACTGCGCCGTCGAGGTTGTGTGACAAGAAGTCCCAGAAGACCTTTGGCCAGAAGAAGCCTTCAATAGATCCGGCAAACTGGTCTGTAGAATGAAAGATAATCAATCAGTAAGGATTCAGGCGACATGTCATACTGGCGAGGACTTACAGAAGGCTGCTGACATGATGATCAGTCGCGCCAGATGGTTTTTGATGAGTCTGCCCATGTTGACGGTTGTTTTGTGGGAAAGAACGTGTGGTTTTAGCGGTCTACTGAAATCGAGGAAGGATTAAAAAGGTTGAAGTTGAATCGAAATATCTTCCGTCCGGCGGAAGAGGTGTGTGCGAGGTTGCGAAATAGTCGTAGACCGTCAAGGCCTGGTTCAGATGTCGTTCAACGGCACTTCACCGTCGTCTTTACTATTCACCTCGGAGATGCACAGCACACTCTCTAAGACCACCTCTTGTTCAGGGTCTGGGGATCACGCGTATATTAAATACAGGTATGAGAACATGTCCGCAGTCGAGGCACTGGCACTGGCAGTGGGGATCTGAGGCGCCGCGGATATGGATCGCAAACGGCACGAGCGTTATCGTCTGACAGCAAAGGGGTTCGGGAGTCTGTTGAGGTAAAACGCGGCTGATTTGGACCGATCGAGTAGCTTATGCTGTTTTGAGAATTGTTGCTTTGGGAAACACACTGAAGCTGTTACAGATGCCAGAATCGGGGAAGTCGCTGCCAGGTCAAGCAAGCTTAGGAGGAGAGACATGATCGCATAAAGCTTGGAGACCAGGGTGGAAGTTCTGCAGACAACCAGCCCTGCGCCTTCTACCAAGAATCTAGAGACTAGATCTCATCGTCCATTCAGCATGGGTTCTTTCTCTGTGATTTTTTAAAAGGCACAATCGCTGACCAGTCAATAGGTTTATTCCAAGCATGGAAATGAGTGAGCCTTTGGCGAGTACGGATAGAAACTCACGACTGGACAAGCCCCGCAACCTATCGGGCATGCATAACGGTATAATCCACAGGCTTATAATTAGCGCCAGAGTTGCAACGAGTGACGATGGAGAGTTCCATCTCCTACAGGGACTCGGGGCGATTAGTGTTCGACTGGGCGTGATGGTGCCGCATTTGCTGCAGGAGATGAGCGGGATCGCGCCGTGGCTGGAACCTCGACTCAAGCGTCCCAGAACCGAAGCGATGACCACCTTCTGGCAGCGCATGAATCACGACAAACCGATGAAGCGACGGTGAGGGAAGACGAGACGGTCAGGGAAATAATAGCAAGTTGACCCAGATCAGCTATTTTCCATCTTGTCGGTAAAATATCCCGTCTAGCGCCTTTTTACTGTTTACTACAATCCAGATAAAGAAAACATGCTGGATTGCGGTAATTGTGCTCGCGACTCAGTCTGGAGCAAACCACTGTCCGCAGAACCCGTGCTAAGCACGCCACTGCGGGTGATAATAACTCTACAATCAGAGAGAGTCTCACTCAATTGCAAGTACTGAGGTTCTTGGTTCCGGCTAGAGTGCGTTTATACCTGCCAAGCTAACTTCTCATCACACATTGATGGAGTGGGAGAAATGGGCAATGATAGTTAATATATACTTGACTGCTAACATTGCCCGCATGACCAGAGCAGGAACTGCAATGGAAATCCGATTGGCAACTATGAAAATCGGATGGCTGCAGCGCGGTGTTCCGATGTGATTACTACTGTAGATGCGCGGCTGCAGAATTCTCATGATAGGTTCTGGGGGTCTTGGGCTTTAAGTACTTAGCAGCGTGGCTAAGCCTTTGGCCAATCCCGCCGTCAATTGAGGTTGTCGGCAGCAATTCCCACTTAACAAGGCTTCGTAGACTGCAGATGATAGACCACCGTTTGTCCAATACCAACGGCACTGCCAGCAATACCATTTTTACCTAGATACCAGTGACCTTTGAGCGCTGCCAAAAGCATGCCCTGATCGATCCACCACATTGTTATCTGAAGAAGTTGAGTTCTAGGACTTGCGCTCATCACCGACGGCACGGACGCCAGGATGCTTTGATGAATATCGCCTCGTCATAGATGGGGACAGTCTAGAATCATAATGTTAATTAAATATTTGCTCATATGTGTCGCGATCGGACAGATTTGGTATCGTCAGCTAAGTAGTAGCTCACGATCAGGCAGATCATTACAGACGCGCATCCGATAATAATATTCTGCCCCGGCAATCATTACTTGTAGATCGGGACTCTGGACCGAACCGCGATGACTTCTTGTAGAGACGCTGTCAAGGCTCACTGTGTATTCTCTCGTGAACGATGTAATAATAATACCTAGATAATAATCCAGACTAGAGTTGACTCGATCAACCCCCTCGAACCCCAGCACTAACGGCTCGGCTCGCTGTATCCCTATTCTACCAGTCAGAGGGTCGGACAAAGCACTCCAGCAGTCGGCCCTGGACCTTGCTGCACTGCTGCAGAACATCTAAATGAATACAATGTCCTCTTCACTTTCCTGTCCCTGCATACTACTTACTGTTCTTCAGACGCCATCCGACGTGATTCTCAACCCCCGCGACTATCTACACGTGCTGGCAGCGGCAATCGGTCTCTCACGCCCGCGCTCAAACAACCAGTGTCAGAGAGCACTCTCCGCAACGGACATTTCGACAAGCACATCATACTACGAGCCGCATTATTCCTCGAACTCGAACGGCCTCAAAGGTCGACGATCTTGACATCAGCTTGAACGCACCGGTGTCGCACTGTTCAGGGTCCTATAATATCAAAACAGGCATCGAGTGTCTAAGCTTCTTACCTCCTTTGTCGGAGAAATCCACAAGTTTCCGCACTTCATTCCTTTTTTGTCGCAACTCGAGGAAGACATCCGGTGATCGAATCCCAGTTAAGCCATTTCTAACTGTCGAAGACACGGACGGTCAGGGGAAGCAAGACAGCCTCGTGGGACTGGATCAGATCAAGTGGGTAGATCGATAGTGAACGCCAAACACGGTATCGCACTAGAACTGAAGCCATCCCGACAGCCCAAAACGGGGGCTGTCCTACCTGGGACAGGCCTCAGGTGCGCCTGTTTAATAGTCAACGATACCTCCGCGCCATAAAATTTTCTTGGGTGGTCGTCAGGTTTGCCGGACAGCCCTCAGACCCTTCGATTCCGTGGCACTCGCCGTCTGTCGTTCTCTTGGAGAGTCGTCGACTCATCAGCATCTGGGGAATCTCTCAGAGTCACTGTTCCACCAGAAGCCTCTGTACCAGAGCGCGACTTTCGTTTCTCTTCTAGTTCTCGTTCATCGCTGGTCGACGATCGGATATTTGAAACCCTTCTTTCTTCTCTTCTTTTTCTAATACGATACCTTTTCTCGTCTGTACACTTCATCGGTATTCAACATGGGGAGCTTCTTCACTGGTTATCTTGCGCCATCCAAACTTCTTTTCTACTTTCTCTTCCATGGTCTTCATCTGGCCTTATTTGCTGTAGGATGGTAAGTATCTGCTCTAAGTTGATACTCTGTTTCTTCACTGACAATTTTGCAGGTATCTACAGGAGACAAGTAAGAAGTTGACCCTTCTTAATCTATTAAACTTTTCAGTATGGATATCTCGTGGCGCCGGACTGGCCTTATCGGTTGATGGGACCCTGATCCTTCTCCCTATGTGCCGGACGCTGTTGAGAATTGTGCGACCGAAGATAAAGTGGCTACCGTTGGATGAGTCTATCTGGTTTCATCGACAAGTAGCCTACTCGCTGCTCTTCTGGACAATTGTTCATGCTTGCGGCCACTATGTCAAGTGAGACCTCCACGACAGAAAGATTAAGAGAGATTCTTGCTGACAATCCATAGCTTCTTCAACGTGGAGAAGACCCAAGTCCGTCCAAACCTAGCTGTCCAAATCCATTATGCCGAGGCTGGTGGGGTGACTGGCCATATTATGATGCTTTGCATGCTTCTCATGTACACGACAGCCCATGCAAAGATTAGGCAGCAATCTTTCGAGACATTCTGGTACACTCATCACTTATTTATCCCGTTTATGCTTGGTCTCTATACCCACGCGACGGGTTGTTTCGTCCGTGATACCGCGCAGCCATTTTCTCCATTCGCCGGCGCAGCCTTCTGGGACCACTGCCTGGGTTATGAGGGTTGGAGATGGGAGCTCTTCGCAGGCGGCTTCTACCTGATCGAACGCTTGTATCGCGAAGTGAGGGCCAGACGAGAGACTGTGATAACTAAGGTCATCAAACATCCGTACGGTACGTTTGTAGAAGACATGTTTAATATTCATTGTCTAACAATAGTATAGATGCCATGGAGATTCAGTTCAGGAAGCCCAGTTTCAAGTACAAGGCTGGCCAGTGGCTTTTCCTCCAGGTTCCGGAGGTGTCTACTATGCAGTGGCACCCTTTTACGATTACGTCTTGTCCATTCGACCCGTATGTCAGTGTCCACATCCGTCAAGTTGGAGACTTCACTCGTGCGCTTGGTGATGCCCTGGGTTGCGGTCCCGCTCAAGCCAAGGAATTAGACGGTCTGGATCCCATGGGTATGTACGAGATTGCTATGCAGAATGGACAGAAGATGCCCAGTCTCCGTATCGATGGGCCCTACGGAGCACCAGCTGAGGATGTCTTTGATAACGAAATTGCCGTCTTGATTGGAACCGGTATCGGTGTCACGCCATGGGCATCGATTCTCAAGAACATTTGGCATTTGCGAAACAGCCCCAACCCGCCAAAGCGTCTGCGTCGCGTGGAATTCATCTGGATCTGCAAAGACACTACCTCGTTTGAGTGGTTCCAAGCTTTGCTATCCTCCCTCGAAGCGCAATCACAACAGGCAGCTACGAAACAGGGTGGCGAATTCCTTCGCATTCACACATACCTTACCCAGCGGTTGGATCAGGATACGGCCGCCAACATTTATCTGAACTCAGTCGGTCAGGATATCGACCCTCTAACAGAACTGAGGAGTCGAACTAGTTTTGGTCGTCCTGACTTCAAGCGTCTGTTTGGAGCGATGCGCGATGGTCTCGTCGATCAAACATACATGTCCGGCCTGGAGGGTAACATAACGACAAAGGTGGGAGTGTATTTCTGCGGTCCCAATGTTGCTGCCAGACAGATCAAGTCTGCTGCCAAGGAGGCTTCGACGAGAGAGGTCAAGTTCAAGTTCTGGAAAGAGCACTTCTGAACTCGCCTATCATCTCTTACTCAGTTGCAGGACAGTTGCTTTTTGGGTTCCTCCCTGCGCCAAACTTCAGTACTTGCGCGACTTGTGGGGAGTACATCCTCACTGATATGTATATCGTGCAGTGGAGATGTTGATTGTCCATCGTTGATTCTGTGGTGAGCTCACATAGCTCTGTCCAGCTACTTATGTACCTATTTTATTTGATCTATATGCTTATGACAGCGACACCTGGATGCTTTATCCATCTATTACGAATGAACCATCATTCAATTATTTCCCATGTATCTTCTAGCCCCTGTTTTCGAATGCTGATCCCTTGCGTAGTATGTACTCCATATCTTTTTAACTCATGAAATAAAATCCTCATCTTTCATTATTTCTCGATATTTGGACCATAGTTACTCTTCAGTATCCTTAAACGACCATATCAGACCTCATTAACAATCACAAAGAAACCCCCTAGCAACTAGCTAACGTGAAAGTCTTCATTGCGAAGGAAACTTCCGTGGACTGGAAACACCGAGAATATTTTAACTAATGAAGATACTCTATTGAAACCAGGTATACATTTTATATCGGATGAACACGTATAACGGTCCTGAAAGTGAAATGATTCTATACGAGCATAAGTACCCACTCTACTTCACTGCAGATAGCATCATCAGGAGCCCTGGAGTTCGACAGCGTTTCCCTCTATCAGCAAGAGGATATCTTTAGATGTTAGTCCAACAGATCAAGAGACGCTAAGTATGCAGTGTCTAAGTGGACTCTATATATACAACCAACGTTGGGATCATATTTGCACTAATCGTTGAAACAGCAGCTTCCATTAATTCAGCCACGATTTCCAAGGCAGCTGTTTTACAGTAGAAGTAGTCATAGTCAAGTTCAACACCACATACCGGATGAATATCCCGGGATCGACCCAATCTATGTATTATTCCTCCGTACCTAGTTAGCCGCATACAAAAAACCTCTAGCCTAGATAATTAAAAGCGATGATTACCTAGCTCATACCCAAACGGTCCACCATCCCGAAACGGATACGACATCGATTAATTTCCAAACTAGGAGCTAGTCTAGTCTACTCTGAAACTCGATACTCCCTACCTCTAACTATCCGTGTAAGTTATTCCGTATGGCTTGCTTCAGTCCAATCCGAGTAAATAAGAGAACTCCTGAAAACGCCACATCTCCATGCTTCTTTGGGCAGATTTGTTTTGGAACGTGCCGTCTTGGGGGGGGGGGGGGGGGGGGGGGGGGGGGGCTATTGTCTTTGTTCCGGGATCCGTGTTGAGGAAGTGGTGTGGTTGTCGAGTTCGGTATGGTACCTATGCGGTGACCCGTCGTCGTGTGTGTATTTTGTATTTTTGTGTGATCAGGTCTCTCTTTATACGGTATGTGTTAGTACTGTTTGGGATGGGGATAGTATGGCCGTAGATGACGGATCTGTGCAGATTGTGGTATCTGAATCGCGTAAAAAGTGCTACTCGATAGTGTTTTGAATCCATCCGTGCTTTTGGGAGATGCTGCTGAAGGTGTTTGTTAGGTTTAGTAACGCCAAGTAATGGCGCATGATCACACATAGATGCCATTTACTCCAGTTTACATTCGCTACATAATGTCCTGCTCACTATCTGGGTCCTCTGGCATGTTGATAGGATCGGTGTTCATCCCCTGCTGTCCCTGCATCGTCCTCTTCTGTTCCATCTGATCTTCTATATCCTCCAGTACATCTTCGATGTCGACATGAAGGCGCAATTCCTTCTCCACAAGGACGTTATACACGCGGCGTAATTCCTCGAAAGACATTCCTTCCTCCGTGGGTTTCTGCGTAGGGGCTGAATCTTGTTTCTTTTGCTCCTTGATGAGATCTGCGCGAAGATGGCTGAAGGCGAGCATGAGTATCTGCTTTGACCAGGGACAGGCACGCATAGCGCGAAAGAAAATATCCTTTGCACGAGCAATATGTCCTCTGGAAAGTTCGAAGAGGATGTAGAGCTTCCAAAGAGAGATATTCGAGTGAGAAGAGGAAGGATCATGGATGGGACTGCTGCTCGAGGTCCCGGACCTTAGAGTCGGGTCGCTGATCGCCTTTTCAAAGGCTGCTCGCACAGAATGAATCGTGGAGCCTGAGAAAACAGGTCGATGGAGCTCTGCGTAGACGGCAAAGAAGTGAGATGTCACTGGAACGGCCTGCTTATTTAACTGGCTTTGCCCCTTTCGTCCCTGTGCAGTGATTTCATGAATCACGTCTCTAACCCGTTCTTCGATACGGAACCGTGACTCGTTCCAGGCGAAGAGGTTGAGGAATATGGTATTGTGTGGAAATAGGGAGATACTTTCTAATAGTAACCCTCGAATCTGCGATGGCTTGTATGCTCTGCGTGATCTGGTGTGATAATAAAGGAGCTTTGCTCGCATCTGGTGTAGCAACTCGGTTGCAAATGAGACGAAAGAAGTCGCCTGTGGTGGCAGCTTTCCCAGGCGTTCAAAAGCTGTGCTGAATATTGTGATGGCATCGTCAATGCTCAAATCGTATGAAAGATACTTAAGAATTGCCAAGCATTCGGTGTAGGCCACGAAAACCTCGGCATTTCGCATGGCCAGGGCCTGCTCTTGGCCTTCGGAGAGAGACTGCACGGGCACATTAATATGTGGGATAGCAAAAAAGAAGAAAGAAAATAGACAAACAACGACATACCCTTTGTGTTTTCAGGAACTCCGCGGGACTGATCACCATGCGTTCTTCAGATGCGGACAAATTGGAGACGCTGATGGCGTTCTGGGGAATAGACAAGAGCAACCTGATTGCTTTGTTTACTTCCGCGCCATGTAGACACTCCCAAATCCATGTGCGCCAGAGCAGGGCACAACTGAGTTTTTCTGTGTCCGAGAAATCTCTACTCATCGAAAGAGTCGTCATCCAGACTTTCTCGGCAGTTACAGCGTTTCCAGATCGCAGCTCGATCAGCCCGTAGGCGTTGTAAAGTCGCACATTCGACGGCGATCGTTTGAGGAGAGACTTTGCATATTTCCTTGCTTCCTTGAAATCGAATGCGTATTCTAAAGCAAGAGAGTATTGAGGAAGAAGATCATGTCCCGGGGTTGCATCTACTAAACCTCGAATTGTCCGTCGAACCCAGTCAGGATCCAGATTGGCCTTACCGTGGAGGACTGTGTCTCGCCAGAGCTTTAGAGAGTCAAACCACGAGTCTTTATCCGAGAGAAGCGTATCCAAAGTATGCACATAGTTGCCCGGGATAGATGATGATGGCCATATCATTGGATTATCATTAGCAGAAGAATCGCATAGCCACTCATCCAACGTAGGGCCTGATATATCGACAAGCTCATTCCGCAAGAACGCATCCCCGCACCAGTGCCTGCATACTTCTGTGTTTTCTGTCGTTGATATCGCTGGAAGGGAGCAGAAGTGCACAAAAGCGTCGATCAACACCTCTCTAGATGCTAGGTTCCAGAAGAGTGTCAGAAAGTCCTGCAGGTCCGAGAATAGAACTACCCTGTACGGGTCGTCCTCCTCGAACTCATCAAGCACGCGGGCTGGTAAACGAGCATTCATCTCCCGATCCTTTTCACACTCAAGCCACGAACCAAATACGCGTTTCCGATGGATTCGAGAATTTGCAATGGTTGACTGAGGCTGGACGCCTGTACTGTTACCGCTTTTCCAACCTTTCGCTCCCAGTTCTCCGATTCGCGCGACTTCTGATTCCCAGAACTCCATGAAAGATGATAGTGCCGCTTGGAGGTCGTCACTCCCGTTGAAGACTTCCGGTCTGAAGAATACAAACTCCAATATTGCCTGCCAGAGACCGACAGCATGTTCTGCAAATCCGGATTGACGCATGAAAACAGCCATACGGAGAAACAAATAGGTCTGGATTCTGGCCTTCTCAGGGTTATCGAGACTGGAGGAATTGAGTTTCATACACTCGAGAAAAGTCCCTTTACATTTGTCATATGTAAAATCCAAGAACTCTGTTTGGCGAAAGTCCAGATATTTAACCCAAAGGCTTATATAGCCTGGATTTGCTTTCAACACGGAATGCCACTGTGTTGAAAGCTTCTTCGTATCCCACAGCTTTCTTCCCTCTTCAAGAAAGCCCAGGAGCAGGCGGTCTTTCAACGGGTTGCGACCGACGCGCCTCAGAGCTTTGTCATACAGTGACAATTTTATATCAGCCAAGCTTCTTTGCTCAGCGTAACTAAGTGTTCGAGCATCACGTCCAACCCCGGCGAGGAGAGCATCTTGGTGATTGATCAATCGAAGCCATGCGTCAACATCGTCCGGATGGTCTTCCACAGTCCTGGACAATTGGATATTGTGTTGCTTTATTTCTTCGTCTGGGTCAATCCGCCTCCCTTCCTCTCCACTGTCTGAGTCCGACGCCTCCTCCAGGTCACTCGGAAGATCTTTACCCGGTTTTGCTTTGCCTTCAATGGACCGGTACGCATATCTATCACTTTCTTCTGAATCTGAAGTACCGAGTATCTTCCTTCGCTTTCGGCTCCCACTGGAGCTCAACGGCAAGAAGTCTCTTGTGGCCTCTGTCGGGTCTGCTTCCTTAAGCCGGCGTATCCGTAGCAGTCGAGGTTGCTGTCGATTCAACTTGGACAATGTAGACCTAATCTTAGATCTCGACGAATCTCCGCGCAGCGTATCTGCAGTTATAACCAATGCAGCCCCATCTGCGGCGTCACGATCAATTTTATAGCTGGGTGGCAGACCCAGTACACTTCCTTGTCCAATACGATGGTACTGCGGGACGCTATAACGGTGCAGTGTGCCATATGTGATATTGTACCTATCACCCTTGCGATCCACCACAAAAAGATTAGAATCATCTTCTCCCTTTACGGAAACGTTCGCGCTAAGTAGAACGTCGTGATGATCGGAAGACGTATAGTCCTGTTTCCTGGAAGTTGGGCGGGGTTTTCCACGGTCAGGGCTTCGCTCTACCGATCGCGAGCGATGCCTATGGCTCCGGTGTCTCGATCGGTGTCTGGAAGGTTCATGATGCTCGCGTCTCCCAGAGACTGGCGACTCCCTCCTACGGTGTTCGCGTGTCTTGTCCGCTTCTGGTTTCGGTGCGGGCTTGGGTTTGAAGCTGGAAAACTTGGGGATCGGCTTCTTGTCCTACAGAAGTGAGATTAGTCCTATATCCGATTCAGCATGTAGTAAAAAACAAAAAAAAATAAAATAACGAACCTGGGAGCCCGCAGAATCCATGCTCCTGGAATAAGAACAATACCATAATCTCGTAGTGGCAGCTTGCGATGCTCCGCGGCGGCGCGTTTACTCTAGTCCGGCTGCTCCACTGGAGCTCCGCGGATTCGGGAAAAATTTCCTTTCCGGTCCCGCAATTTTTTGGAAGTTCAAGACGCTTCAAAGTTCAAAGTCGATCAGCATCGACACATCTCACGGCAACAAAGAGCGTCCTGTTGATCTTTGATCCCTTGGAGGAAGGAAAGGGACAGGGATGGGTCGTTGTTCTTGAGCCTCTACGTCTATCCCACAAGTCAACATGGCTTCTTCCCTCGCCGCCCAGTTGTCGCAAATTGCGGCAAAGTCGACAAACCAGCTCGATTTGAAGGCGCAAAGAATTGCACATTCGCAGTCTCTGATATTCGAGAAGAAGATTGCAGGTTCGCAAGATTTCGACACAATCTACCACATATGCCACGAAGGCTTTCAGGAGCTATGTCTGTTGGACGCAAGGTTCGCGGAGTTTGGCCGCACCATCTTCAGCGAACAGAGCAAGAGTCAAGAACGCACTGAGATGACTGCTGCTCAAAACAAGGAGCTCGATGCGGTTCTGGAAGCGTTCCTGGCACTGGTCGGAAGCAAGCTTCTTCTCAGTCCGGCCATCAAGGCGGTTGACTGGCTAGTTAGGCGTTTTCGGTGCGACAAAATCTCACTTTCTATCTTCTTCATATTTTTTTTGCTGACAGTGACATAGGGTGCACGAGTATAATACTTCTAGCCTCATAATCACGTTCCTTCCGTATCACACTGCGCCCATTTTTCTGAATCTCCTGGTTATACTGCCCGAAAATCTCGGCCCGGCTTTCAAGGTCTTAGCACCTTACAGGAGGAGCCAGTTGAACCCGCCGCGCCATCCTCTTGTGCACAGCGCAAAGACCAATCCATCGTTCTTCAATGCTATCAATACCTATGTTTTGCAGGCGAGCCGCCAAGGAGCCGGCCATCATGGTCTACTGGCCTTTTGGGCGGGGATCATAACGGAGGCGGTGGCCGGTATGCTGGATGCAACCAAATCTGGTCGCAAAGAAGTCGAGAGGCAGAAGCATGAAGACATTTTACTCCGCGTTCTTCCAGTGTTAAATGACGGGCTGTCGATACGAGAAGCCCCGGAACTAATTATCGGGTGCTATATGCTCTGCGTCGTTCTGGCACAGAACTCGACTCTTAGTGATACAACCCTCAACGGTCTGATGGAAGCCGTGGTCGAGTCATGGAACCAAGACACACTGGGATCCGGTCTAATCTGCTTGTCTGTCCTTGCACAGAAAAAGAACGATGCCACTCTGCCGCGAAGAGTTGTGAAAGCTATTCTTCGCATCGAAAACGGAGTTAACAAGCTAGCGGAAATAACTACACCATATCCCACATCTCAACTCCTACTTGGTATAATTTCGAAATGTGTTGAAGGCCTCGACAAACAAAGAGACGCATCGCGACTGGATTTCGTGTATAGCATATTCGAGCATGAGCTCTTGAAGGGTGATACTGCCAGCACGGCTCTGGGTATGATTCTTCAGGCGGCAAGTGATGCGGTAAAGACGGGAGGAATACAGCTAGAGATAGAGTCGCGTTTCTCGGACCTCATTGAGCGAGTTAAAGAATCGCAATCACTTCGACCTCTTCTCGAGGGCGCTATTGAGAAGTCATCTGTCGACATCCCGCAGTTACAACTCCAGATGCAGACGCTCATTCAGGATGAACTTCCTCCTGCTCCTGATGGGGATGTGGATATGCAGGATGCCGATAAGCCAGAGGAAGCGGGTTCCTTCGAAAAAGCTATCGAGTCCCTTGCTACCGAGAAGCCAACCGGATCATCTTTCCTAGGCCGTCAGCCAGCGGATCTATTTGACGGCCTTGTTCAGCTGTTTGCTTCGACCGTGGGTTCAACTGAGAAACTAGACAAGTTTACCAGTCTACCTGTACTAGGTAGATCCGATGCCACGAGGAAGCCATCTTTCCTGACTTTCTTTGTGAGAGTATTATCCGGGCCATATCCAATTGGTACGCGGGTTGCTGCACTCAAGGCAGTGGAGTCTTTCCTCTCTTCTGCTACGGCGTCTGAATGTGACTTCCAAGTCTTGCTTCCCTATTTTATCGCAGCTCTAGCCGATCATTCGGAGAGAATTCGCCGTGAGACGGCGAATGCCTTAACTGCGCTGTCAAGCATCTACAAGAAAGGAAAGAAAAACGACAGCGATGAGCAAAAGCCATGGGCCCATGACACTTTCTATGCATCTGAGGGACGATCGAATGACATCAAATGGCTTTCGAGCAGCGACGTTCGCAAGGTTATGGACCGTGTATTGCTGCCAGGTCTGGAGGAGTATTCCTTGGACCCGAGCCATATCAGCAGAGTCTTGGAGAGTGCTCTGAAAGGGCTATCCGTGCCTGACAGCTCTTCATCGACGGGCAGTGCTGAACTCAAGAAGTCTCTTCGGCTTAGTCTCTTCACTTTCCTGTGCTCGCATATCGTTCGGACGCCCCTGTTCACTATCAAGCTTCGCCTCCTGAAAGTCATTAATCGTGTTGACAAGGCTGGTGGAACAACACGCACCAAAGAACTCATGCCGCTTCTTGAGGCATGGCGCAAATTGGGCCAGGACGAGATACACGCAATCTGTGGTAAAGAGCACATATCCGCTTCTGAGCTTGAGTCAGAGGTTATCGCTGTTGTGACGCCCAAGGATAAGGAGGCTATCGATATCCTGCTGACCAATGTCTCTGGAAACCCTCAATCACTCAGAGAGTCTTTCGTTACAGCTGTCTTTAATCGCATTCGGGATGTCTGGGCCTCCGTCTCTGAAGAGAGGCAGCTTGATGCTTCAGAGAAACTGCTTGACATCTCCCTGGGCATTTCTGACGCCTTCAGTTCAATGGAAAGCTACAGTCGTGAAGTCCTCCGCAGCGTGCATCTTCCCGGTCCGGCTTTGCTCCGATTCCTCGACAAAATACCGGCGTCAATCACTGATATAGAGTCGAACGCTCCAGCATCGAAGAGAAGGCGCACGAGTCAAAACAACATGGTTGCAATGAGTGTTAGGGACGAAGCGGAATTGAACAGGCTTATGGACAAGATGACTTTCATCTTAGAACTCGTTGACAACTCGGCGCCTGAAAATCACCCAGAGCTAGCCGATGGCCTGTTCCAGACCCTCGCTTCTCTCCATCTGTTGAAGTCTCAGGTCCAATCTGGCTTGAGCTATCTCCTCAGCTTAGCTCTTGGCAGTCTATTGAACATTGTCAATAAGGCGAAGGTATGTTGTACGCTATATCTTTGTCCCGTTAGTCATTCTAACATTTATCCAAGGTCTCGAAGTCTGCGTTCGACACTTCAGTCATCCGTGCTGACTTGGTCATCGACTGTGTTCGCACAACAGAGAGCCCGCAAGTGCAGAACACTGCACTGCTTCTTGTGGCTGGTCTGTCAGTTGTCGCACCCGAACTGGTGCTGCATAGTGTGATGCCGATTTTCACGTTTATGGGATCCAGTGTCTTGAGGAAGGATGACGAGTACTCTGTTTCAGTCATAGACCAGACGATCGACCAGGTCGTGCCCGCCCTCATCCAGTCTCTCCGTAATCAGAAGCGGGATGTCGTTTCCGGGACGTCAGAACTACTTCTCAGTTTCACGGCTGCATTCGAGCATATTCCATCCCACCGTCGCCTCCGTCTTTTCCAGGCGTTGATTACAAAACTCGGAACTCAAGACTTCCTATTCGCCGTGCTAGCAATGCTCGCTAATCGATACGCCATGAACAAAGATGTATTGAGTCTCATGGCTGGGCTGACATCGACCACAGACTCCAGACTGCAACTTATTGTAAGTTTTTATGCTTCCCCCCATTAATTTGTGTGGATAAGCCCTAACCATAAAGTAGACATACGCGAAGTATCTGGATCTTGTCAGTGACTCTCTCAAACCCAAGCCTGGTATCTCGCAAGTGCTACTTGGCGTTGGCGGAGAAGATGGGCGCGATCCGCAGAAGGTTGCTGTCGACTTACTGCGCGCTTTGGCCCATCTATTGAAGCATTCATCTCTTCAGCCAAAGATGTCCGAGACATTTAACTCTGGCAACGAGAAGCTGTCTGCGGAAGTTCAAACGCTGTTCGCTCATATCCTTGAGCGGGTTTTGACGATAGGGGAAGCTGTGCAGACTATGAAGCCTGTCAGCTTGGCATGCGGCGATGTCCTCGGATCATTGCTGGGAACATTGTCTCTCGTCGATTTCCTCGACACTATCGAGGCATTACTACAGCGCCCGAACGATGAACTCCGGCGTAAAGTCCTGCGCCTCTTGGAAGCTCGCCTCAGGCAGACCCCCGAACGCGAAAGTGTCTGTCAAAATCGAACGTTGCAGTTCCTTTCTGTCTTGGTTCACATCATCGAATCCTCGCCTGACATCCTTCTTAAGCATGCTGCGGTTGCTTGCATCGATCGTATCAGCGACATCTATGGTAAGAAGGACCCCTCAAAGGTCGTGCATGCGGCGAAGGTTGTTGCTAGTGAGCGGTGTATTGGTGAGACTGATGACCGCATTCGTGTCATGGGTATTCTCTGTCTGGCTTCGATGGCTGAAGTTCTCGGCGAGGCGATCATTCCCGCTCTGCCCGAAGCTTTGGCTCGTTCGTTCAGTCTACTTGAGATCAGCTTGGAGCGTGGCAACATAAACCCTAAATTGCACGATGCGGTCTTCTCCCTGATCTCGGCACTCTTTATCCAGGTCCCTTTCATGATCTCGGGTGACCATCTCGATAACATTCTGCGTCTTTCGTTCAAATCTGCGGCGTCTGATCTTCACGAAGAGAGCGACGAAAGCCGCCGGGAAAGCTTGAGATTGTTGGCAAGAAAGGTCGACGTCAAAGAAAGCTTCGGCGCCGTCGAACGCAATTGGTCTGTTGCTGTGGCCGCTGGGTCTACTGCGGCAAATGAAGCTCTTGAGGTTGTTAGCACGGCCATTGAGAAGCATCCCAAGGCAGCTACTGTGAAGAATGTAAATTCCCTGGTGAATCTGCTCCAGAAGGCGCTGGACTTGCGTCGCGAGCAGCTAGTTGCGGGCTCGGCGTCACGTTACGATATCCAGGATCTCGAGGAAGTCGAGGAGACGGTCAATGAAGTCGCCATCAAGATGATCTACAAGCTTAATGATACCACATTCCGACCACTATTTGTCAAGTTGACGGAATGGGCAACGAGTGGTCTACCAAAGAAGGATTCCTTAGGCAGAACGATGCGGCTTACAACATTCTACAAATTCCTCCAGCACTTCTTTGGGACCCTCAAGGTATGTGTCAACACTGCGTCACGCGCATGCATAAATACTAACATCATTCTAGTCAATTGTTACCGGATACGCTAGCTACGTTATCGATAACACAGTTGAGGTTCTGGGGAAGGCTAATCCGACGGACAAGAATTCCAAAGACCTCTGGCTTGCTACAGTTCGCATGCTGCGCCATGCTTTCGAGCATGATCAAGATGGTGGGTTTATTTTCCTTCCCTATAGGATTCTGTGATCTGTTCACGCTAACTTCCCAAACAGAGTTCTGGCAATCGCCCTCCCATCTTACTGCGATCTCCGGTCCTCTGATCTCGCAACTGGCTCATGCTACGAGCGCGTCGACTGCGGCTATTGTGATATCCGAGGCGGTCCCTGCTATCACTGAGCTAGCGGTTGCAGCGGATTCCCCCGACAACCATAAAGAACTCAATGCTTCCATCATGAAATTCCTGCGGCCATCTGCTAGCGGAACTTCAAAGGCTGCCGCGGGTGAGAATCCGCATACCCGAGTTGCCGCTCTGAAGGTCGAACGATCCCTCACTGAACGTCTTGGCGAGGAATGGCTCGCTCTCCTACCGGAGATGTTGCCTTTCATCAGTGAATTGATGGAAGACGAAGACGAGGCTGTCGAGAAGGAAGTCAGAAGATGGGTTCTGGAGATCGAGGATGTTCTCGGAGAGAAACTGGACGATATGTTGATGTAAAGTTGTTGAATTGTGCGGTATGTTTTTGTCTTTTTGAGAGCTTATGACTTTTTGTGCAAACCTGTCAGGGCTGCGGGGCGTTTTCTTCCCAGGTTCTGGAGACTCCAAAAAGTCTGCATATTTCTGGAGTTATGAGGCGGAGAAAAAAGTTCCTCGCTATCTCTTTCTTACTGTTACTATACTATACTATGATCTATTAGATAGAAGTGATCTACATATGTCCATCGTTTGGTTTGAAGACTATTACGTTGCCATTTTTCATAGATACCGTCGAAGCAGCTTCAGCTGTAACATCAAAATCAAAATCAACCCAGACTAAGAAAACGCCTGGACATAGGTGATAACCCATCTGGATACCTAGACAGCTGTGTTTACTTCGGTGGCTCCTGCTGGCTGTCACTAGAGTCACGTGATCAAGGCCACCCTACGTATATAGGCCTGGCTCCTAGCTAGAGTAATCAAGCAAGCTTCTCACCGCTTCCTTCAACTATCTCTCTAGACTCTAGGATACGATACGATGAGCTACATCTGAATATCCAGAGGCTCTTTATATCCAAATGGTAACCTGATATTGTGGTCTGGTCTCAGCATGAAGACGAGTTGGGAGATACCGGATACGAAGACGCGACTTCCCTGTGCAAGGTGCCCGTCAACAAAGCTTTGGTTCGATGTTTTCTGCTTATACTCGCATACAAACTTCGCTTTGGAGGAGTTAGAAAGATTATGCGCGCTCTTACTACCATGGCAAAATCAGACTGGGGCTCTCCATCCTAGCCTTTGTGGAAATTGCAATCGGCGATATTGTGATGCTGGACAAAGAAGCGCTATTCAGCTTGGGCCAGAAAACGAATGACTACGACTAATATGAGTTGCACGATAAGTCGGACATCAAGAAATCCAAATGGTATGAAAGTTTCAGTCCTCAATATTGGTGTTCTAAACTAGCATAGCAGCATCGACCTCCCGGGGCCGGGTAGCATAGTGCATCCGTGAGATACGCAGATCGTGTCAACACGTAATTATGCAAGACCATACTCCTTAATCAGCTTCTCAGCAGCTGTAGCGCCGGTGACATATGCCACGGCCTGGACGTGGCAGCTTGCCAGAACCGGGACAACACTCATGTCGGCCACGCGCAGACCTTCAATACCCTTGACCTTGAAGTTGCTGTCCACCACAGCATCCTGGTCATCCAGCTTGCCCATCTTAACCGTGCCGGTCATGTGCCAACTGGAGGACATGGTCTGTCTCCAGTACTCCAGGATGTCTTCGTCGGAATCGGACTTGGGCTCAGCAAGCGCGATAACATTGTCCTTAGTGTAAGCCGCGTGCTTCGCGACACGGAATGCATCGCGCATACTTTCGATAGCTGCGCGGCGGTCGAAGGGGTGCTGAAGGAACTTGGGATCAAAGAGAAGAGGCACATCGGGATCAGATGACTGCAGGGTAACTTCACCTCTGGCCTGGGCGTTGAACAAAAAGACGAGGAAGCATGAGTAACTGAAAGCGTCCTTCGGAAATCCAGGCATGAGCCAGTGGATGGGAACATGCGTCATGAATTCATAGTGTGGGATGGTCTCTTTCGTCAGATACTGCTTCTCGTCCTCGGGAAGCTCCTGGAACTCCTTGGACTCTTGGAGGCGAGGAATCTTGAACCAACCAACACCCAACTCGCAGGCGAACTGGGCCCATGGCCCAGTTCCATCTTTCTTCCACTGCTCCAAAGCCTTATCCATTGCCTTCTGGTCGCCATAGAAAGCGTGACGGTCGTTAGTGCCCTCCTTGCGTTTGTACACTAGGGGACTAAAGGTGTGGTCACGGAGACCCTTTCCGACAGCCTCGACGGGTTGGACGACAGGAATCTTGTACTTTTCAAGCTGCTTCGCTGGTCCAATACCGGAATGCATCAGGATCTTGGGGGAGTCCAGAGACCCAGCAGACAGAATGACCTCCTTAGAGGCAAAGTCTGTATAGAGTTGTTAGCGGTTAATCACATTGAAAAGAACCAGTCAGAATGGCGCGTCAGGCTTACACTTCTTGCCGTTGCTCTCAACACCCACGGCTCTCTTGCCTTCCAAGATCAAACGCTGGACTGGCGACTGGGTGATGATCGTCAAGTTTTCTGGCCTAGGCTCAAGTATGTCGGCAGCAGTCGAACGCAAGCCCTTATGAGCGGAATTGATCATGAGTGACATTCCAATTGGATTTCCGGAGTTGTGGTCGTTGTTGAAGGGGAAGCCAGCCTTCTCATAGACGTCCAAAACATCTGGGAGATCCCGCTCAGTCTCCGTTGTGAAACCGACATGGAGAGGACCAGAGGTGCCGTGGTCTGCTGGGTTTGGAGCCTTGAATTTCTTTTCTAAGCCAGCCGGAAGGTCGCCGTGAAATGTCTCCAAGCTCTTGAACCGAGACTGAATAGGGCCCCATCGGAAGGCATCATCGCCCACGACCCTGGCCCATTCCTCATAGTCGTCTCGGGCACCAACTGTGTAGACACCGAAATTGATAGCGCTGGAGCCGCCCATGCCCAGGCCGCGGGAGTAGTCGAGCGAGCGGTTATCAAGGCCCTCCTGAGGTGTGGTTGAGTATCCCCAGTTCATATGCTTGTTCATGAAAGTTATCCAACGCTGACCATCAATACGTAGGTTCTTGTCATCGTTGACGTCTCCAGCTTCGAGCAGAAGCACCTTCGGACTTTTCGCAGAACGTGCCAGGCCAGCAGCAACGGTGCTACCAGCCGGTCCAGCTACATCCTCGTCAGCATGGGTTGGCCGTGCAGTTAAAGGCTGGATATATTCACTCACAGCCCACCACGATAAAGTCGTAAGTCGATGCCATGATCTTTGTTTAAGCGGATGCTTGCTCCTATGCTAGAAAGACCCTGCCAGAAAATCAAGGGAAAGATGTGTCTATCGTGGAGGATATAGAGAAGGTCTGGGAATGTTCATCTCACGGGGTTCCGCGGGACTGATATATGCAGAGAGCGAATCCTGCGGTTCGCATCTACGGTACCTTGTCTGACCATCTTCCTCAAGCTAGTGTATACATGCGGTTCCTACTAAGCGGACTAGCGCGTTAGCTGCAGCCCGTCAGACCCGCTGTTTGCCGTCCTAATTTTACTCCATGCGGCGCGGTAGATGCTCCGTACTTTTGCAGCTACCAGTCTATTGCGGTTGTAACGGTTTCGGGATATGAACGACAATGCATCATATTACACACGCCAGCTCCGCAGCGTACATGCATAGCAGTCCATATCTTTTCAAGATATGTAGCTCGTCAAAACGTGATATATTCTCACCGCTGAACAACCAGTCAAAAGCTACCCTCTGAGCTGTCATTTGAATACCTGAAGAAACGGAATCAGGCCGACTAAATCTCGGACAGAACCTCGCTGATCATCCAGTAAAGAGGATGGAAAAAGTCTGAGGTAGAACGGCGTTGCTTCGTTAGCATCATCCGTTCAGTGTAAACCCGTCTTTCAAGCAAAGAAAAAAAATATGATAATTACCAGATGTATCACCTGTGGCCACAAAAATGAATTCATTCTGAGTGCGACGAACAGGAGATATCATTGGCCATGGGCTATTCCTCCTTAGGATCTTTCATACATGCATGGGGCCAAAAAATTCGAAGCACTCAAGAACTTCTCAGATTGGGTACCCCTTTCTTGTCCTAAGTTAAACCCGGAGCCGAAAAGTCTGCATCTCCTCCTTGGGCTCCGTTAATCACTTCCGGTCGCAATTCGACCGTGTGTCGCGGTGAAGGGCGACAGGCACCGGTGCTCTTGATTCCTCCACCCGTCCCCTGCGCCGCAAGTCTCACAGGCCCCAATCATATCGGATGGACCAGGCGTTGAAGTATTCGGGGACGCGTACGGAGTAGTTGGACTAAAATTATCTAGATCGTTCCGAAACCCAGGAGTAACGGGCCGAGAGTCTGGGTCCATTACCTCGGGACTTTAAACATACATCTGAAAACAAGGATTGGAATCCATTTGCCGTTAGGACATGCAATATTACGACGGTCCTCCTATTGGGAATCAACCGACGTGGCTTTGCCGCCGCCCGCTCGTTCGCTACATTGTACCTCTATACCGTTCTTTTTTAGTTTCTTTCCACGCGCGTGTGCACCATTCCTTCTGCATATCTTTATCTTCCAACTTCAATACCTTTAGGCCTACTGTGTAGGAGGATATCCGCGAATATGGGGGCTCCTGCGGATGTCGAACAATGGACCCTCCTGGCCTTGGCTATCGTTATCATCATTGTTCGTGTCTATGTACGATGGACGCTGGTTGGACCTCGAAATTTCGCCGCTGATGATTATCTGATGCCTGTTGCGGGAGTAAGTTGATCCCTTGATGGACACTCAGGAAGACGAGACATGAAGACTGATCATTTTCTAGATTGTATTTATAATGGAGACGGTGGCAGCATACCTTGTCGGTGCGAAATTCGGCGGCTTGACGAATAGTTATATGACTCCAGAGGAGCGGGCGGAGCTGGATCCGAACTCGAAAGAATACTATGACCGGGTCTGGGGATCCAAGATCCAAGTAATCGGCTGGTCTTTCTATGTCTTCATTCTGTGGACCATCAAATTCTGCCTAGCATTCTTCTACGCCCGGTTGACGTACGTGATCTCGACTTTATCTGATTAGAATCTCGCCATGATACTGATTGGATGCGATTAGGACCGGATTAGCATATATGGAGCTGCGCGTCAAAATTGCCTATGTAGTGTTGGGAGCAACTTACATCATGGTCTGCCTCACTCTTTTGCTCAGTTGCCGGCCCATGCACAAGTTCTGGCAGATAAATCCTGATCCAGGGAGTGAGTAAACGCCGGGAAGTTCATTCTAGGTTGGAAGCTATACTAACTGGAGATGCAGATATCTGCCAGGCGACCCACTCGCAGGTGTATGTGTACATTGCGGTGGTCCCTAATGTGCTCACTGACTTGTATTTGCTGTCCATTCCCCTGCCGGTAAGAAATGCAAGCTCCTTTGATATGTCCACTTGGGATCTAATTTTTTTCCATAGATGGTATGGAAGGTAAATATTAGCGTTCGCAAGAGAGTCTCCTTGATGGCTCTGTTCAGTGGAGCTGCCTTCGTGATCATGGCCTCTATCATACGTGCCGTGACAATTGTCAAGGTCAGTACTCTGAATTTGAATCACGGTTGCGAATGTTCTCTCTAACCCGACATATTTGTACAGTCTGGCCCGAACGGCGCAGTGGCAGGAAGTCAATGGGCCTGTCGTGAGACCTTCGTGTCCATCATCGTTTCCAATATACCCATCATCCAGCCTCTGCTCCGAAAAGGAGCTAAAATGATAGGTCTCTCGGTTCTGTTCAGCTCATATGCCTCCAAACCTACACAGAGCTACCCTCTCTCGAGCAGGGAACCGACATCTCGAAAAAGAGGTACTCATCCGCTTTCGATCCCGAAGGGCACTGCTTGGGGCAGCGACGAACATATTTTGGTGCAAGACGGCCCTAGCAGTCACGGGGGCGAAGCATCAAAGGAAATCACAGTGGTCCAGGAGACAGTCGTTCAGTCAGAGACCTGGTCGAAGCACCATGCCAGTCATTCCGCAGGGCGTAATGAGTGGTTGCAAAATCCTGCTGAAAATGATGCCTACCGCTTTTCTGTCACTGGAGGCGCTCAAGATCCTCATGACCTTTAGTCCTTCGGCCACGACAGATTGTTCGATTCGTATCAAGGTTGTTTCTATGCCTCATGATCTTATTGGGGGGTCTAATGTCGTCTTCGCTGTTCGGTTGGTACACACTGGTATTCTGGGGACTCTCATCCTTAATCGTTGGGCTCAAATAACCCACCACGAAATTCTTGGCTTTCTTGTCTATGACTTTGCTTTGTCTACCTTTCCCTTCAGTCTGAAACCCTACTGTAATATTCGTTTTTTTGTTATGTCTATACATCTTATGAGAACCAGATATAGCTCGTTTATTTGGATCGAACTTCCTGCGAGTCAGGGGAATGAATGTACATACTTCTGGTTTCTATCCGCCGGCTTCTTTGTTCTATTGATCATGTCGAGTACATCCAATATTGACTCCGTAGTGCACAATGCAGCCTAGGTAGAATAGAGGCTGTTGAAATGGAAGCACGATCCCAGCCGCCAAGGATCTCCCAGTGGTAAACATTATTCATTTGAGGCATATGTCAAGCGTATTCCCCGATCAACAATACAACTTTCCAGATTAGTTCCTTTCACTTTCTTTTTCCTCTTGACACCTAGGATATTTCAACAAGGGGTCCAGGGTATCTACTGTTAGTTACAAGCGACCATTCTTCTTGGCCCCCAAACCCAAGAATTGCGCCTCTCCCGACAAAATGAGGCTGCCCACTCCACCTTTTCCAACAATATAATACGAATTTTCCCCATAGCTTCAAACCCCATACTCTAGTGGTTACTCCGCATGACGGCCCGCGATAGCGCCGTAATCGCGTGCTTATTTAGACGGAACGGGGCTTCCGGGTCTAGCGTCCCACGTTAATGGAACTATTACGGAGTAAGTAGAAGTCTGCGCGAGTTTCTTCAGCGTGTTGGGTACGGCATTCATATATTATTAGTGTTTGTTAGACCGTGCGGAAGAATGCTCCCTCACCGGTGTCATTGGAAAAGTCTTAGTTTTTTCGCTTCGCTTACGGCGTTGTTCGGACTTGGGGCACGTCACGGAACTATCTTTAGAGTTGATAAGCTGTTTCTCTTTTTTGGGTCCGTCGAATTTAACTCCTCGCTGTGGATTTTTCCGCTAATTTACGCATCGAGCGTTACGCCGTCACATCGCCAAGGTAATCGGCACACAGATAAAGCTTCAAGACAGCAGAAAATTTTACAGGGGTCCCCCATGCAGTAATTGAGCAGAGCAACGTATGGAAGCTTGTGAGTAAGTACTATACCATAATCCTTACTATCATCACTAGCGATGCGACTGCAAGTAAGTACCTAGGTAGCGCTAGAAATGACTCCTGAACTAGGCTCCAAAGCCTCAAATCCGCAGTTATGAGTATTTCCATCCAGGGTTTATACTAGTATTCGTCATATATACAATGTGGAAACGATAACTCTTTCGATGATCGATCATACCAAGTTGAAGATTTTCGTACCGCAGTGCAATCACTAGTTAGTTACTACTTACTACTGACGGCTGCGACAACGGAACATCTTATTTACTGTGCATTATTTAGATCGGCGAAAGTACCAATCTAGGCGGGGATCTGAGCGTCCTTGGCATCAACACCAGCTCTCCATCTGTACTTGGACGCTGGGTGCTCTGGCAACGGGCCCGACTGGCCTTTTTTGCCATAGAAGTTCTCGCGGTAAGTTCCCTTCTTGACGGCGTAGTCGTCCCAGAAGAGGCCTCGGGAACGCAGTTCTGGAAGAAGGAGCTCGATGATGTCCTTGAAAGAGCCGGGTTTCACGGCGTAGGCCTGGGTCACGGTATGTTAGAATCGTTACGACATCAGATGTTGTTTAAGGAGCCTTACGAAGTTGAAACCATCTACGTCAGCTTCGTTAACCCATCGCTCGATTTCGTCCGCCACTTGAGCGCCCGTGCCGACAGCAGTCGCTCCTAATCCGCCTACCGTGATATGTTGAGCAATGGTCTCCTTTGTCCATTTGGGAACTTCAGGGGTCGCTCTAGACCATCCTTCGACGGCAGATCTGTGAGAAAGCTGAATCAGCATTGATGGTCTGGAGGGTTCTGGAGGTGTCAGGTTCAGCATACCGGATAGCGTTGCTCTCAACCTGGCGAAGTTCTTGGTCATCATCGTATTTGCTCAGATCGATTCCGGTCCAGCCTCCGAACAATGCCAGTGCACCCTCAGTCGAACCAAGGCTGCGGAAGTACCGAAACTTCTCTTTCGCCTCCTCCTCTGTGCGGCCCAGGACAGGGCAGAGCAATGCCAGGAACTTGATGTCTTGCGGGTTACGTCCGAATTCCTCCTTGGCCTGTTGACGGATCTCCGCGATGTTCTTTGCGACCACCGATGGACTGTGGCCGGCAACGAAGATGGCTTCCGCGTGCTGGGCGGCAAAGGTCTTTCCAGCTTTAGAGGTACCCGCTTGCAGGAGCAGTGGAGTCCGCTGAGGGCTAGGCTGGCAGATATGCGGTCCAGGGACAGTGTAAAATTTGCCTTCATGGTTGATTTGACGGACGCGAGAGGGCTCTGTGTAGATGCCTCTTTCTCTGTCAAGGACGACGGCGTCATCTCTCCATGACGACTCCCAGAGTTTGTACGTGACCTTGATATATTCTTCTGCTACTGCATAGCGATCATCGTGCTACGACGAAGCGTCAGCCTCCCCTGCTATGTGGTTCTTGAAGGGCATGGGGCATCTTACCCCAGGCTGTTGGGTATGTCCCAAGTTTCGCGCAGCGGAATCGAGATATCCCGTGACGATCTATTGGCAAGTCAAGTCAGTCAGCGCTCCATCGGTGCAAGCAATACTCGGGGGCCCCGTACGTTCCATCCTATTCTACACCACGATTGTTAGCTTCAGTTTACGGGGCCTTGTGTTCTTTTATGGTATGTACCTACCTTCCTTTGGTCAGGTGGTCGACAGTAGATAACCTCCTTGCCAGGTGATAGGGCTGTTCATACGTCGTGGTGACTGTGACGCCGAAGCCAATATTCTGCGTAGCCGCTGCCATCGCTGGAACGACAGCCAATGGCTCGTTTACTGGCCATTGAGCACCGGAGACGATGGCCGGGTCGAGGTTACGAGGTCCCTTGTATACATCATAACCACCTGTTCTTCCAGTTAGCTACTGGAGCAGCACCCCGAGGCCGCAAGACATGATTACCGAGGACATCTGCAATGAATATTCCGTGGAATTTCGCTTCTTCAAGTAGCTTTGCTAGCTCGATCCAGTGGTCGACGTCGTTGAAGCGCCAGGATTCATCCTCGGGATGTCTCCAGAGACCTGGCGACTGGTGGCCGCTGCCTATTGAACGCAATTGGTTATTATGTCAGTCTGCAAAATGCGCAATACTTGAATCACTTGCCTGTCGTCGAATATATTCGAGCAACACAGCTTACTTACACATTTCCACAAAGGCATTGAGAATCAAGCTCTTGCGCGCCTTCTTGGACGCATCGTTGGTTGCGGCCATGGTGAGGTTGGGCAATTAGGGACAGGGATACGTGACGAAAGGTCTGCAATCTACTTCAATCCGCATACAATGAATTCGAAAGATAACAGGCAATGGCTTAAGTAGGTGCAGATGCGCTGACGCAGCAATCTGCGCAATTTTCTGGCCGAGTGGTTATTATATCGGACCTGCTGCGAAGCTCGCCCTTTCGTGCGAACCCCTCCAACCCCGCGCCGAGGCCGCTGCAGATTCGGGACATTTCGTAGAGAATATCATAGCATCAATGTGGGCCGAGATGACGCGATTTCGCCAAAAGCCTGAACGGGAGAGAACTTGGTCGAGCAGGGGCAGATCACTGTAGGACAGGAAAGCTTAATCGAGAAAAACGGTCGAAGGTGAAAAGGAGCATAATATCGGCAATTGTAGAGGAGGATGCGAGTATGCAGCAGTGGATTGTCCAGAAATGGATAACATGGCGTTCATATTGAGAGCTTCGGAAACAAAAGGTGGTGGAGATTCCCGTTTCTTTTTAGGACGCCGTTTAAAGTTGGCTCTATCAGCGCTAACATTCTTAACTCTACTTAGTAGATCCATTTCTCCAGCTTCAAGGAACCACGCGTGTATTTCCGGGTGTGTCTCTTTCAGCGTATCTCGAATTTGATTTTTGCAAGCACGACATTGTGTCCAACTATCCTGCGAGTTCCCCCAAAGCATAAAAACCAGTCGCAAGATCCACCGTGACGTTCTCTCCATGCCATACGCCGAAGAAGCCAGGAACCACACCATCAGATCTTCATGAAAAAGGCGTCAACGCAGCATTGAGCTTCCTGATCTCCCTTCGCTAGCGCAGCACACCATCGCTATCTGTTATCGACTCATCGTGGGTCCAATCTGATGCAGCATTGAGGAAACTCCCATACAAACATGATGTTGTCCAAAGCCGCAGTTGCCCTCGAACTTTCCCTCCCCTCTCTATCCGAAGATCGTACTATGTTGGAGATGTGGCAACTATTGGACGGTGGAAGATCATCCTGCTCCTCAACTTAGACCAGATTATCGGGACATGGCCTTGGGGGATGCATGCCGAGTACCTGGTCCTGGACCTTCCTCTAGCCCGGTCTGGCCTTGATAAATTCAGATGATCCGGCTCTATCCCTGATCTTCTGACATTTTGGCAAGTGCAGCTCTTGTTGACCCTGCGCCGCAGTTCGCAGTTCATCATGGTCGAACTACACAGTCGTGGCGGCGTGACCGCTACTGCAATCACGCCGCCTCTTCCCCAGGTGGTTGGCTATATCGTCGTCGTCGTAGTCGGGTTGATTATTGCTTTAGGTATTTCTCCTTACCGTTTTCAATGCCATGAAGGTATATATCTAATTATGGCCGTCTCACTGCAGCCATGATGGTTATCACCCGTATTCTGAATAGGACAGTCGGAGAGGACAACAAGAAGACAGAAATGTGGGATTCATCTCCCCTTTTTACCTTACTTTTGGCTGACAGAGTCCAGGTTCATGACGGCGAATCGAACGGTACGCACTGGTTTAACATCTTCTGCTGTCGTATCGGTGAGTATCTATCTCTATCTGATTGAGAAGAAATTGAGTTCTGACATTGCTGAAGTCCTGGCTGTGGACAACAGCCATGTTGGGTCCAGGTCTCGTAGGATACAGCTATGGAATGGCAGGACCTTTCTGGTTTGCCGCCGGCTGTAGCCCAATGATCGTGTTCTTTGCATTGCTAGGGGTCTCGTGCAAGAATAAGATCCCTGAGGCACATACCTCCCTGGAAGTTGTCAGAGTCCGCTATGGTCAGTCCAACCCATTGCTACGTCCAGAAATGAAGTATAGGCTGACAAGCGCAGGTCGTGTCGCTCATCTCGTCTTTATGGCTCTCTGTCTGGTGAACAACATCTTTGCCTGTGCAAACATGTTGCTAGGTGCCGCAGCTGCCATCTCTGCTATGTAATGAACCTGGACCTGTTTGCTCGTCGCCATATACGCTAACACTATCAGGACTGGAATGCACGTCATCGCAGCAACTTTCCTTCTACCAGTTGGAGTATCCATCTACACCTTTGTCGGCGGGATCAAGGCAACTTTAATTACCGATTATTTCCACACAGTGATCATTCTGATCATTGCGTGTTACTTCTCGATTAAGGTTTTTACCTATGATCAGATCGGTTCTGTTGGCAACCTATTCGAGCTCGTCAAGGCGGCTTCCATTCGCAACCCTGTTTCTGGGAACGAACAGGGGACATATCTGACTATGACTTCTAAGGGGGTATGTGTCTGCTGTTCAGATAAAGTCCTCGGTATACTGATGTCTTCTGAAAGGCCATCCTGTTCGGAATCATTCATATCTGCTCTAATTTCGGATTGGTCATTGTAAGTCCACTCGCAACGAAAGATCCAAGTTATCATCGCTGACAATCATACGTAGATGGATACCAGTTACTTCATCAAGGCTTTCTCTGCATCGCCTTCCGCAGTTGTCCCAGGTTACACCATTGGAGGGATTGCATATTTTGGAATCCCCTGGGCACTTGGAACTTTGATGAGCTCGGTTGCCCTTGGTCTTGAAAATAATCCGGTCTTCCCCACGTATCCTAGAGTGAGCTATTGCGTTATTAACCCCTACTCGATGTAGCTTGCGACTAACCGACATCATAGCGCATGACTGAGACAGAAGTCAATGCCGGTCTCGTCCTCCCGTACGCTGCCTTGACCGTCGCTGGCAAGGGTGGCGCAGCTGCAGTCGTTCTGATCACTTTCATGGGGGTGACGTCGACTCTATCTGCCCAGGTCATTGCAGTCAGTTCTATCATCAGTTTCGACATGTACAGAGAGTACTTCAACAAATCCGCTTCAGACCAGCAGGTTATTCGATGGAGTCACTTTGGAGTAGTCTTCTTTTCTCTCTTCTCAGCTGGCTTCAGTACCATGCTGCACTATGTCGGAATTGACCTTCAGTGGACTCTCTACATGCTCGGTAAGACCGGATAATTTGTGCTATTATACCATTCCCTCCTAGCTGTACTAACACCATTTAAGGCGTCGTCACCTGTCCTGGTATCTTCCCCATGGCTTTCACCATCCTCTGGCGCCGCCAAAGCAAAGCCGCCGCAATTCTCGCGCCCATTCTCGGCTTCGGCACAGGACTCGGTGTCTGGCTCGGAACTGCCCAAGCCTTCTACGGTGAAGTGTCAGTCACGTCGACGGGGCAAGTTCTTCCCTGCGTCTACGGCACCGTTGCCTCTGCCTTCTCACCCATCCCATACTCGGTCCTCATCACTCTCCTCAAACCACAGAACTACGACTGGTCCGACTTCAAGAAGGAGCATCTTGCACTTGAGAAGCTCGATAGCGATCTCACAACCGCCCATCACCATGACGAGAGAGCCGCAGTGCGTGAAGAAACCGCACCCGTCGCCCCGCCTACTCGTCAGGAATTCAAACGATGGAGCCGTATCGCTGCATTCTGGTCTATCGCTACGTTCCTCGGTCACTGGGTTATCTGGCCATTACCGATGTATGGATCGCACTACGTTTTTCAAAAAGGAGTAAGTTCCAGAACCGCATAATGCTAATTACCCCAAAAAGATCACAACAATCACTAACGTGAGAGCGTACAGTTCTACGCAGCATGGGTCATCGTCGCGATTATCTGGCTCTGGCTCACCATGCTCATGGCGACCTTCTACCCCCTCATTGATGGAGGGTTCCAGCAGATAATCCAAGTCATCCGCGGTCTTCGTCAGGGAGCGCCTATCTACGGAAGCAGGAAAACCGACAGTTCTCCTTCCTCGTCATTCATCGAATCCAGAGTCAACGAGGCTACTAACGTGCAAGAAGAGGCTGCGCCAAAGTTGAAGGAGTAAGATAATATAGATAAGGAACGACTTAACCTGCTCTTAAACCCTATATTTGGAGAAACTGGAATTGGCCGTGTGCTTTCGTCTTTTGGATTAGATACGACTTACTTCTTGGGTATTTGATGCGTTTAATGCGTGTGATGAATGCATGTATTGTATGGGTATACTAGAGGCTTAATAGAGTCTAGATGGGTTATAGAAATAGCACAATAGTAATAACGAAAAACATAAAATAGAACATTAACAGATTTGACATTAGGTATGATAATAATAATAAAGAACAAGTCTAAAGATATATGTCATAACTTTCTTCCCGCAGAAAATAGAAAAGCCACGGGTATTTTTCAGCCTCGGCGAAGACATTGGAAATGACACAATACTAAGTACATCCATAAATATTAAAGATATATATATATGAGAATACACTTTTAAACACCACATAACTAACCCCTCCTCCTTAGACAGGAGGCAGCAACATCGCCATAGCGCCAGTTTTCTCTTCAGGTCTGCGGTTTTCGTCATCTCGGGGAGTAGAAGAACACGCAGCTAGGGTCTGACCATTCGGACGGCCCCAAATTCGTGGCGTGGATGTCGCGTCTGAGTATCCTGGAGGGTCCGCGCGCTCCAGGGATCTAGACGTATTATCTGATATGTCAGAAAGGCTACCGCTGCCGTCTAGGCTTCCAGGATTCGGTAGACCAATCCTCCGAGGACGGAAGACGTCTTCCTCTTCATCGTTCTCTGCATCTACCTCTGCTTCTGTATCGTCCTGACCGATAGATCTGTCCCGACGTTCACAGGTTATCTGTATCGGGACCCTCAGCGAGCTGCTTGGGGCGATGAGGTTTGCGTTCGGGGTGTAATACGACACGCAGAGGTCAAGTGCGTAGGTGCGCGAGATTAGGCATGAATGGAACGTCGGTACAAAAGACTTGGATTTCGGAAGCGTTATAGGGACAAGAATCGAGGCGGTATAGAAGGTCTTGCTGGAACATGAGGCCGATGGCCCCGTCAGGGATTCCGTAGATGAAGCAGATTGCGTGGAGACTCGACGGGGCATGTTGGCATCGTTTCCGTTGCAATGTTTCTCCCATTGAACGGAGGCTTTATCTCAGCAAGCTCAGACCCTCTAGCGAGGTGCCCCCCCTGCGGGTGGGCTTTTCACTGCAACGGCCTGTATAAGTATATGTACTAAAGAACTGAGCTAATAATATAGCATAAAAGCGACCTACTAACTTTTGGACCAATAGCAGACCGCGCAGTAAAAAACCTCATAGAGAATTTAAGAATAAATAATTGCGTTTTATAAGGGTTATTTAATTATTCCTATACAAAAATTAAGCATTAATCTTCAACTTAATATTTTATACCCTAAATTACCTCTTTTTAGGTTAAAAATAGGCTTAATTAATTTATCTTAATCTCCTACTTCTCTAGCAGTTAATATAGAGCCCTAATCTTATATAAAAATCCTATAAGAGCGGTATTTATAACTGCTACTATCTGACGTATCTTTAAATTACTTATTCTCACCTTCTATAAGGCTTACCTTACTAAACAACTTTATAATTAATAGGGATAAACTCAGGGAGAGCTATAATAAGATAGAGGATAATAATATTAATATATTTAAAATAGATAACCTGGATAAACAGTTAATATTCTAGATTCAGCAGAGATTAGAAAACTTCGCCAAATATCTATATTAATCTTATTAGAGCTTTAAACAGCTTATATATATATGAATTATATATTCTTTAGAGATCTAGCATTATCACTACTGCACTTATAAATAAAGATATTATGCCTAGAAAGAGATATTAAAAGAAATACTATAGGTTATTAATTATTATAACTTAGCTTTAATAGCTAAAGCAAAGCTTAATAAGCTAGTTAAACAACTATATTTTAGGAAATTTAATCATATTATTCCGTTAAAGGATATTAACTTTAATACTGCCTTTAATACTGTTTAGAATACTGCACCTAGACTGCATATATTTCTCTATAATCTACTAAGAAATTACTATGCCTATTAGATAAGTTATACTAGCTAGTATAATAAGAAAAGTCTTTAACAATAGCTATTTATTATTATCAATATAATCTATTATTTTTACTATATAAAATAGTCCAACTACTTATCTTTAATTCTTAATGCCTACCTAATAGGCTTAAGAGTAAAGTATTAAGTTATAGAGACTTTATCGGGTCTTAGATTATACTATAATTATATATAGGGGAATCGCTTAATAAAATAGATAGTAGACTATAAGAAGATAGCTTAATTTCTATTATAATATTTTATATCCTAATAATATTATACTTTTATAAACTATCTTTTACTCCTTAGTTCTCCTATAAAGACCTCAGAACTCCTAGATAATTTAAGAGGCTAACCTTAGTTATAATTATAACTGCTAAATTTAGGAAAGAACCTATAGAGTATTATAGTCTATAATAATATAAATTTTAAGGAAATAATATATAATAAAATCCTTAGATATAAAGCTATAATGCGCGCAGTTATAATAACAGCAATTATATTATATCTTAATATCTTAGCATTAGGCCTATCGCAGGATATATATAATCTAATTATTTCTCTTAATTTCTATAAGATTATTAACTCCCTAATAATATATAGGAATAATAATGGCATAGGAAAGCAGATATTTATCTTTCTTATATTAAACATAATTATAAAGATACATTTATCTTTATTTAAAAGTATATTTAAATCTGCTAATTCGGCAATACCCTCTATATTAAAACTAGATCGCCTTACTCTAAACTAAATGTAGTTTTAGCAGTTTAGGGCAATATTTAAAGATAAAGGAACTATTACTAGGACCTATAATATTTATAATAATATCTTTTTTTAACAGTTATATCTGCATGCTTCTTAAGAACTAGGAAAGCCTAATAACTTCAATTTGCGCCTTTAATTTGTTTATAGCGATCAGCTTACTATAGAGCGTATTTAAGCTATATAGAATAAGTAATTACGCGCTAAATTACCTTACAATTAAAGGTAGTAGCTTCTCAGAGTTCTTACATAATTCTATATTTAATTAAACTTATTAAATACAATAGTATAGACGCATTTTATACCTATAAAGTCTGGTTAAGAAGCATATTATTATATTAAGTCTGATATTTCTATATAGGGACGCAGCTAAATAAATCTAAATAGCCCCAAATATTATTAATTAGAACTAATTATTTTATAAAGCTTTATAACTTAAGTCTTAGCTCTATTTTATTACTTAATATAGCGCAGAGAATATTTAATAATTACTAATAATAACTCTCTTAAAAGACAGCAAGAATATAATTAAGTTATTGGCACTTTAGCAACTATAGATTACCTATAGTTTATTAAAAATATTTAACTTATAGCATTTATACTTAATACCTAGGAAGAGATTAACCCCTATATAAGAGAACCTATCTAGGATATTAGATTCTGTTCTATATATCGGCTCTTGCAGGAAATAGAATTATTTCTTACTATCTGGCATACTATTAAATATAGTAATATTAGGCTTTTTTATTATTTAGTTAATCCACTAATTATCTATTTTTTAGCGTATCTTAATATAACTATAGTAATAAAATACTATACTATTAATAGAATCTATCTTTAGTTAATAACCCGGAGCTATAATATACTATTCTAGTGTTAGGTCTTATTAATTAGTAAGGTAAGCTAGCTTATTTTAAAGCTATTGACCTTAGTCTTAAGTATCTTAATATAAACTATAAAATAGAAATAAAGGCCTACCGGAATTCTATATATAATATAGATATTAGCTTTAACTAGGTTTACTTAATAAATATCTAGATATAGGGTCTATAAGAAAAGCTGGAGTCTATATTCGGTTAATATATGCTTAATTTATATATTATAATATCTACATTAGATAAGATATTCTTACTGGCTTAAAATCTATTAATTAGTAACCTTGCCAAACTAAGAGACTTTAAATATTTCCTTAATTTCTCAGCTTTATTTAACTCAGAAAATATATTATAGATTAGAATAGAATAACTTGCTAAAAAAGTTAATTAGTTTAATAATAGCTATATCTATTATACTAAGATAATTGCTAATATATAGTCTATCGATAAGAATAGAATTAAGCATAATATCTATAATTATACTACTATTATTAATAAATGCTATAATAGTATCCTTATTAATAATATAGCTTTAAATATTTAATATTAGAGGAGTATATAACCTACTAATAATTTGTTAACTCCTTATAAGACTTAGACTAATAAGAGAGTTGACACATAATAAAATATATAATCCCTTTACTCCCTTAAACTCCTAAGCTAATATTAAGAGGTTTAATATAAAGCATATAATCTCTTTACTACCTTAAATTCCTGACTTAATAGCAAGAGGTTTAGTATATATTATTAGCTGGCTAGGGAGCTCTATAATCTTAGTTAATATAAGGTAAAGTATAATATAAGAGGGTCTATATTAGCTACTATAATAAACTAATTATATCTCTATTTAGCTACGCTTTAGATTAGCTCTAGATTATATTACCCGAGTACTATTATATAGAGGTATAGAATCCAATTTTAGCATCCTCCCTTCTCTTACTTATTAATATTAACTTAGCCTAATAAATATAGAATATTAGCCAATACTTGCAGTTGGGCCCTTCTAAGATATCTTAAAGCATTCGGCTATATAGCTTATTAGTTATTAAGGACCTAGTTAAAGCTTACCTATAAAGCAGAGCAACTAATATAAAGATTATTATATCTCTAATTAATACTTACAGTTAGGCTCTTTTAAGATACCTTAAAATATTCGGCTATACAGCCTATTAATTATTAAGGACCTAGTTAAAGCTTATCTATAAAGTAGAGTAATTAGCAGATAAAGCATACCTAATATAAATTAAATATTAATACCTATTAAACTATAATAGCACTGCTACTAGCTCTAGGAGAAGGACCCCCTTTTAGTAATAAAATCTGAGGAGGAGGCGATAGCGGTAAGGGAGCCTATTTATATTATTTGCTTATATTATAGCCCTTAATATAAGCAGCTAAGCAGTAATAAGTATAGGTATTTCCCGGCTTATATACCTGCTAGGCACCTTTTATAGAATAAATCTAATACTTCTTATTATAGAGCTAATAGGCTATATACCTATCCTCCCTAAAGAATTATTTACCTAACTTAGTCTTTATAATATAGCTAATATAGCCAATATTATACTATTTATTAGGGTTAAGATATTTTAAGTCCTCCTGCCTGAAAGACTACTATTTCCTAATAATTATAGGAGTATATGCCTCTATTATCTTATCTTTAGGGGTCTATACCTAGGGTAAATATAGCTAATTAGCTATTTAAGACTAATTATACTATTTTTATATAAGACTAAGAGCAGGTATAGTAATACCTATTAAAGGCGGGTTCGCGATAATAAGAGTTATAGGCATTAGGGATGGAGTTCTATTATAAAGGTATTAATATTTACTCTCTCCTAATAGCACTATTATTTACAGAGATATTTCTAAATCTTCGCTTAAAATAGGCCCGGCAAAATTATTATTATTATTATTATTATAGTCTGTTTTAGCTATAAAAAATAAACTAAAAACCTATAGCGGGCTCTCTAGCAGCGGCGGGAGGGGTATAGGCGGTAATAGACTTAAAGATAGGGGAGGGCTAAATTATATATTTAGTTATTTTAATCTAACTCTGCTAATCTGCTATTATTTCTATTAACTAGCAAGGATAAAGAGGCGGGGAGGAGCTAAATATTAGATATATTAGTCTTATTTAATAATACTTAGAGCTAGTATATTATATAGGGGAGGGCAAGGCTCTGCTTTAAACTAGAGAGCACCTTTTAATATTACTATAGCTGTAGCGATTATATCTATCTTATTAAGAGAGATAATAGCAGAGTGCCTAAGCACCTAGATTATAAAAAGGCGGGCTATCTTAAAGTTTATTATTTTAGAGAAAAAAAGGAGGAGTTAAGAATATATAGGTCTATTTACTTCTACTTAAATAAAGCTAATATCTAATAAATCTATTGTATTATACTATTTACAAATATATCCTTATTAGCTAAAGAGAACTAAGGAGCTACCAGGAGTAAATAGATATTCTCAGGATAATTTAGAAGTTTTTAGGATAATTTAGAAGATAGCATAAGTTCGGATATATTATAGTAAGACTCCCTCTACCCTAATATCTTTGACATTACTCTTCTAATATAGAAAAGTTCTCCCTCCTAACCGCTATTAGAGTCCTAATTCTTTTACTTTTTATTATAGGCGTCTATATAAGCCTTTTATTAGGACTTTGTTTCTATAAAGGTTATTACTTAACTAAAGTCTCTAATATTTAAATACCCCGTCTCTTTCGCGAAGGAGTCCTCTAAGGAGATAATTATTTAACCTATATATTAACTACCTCTTCTATTAACCTATTCAGTAAGCTATTTAGTCCGCCTAGTCTATATAGCTTAGAAGGCGTATTCTATAATAATATTATTAGTATCTAAACTAGTAAGCCGGGGATTAAACTTTTAGCTTATAATTTTCTAGCTGCAGTTAGCCTTACTAATTATATAGCAAGGGAATTATCCTTTTATTAAATAAACTTAGCATAATCTTCTTTTATATTAAGGGAGATATCTAACTAATAAATATCCTTATGTTGCTGGCTTTAGTTCTAAATCTAAGCTAATTTCTTTATTAGATATAGCTTATTAACCTCCTAAATTATATGCTATAACTGCTAGATTAAATTACTATTATACTGCTCTTTATACTGCTATTTTTAAACTAATAGAGCTTATATAGCAAGATTATTAAACTCTATATTAATAATTATTACCTTTAAGCTATATAAAGCTATAAGTTACTATTAGCATTCTTAGCTTATAAAAGTAGTAGATATTATAGGGAAATATTGCTCTTAGCGAGTATATATTAACTTTGCTTATAAAGTAGCCTATTAATTAAGCAATTTTAGTATAATACTAGCGCAACTTCCCTTATATAGTTTTTATATAGGTCTCTCCTCTAAAGGAGGTATAGTAGAGATAAGGATCTATAATAGATTATATCTACTATAGCAAGCTTCTGCTAGTATAGGAGATATATTAATATATAGGGATAGTCTATTCTCGCCCAGGTAAGATAAGAATGCTTTTTAATAATAAGGCCTATTAATAATTTGCTTCTAATAATCTGGGAGTTTAGATTAATATTCTATCTCTTTTTAATTCTAATATCTCTTTTTAGATATAGGTTCTTAGCTTCTTATAGAGACTAATAATAAGATGCTTTTAGTATTATTAATATCTCCTAGTATAATTAACTTAGATAGCTGAGTATATTAAGACTATAGCTTTAAAGTCTAAGAAGCTATAGAAGCTAATATCTGTTTCCTAGATCTATTAATACCCTCTAAATTAAATGCCTAATATAGAAGCATAATATAGCCTTTATTTGTTTAATTTTTTCTACGGCTACTATATCCTATTTGCTGCTAGATATTACAGATATCTAAATTAATTAAGAACTTCCAGTTAATAATATGCTTAATATTAAGTATATTAATTCTTATTCTAAGAGCGGTTATTGCTATTATAATATATATTTTTAATAAAGCAGATTTAAATTTGTTAAAGCGGATTCTCTAGTTATAAGATAAAACATATAATATAAAGGTTTGGATTACTATATTAACTAAATATAGACTATTTTTTATCCTGGAATACTAATAATCTAATGCTAATAATATAGTCTTTATTAAAAGTATTTAATAAAGATATTCTGCTGCTATTTTAATCTTCTAAATATTATCTATAAAGATAATTATTTTTGGTATATGTTCAGGTGTTATTTTATTGTTTTTGACAGCAGTATTTAAGAGAAAGTATAATGCTTTAAAGGAAGATAGCTTCTTATATAGAATAGGTAAGATATAAATAAATATATCTTTCTAGTTAACTGAGGTCTAAATAACTTTTATTTAATAGGGTTAATCTCTAATAACTTAAAAGCTAGCTCTTTAAATAATTTCTTTCTCTCTATCTTCAGTAAGTATTGCGGAATAGCTAAATTAAATAATATCCTATCTTAGGATTAACTGTAATTTGCCTAGCATAGTAAATTTAAGCTAAAATATCTCCTATTATACAATTAGATAGCATTTATTAATTATTATAAAACCGATTATTATTTATATCTCTAGTTTTAATAATATATCTAGAAAGACCTTCGATATAGCTTATTTAGGACTTAAAAGTATATGCATATATATATTAGCTTAGATATTTTAAATAAGATTATAATATTATTATTTAGTCTCACTATTAATAATATATAGCTTTATCCCCTAGAGCCTCTTAATATCTTATATTTGCTCCTTAGTAAGCTTATTTAAGAGAGTTATTTAGAGAGTTATCTTCCCTGTTAAGATTAAAAATAAATAAAGGATAAGGCTTTTTTTAAACCTTATCTGCGCAATTAGAAGAGTATTGCTATAGCTATATATTAATTATTAAAGTATTTAGATCTACTCTAAATATAGAAAACAGCTAGACGCTAAATTTATTAATTAAAGTATGCGCTTTAAGCAAGCTTTAACTATAGCATATTACTGAGGAATATCCTCTTTATTAATAAATGCTTTAATTGCTAATAGTAAGTCTCTAAGCTTTATCTTTAATATATTAGATAATATTAAAGAGGCAGTATCTCTTGCTATTATTTAATAATACATATTCTTATAAAGCCTATGCTATCGGCTTTATTTATTATATTATCTCGCCATTCTTGCCCTATAGCTATGTGCTGGTATTTAAATATACCTTATCTTTTAGCCTGAGAGCTTCTAAGATTTATAGGTATTAAAATATATTATACCCTAGCTTAGAGATTTGAAAATATTAAAAAAATAACCTTATCTATTAATCCAGGAGTTCTTAAGAGTTTCTAAAAGGTGAAAATATAGGGTTAGGTAATAGGTTTAAGTAATATTAAGCCTCTCTAGTTATATAGAGATTAGTAGTAAGCTTTTATAAAATCTGATCTGGCAACTTTAATAATATAGTTTAATATCAGCAAACTATTATAGCATCTAAATATATATATAAATTAAAAGAGAATTACCAGCTAAATCTACAGCAGTTAACTTTAGTCAAATAACTTAATTATTAGTAGAGTTATTTGTTATTAAAGTTAGATAGTATTTTTAAAAAAGAGGGAAATTAGTAAGCTTTATTAATAAATTGCAACTATTTATTCTCAGATACTTACTAAAGAATTTTTCACCTTCCTATTTGGGTTTAGCGTATCCGCTCAAATATTATTGGCTCAGGTTATTGAGCTAATTTGCACTAGTTTCTAAATAGTATAGTAGAAGCACTAATCTTTGGCGAGCGTCTGAGCTTGCTGAGATAACGGAGGCTATGCATCGTGAAGACAGCGGCATGGTTTCCGCATATACACCCCTGATATTGGTCCAGTAAGTGTTGGACGACCTGGATGGGAATTTATCCCACGGGATGATACTATAGAAGGTTGATGCTTTGATCTTCGTCCATAGTGTTCCCAATCTGGGAGGCTGTTCGTCTCCTACGGGGTCGAATCGAAGGTGTAGAGTTGCGACAGTACTTGCTGAGCAGGATGAACCGTTGCGGGTTGGAAAGTCACATTGTAGCGGTTTGGGTTGTGATGTTGCAATGACCAATCGACCATACTTCCCTCTCAGTAGGCCTTTCCTGACATCTCTTTCCTTCCGAAGACAATAATCATCGCAATCATCGGGAATGCTCAAAGGAGGCTGTTCATCGACTGCGGGTACGACGCGGACTTTCTTCGCAACTGATGCAAGGCTCGTTGAACGCCCGCCTTCGACCGACGGTTTTCTCGAAACCGATACCTTGATGACATATGATATTCTAGTCATTGCAGGCGCCATATCGTCCAGGAGACTAACTCCATCTCCTGCTAGCATGGGGTCTCCAAGACTTGGCGGCAATTGGGTGTGAGCATATCTAAGGTGGAGGTTATCCTTCGAATGGTCACAGGCCTGTGGAAGGAGGTGATCAGGCACGACGAAAGTAAATGGGAATCTGAAGGTGCAGCCGGCTTCGAAGATTCGTGGGTGCGGATACTCCGTCTGGCGGATGGGTTGTCGTAGCTTTAGAAATGCCTGATATGCATTCGATGTACGACCTGAACCTGCTAGGCTCGACGACCGTTCCACCGATGTTGTGGCCAGTCCTAGCATGCGGTTAGCCAAACAATTGAACTTGACTGATGTAAAAAGGAAGCCACATAACATTACCCTCGAATGTGATGTTTATGTCGTCAAATTGGATGTCATGTTCCGCAGTTACGGTCACTTCACCCTCGATCTTATCGCCAGTGGTATAGGAAGCGACGAAGCCATCTTTCTGATCGACCAAGTCAATTCCAACCTTTGGTCTAGATCTTTTCGTAAGTGACTCGAAAGTGCTTGTGCTTCGAGCGACGAAGGATGATGTGGACATGTTGGTGGGATTATTATCGCTAGAGTGATCCAGCTGATCATTCAAGGGTGTGGTACGAATAACTGTCCAAGTTGACAAAACGTCTATTTATATATTTGCAGAAATAATGCAGCGATTCTTTATTCTCCCAAACCCATAAAAGGGTCGCAGGATGAATGCTCTTGACTGACTGTAACTTCAGGCAGAGATATTGCGCATTATATATATACTAAAAGTAGTACCCCGTACGATTCAAGTCTCACCCCAGCATACATTTACTAATCGCTCATCTCTCCACCTCACCATGAGTCATCACCGCTGTTAGTTATTGTCAGAAACACGAAGGCAGCAGAGCCTATGTCGCTAGCTAGGGAAGCCAGCCGATGCATGGGGACAATCTGGCCGCAGTCTGGAAAGTTGCGCCCTACGAGAACAAGCACATCAACTCTGCACTAGGGCCGACGCTAGCAGCAGTGGTCCGTTTCCACGCCCTTATGGTGACATCTCTTGGCTCAGAGTGGCAGGGATCTAAATGATGCCGTTCTTATGTTAATGTGTTCTCCGAAGTCGGGGACGTGCTCATATGGTATTACACAGAATATGGATCCTTTGTTATATCGAAGAAGTGCAATGTATGCGCATTTTATACTAAGCTAACGCAAGACGGGCGTTGGCCGAAGCAGTACGGAGTATATAGATGATTCAACCACGTAAGAATGTCTGTTAGTTAACAAAGCCCATCATCTTACCAGAGCAGACTCGTGAAAAAAAAAAAAAAAATGAGGTTGTTTCTTCGGTTGTGATTGATTTACAAAAAAATAAAAAGAAAAAGAAAAAGTGAAACACTCTCGACGGGATTCGAACCCGCAGCCTTCAGCTAATCCCAGCCATAGGAGGCTGACGCGCTACCATTGCGCCACGAGAGTGATCATTGGCCAAACTTGGGGTTATTATGGTAAATATTCACTATTATCAAGATGGCCGGAAATGCCCCGTCCATCATTAATAATCGCATGGAATTTCGCAGCTTGCTAGTTAACTATCTACTTCAGTTCGTTAACTTAATGATCTAAAAAGTGAGTCATCAGACAGCCACCAAATGTTAAATTGACAGGCATTTGAAAATAGGAACGCCTGGTTTATACCTGGTTAACTTCTGACACGTCGTGTGAACTCTCCACATCGCACCCACAACTTAGGTACCTAAAGTACTGTACTTAAGATCTCCCATTCAACCGATATAGAGAAGGTCCATTACTTGAAGACCGCGACCAAACGCGCGCGGAAATGACATGTGGTCCCTTAGAGTCCGACTCGTATGAGTATCGAGTTCCAACTTCAAGCACGGCTGGCCTAAAAGAGCCCAAGTTCGAATAAAGTCCAGACCTTAGCAATAGTGGAAAGGGGCTTGTGCAAAAGTTCTGTAGAAATTCCTGACAAATGTTATCGCGAGCACATAATCGGGGCTTTCTGAAACAGAATTGTTGCATGCAACCCTTTCAAAGAAAAATAATGGTCAACATGATTTGTTTGCATCTATACTCCGTAGATGACTCCGTTGATCCACAGTGGGAAGGGTATGGGGGACCACGCCCTTCCGACGACCTCGTATGGAGAACATGGCCAAACTACGATGCGAGGTTTCCCTTGGCGCAAGTTGCTGTAGAAGGAACCAATAACGAGTCCTAGAATCCGGGCGAGAACTAAGTCCAGCGGATAAGCCCCATACCTTAGCTTTATTTAATTCAAACACCATGCCTCTAAAGTTAGGTCCTTCCCGAGCAAGGTTTATCCCGATATCTGTTTTTTGATGAAAATACTTTTTAACTAATGACTCGAACATCGGCTGGGCTCTACTTACGGGGTTCACTGGGTGGAAATTATCGGGTCTCTCGCGAAATGTTCCCTTGCCCGTTTGTTTTCATGTCTTGCAAAGGCATTATCTCGATCCCGAGGCGTAGGATTATATTATGACGAATGGCCATTCGAGACAAGATAGTCGAGGAAATCGACTGAACATGTTTATCTGGCTTCCTCTTTGACACCGGAAATCCAGTTAGTCTGGCCAAATGTAGATGACTCACCGGATTGTCTAAAGGCTTTGCTGGAACTGTGGATTGCGATTCTTTTGCAATCGTCAAAACTTCATTCACGGGATAATCCAGCCACTCCGTATTCTAGACGTCTTTGAATCCCGAAAACAAACTTCGAGCCCTCCTATACCAGCCTGTTTTAGCCGGCTTGGCAGGTTTTAGGATTGGATGGATCTACTCAGTCTATCTATTCTACACCGTCTTGGCTATCCCCTTCGCCTTTCCGAATTAGGTCCCCGAGAGGGAACCGTCTAGCATCATGAAGGCAGATTTCCCGGTGAGATGTGCGGATGAATCGAGACAAAAGTTCGAGGGTTCTCTGCTGCGGCAGCACCTCGTCCTCGTCTCTAGTAGACGTGTCTATCATTCCTTGATGACCTTACTTATTTGATCAGCGAAGGACCATCCACTGGAGACTTCCTGTCTGGAACCACTGGAGTCGTAATGAGAAATTCATAAAAGATCTCAACAATAGCCACTGCACTGAACCGCTCATGGTTTCACTTTTCTCCACTCATTATTAATGAAAAGCTGCCGCTCATCATGTCCGACCTCGGATTACGTACTGGCGGATCAGACACGTTCCTCCCTGATGAGTATTGTGTGCCAACACCGACTTATGTAAAGGGATACTAGTCATGAAATCCTCCTCGGTGACTGACCGGGCACAGTACTCCCGACGTGTGCGTTGTTAGAATTGAACCAGCGGCTGAGAGTCCGGTGTAATACTCCCTGTTTTTCTTCCTTTTCTTCCCCTTTCTTTGCAATTTCCGCTGGTCTAGGGAAATATATACCGCACGACAGGCCTCGACTGAGGCTTCCTCGTAGAGTCACCGATACCTAACCCTCATTCGCCACCAGAGAACGAGCAAGAACATACTCGCCACGCAGTACGACAAGCCGGAAAATATCTGAGGATAGAGATATTCATGCTTCGAGCCATTTCGACGCAGTTTCAACGCAATAACCTCGGAAACTAGCATTGTCAATCTTTACATTTCGAAAGATTCGCATCGCTAGCGGATCAAACTCACATGTGGTGGGTAGCACAGTCGTGAACCATGCCAGGGACAATAACGACTGCAGCTCGACGAGTCCAACCACTTCCACGCTGATGGGTCCGACAGTCTTAAGTCATAAATAGCCGTCAGTGGAAAGCATCTCCATACTATGTGATGAAAGACAACTCACAACCCAGAAAACCCCAAGTATACCCCCTGAAAAGAAAGCAAAGAACAATAGGACGCCATACGACGTCGCAGACATCCAGATCGCAAAGCACGATAATCCACATACACAGGTCAACAGCCCGGCAATTTCGATTCGTCCGAAACGATCACTGGCTAGTCCTGTACATAGACGTCCTATGGCATTGCCGACGTTCAGCGGCGCGTTAACTAACGCAGCCTGCTCTCCATTAAGCCCAAGAGACCGTGCATAATCCGGCAACGAGTACGACAAGGTGATATAGCCGAACATGCTGATGAAGGCCCATGCCAGAAACAGAAGCACGTCAAAACGGCGCAGGAGATTGAGGTCGAATGCCCTCTGTCTGGGCTGGATGGCCTTGTTTCGGTTTCGGATGAGCAGCGTGGCTAGGAGCAGGAAAGAACCGCTTATGATGCCTGTGATGCGGAGAGCCCAGGGTAAGGAAAGTCTACTGATGAGGGCCTGAGTCAAGAACGAATAGATAAGTCCGCCAATACCAGACCCGGCGCTGCTGATCCCGTTTGCCAGACTGCGTTTCTTGTCGAACCACTGCGAGATGATGGGAATGCTTGGGACGTAGGTAAATCCGACACCAATGCCAATGAGTACACCCTGGGTCAGGTACAACTGCCAGATTCGACGTGTGAACGAAGCCAGCACAAACCCGCTCACTAGAAAAACTGTCCCTAGCAGCATTGAGGCATGCGTCTCATATTTGCGCACGATAACAGTGACTCCTGGTGCAACCAGCATTGCCATGGAGAGGTTCAGACCGCCGATCAAGGCGTAGTCCACAAGTGTGGCCTCTGGAAATCTATCGTCGGCCAGGTAGTTCTCTAGATAAACGCCATATGTTTGCTACAATACGGTCAGTACTAAGTAGTATTGAACACAGCAATTAGAAGGGGAACATACCACAGAGGCACCCCAAGTGAAGCAGTTGATGCAAAAGCACGCTGCAACACATATCCAACCATAGCCACCGTCGGGCGGCCGAGCTGGGTCTGTCGAAGAATCGCGAATTCGATCAGGCGCAGCCATGTTCGTGACCCCAACATATGTCGATTCATCTCAACCGAGCACAATCCAAGCTACGCCCAGGGGGACACGTTTTGCCAATGCTGCACGCTTGCCCAAGTGAGATGGACGATCATCGGGTCCGAGCGAATCGTATACTTTTTCACCGTGGCATTGGCCTTGTGTATCATGGGTTCTAGTTAACTGTCTCGGTCAATAGGAGAGCGGAGATTCGAACTACATCGGACTTCTCCCCGCATCTCCATTTCCTTTTGAGTGAGAACAGCACCGTGGGCTGCCAGTACATGTGATCTGAGACCGGGAGGATTTCGAAATTGTTGCTTGTTTTTAGCATCTAGATTCGCAAAGGTAGTATGAAAGCAAGAGTTGATATTAGGTCGTTTGAGTGCGTTTGAATCTTATCAGTAGTGATACAATACCCGAATGTATTATCCGACATGAAAAGTACTCATCGTACCAAGTTTGATACTCCAACGATAATCATGAATACAATATCGATTACAGATTAGATATAATGCAGTTGCGAATTTGCCTAGTCTAAGACATATCTTTATCGACCCTACGAAAATACAACCAAACCACAAACCAACCATCTCAAGATCTTTCCAATAAGTATATATACAGTACAGTACATTTAAATCTAATTTCCATTCAATTCGAATATACCCCAACCAAACAACCTACAAAATAACCACACAAAGCATGCATACACCCTCTACACCCCCCTCCACACATCCTCAACATACCCATCCATCCACTCCACATACTCCGGCCCTGCACCCACCCAGCCCTTAATCCCACCTTCAAGAACAAGACTCTTCATCGACGTATTCCCCTTTTCCACCAGCAAATCCGCAAACCAGCCTCCGGCACGAGTTCCTCGACCGCGAGATGAGCCTAATAGTTAGAAGTTCTGGTTTTAGTTCATGCTAGAGCACATATACACACGCGCACACACATATACATATATGTATATATAGTATTTATTTGTCGCTAGGAAACACTCACCACAATACCAAACCACACTCTGCACCCCAGCGCTTTCAAGAAGGGTATAGAATGTCGATAGAGACGGATATAAACTCTGTGCAGGGAGGTTTATTGAGTTGCGAATCGTACCGCCCTTGATTTTTATATTAGCTAGAGCAAATATCTCATCTATTTATATCAAGAAAAACAATAACAACACCAATAAGGATAGTAACAACAACAACAACAATAAAAAAGAAAAGACAAATTGTACAAACCTCATGATCAACCCTCCTCAAATCAACCAATACAAAATCCTTTCCTGGTTTCTTCCCTTCTTGAAACCACCGCAGGACTTCTTCACGAGTGATAGACGCCGCCGTGCTTCGAGGTGCAGGGAAAGCTTCATGCCAGGGTCGTTCTGGTGTGGTTGTTGATGAGGACATTATTTCTTGTTTGTTGTTGTTATTGCTATTAGGTATTCTTCCTTTCTTGTTTTCTTGAATATAAATTCGATGTGGGATTTCTTAATCAAGATATAGAAAGAGAGATATAATATCTGATAAAGATTCAGTTGGTACCTGGTGCTTTAACTGTATTATCTCGAGATATTGTTGTTCTTCGACGGCCACATCCAATCATCACACTGCGGTGACATTGTGCCGATTAATTACCCCGCCGCATGGCTATTCTACCCCTCATTGCTCCGTATCGAGTTACAGTTGGATTTGATGAGAGCAGTTACAGAACTAGAGTCACACAGAATTATGATACTCAAAACGCATATATAAAGACCGTCTAATGCTACCGTCTGCTCTTTTTATGTACATGCAAAATGACAGAAAAGATTATTTCTCAACTTTCAGAAAATGCACATAAAAACCAGACAGATCGCTAATTCGATTGATGTGCGCCAGAGTCAAAATGGAAATAACGACGGAAAGATAAAAACCTCAAGTTGAAAGCGCAGGTAGCAAAACACGCTGTAGTACAACCAACAGGCAAACGAAAAAATCAGTCTCATACATGCGTACAATCCCATGCGAAAATAGAAAATTCCTTGGGTATAAGTTTGCTCCTCGAAAGCAAGAAGAAAATGCTGCCGAGAGAAGTAACTTGCGCACGCAAAAAATTGAAAACCAAAGGTTTAGGAGAATCGTAATCATCGAGTTCAACCCCGTATAGATCCGGGTTAGACTCGGCGGTTGGTCGGCCGTTCAATTACTGAAATTCTGTACGAGGTGCCACGGAGCCAATGACATCTTCCAGAAGAATGTCACTTTACTCGCCAGTGGCCTGCTTCTTCAGCAGACGAGGCCAACGCGACATAACCTCGACGTCGTCCAGAGCACCCTTGCCCTGGTTCCGGACGTACTGCTTGCTGGGATCGACACGAGGCTCCCAGTCCCAGAAGGTGATGTTGCCCTTGATCAGAGCCGAGTAGACGAGACGGCGTCTGCGCTGCGACACCAGCACCTCCTGGTGGATCCGCTCGAGGTCCCATCGCGTGCGAACCTCCTCCATGAAGTGAGCCAGCAGCGTGGCTGGGTCGGAGGCAGGAGGCAGCGAAACAGCAGCGCGAGTCGGGCTCGGCGTGCGTGGAGGAGTCGGGGCGATGAAGGCATTGCCGTTGGAGAAGAAAGACTTGTTCGCTTCAGTAGCGCCCGGGGTGGCGCCCGGGGTAGGAAGACCAGTAGGATTCAGCTGCACAGGAACGGCGTTCTTGGTGGCCGAAGGAACAGGGATTCCAGCCACCAGATTGACCGACTCGGTCGGATCGGCCTCGAGATCAAACAGCATCGGAGGGTCGATCAGCGAGTACACGAACTTCCAGCGTCCGCGGCGGATCATCACTACGGGGGTCTGGGTGCCCTCGCCCATGTACTCTCCCAGCACAGTGTCCGTCTTTACGCCTGCTGCGCCAGAGATATAGGGCATCAACGACACACCGTCTAAAGGTAGCTCCGGGATCGTCTGGGCGCCCACCATTTCCACAAAGGTGGGGAGGATATCCATGGTGGATACATTCTCCTTCACGCGCTTCGCAGCGAAGCGACCGGGAGCATGAACGATAAAAGGCACGCGAGCAGAGTTCTCGAACCAGGTCATCTTGTACCATAATCCTCGCTCGCCCAGCATGTCTCCGTGGTCACCGGTGAAGACGATGATCGTATCATCCGTCAAGCCACACTTGTCCAACACCTTCAGCAACTTGCCCACCTGCGTGTCTACATAGGTGCATGCCGCATAGTAAGCGCGGCGGGCAGCCTTGATCCGCTCCTCGGGGATCACCTTGCCCCAGAGATCGATGCACTTCAGCACCCGCTGAGAGTGCGGGTCCTGCTTGTCGTGGGGGATGGCGGGCGTCTGGGGCAGCGGGATCTCGACATCCTCATACATATCCCAGTACTCCTGCTCCATCGCGTACGGATCATGCGGGTGTGTCATCGAGACGGTCAGACAGAAAGGCTGGTCGCCGCGATGTCGGACGTGGTCGTAGAGGTATTGGGTCGACTTGTAGATGACTTCCTCGTCGTAGTCGAGCTGGTTCGTGCGGGCCACGGGACCAGCCTCCTCGACGGAGGACATGTTGTGGTACCAGTCAGCGCGGATTTCCTGTCAAATGGCTGCGTTAGCGTTCTGTTCTGCATCATTACCGCAAAGAGCAAAGAAACCCATACCGGCTCATCCCAGTTGACGGACCAGCCGTAGTCGCCCGGGTAGATATCGCTGGTCAGACGCTGCTCATAGCCATGCAACTGGTCGGGACCGCAGAAATGCATCTTGCCCGCCAGCGCCGTGTGGTAGCCCTCGTTGCGCAGGTAATGTGCGTAGGTCGGGACGTCCGCTGGGAGATCTGCTGCGTTGTCGTATCCCCCGATCTTGGACGGCAGCTGGCCGGTGACCATGGTGAAGCGCGAGGGCGCACACAAGGGAGAATTGCAGTAGGCATTATCGAAGACGACGCCATCCTTGGCCAGACGCTCCAGGTTGGGAGTCTTGATGGGGGACTTCTTGTCATGGATGGACAGCAACGGGGCGGCCATCTGGTCCGCCATGATGTAAAGGATGTTGGGTCTGCGAGGCGCCATGGCTGGTGCTGTTTGTATCCTATTCTTTTTTTTTTTTTTTCTCTCTCTTTCTCTTTCTCTCCTAGAGCAAAGTGGGAAGGAAGAATTACTCCGCTGACCTGCTCCAGGAGATCACCACAGAGGGGAAAGGAAGCTTGACTATAATTTGATTGATTGATTGATTTATTGATAACCGTAGAACTAAGAGAGTTTACAAGAGAGTTGAAAGGAAAGGAAAGCGATTATGGACGGAGAGAAAAGAAAAAAAAAAGAGCAAGAGAAAAAAGAACCACGGGTACTTCGGGGGTAATGACAGCCCTTTTAATAAGTACCAGACGAGCAGCGCTAGAAAGAAGATTCCACGGCTGGATCCACGAGAGAGCTGGATAGGCGCCCTTTCGCAGGCCTTCTCATCCTGACGTCCGGGACAGAAGGCAAATCCGGCCCAGGCGGTAACGCAGACGAGCGAACCGCGACCCCGGGCGATGGTGTGCGATGGTGTGATTGCGGGGGGATGTGAGCTATGGATCGGTTTCCGTGCCACAGCACGCCATGAAGCAAATGAAATCTCCTCGATCTCTCTCGATCGTCAGGGGAACCGACTGGCCAGATGCTCTCCGGGACTTGCGTACACCGTGAGTGCATCATATCGTGGCTGGTGCTGACACTGGTTTCCGGGGGATTATTATTGCTTCAGGATACAGTAGAGTATTACATCCATACAACTGTCAGCTAATAACTAACTAACCAGTAATTAATACTACTACTAGTTACAAGAATTCCTCAGAAGCGCATGGATGACAAGCGCTGGATCGTTTTTCCCGGGACAGCAATACGATCCATCACTGGTCGTCAGACCCACGTTCTTCACACAGAAAAAAGCGTTGACAGAAGAACCACCGATCTGCTTCATCCGCCACTCGTTGTGCTGACCAAATCCTCCCTGGTCTTGGCATTCCGCTCAGCTTCAGAGGAAAAAAAGCAAGAGAAAGAAGAAAGAAGAAAGAAAGAAAAAAAAAAGGATGGATCTCTGGGTTGCCACCGAGATAGCCGCACACTACCATATGGTACTCACTACCCGATGAATGTCCGAACCATCCTCCCTCCCCCAGCATTATTACTCGTAAATACTTACTACTCTACTCTTAAGTACATCAATAATAATAATAACAATAATAATAATAACAATAATAATAATAACAATAATAATAATAACGACATGCAGAATGCCAACCAAACCGCCAAGCAAAATACCACCATCATCGATAACTTAACACGCAAGCCGGCTGGCGTATCCCGATGTAGATCCTGGGTTATCCGGGGGGAACCCATGCCGCGTGGACCCCGGGCGCTGCCTCCCCTTAGTCGTACTCGGCTCGTTTTGCTCTCTCACCGTATTTTTGGACCTTCCATCTTGCCAACTCGGATTATTATTATTATCTGCCATCCATCCCTCGCGGCATGTGCCATGAGATCATAGATCAACGCTCCCGTGTCTCGTCTTGCTGGATCATCCTATCCTCCTTGTTTCATCCCTAGACTATCTATGTATATCGAAATGCTACCTCGGGAGAGCCAGTAACAGGGAGAATGAATGCCACATCCTCCAGTCCGATGTGACAGGATGCGTCCTTTGGAACCTAAAAGTGTTAGGTACCTAACTACCTACCTACCTAGCTGTATCTACCTATGGTATAACAACTATCACAGTTCTTTTTTACTTCTTTTTCATTCGCCCGCCCCGAAATCATCACCTCACGTGCCCATCTACCTATCTGCACCCAACAACCCTGCTATAACCACATTAGTTAGCCATAAAACCAAAAGAGAAAAAGAAAAAATGCGCTTATAGTACTTCGGCTTATCTCTAAACTTAATTCTACTACTCACCCTCATCGAAAGCCCTGCTTCTTTGAATCAAATCAATCCTTTCGAAACGTTTCAGAACGACCTTCAATTAGATGAGATAGAGATACTAGAAGCAGTAACAGTGACAATGCCAGTCAGTCTCAACCGTTGATTAATCTATTATTATTATCTCAAGCCGAAGTCAGAGTATTAACTAGATCTACTTTAATTGACACCTCGTGACCTCTCACTCAAGTGCTAGTTAGGTAGTTAACTCAGTTCTTAACACTACTCCGTACTTCCCGACGTCCCGTAAGTACAACAGCCCCACATCCTTAGACTCGGGATCCATTACTAGACTAGCCACTAGAAAAAAAAAAGAGAAGAAGAAAAAAACAAAAACAAAAAAGAATCGAAGAGAAAAGAAAGAAAGAAAGAAAGAAAGAAAGAAAAGAAGCTAATTACTCAATTAGGGTACCGCAGGAAAAGCATTAGTTAGAATTATGCGCTATTCTCACCTCCGTAATCGGGAGAGCTAGAGCAATAATACACTAACTGCACTTACATATAATACAGTAGTACTCTACAGTACTCCGTACATTACCAGCTAATTAGTTACTCTAGAGTTAGTTAGAAAATATCACATTGTACTGTACAACCATCACAGAGAAAATCCCATGCGTGTGCCCAATAGAAGTGGTTTCTGCCATACTCTACTGGCCTCTTACTTATCTGATGTGTCATTGGTAGGGAAATTCAACTAACTACTCTACCGGTGCGTAGAGTATATGTACGTGGAAAGAATGGGTCCAACTGCGCGGTTAGGTCCCGATTTGTCGGGATATGTACGGAGTACCATACAGTAGTAGCGAACAGGGGGGTCAACCAAAGGCCGGTTCAAGCCGCATCGGTGCGGCCGGCCGGCCGTTGTCGGTGCTATTCGGTCTTATTATTATTTATTTTGCTGCAACCTCCTTATCTACCACTACTCACTAACTAATAACTAGTACTTCTGTTTCGACTGAAACGAGTTGACAAGTGTAATCTTTCTTGCTTGTTTCTTGTATGTATTAACCAAGATAGAACATTCATCTTGTTTTTGCATACGCGTGGGCAGATAATGATACAGGAACCAAGCATACATCAGTTCATTTCGTATTGGACTGTTTAACCTATCCTGGGACAAGGTTCTTCGCTGCGACGATTGACGTCCGCATTCGTGCCAGTGCATCGTCCCGCCCGAAACAAGAATCGAATCGAGAAGGTTAGAGAAAGAAACTAAAGAAGTAAAGCAGAAACAAAAAAGACTGAGAATCGAAAGGAAACGATGTCTTCACCAAGGATTTAACTCTACGAGCTAGACACTCAATGGTAATCACCTTGCCTCAGATCCGACACGTTTCGCATCCACATGAGGTAAACCCCGAAAATCAACTAGATCCTTGTTCTTGTGTTGCGGGGAGGCAGCAAAGAAAATACCAAAAGGGCAACACAACGAGATATAGAGAGCTCGGACGCCGGCTCGAACGCATTCATCCAACGCAGTTACAGGATAAGAGAAAAGGCCGTACGGGCGTTATAATGCTTTTTTGGCAAAAGTTCCCCGGAAATATACTGGGGGCTACTATGTTCCGCGACTTGCGCCCTTTGAAAGGCGCAAGCCTCGATCAGTCGATCTTAACGGCACTATCCACAAAAAACGCAGTTAGTCTTCTGACAAGTTCCAAGAAAGAATTCAATGACACAGTCGGCCCACAGAATGGTTTGCTTACCTGTACATCCGCCTGATGAATGCGTAGGCGGTCAAGAAGCCCACGGTTCCCGTCAAGAGTCCATATACCGCACAGGCAAGCAGACTATAGCTGAAGAAGAGCAGGCTGGACACGAAACCTGTGATGTGTAGCTTGAAGAAGTAGTACCAGATGCAGTAGGCAAAGATCCAGAAGGCGCTGCTACCGCCAGTGAAAAAGCTCTGCCACCACCAGTGATAGTTCTGGGTGATCGCGTTAGCTTAGATCAGGCGACGGTTGAGGGCTTTCCATGGGAACACTAACCTCTGCGCAGAGTTGGCTGTATGTGGCAATGATTGTGACCTCGCTGACCGTGACAATGAGAATTGTGCTCACAACGCTAAGGAATCCAAACACGTAGTAGTAGCCGCTCTTGTCCTGCCAGAGATTCTTGAACACGAACAATAGCTCGATGAAAAGGACAGCGAACGGTACCAAACCGGTCAAGAGCGTACCGCGGAAACTGCTCAGGTACCACGGCTGGGGTGGCATCTGACGTGGGATCGGGTTTGTCTTGGTCGGGTGCTCCCACGGTGCCGCACGGACGTACCCATACCAGCTGCCAGCGTATACAAGAGGGACCTGAATCAATAGCCAGAGAGCCACCAGACCGACCAATGTCCCGAACGGGATCGCTGTACTCGAGGCCTGGGCCCAGACGAACATGTTAAGAATGAACACAAGGCAGAAGGACAAGCCCGGGAACAAGGTCGCGGTCTAAACTCTGGTTAGCAGCTACAAAAGTAGAGAAAATATGAGAACTCACGATGATAGTGTTCTTTCGCCAGTTCTGGCCGCCGAAGGTCTTGTACAACCTTCCTGAAAAGTAGCCCGAGAAGAGCCCGGCGAATACGAACAGACCCATACCAACGCTAACAAAGCCACCGCGGAAGCTCGGGTTCAGAATGCCCAAGCAACTAAGTATGAGCAGTCCAGCAGACATGAAGAGCAGCTGCATGCCGGATCCGACGAGCGGTGCGAGAAGACCGCTGTATGCCGGCACACGGAACACGTCGCCATGAAGAAGCTTCCATCCCGTAAATTCCTCTCCCGTTTCCTCGTCAAGAGATACATCAGCATCCCGCTCCACGTCTTCGGGCTTATCCAACACACCCTCCTGATTCTTGTCGACGGACCGGGCTGACTTGGACTTTCTTGGGCGGATCTTGCCATCCTCCATGACCCCATCACCACGGCCTTTGACATCTCCTTGCACAGTCCTGCCCCAGATCACGAGGACTGTAACTCCCAGAACGGCAGAAATAGTCAGAGAGTTGAGAATAGCGAGCCAGTGGGTCATGGAGCCCTCAGACTGGTTGTTGAAGTAGTGATCCCAGCGGTTAGACCATTCGATCTTGTCATCCTCACGGAAATAGACGGAATAGGTGTAAGGAACCTTCAAAGTAGCGCCGTCATCGAAGTCGGGATCCTCCTCGGGAATATATGAGGATCCGGGGTACTTCTCCGCAAGTTGAGAAGTGTTGGGAGCGATGAAGAGTTCCAGGCCCTCCTGATCGCCATGCACATCCTTGGGGCAGCTACCTTCCTCGCGGTTCTTGTTGGTAATGCTCTTTGGGTATATTTCGAATCCAACAATGACTTTACCGCCCTGATCGCCAGCCTTTCCAGGCGCTTTTCTCCAGCGAATCACAAAGGTAAAGTGGTTGTTGATAAAGTAGCGCTTTTTACCGGTTGTGGGAGAGATGTCCTGGTAACCGAGCTTAAATCCCGTAGCATAGTACTTGCGACTGCGGTCGACAGTGACGAAACTGGTCGCTCCAGGTAAGTTGTCCATAATCCACTCGGCCACATATCCATCTTTGATCAACTCGCGACCTCTCTTGACACCCTGTCGATCGACCTCCTTCGTACAGAGCGCCTGGCATTCAACATCTTTACCCATCACAATTTCGAAGTCCGACGTCATAATACGATCGCCTCGAAGGACCTCTCCAATGTTGAGGGATATGCTCTGGCCGGAGCCGAAAGGAGATCCGCCATGTACTCTCCCTGACGGAGGACAGACGAACGGGAGATCGTAGTACGCATATTGCAACTGGGTGCGATCCGAGAAGACCTTGTTCACGAGGAGGGGGATGTGTTCGTCATCGCGATAGCTCTTGATCGAATAACCTGTAGACCAGATCATGTCAGTCCACGGGAGACATCTCAGGCAAATTCATCTAAAGGCATCGAGGCCCACCTGGAATGTACCACGCTTGACAGCATGACACAAGAAGGACCCAAATCACCACGGATAGCGTGCGGTTGAACATGTTGGCCAGCATCTTCACGCTCTACACGCTGAGAGGGGCGTACGGCCGCTCAGTCATATAAGGCGGCCCCCCAGAGCCTTTTTTTCTTTGCGGCGGCGAGCAAGCGCAAAAGAGACGAGGAAAGATCAGGTCGAACTATAGTTGTTCCTAGATTTGAGCCCGCTTCCTGGTAAAATCTGCGGAATCTGCGCTGGGATGGATGCGGCGGTGCGATGATCGTCGATGTCGAGCTGATCTCAGACGGGGTGGATCTCCAATCTGTCAACTCGGGAGGATCTGAGAGGCGGCGACAGGGATGTTAGCAGACAGCACGATCTAACGAGTGGAATTGGCACAGAGTGCCGTGAAGCAGAGAAACAGCACTGATGTCTGGACTGAAAGGAAGACCCTTTGCCAGAGTCCGATGGAAAGGAGCGACTGAGAAAGCGAGTCGGGGTCTGGAGCGTGGCCGTTCCATTCCGGTTATGATGCTAACTAAACCTTAGGAACAACGCTTCCCGCCCCCGTCGGGTTTAGCCAGATTCCATGGGGAGTTCTATAGTAGCTCCAGGAATCTCCCAGAGCAAGTCTCTCTCCCCCTGTCTTACTATGATATACCAGCTTATCATGCAATCTGTTTCGTTTCTACCAAGCCCTGTTCTTTGATAAGATCTGATCGATATACCATGTACTGTACATACCCCATAGTGGTTGTGGGGAACCCAACCTCGAGACTACCTACGTTCTACTGCCGTCTATTAATAGCTAATGAGCGAAAAGCACAAAACTCCAGATTTAGTGGCGGTCTTATCCCAACCACATGGATTTACCTACAATACCGGCTCGCTAGGTCATGCATCTGCAGTCATGGATTAAAGCAGACACCGTCACCAGAAAAATCACACAAGGAGAGGCGCACAGAAAACACAGGGGAAGAGAGACCAGGGCATCCTTGGCAGTAATAGGGAAACCATTGTGCATCGTAATCATCATACAGCAGGAAGCAAAGATGTCGCGAGAGTGCGAATGCCTTCAGCGCTCACGATTGGTTCAGGAGATATTCCACTGCTCCTTGCACACTACCACCGCTTCTCCGTAGAGCCTCAATATTCCTCTCGAATTCGAAGAAGCCCATATCGTTGAGCTGGCGCAGTTGGTCCGCGTATCTCTCCTCCGGAGGTCGATTGTCTGCCGGGGCTGCGCTAGGGAACAGCGCAGCAAAGGGATTAGCCCCGGCCTGGTCTGGACCACCCAAAGCCTGTAGCATCTGCGAGAGCGCGGCGGGGTCTCGAAGGAAAGGGTTCGTTTGCGGGTTAAAAGCATTAAAGGGTGCCTGGGCGCCTGGCGTCTGCTGCGAGCCGGTCGCACCAGGCTGGGCGGGCGGTTGTCCAAAGAGAGCGGGATTAAATAGCATAGCAAAAGGGTTCTGCTGGTTTTCCGTTCCTCCAGGCGTCGTTCCGCCTGCCGGTCCTTGGCCTGCGGCGGTCTGATCGGTTCCAGCGGAAGGCGCGGTGGGAGGATTGCCGCCAAACAGAGCAGCGAACGGATTCACACCTCCAGCTCCAGCTCCAAGGAAGGGGTTGAATGGCGGAGGTGGGTTCGCATTGGCCCCCTCGTTTGTCTGTCCTTGCTGTGCGTTCCTGTTTTCTTCCGGAGTCGTGTTCGTTACTCCCGGAGCAGGGAAGCCTGCATTGCCCGCTCCACCGAAAGCACCCCCCAAGCCCATGGCTCTCTGCATCTGTGCAGCCTGGCGGATCGCATTGGGATCAGTCAACATCCGGCGGAATTCCGGGCTCTGGAACATCTGCCGCACACCAGGTCCCATGTCGCGGAGCATGGGATTTTGCTGGATCATCATGTCGATAATGGCGGGGTTTTGAAGGGCTTCGTTCATGGTGGACTGGAACTGAGGATTCTCGAGCATACTGAGCATAGTCTCTGTGTCAGGAGGAGGTCCCATCTAACATCGAGTCAGTATACACAGAAAGCTATCCATCTTCTCTGGGTAGTCGCAGATCGACTCACTCCACCGTCCGGGCCAAACATCCCAGCACCTGGCAGCTGCGCAAACCCCGCATATCTTGCCCCAGTCAACCCAGCCAACGGATTATTGCCAGTACCCGCAGCAATGTTCGTAGGAACACCAGGCACTCCTTGGCTCGAAGTCGTTCCTGGAGCAGAGGCTGAAGTCTGAGCGGCTTGCCGTTGGTTGCTCGCGGCACTCTTCACCAGGTGAACCGTGTGTCCATCCTTAATCTTGTATGTCGCAAGGGCCTCGTTGTCCTTCAGCACCCGCCCGGAATAGATCAATCGCTGGCGGTCTGCTGGCGTGTCTGCGTATTCTGAACTCGAGAGCTTGTTCTTCAGCTCTGATACGAGTGTCGACGTAGGCAGTGTGAACGTGTACTTGGCGTCATTGGAAGACTTGACGGTGAAGGTGACGGACTCGTCCGCCGCGGGGGTGTCATCAGCCATGATATGACAATGTGGGGAAGTCAGCAAAGGGAGAGGCGAGAGGCGGGGGGCGTGATAGGATACGGATGATCTCTGATATACAAAGCCTAGGACGACGCGGACAGGAGAAAAGGAGAAGAGGAGAAGAAGTGAAGAGGTGAAGAGGTCGATGGCTCTCAGAGGATGAAACAAACGACGTTGACGAGACAACTTCACGATCCCCAAAGCATTCGAGGAAGGCGGCAGAACCGAATCGTCCGGGCGGCGAGACGAGCCCTGAGCGCCGCCGGCAAAATAACCCACATTAAGCTAGTACTTAGTAGCCTGCTTCTGGCACCGCACGCTTTTTCGAATTTTGCATCTCTGTTGACAGAGCTCTGTATCCTGGCTCTGTCTGCTGCCCCTTCCTGAGGACACTCTGCGGAGAGTCCTTTCTCATCCCATCAGCCATCGCAGCGATGGGCTTTTCTGGTCCCTAGAGCTAATTTGCCTCGATTTGTCTCATTTGTCTCGCAACAAGGTGTCTGGCTGCCTTCAGCCAGAGAGCTAACTGCCCACCATGGCGACCACCTCGAACATGTTTATGTATTCTCTCACCATCCAACCTCCTACCGCTATCACCCAGGCCATCTTGGGCCAGTTTGCTGGCACAAAGGAGCAACAGATCGTGACGGCGTCGGGTTCCAAGCTCACCATCCACCGCCCCGATCCGACACAGGGGAAGATCACTACCCTCTACTCTCAGGATGTCTTTGGGATTATCCGCACCTTGGCCGCATTCCGGCTGGCCGGAAGTAGCAAAGGTAAGCTCGATTCCAGCTCGCGTTCTAGGACCAACTTAGTGATTCTTGAAGCTCCCGGGGCAGCACGATGTTCATCACGCGAACCCGCCCCTTGGCGGGGATATGCCCCGGTCGGCATCGTTGGCGTTGGTAGTTGAGCTATGCTGAGCATGCGTCTAGATTATATCATCATCGGGTCGGATTCTGGCCGCATCACCATCATCGAGTATGTGCCCTCACAGAACCGGTTTAACCGGATCCATTTGGAGACCTTTGGCAAGTCGGGTATCCGACGTGTCATCCCGGGACAGTATCTCGCGGTCGACCCCAAAGGCAGAGCTTGTCTGATTGCTTCGGTGGAGAAGAATAAGCTCGTGTATGTTCTGAATCGGAACGCACAGGCCGAGTTGACCATTTCCTCTCCACTCGAAGCTCACAAGCCGCAGACTCTCGTGTTCGCATTGACAGCCTTAGATGTCGGCTACGAGAATCCGATCTTCGCGGCTCTGGAAGTCGACTACACCGAGTGCGACCAGGACCCTACAGGCGCAGCGTACGAAGAGGTCGAGAAGACCTTGGTGTACTACGAGCTCGATCTGGGTCTGAACCACGTCGTCCGCAAATGGTCTGATCCTGTGGATCGCACCGCCACCATGCTCTTCCAGGTTCCTGGAGGAGCTGATGGCCCTAGCGGTGTCCTAGTCTGTGCGGAAGATAACATTACCTACCGGCACTCCAACCAGGATGCTTTCAGAGTTCCCATCCCTCGTCGCAGTGGCCCGACGGAAAATCCAGAGCGGAAACGCTGCATTACCGCCGGAGTCATGCACAAAATGAGGGGGGCATTCTTCTTCCTGCTTCAGACTGAGGATGGTGATTTGTTCAAGGTCGCCATCGACATGGTAGAAGATGACAACGGACAATTAACGGGCGAGGTCCGACGATTGAAGATCAAGTACTTCGATACAGTTCCTATCGCAACCAGCCTGCTAATCCTGAAGAGTGGTTTCCTTTTTGTTGCTAGCGAGACCGGCAACCATCACTTTTACCAGTTCGAGAAACTGGGTGACGATGACGAGGAGACTGAGTTCACCAGCGAGTCGTTCTCGGCAGACCCCAGTGACCCTCTGGAGCCTGTCTATTTCCGACCTCGAGGAGCAGAGAATGTGAACCTGGTGGAGAGCATCAATTCTATGAATCCTCTCATGGATTCTAAGGTCGCAAATCTCACCGACGACGATGCCCCTCAGATCTACACTATCTGCGGTTCTGGCGCTCGCAGCAGCTTCAGAACGCTCAAGCATGGCTTGGAAGTCACCGAGATTGTCGAGTCTGAACTGCCAAGTATTCCGTCGGCTGTGTGGACAACAAAAATCACACGTGCTGATGAGTACGACGCGTACATCATTCTTTCTTTCGCAAACGGTACCCTCGTGCTCAGTATCGGTGAGACTGTTGAAGAAGTCACAGACACGGGCTTCCTTTCGTCAGCTCCCACTCTTGCTGTTCAGCAGCTGGGAGAAGACTCCCTCATTCAAGTGCATCCTAAGGGTATTAGACACATTCTGGCAGACCGCCGTGTGAATGAGTGGCCCGCTCCTCAACATAGGACAATCGTAGCAGCTGCGACTAACGAACGTCAAGTTGCCGTGGCATTGAGTTCTGGAGAAATTGTCTATTTCGAAATGGATGCAGACGGCTCGCTTGCTGAATACGATGAGAAGCGAGAAATGTCTGGTACCGTGACTTGCTTGAGCCTTGGAGAGGTACCAGAAGGCCGTGTGCGGAGCTCATTCTTGGCCGTTGGGTGTGACGACTCCACGGTCCGTATTCTCAGCCTTGATCCCGATTCGACTCTGGAAAACAAGTCTGTACAGGCTCTCACCTCCGCTCCGTCCGCTCTTAATATCATGTCCATGTCTGACTCCACCTCTGGCGGATCGACGCTTTACCTGCACATTGGTCTTTATTCTGGTGTCTACCTGCGAACTGTGCTTGACGAGGTGACCGGTGAGCTTTCTGATACAAGGACGCGGTTCTTGGGTGTGAAACCTGTCAAACTCTTCCGTGTTTCTGTCAAGGGCCAAACTGCTGTTCTAGCGCTCAGTTCACGCCCTTGGCTAGGATACTCTGACGTCCAGACAAAGGGCTTCATGCTGACTCCCCTCGACTACGTCCCACTGGAATGGGGATGGAACTTTTCCAGCGAGCAGTGCGAGGAAGGCATGGTCGGCATCCAAGAGAAACACCTACGGTATGTATTAGCTCCACCCTCTTTTCCTCCATCTACCAGCCCACGATCACATGATGACAACTTGGGATCCGAAATATACTGTGGAATCCACTTTTTATTGTACCAATTGTTCCTACTGAGATCAAAATCATTATGCTTCTGAGATACTCAACGCCGTGAAAGACCCGCTGCTAATATAAAATTAGGATATTCTCCATCGAGAAGCTAGAAAACAACTTACTCCAGGAGTCTATCCCTCTGGCTTATACTCCGCGTCATTTTGTCAGGCACCCGGAACAGCCGCTGTTCTACGTTATCGAGGCGGACAACAACATTCTGTCTCCTGTCACTAGGCAAAAGCTGCTTGAGGATTCCAACATGCAGAACGGCGATGCCGCCATCCCTCCACCCGAGGACTTCGGATACCCACGTGGTACCGGACATTGGGCATCTTGTATTCAGGTTGTAGACCCGGTCAATGCTAAAGCGGTTCTGTCGAGCATCGAACTCGAAGAGAATGAAGCGGCTGTCAGCATAGCTGCAGTCTCATTTGCCAGTCAAGATGACGAGACTTTCCTAGTTGTTGGAACGGGAAAGGATGTTGTCGTCAGCCCACGTTCACACTCTGGTGGATTTATCCATATTTATCGGTTCCAAGAAGATGGCCAAGAGCTGGAATTTATACACAAGACTAAGGTTGAAGAGCCTCCTCTGGCTCTTCTGGGATTCCAGGGCCGTCTCCTCGCAGGTATCGGCTCGAATCTGCGTATATATGACCTGGGAATGAAACAGATGCTCCGGAAGTGCCAGGCGCAGGTGTCTCCACGGCTAATTGTCGGCCTCCAAACCCAAGGCAGCCGGATAGTCGTTAGCGATGTGCAGGAAAGCGTGACATATGTGGTATACAAATACCAGGAGAACCGCTTGATACCGTTTGTCGATGATTCCATTTCTCGGTGGACCACCTGCACTACAATGGTTGACTATGAGACTGTTGCTGGCGGAGATAAGTTTGGTAATATCTGGTTCCTTCGCTGCCCCGCCAAGGTGTCTGAGGAGTCTGATGAGGATGGTTCTGGCGCTCACCTAATCCACGAGCGTCCCTATCTTCAGGGTACCCCCAACCGGCTGGAACTAATGGTCCACTTTTACACCCAAGATATCCCCACAAGTATCCAGAAGACCCAGCTTGTTGCTGGTGGGAGAGATGTCTTGGTATGGACTGGTCTCCAGGGCACGCTGGGTATGTTCGTGCCGTTCGTTAGCCGAGAAGATGTCGACTTCTTCCAGAGTTTGGAGATGCAGCTCGCGGCACAGAACCCTCCTCTGGCTGGACGAGATCATCTAATCTACCGAAGCTACTATGTTCCTGTCAAAGGCGTCATTGATGGCGATCTTTGTGAGACTTATTTCCTACTGCCTAATGATAAGAAGTTGATGATCGCTGGTGAGTTGGATCGCTCGGTTCGGGAGATCGAGCGGAAGATATCGGTGAGTGCCATTTCCTGCCTCATGTTGTTGCTGCGGCTAGCTAACAAGCTGTATAGGATATGCGGACGAGGGTGGCGTATTAAACAGGGTCGTGACAAGTTACTCTGGCGTCTATGGCGGCGTTTTCTGTATTCCGAACAGCGGCTGATGTCTTGGTTCGGTGTGAACTACCGATGTATTTCTTCCATAATGACGGTCTAGACAGCTAATTAATGCTGCATTTCATGCACAAAGCGGTGTTGTCGACCGCCACTGATGCTAACATTTGATAAGAACGAAGTAAAGCCACCATAGGATGTCTCTTTCCTCGCTCGGTCTGTCCGCACCTATCGGCTGATCTTGAGCTGGATGCACCGGTCCCCAAAAGGTCCGCTGTATGAGACGAGAGGAACTCGCGACGATCTTTGAGTACGGTTTTGTCCGCCATTGCGCTACGGATATCGAATCGTAATTTATCTGTCGGGACATCTATGTATATTAGCTGATCTCTGTACTACAAGGCCTGGTAGATTAGTCTACCCTGGTGTCTCCGCCACGTTGATCACCTCGTGTTCTGGGCTCTGTTTCTGCTTTTGTTTAGCTTATGTGGGTTCTCTGCAGCCGCTCGTTCTGGAGGCGGAGGGCTTTCATCCAGCCAGATAACCAAGCACTAGCTCAAACACAGCATTCTTTTCCCTTGAATTTAGTTCATATGAGAATATGATGAGTCTAGCGTAAACCCATCGGGATACATACGATCTCAATATCCTTTCAGTGTCTGTATACCTGATTTGGAAATCTTCATCCGATACAGGTTGTTGAAAAGAAGTCGAATTCTCAAAGTTTCGCATGGATTAATACTCCATTACTAGCTCCTGACACTAGTATAGCATGTCGGTCTTACAAGTGCTTTCCCTTTGTCATTGTGTGATAACTATCTTGTCCTGGTTGCATCGGAGTTGTCCTTCGGAGTATATCTTATCTACTGCGAGAACAAGACCGGGGACCCGTTTGCACCTCCAGAGCCCCGACGACTGTAAACAAGGACATAGATCGCCTTTCACCTAGATGTACGAAACATTTTATTGCAAGCAATGTTCCCATGCACGACACGAGAACTACTTAGTGAATAGCATCGGTGGCGAGACCTGACGTTAAACAAATCCGCTATTGACGCATGCCAGCTTCCCCCGCACGGCATGTCTGACCTCATCCGGTGTCTTCCCAAATCCCGCCGAGGTCTAGTACTTTGGAGTTCCATTCCATCAGTAACAGCCTCGGTCAATTGATTCCTTTCAATTGATCCTCTTGAGGAGTTCTATCCCCAACCTTGTTCGCGTTACCATTTCACCTATCTCATGGGTCTACTACCCCAGCCGCCTCAAGATCCTTACTGTAACTAGCAGGGTTATATCTCGCATTCACATCATCATGCCCCAGAAACTTACTCTGGGAGTAGCTCAATCCCACACCCTCTCGACCCTCTCCGAGACTCTCGCTGCCCTTGAGCGGATCACACGCCATGCGGCCTCTCGTGGTGTTGATCTCCTCCTATTCCCAGAGGCCTATCTAGGCGGCTATCCCCGGACATGCGACTTCGGAGCCAGCGTTGGAGCGCGCGCTGCACACGGCCGGGACCAATTCCTACAGTACTTCCGGTCAGCAGTCGATTTAGGCGACACACCTACCGGGGCTGGGGATGATTGGGTGAATAGGAAATTACCAGTCGCGAAGGGAAGAGAGAGTCGAGGAGATGGAACGAGAGAGTTCCTTGAGAGAGTCGCGAGAGAGACGGGAGTCTTTCTTGCTGTGGGATTGATTGAGAAAGCCGGTGGTAGTTTGTATTGTGCTTTAGTATACATCGATCCTATCAGGGGAGTATTGGGGAAGAGGAGAAAAGTCATGCCTGTATGTTTGTTTGTCTATCCTGACGCTTCGCGGTCGTAAATCATCCGGAACTGATATCCATCGATTCCCCTTTTTTTAGACCGGATCAGAGCGCTTGATATGGGCTCAAGGCTCCCCGTCGACATTGAAAGCAGTTACAACAGAAATCCGCGGCGTCAAACTCATAATCGGCGGAGCTATCTGCTGGGAAAACTTCATGCCTCTTCTCCGACAGAGCCTCTACTCACAGAATGTGAATCTATATCTCGCTCCCACAGCAGATGGAAGAGATACATGGCTCCCCTTGATGCGAACCGTCGGGTTTGAGGGTCGCGCTGTTGTTCTCTCTGCGAATCAATGCCTCAGACGGAATGATCTCCCAGACTGGATTCGAGGAAGCAGTGCCGCTCCTACTGCTAATGGACGTCCTATCTCAACGGCAGCGCAGAGAAAGAAGTCTATCACAGCAGAAGGACCGCATGAGATTGTATGGCCTCAATCACCAGGTTCTCAGCTCCATCCGGATAAAGAGCTCGATCGAAAGGCAGAGGATACGAGCGTTGCAGTAGAAACTGGGGACGGCGTCGGTGAGTATGGTCTTTATACATAATTGGTAGCAGTGCCTTACTGATGATACTCGATTGGCATAGCCACACCCAAACCACAAGGTGGATTCCCCATAGGAAAGGAAAATGCGCCAGAGACTGGTAAGTCCTTTTCAATACACTGCCTTCTTACAAGCCCGATCTTAATGCACTCATACGCAGATCCCACAAACCCATACGTCTCCCACGGCGGCTCCTGCATTATCAGTCCCTTGGGCGAAGTTCTCGGGGGTCCCATCTGGGATGTCTCGACAGAAGACCCTCCTATCAACGTCGACGACGTCGATAAATCAGCCATTGGCGACGGTCTGCTCATTTCTGAGGTTGACTTCGACGACTGCGAGCGGGGTCGATTGGATCTTGATGTCGCGGGGAGTTACTCGCGCAATGACGCTTTCAAGTTAACTGTGGAAGGGCTGAGTTTGGATCCGCCTCCTTTTTAGGAATGTGTGTCCTTCTTTCCTTCATGTAGGCAGTTGGTCTATGTTGAAGCTAGGCACGTATATGTACATATGTTTTATGTTCAGTACGTGTGTGAAATTATGAAGAAAACGGCTTTCTAAAGAGCTATATAATGCGCTGCACAAAATATCAACAAGTTCATAAACCCAGACAATAGACGTGAGCTTTGCACGTTCATACTGTCATATCTCGGACATTTCACATCCACCCATCATCATGAATATGATCTAACACCTCCTGGGCATAAGCTACCAATGAGGACGGTCTCCAGTAAATAACTGCCTTCACATCAAAAAGAGAGAGAATTGACTATCATTCGAGGGGATAAACAGGAGCTTTGAGAAGCACACTTGTCGGGCCCTTGCCTCTTACTTCAACAGCCAGGAAAGATGCGAACCGTATTCGTGTGGCTGAACAACTCTCATTCTTTTCAGACTCGCCCTGGTCCTTTGTTTCTTTCGCTACTATCGAGTTTGAGCGACTGGAAGCTTCTTGCTGGGGCTGAGCCGGTCCAGCGGCAGCCGCAGTAGGTTTCCTTCCCATCAAGCCCCCCAACACAGATCTCTTTCTCTGCTCTCTGATGGGTGGCATATTCTGCTGCGACGATTGCTGGGCCGCAGAGGAGGCGTCAGCACTATAGTTTGCAGACAAAGATTCATTGTCATCTCTGGTGTTGCCGGCATCTTCTCCATCATTCTGGCCATCTCCTTGAGCATCGTTCGCAGAGGGTCCCTGAGTATTAACTGACTCGAGTTTTGGATTTTTTAAGGGCGGAAGTGTCGTCTCCACTTTCATGTGAGTGTCATTGATCAGCGACCCCGGCGCGAAATATTCAATCCAGACGTCGCGAGATTCGAACGGAATCTTCTCAGCGATACCTACTGCATTCTCCACAATATTTCTTCCTGAACTATCCAATCCCGGGGGTGGAGGCTCGTTCAAATGCATCTCGAGGCTGGCAACCAACTTCTCCACTAGATGATCGATGAGGCGGGTGCGGTTTTCTTCCGCGGCCTTGCCTTGTAAAGCATCCTGGAGACCGTCCAGGGTTGTGCGGCGCCAATTCGAAATCCTCGCAATGATGTTCTCCTTGTCCTCTTCTGTATACGTCTTGACACTCTGTCGCCGGATATTTGCCTCGATGTTCTTGAGCTGGGCACTCAAGGTCGGCTCGATGGAGGGATGAAAGTGCCGTTCGAACAGCTCATCAACCAGCCAGCGAGTAATTACCGCGCGTCCGACAGCGGTCATCTCCTTTGTGCCTACAGTGTGCGCATCCTCGTTCACGTATGGTTGTAGCCAAGTCGGAATGCTCTTCCAATCTTTCCTGGTAGAAAACGCAAGGTCTTTAATGGCTCCGTCGAGGCGAGTGAAACGGTTGGTGTATTCATTATCATCCAAAACTGTCCGCGAGGCAGCCATTCGCTGATGTGCTACAGTATTTTGGAGCTGTTGGACCTGGTTTTCCTTTTCGAAATAGTACCTTTTCACTTTTTGGTACTTTGCATCTGTCAGACAAGGCTCGTTAGCAATAAAGAGCGACGACTGCAGACCGGGATTTCTAATGACATACGAAGTTCCTCATGTTTCTGTAGTAAGGCCCTCACATCTACCTCGGCGAGATCATCACGACTTTTGCTTTGAGGAGGCGGTGTCTCTCGGCCCTGCTCCTGAATATTCTGCTGGGACATCTCGCTCTTAAGACTGGGACCTTGGGCGGGAGCACCCGTACTCTGCACATAGAGTGACTGCGCACTGCCCTGGTTGTCACTAACTTGGCCCTGTTGTTGGGCGGATTCTGTGGGCTGTCTCATGCTAGCAGATCGCTCCGCGGGGCTCATTCCTCCTTGATGTGGCGGCTGGGTGATGGGCTGTAATAACTGCCGGGGCACCTGATTCTGTTGTTTGGTATCAGATTGATGCCACTGGAAGACGGGAGAAGGCGGACCATAAGACTGCTGCGAAGGCGGCCGCTGTGCTGTACCAGGATCCGGTTGGGAGGAGTTACGTCTGTACATAGAGAATGGGTCTTGGGGTATCTGGGCTTGGTGCGGGCTGTGCTTGATGGAAGAATCACTTGGAGAATACTGTATGGCTCTAAACAGAGGCTGCTGGGGTGATGACTGCCTTAGATCCTCTGGGTTCTGAGGCAAGCGACGTGGGCTCACCTGGCTGTGAAACGAGTCGTTGGCGACCCGCTGTTGGTAGAAACTCCCCGTGTTGATCGGTTCTGTATTCACACGCTGGATTGATGGATACTCGCGCCGAGTGGGAGATTGAGATGGCTGAGGGTATCTATTGGCAGCAGGTTGTCCGTATGGAGTCTGGCCTTGAGGGGACCCAGTTGACATATGTTGCATCTGTAACTCTGGATTCGATGGGTTCCAAGCTTCTTTGTTCAGCTTCGCAGCAGTAGATTCGTCATCCCTTCCTGAAGCGCCCCCGTCGCTTGTAATCGACTGCTGCGAAACGTTCTGGTGTTGCGGATTGGACTGTTGTCGCGGGGAGCCGCCTTTGCGCTTTACAGAGATGTTGCGTCCCAAGAAAGTGCCCTCGTCTCTCGAAGATGAATGCCGTCCGAATATTCCCTTCTTCAATTTCCGCGATTCCCGATCGCTTCTGGGAGTTTCAGGCACGGGTGCTGGTAAAGGCCACGACTGCTCCGCGGTGCTCTGGGTAAAGGCGTCAGCATCGAAGCTCGCAGCGACGGCTAGGGGAGTCGGAGGTACCAAGTTGATAACCGTCGGTTTTGCTGAAGAGACAGAGTTGCGAGACGCCCTTGAGCTGTCGCCCGGATGATCCTGGTATGTCTGAGACTGCGAAGGCTCGTGGTACGAGAATCGTTGACGGGAGAATTGACGCTGCTGGTATGAAGAGTCCTCGTCGTCCTTGTAGTGATCGCCAGCGGGCGGTGGGAAGGCGGGGTGTTGACGATTCCCCGGCGCTTCGACAAGCAACTCCCCGTGGGAACGCGCGCGCGATCGTTCAACAGAGGCCTCGGCGGCGTGCGACTTGTTTCTTCTGAAAAATTGCATGGAATCAATCTCCGCCCAAACCCCAGGGACGAGGAATGAGGATGGACAGTGCAGAATGGGGCCGGCACGCGCAGATGTCCCCTTCGAAGGATTCACAACGGTCGAAGCGGCAACTCGGGCGCGCCGCGGAGAGAATGAGCGTCGATAGTCTGGCTAAATATAGGACTTGCTACCTAAGTTGGCGTTCTGGGATGAATGCAGGTCGCTTGTCTGGGTACATCCAGGACGATCAACATCGCTTTCACCTCATGTCTTTGAGCGATCGCACGGCAATGAGCATTCCAGGAAGGAGAGACAATGCCATTGCGAATATCAAGAGAGATGAGATGAGAAGAAAAAGGTTCTAGTCTCTCGCGAGTGGTGACCAAGCAAGCGATCACCGATATATGGTAGACATCACAAGTACAGAGTACTGTCCACTAAGATGCTGAGAGACTGTCTACTGTCCTCTCCGCGCGGCCCCCTTTCACTCAGCACATAAGACGAACTCTGACGAAGGCTATAGCTACTTCATTAGCTGCGTTAACCGGAGCAAAATGGCCCCATTGGCGAGGAGAGCTCACCAAATGGACACTCATTTCTCTTTCAGCTCCCACGGCTGACATCCAGCGAATACGAGCATGAACTAAGGACCCCTCAGCGGCTAACCGTGGCTGTGCCACGAAATTCACATTCACTGTTAGCTCAAGTAGCGACTATCGAGCGAGAGTGAAATGGTCATTGAGAGCCAGCATACAATCTTATTATCATTTTCTAGCTCTGTTCCCGAGTATCGCTTGGTGTGATAGACTATGGATCGATCAATGAGCATGGTTCCATGGTTACGGTACTTAGGTGCCAGACCTACGAAGAACTAATGAGCCTGTCAGGGTCACAGCTTTAACGCGAAGATTGACCTCGAGTACTTCAATATGATCAACTGCATATGCAGACTTCATTCAGCTGCTGCAAGGTAAATCTCCTTGTCAATTCACCCTGCCATTGGAATTTGGCAGACCACAATTCTAGACCTGCCATATTTGCTTAGAAGCATGTCAGCATGTCTTTATCTATGCCAGGTTTAATCAAACAGTTACATTGGAAAGATATTTCATGAGATCCCGTCAAAGATGCTCCACATTCTTGCCTATCTACTTCTCTAATGGGAGGATGCGCATAACACTGCTTGATGCTATCAACAATCCAGAGCCTGATAGGCCTAGATAAGCTCCTCGATCTCAGTGCTGCTTCTCGAATACTGGGAGAACATCAGTATTGCCACTTGCTAGCATGGTCCGTGATTACTTTCGAAGCATGAAAGGTACAACATCCAGGATACGGAATCGAATGCCTGCATCTGCGATCGACATCGCAGCCTGAAGAATGGGGAAGGCATTCCACTTCATATCTGTTAGAAAGAGCATAGATTTCCTTCTCCAGATAAATGCTTATTTGACTAATTCTATGTTCTTTACAGCATTTGGAATAGTATTCAAACCCACTCTATTCCGGACAGATAATGTTCTCTGTAAGAAGATCCCTAAAAGCCACACCTCACAGATAGATGCTAGTCTAGTAGTATCCTTTCCTTGTGTAGCTCAGCAACAAAATCCCGTGATCGTCCGATCTCGTTTCCATTGCCTACGTCGGCCTTCTAGAAATAATAACTAAGTTAAGTGTTACGGAATCAGCAGGCATAGCCCGGGTACGTCAGTACATCACGTGTAGCTAGCATATATTAGCTATTCCCCTTCGTAGGAATAGACAATTATCTTTTATCTCCTAATTTTATCCAAATCATTAGGATTCATCAATAAATGGTAGCATGTCCCATTAATCCAGGCATTTCTAATTATAAACCATTATTCTCTTATGCTTTAAGATTATCGCAGGGCTTTCCTGCTGTCTTATTAAAAGCTAGGTTAATTATCATAATTAATACTGCTAGTATCCCTCCTCGCTAACTGCACTATATCTACCTTATTAAGATCTTATCAAATACTATTAATATTATTATCAGTTAAGCTCTAGAAACCTTATATAATCAGTCTATTATTATATCTATTATTTTGTCTAAGTTCTATTATCTTATTAACTAAAGCCCTTGCTAGCTATTCTATAGTTAAGTTATACCTTAACACTATAGTGGCATCATTTTTTATTATTTTTTTTATCTCCTATATTATTTTTTATCTCCTTTTAGACCTATATTAACTTATTAGTATTCTACTAAGTACTAATAATAGAACTTATACTAGAGATTTCCTTACTATCTATTATAATCGAGATTGCTTATTAAATTACTATATTTCGCCGGGTAGAATTGCCCTAAAAGAATAAGTTTAACTATAATACTATTAACCTAGTTAACTTTATTATATCCTTCTATAAGAACCCTAAGCTAAGTTAGGATAAACTAAGATTAGCATTATTTGCGTCTGTAGATCAGCTCTTATAGATTCTTCTAACCTAGTAAAGTAAGGATCAGACTTAGGCTATATGCGCTTACCTCGATTATCTCGCTAATAGAGAATAGATAGTAGTTTAAACGGAAATAGTATAATAAATCTAGTATTTAAAAATAGCCCCAGTTAAGCTTTTATAAAAGGTGCGATTATATATAAGGAGAAAATACCTATAAAAATTCCTATACCTATACAATTAGGTTATTAATTAATTAGCCCTTAATTATACTATTAAGAATTTTCTACACTTAATTATTAAGCTAGCTAAATCTCTTATATTTTTATATTAATAGAGAGAAATACCTAGAGAAGCTTATAATAAGCCGTTATAACTATTAGGACGGGCACTATAGATATAATATTATATCCTATAGGCTCTAGATACTGCCCGCTCTTAACAGTTAGTATAGTTAGAACTAGAGTATTAGTTATTACTATTTAGTGCTCCTCTATAATAGCAGCGAGATAGCTAAGGCAATGCTAATAAATTAATATTACTATTAGTGCTATTACTATAATTATTAGGATTAGACCTACTAATAACTATTATATATAAGCTCTTATAATTAGATTCTACTAGTAATAAGAAGGGCAAATCTAAGATAGCTAAATTAAGATTAAGCCAGGGCTCTTTTAGCTATACTAACAACATATCCTATACTATAGCCTCTTCTCTAAATACTAATGCCTTAATAATATAATTACTGGAGAAGTTAATAACCTAAAATAAGTAAATTCTAGCCTAACTAGGAGAAATAATATACAATAATAATAATAATAATTAGGGTATAAGAAATATAGAAGATAATAATAAAAGTAAAAACAGATAATATATTATATTGCTATAAGATTTACCACAGCTATTTAATATAATAAGCTCCTTATTATAGAGATAAGAAGCACTAGGGTACTTCTATTTAAACCTTAAAGATATAGAGTATATAAGTACTAGTGCTATAGTTATAATAGGAGGTTAAACCTATTACCGCGATATTAATATATTTATTAAATAAATCTATAACCTCACTATAGTCTATAGTAAAGCTGAGGTTAGGCCTCGTATCTAAGCTTTACTTTATAGACTTATATTATTATAATATACTGTTAAACTAACTGATTTTAAATGCGAAGCTCTATATAAATATAATATTAAATAAGGATAGATTAAGCTGCTTATAAAGCGTTTCTGCCTTAATACTACTACAGCTATATAAGATTTAGAATAACTGCAATATAATATAATAGATATTATCGCCAAATCTATACCTTAAGCCTTTCTCTAATAGGTTATCAGATTATTAAGAGCAGCTAGATGTTATGCCCCTAGCCCCCCGCTAGGGCATGAGCTCGCAGGACTGCAGCGAAGCCCCAAATCTAAACGTAATGCCGAGGTAATCAGTTAAACCCCGCTCTCCCCGCTTTCAGGATTTATATAAGACAAAGCTGGGAAGTGCTTGAGATTTAGAATATAAACAGGCTCTAAATTACTGTCTTACTAAAAGCCAGCGATCTGTTCTAATATAATATATACCCTATTATTTCCTTACTTGTATAGACTCTTTACTATTAGAACCCTCCGGCGTAAACCCTTTTTTATACCGGTTAGATTCTTTATTATAACAGTTAACCCTTTATCTCGCTGGTAGACCCTTCTTTAAGCTAGGTGTGCAAAGCTGCTATCTCTCTTGCTATAATTGCTAGCAAAGTAATTTGTTAGCAATCCCTAAGAACCCCTATTTTTTATAGTTTAGATCGCTTATCTTAGCAATATAAGTAGCAGTATCAATATACCCTATGATTTAGGGGATAAGGGTCTTAGCGCTTAGCCTATAGTGTATACTCTGAAGGGTTTAGAGAGTGCTGAACCTAGCTTACAGTAACTAATTGCTGAAGCTAGCTTGCAAATCCTAGGAGATACTCTAACAGGCCTAGGGATAGAGTAAGCTTAAACGGAAGATAAACTATTAATAAAGAGAGACCTTTTATAGCTTCTCGCCGCTAATTATATTAATAAGCAGCTAAAGCTTAAGCTGCCAGAACTGTAGAGATATAAAGCTACTATACTTAATACCTATTACCAGTAGTACTAGTATATAGATAAATACTTAGCTTATAATGCTTTATTATTTAAAGATAAAGCTAAGAAGGTTACTTATACTGCAGTATTATTAGATAGAGAACTAGCTTAGTCTTAAATCTATTAATAAGAGGATCCTAACTTCTAGATGCTAACCTAGGAAGAATTTAAGGGTTAGTTATTAGATTTGCTTAATAATCTATATTACTAAGGATAGAATGCAATAAACCACTTTTATATCTTAATCTAATATCCTAATTAAACTGCCCGAGCTTTCTTACACTATTTTAAGCAGGCTTAAGCAGAGTTAAATTAGGGTAAAGGGTTTAATAATAATAGAATTATCTGATCTTATATCTTCTACGCGAAACTCCGACCTAAGATTTAGATAAAGTTATTAAACTATTAAGACCTTCTAATAAACCTTAATTAATTAGCGTTTTTAGCTACTAATTAGGAGATAAACCAGAAGAAGAATA